CCCCCCCCCCCCCCCCCCCCCCCCCCCCCTTCCGTTCTCCCCTTCTGAATATGGTACGCCCCCCTCCGACCACAATGGAGCTAAATCGGCTTGGATTTGGAGGTCTGGATTCCCAGTAGGCTCGTCGTTGTTGCTGGCGGTACCGGCAGTGCGTGCGCGACGCCAACTCTGTACCTTTCTTTTCTTTCTTTCTTTGGTGCCGTTGGGGGAGTTTTTGCACTTTGAGTTTATTCTACCGAGGCTAGGCCTCCCTTTTTTCTCTTGGTACAGCGTCAGCCTCTTCATGGCCCAGGAGATTAGTATTACCTCTTCGGAGCGAAGCCAACAGACGGTTTTCAATGTATTCTCGTGCCTGTGTGTACTAGCAGTGTATACGATATTTATACTCCATTGTCTGTATCATCTGTGAGAAAGTCGTTCTTGAGCATTCAGGTCTGTTGATTGCTAGTAATAAAGCCACGCAGAGAGTTGATACCAACACTTTTGCATGTGTATTCGAAGAGTTACGACCATAGAAACTCCGAGTCTAAAACTCAACCTGTATCGCGTTTTCTACTATAGTGCTTAGTGGACCCACCTGAAAAATTATATCATTATAGACGCCTTCAAATTTAAGACATTGCACTGGAAAACTGACCTCGCTAGAACCGGGCGAAATAGCCCCTTTCTCAAGCAGCAGTTGCACAATGGCTTCGTGCTCATCAGACAACGCCGCCTGGAGCGCACTGTTGTACAGGCCGCCCTGGACATTCATGTCGGCCCCCTTCTCAAGTAGCAGCCGCACGATACCTTCATAACCGCCAGACGACGCCGCCTGTAGTGCATTGCCATAAAAGCCACCTTGGGCATTCACATCGGCCCCCTTCTCTAGCAGCCGCTGTACGATGGCCTTGTGCCCATTAGAGGATGCCGCCTGGAGCGCATTCCCATAATGGCCACCTTTGGCATTTACGTCGGCCCCCTTCTCCAGCAACAGCCACGTGATAGCTTCATAACCCCCAGATGATGCTGCTTGGAGCGCATTTCCGTACTGGCCGCCCTGGGCATTCACGTCGGCATCCTTCTCGAGTAGCAGCCGCACAATGACTTCATGGCCGCGAGACGAGGCAGCCTGGAGTGCATTTCCGTACTCACCACCCTGAGCGTTCACGTCGGCCTCCTTCTCGAGTAGTAGCCGCACAATAGCTTCGTGACCGCCGCAAATCGCCGCCTGGAGCGCATTACCATACAAGCCTCCCTGGGCGTTCACGTATGCCCCTTTCTCGAGCAGCGAGCGCACAATGGCATTGTGGCCGTTACATGATGCCGCCTGGAGTGCATTCCCATAATGGCCACCCTTCGCGTTCACATCGACCTTCTGCTCAAGGAGCAGTCGCACAATGGCTTCGTGACCGCCAGATGAGGCAACCTGGAGTGCATTGCCGTAAAAGCCGCCCTGAACATGGACGTCGGCACCTGTCTCGAGCAGCAGCCGCACTGTGGTATCGTGACCGCCAAACGACGCTGCCTGGAGCGCAGTGTCGTGACTGCCACCCTTGGCATTCATGTTGGCCCCCTTCTCGAGCAGCAGCCGCACGATAGCCTCGTGACCGCGGAACGATGCAGCCTGGAGCGCATTGCCGTATTCACCGCCCTGGGCATTCACATCGGCTCCTTTCTCGAGCAAAAGGATCACGACGGCTTCGTGACCACGAGATGATGCGGCCTGGAGTGCGTTGTTGTAGGTGCCGCCCGGAGCATTCACATAGGCACCATTCTCTATCAAGAGTTTGGACACTCTGACAAAACCTGCCCGTGCTGCGTAGAAGAGGGGAGGAGGGATATCATGAGGTGATCGGGATAGTTCTCTTTGATAAATATCACGATCGACATCATATATTCGGATCGAGTTGACGAAGGCCATGGGAGATTGGAGGAGGTTCAAAGCGAGGTCGGCCAGGGCATCGGTGTGAGCGAGTCCGACATGGCTCATCCAATGTTCTGCTGCATAACAAACGAGGGGGAAGGGCCCAATATCATCCGGAGACTCTTCCGTGAACTGCATCAAATATGTGACACAGGTGCGGGCGATGAAGTCATGGGCGAGCTGTGAATCGAATAGATAGTTTTGTCCATGGCGGCGCTCGATATCAGTGGTAAGATACTCCTTGACGGAGAAGTGCGAGAGCTCTAGAAGACCAGTTTCAGAAAGTCGGACCAAACTGGAGCACATAGTAAGGATCTCTCGTGGCTCAGGAAATCGGTCTTCCGGCATGAATTGCGGTGGGTCATTATCGAAATCGATGGCCAACACCTCCGCAACCTCCTCCAGTTTGACTGGACGCATAGAGAACGCAAGCCACTTCAATGTAGCCTGAACGTACTCAGAATGATCTGGATGGATGAGCTGAAAGATCCTGTCATACGTTTCGTACAGTGTCTTTGGCAGAGAGACCAAGTGCTTTCTGAGCGCCTTTGGGCCGGGGCATGTACGAATGATGTCTAGCTGGCAGAAAACCCATCGAAACCTATATAGTTTTATGAGCATCGTTTGAGAACACAACACGATATAAAGACTCACATGCCGTGTGCGCCTTGAATCAAACATGTTTCTATATCCTGTTTCTGTTCGGGTTTCCATTTCGAAAGGGATTGGTCATGCTGCAAGGCAGCACGAACATGATAGGCAATATCTCGATCAACGAGAGAGGTCTGAAGACTGAATTCTACTGAGAGCGGCAGCAGGCGAACATTCAAGTCCTCTTCCTTCCGGCTCGTGAGCAAAATATGCAGACCGCCAAGTTTCCACTTCGTGATCTCCTCGAGGAGATCCATGACAGTCTCTCGCTCGGAACATTCGTCAAGAGCGTCGATGACGATGTAAACGCTGCAGAAGACGTCGACTATCATCTCTTTGAGAGTTGTTACTAGACTGTCCAGTGTAGGCCGTAAGACCCCATTCCGATGAGTGGCATAGAGCCGGTCCAAAACGGCAGGCATTTCCGAGCAACGCGAGGCGAGCTGATCAACGAGGGACGATACTAGTCCCAGACAAGACTGTTTTCCCGAGTCCCTGAAGTCGAAGTAAAAGTAGGCAAGAGCAACGGATGAGTCGACTGCGGAATTGAACTCGATGTCCTGTATGATTGTGGAACTGGAATAGAGTAGCGTCAGTCACAGGGTCAGTCATCTACTTCAGGCATACGCACGATAATACGCTCTTCCCGCACCCGGCTACCAGTAAAAACGATCAGCATTTGCGGATTGATTGGACACGAATGACTTACGGCCACCGGTGACCCATAGCAAAGAGTTATGCTTGGTCTTCCAGCGCTTGTACTGGGTAGCTTGGATGAACCACGATCCGGTCCCGGCTCTCCGCATCTTTCGAGTGCTCTCGTAAATTGACAATGGCGACGGGGATGCCAGCCACCGATGGAATTCACGACGATGCTGGTCGGCTACATGAAAAGTCAGAAGCTTTAGAATATCACCCGTATGCGACACAAGGTACTGACAAAGAAATGGTAAGATTTTCTCGGAATTTTGCGTGACATACCCCCGAATTTCTTCGAGTATGATTTGACTCTCTTGAGAACTACCTACGACACAGGCAATTCAAATCAATGTCAGAAACGGGAGACGTGTATTTTTGTCATACCAGATATCGTCTCGGCTTCCTGAGCGATCTTCGTAAGCATCGACTTAGTAGTGCTCAGAACGTCCATGCCCTGTTGATCGGCTGAAAGTACAACGCGGTGGGGTTGATCGCAGATGTAGGACAGCTGCACAATAGGCAAACGAACCTTTCATCCTAGTCTCCAGTTGTGAGAGGATATTACTCGAAACCGAAAGCGTAGCAGCTGCAACGGCTTGGCCTTCTTGAGCAGTCAGCTTGTCTAATTTCGTCAGCGCGTCTTGGACAAGGCTGTTCTCTCCGACCAAGGTCTTGAAGTATGTGACTGCCGAAAGCAACCTGTCATTTCTCTTTGTGCAAACCGGATACTTTCTTTCACTCACCCGCACGCTTTTCTCTCGTGAGCCTAGTCGCCACTCCCAAGATCGACAGGAGGTGAGCAAGGATCTTTACGATCACCTCCTTCATCAGAGGTAGAATATTGTGTTCGAGATACACGTTGAGGCGACCGAGGAAGTTGCTGAGACTTTCAAAGATGTCAATCATCGAATCATAGTTTTTGCTAACCCCGTCGGAGGCCTATTATACAAAACAATAATTATGGGATATTCAACTTGAGCGTGACCATACATGAAAAGCTAACCTCAAGCAGAACTCCAATAGCAACGAATATCGTCTTTCCCGGAGCAAAAGCCTGATTGTCAAACATATCCAATCAGCATCGTCACAAGCGATCATCGGTTCGCACGCACCAAGCTAGCTCCTTCTCCTGCTATCTCCGCCATCAACTTCACGATCTTGACGATAGGCTTCAACACGTCTCTCAGGCTCTTTCCCTTAGCTCGGCTGTCCTCCATATCTTTCCGATCCCTTGTTAGAGCCGTCAGGATAGCCTCCGCGCTGTCGGCAGAGTCTAAAGTAGACAAGGGAAGCGATTTGGCCTTCGTCTCCGATTTGTACTTGTCCACGGCGTCGTTCCAGATGGCAGAGAAACTTTGAGTGCCCGTCATCGAATAAGAACTATCGAGAGATGCCAAAGAAAGCCGTTTGATGAGGAGAGCCGAATATTGAGGAGTGAGATGTGTGGTGGGGCTCAAGTTCAGACAGGTAAATATCTTCGCTATCGATCTTCTAGTCTGCCTTTGTTTGTTCATCTTTGGTTCGTGATCCCTATGGTTGCGGAGATGCGTATCAGTCGCTTTTGTGCTGGTTATAGTAATTGCACAGGACACTTACCGGAGCCAAGTTTGCGCTTTGGCCCTTGCACAAGCTGGGTATCGTCAGGCGTCGTGCTCTTGTAACAAGTATCGTCAGGAAGGAAGGAAGTATATCCGCAGTATCGTGTCCACGCCTCTGGTTCACGATTACGTTGCCGGCCTGCCTGATTAATGTCGAGAAATGGCGCAGACAAACTAGAGCCTGAGAACCCAAGAAGGCCTAGAAAGTGTCGTAGTCGAGGGAAGGAAGCATGGGACAATCTATAGGGGCCAACTATGCGTCCCACGCTGATCCGCGTCTCTCAGACTCACTAAAGTGGGGACCACTCATCGTACGGAGCACAACCCAAGACTGTCCATGCTCGAGATCATACGCCGGAGCAGAGCGATGGTACACGCCTGCTGGCCTCAAGGGTCATGCACAGTAAGGCAGGTATGAAATACCTGCTTCGTCGACATACCACACCGTTATCCCGTCCTGTGCACGTATGTCCTCGAGTTCGTGTCCATAAGAGTGGTGTTGTCCCTGCGGATAGGGTTTCCCCAGAGTGCGCACTTCCCCGTCGCAGAAGGACTGTTGTAAAAGCCTACCTTTCTCTCGTTGACCGTCCCCGTGAACTGCTCAGAGGGATGATGCTCATCAATGCTGCATAAAATAATTTGAAAGATCACAGTCATACTGGGCCACATCCACTAGTATGAGCTCCTACTACTGCCAGTCCCACGAAATTCAGCACGCACATATCAATCAACTACCGAAACTTCTTCAACGGATCGCTCTTCTTCTTCCCTCCTCTCCCCGCACCACCACCACCACCTCGTCCGCCTCTCCCACCCCTTCCCCTTCCCCGTCCCCTCCCCCTAGCACCGCCCTTCGTAAACGGCACGAAACCAGCCTCACCTTCGCCACCTTGTGCCGGCGCTGTGGCGGGTACGGCTGCGACGTCGCCAGCGGTCGCGGATGCGGGTACGACCGCGACGCGGGGGAGGAGGTACTTCGGGACGTGTTTCATGTGTGATTGGACGCGGGTAGGGTGGAGCGGTTTGTCGTGGCGGAGGAACTCGAGATCCAGAGGATTATCCTCGAAATGGGCCTACAAGTGTGAGAAAAAAGAGAGATCAATACAAACGCCTAGCTGTAAGGGATGATGGGCCGAGCGCAAAGGACGCAAACAAACTCCTCACCTTCAACTTATCCGAGTTCAAAATCTCCTGCTTCAACTCCTTCACCCTCGCCTCCCTAATCGCACTCCTCGTAACCGCCCTAAGCGCATCCTCCATCCTATACCTAAACGCCTCCACCTGCTTCATATCGAACTTATACTCCCTCACCTTCGACCCCCGCGCCCCCTGCTCCCTCTCTATCCTCTCCCACACCACCTCGTCCCGCTCAGTCCCCGCCACCCCGCCCACGACCTTATTCTTCCCGAATTCGCTCTCGGGGACGATGAAGGAGAGGGACATGCCAGAACGGCCGGCACGGGCTGTGCGGCCGACGCGGTGCGTGTAGGAGCGCGAGGAGGGTGGGAGGTCGAAGTTGAGAACGCAGGCGACGTCGATGAAGTCGATGCCGCGGGTGACGCCGTATTCGGAGTCTTTCCGCTTTTTGGGGTGTTTCGATTTGGACTTTTTGGAGGGTTGGGAGGTAGAGGTGGTTTCTGAAGAAGAAGAGAGTTTCGTCTTTTTCGAGGGGGGAGGGGGGGAGGCGGGCGCTTTGCGTTTTTTGGAGGTTGGAGAGGGATCGGTGGGTATGGAATCGCCTTCTTGGTCTTGGGTGGCTGGATCGCGTTGCGTGGCGAGGACTAGAAGGCACTAGTAGTGAGTAGGTGGTATGAGGAGGAGAGGGAATATACGTACATTCTTCTGCTTCCTCGTCTACTTCCTCGACTTCTCGATCGTCCTCGTCCAGCTCTCCCTTGCCGCTCTCATCTGTTGCGATAATGTAATCATACACACCCTTGTTGAATTCCTGAACAACATGGTATCTGCCGTACTTCATCAGCGGCTGATACAGATTCATACGAAATCATTAAAAGCGCACCTTGAGTTAAGGGGTAACTCCGAGTTCAAAACACAGCTCTTGATTGAGAATTGCTCGAGGAAGAGCTTCAGGCGGTAAGACCTGTCGACATCGTTGACAAAGATGATACATTTGCCTTTGATGAGCTTCAGCTTGAGGATAACATAGACGAGCAGGAACTTGTCGACTTCCGAGCACCTATTGCAAAACGGTCAGCTCTGCATTGGAAGCTGGTATGAAAATCGTTAAAAACCCCTACTTGACGGAGTACTGGCTCAAATTCGCCGCCTCATCTTCGTCTTCTTCCAACCTCAGAATCGCCTGTCATAGAGAAGCTCAAGTCAGACAGGACACCATCAGACCATCTACAAGGACCTCACTGGACTCCGAAGAACCAATCCCTTCAACGTCTCGACGTCCTCGGTCATGGTAGCACTCATCAGGAAGCTCTGGAAGACTTTGGGCAGATAGCCGTTGCTGAGGATTTGACGGACGTCTTCATCATGGCCGTAGGAGAATATGAGGTCTGCCTCGTCAATGACGAGTGACTCCAGAGCTCCGAGTTGTAGAGACTATATTGTGTTGATTAGTGGATAAACTCCTGTAAGAAAAGAATGCCATGACAGGTGCGTACCTTGGCCTGAAGAAGGGCCAGCAATTTCGATGGTGTTCCAACCACGACATCAGGCTTCTCAGCAAGTAATGATCTGAACGAAGACATTCAAGAGTCAACGCTCGACCACAAGGTAAGAAGCACAAAAGTACGCACTTCTGTAAATGGGTAGTTGTACCACTCGCAACATTCGAGATGATCACATCCCCCTCACAATATTTGATCAACCCCTTCAAATGTGTCGAAACCTGTTCCGAAAGTTCCTTCGTAGGTACAAGCACCAAAGCCCTCGTAGCCTGCCTAGCCTCATCGCCAGCCCCAAGGTTCTACAACCATACAACACAACGCAAGTCAAACTCACTTGACCGGGGGGTTCGATCCAGGAGGAAACGTACCTACAGCTTTAGCATTCAGGATCTTTTGTACGAGCGGTATACAGTACGCTGCGGTCTTTCCACTTCCTGTACGTGCGCGGGCGAGGACATCACGGTTTTCGAGCGCGAGGGGGATTGCTTTTTGTTGGACGAGGGTGGGACGGGCGAAGCCAAGGTCTGCGAGGGCACGGAGGAGGAGAGGGGAGATTATGTGGGAGAAGGCGGCGAACGTTTGCGGCGACGATGAAGACGAGGAGGACGCCATGGTGAGAGGCGTTGAGAACTCGAAAGCTTCGACTTGGTCGGTGGCGAACGCTTGCTCAGAGAAAACTTGGAGAAAGAGCCGTGGGAATGCTTCGCCACACTCGCCACCCCTCAAAATAAATTGCAAATTCGATCTTTTCTTCAACTCACGTCTCCACACCTTGTCGCTCTCCCTCGGGAACTCCTTCCTGTACCTCTTTTGTTTGTGGATCTGTAGCACGTTACAACGCCAGGTGGTTTATCCAACCATAATAATAGCTCAATATGCAGAGCGACGACGTGATCTGGTCCGCCATCGGGCAGAGTTTCTGCTCGTACAAAGTCAAGTGCGTCCTCCACCTCTTCTTCCACCTCTGCCCCCATGGCTGACTTTCCTCTTGACCGTCCCATCGAATAACAGGACGACCACTCAAAACTTTTGCCGCAACGAGTACAACGTTACCGGATTCTGCTCGAGACAGTCATGTCCGCTAGCCAACTCGCGATATGCGACCGTAAGAGAGAAGGAAGGTGCGTCGATCGCTCGTACCTCGTAAAACGGTATCTAGGTCGATTCTGACTGGTTACTCAATTGACTATGTCGTACGTCGGGCCAACAGGAATACTGTACTTGTATGTGAAAACGATCGAACGCGCCCATTCGCCCGCAAACATGTGGGAGAAAATAAAACTCTCAAATAATTACTCCAAGGCCCTCGAGCAGGTCCGTCCATCTCTTCCTTCCTTTCCCCTCCTATTCGCTCACCTTATCCCTCCCCCTCCCTCTCGTCATTCTACCTCCGCTTCAACGCCATGCCATCCCTCCAGGTCGACAAAGAGCTCATCCACTGGCCCAACTTCACGATCCACAAATGCAAACAGCGCATAACCAAAATCACGCAATACCTCATCAAAATGCGGCGCCTCAAGCTTCGCCAAGACCCGAAACTGGTCGGGATCAAAAAGAAACTGGACAGGCGCGAGACGGTACGCGAGCGGAAAGCGCTCTCCGCGGCGCACCTCGAGAGGAGCATCGAGAAGGAGCTGGTGGAGAGGTTGAAGAGTAAGGCGTATGGCGATGCGCCGTTGAACGTTAATGAGGCGGTGTGGCAGGCCGTGCTGGAGAGGGAGAAGGGGAAAGGCAAGGCTGTGGATGGGGATATGGATATGGATGAGGATGAGGATGAGATGGAGGATGAGGAGAGTGAGGAGGAGGATGAGGAGGAACTGGAGAGGGAGATGGAGTGGGACGAGGATGATGAGAGGGAGTTTGTTAGTGATATCAGCGGGGATGAGGACGGGTTGAGCGATCTGGAAGAAGTCGCGGTGAGTTTTCTATATCGCTCATTCAGCTTCTTGGCATCCTTTGCTTATATGATTATTTTGCACCACCAGGAGGGTATGGGCGACGACGAAGACGACGAGGGCGAGTCTTCAGACGAAGAAAACGAAGACCCGAGAGCCAAGACCGGCAAGGGCAAACCTTCACTAGGCAAGCGGAAGACAATGGCCAGTCGCTTCGAGGCCCAACCCAAGAACAGGCGGAAGCCAAAACGTGCGTCTCCTCCCTCTCTACATTTCTTCCCCTTGTGAATATCCTCGTATCTTCCATTTTACTCACTTTCTTTGTTTCCTTCACCATCTGCAGCGGGTGCACGAATAGAAATCGAGTACGAGAACGAGACGGAGCCGGCGAGGAAGGTCGCTGCTACATCCTGGTAGTACATCAATACACCGAGTAGTCCCTATTCGACCCCGTTCCTTTCAGGCGCATCGTTTTCTGTACTTCATTCATTCTTGTTCATCTCTGTGGGCTTTTTGTTCTGCTTCTATCTATCTGGTCCCATCCAAAATTACCATGTCCCTTACTCTTGCTGTCTTTTGCATCGGAACGTTATTACCGCAAGCTTGTATTGTCTACCACCGAGCCTAGAGTAGAGCTAGGAAAGCCGCTACCCCGAGTGTTAGGAGATAAGATGCAAAGCCTAAAGCACACCCAATTATGCAACATCCAAGATCCGCAATATCTACATTCATCCCCAAAGCAAAATCGAGGACCGAGAGCATCTTGTATACAGCCTGAGAACCGATAAGATATACCACACTATACCACCCTGAGCACCTACTTCCACTTCCACGCCTATAGCACCCCTCTCCAACAAATAAGCCGTATATCCATCTCCATTCCATCTCCAAGTGAACCGACCGCTCCCAACAAGTTCAAAAGTCTCATCCGGGCACCTAAAACGCATGACGAATCTACCTCTCCTTCCTATCCCCCGCATTACTCTGAAGGTCCTCACGCTCCACCCTCTGCATAGGCCTCGACCTCCTCGTCTTCCTCGCCTCCTTCCTCTCTCTTTCTTTCGCCCCATCCCCGTCCCCGTCTTCCAACGCCGTCGAGCGCCCATTAGTTCCCTCCTTCGTCTCCGCGTCCCCCTCCGTCATATGCTTCACTGAAGAAGCAGCAGGGGGCGGACGTGGAGAAGCAGACGGAGGCGGAGATGGAGAAGCAGACGAGGGCGGACTTGGAGAAGCAGACGGGGGCGGAGGCGGAGAAGCGACGACGGTATACCAGAACGAACCAACGAAGACCATGAGCGCGCCCAGTCCCAACTGCGCGTTCCAGCCGTTCCCGAACCACCAGACGCTGAAGCAGAGAGAGATGGCTTTGCGGGTGGTGAGCACGACTTGGGTGCTTACGGACGAGACGCGCTGTTTGTTTTCGTGTCGTGGGAGAGGAGAGCAGACAAGAGAAGAGACGGACGGGCTCGTTTTAGTAAAGATGCAGAGAAAAAGAGAAAAAAAAGAAAGAGGGATGAAGAAAGAGTCACGTACGGACGAAAGCAGATTCACACCGGACACGCAGACGAGTTGCGACAGCAGGTTCGCGGAGAGAATTATATATGGCAGTGGGACGGGTATCCATTCCGCGACAAGGGACGGCACCAGCGGCAAGTCTGGTGATTTGGGGCTTCCGTAGGTGTTCAGACTATGAAGACCGTGTCTGATCTGTGGGATAAAGAAGAGAAACATCGGAAGAGAGAGAGCATGCTGTAAAGGTATATAACACGTCAGGCCAGAAAAAATGGTGCTATGAGGTTTGTGAGGTGTGTGATAACAAGGGGAGGACACGGACCGTATAGAAGACCCCCTCCCTCCAGCAAGGACCATATTTCTTATACGTCCTCTCCTGTAACATACCCAGTATACCCGTGCAGACGAGCGAAGCGGTAAGCATAGCAATGCCTACGAAGTACTGAGGCACATTTTCTTCCGCGTCCGTTGTTGAGTCCGAGTTTGAGGACTTAGACTTGGAGGAGGTAGGTCGGGAGAGTGTGGCGAGGACGACGCCGATGGAGACGAGTGATACCGCAATCTGCGTAAGGAAGATTTGAATCAGCCGATTAGCTCTTTGTAATGGGAGACGGAGACGGAGACGGAGGGTTCGGAGGGTGAAACGAATGCATAAACGATGAGATGAGACGGACGTACGACTTGCCATAGCGAATACTGTTTCTTCATGAAGAATCGTCCGAACAACATTGACACTCCGAGACCTTCCCAAAAACATCAGTTATGGTCCAATGAGCGTAGGAGGATATCAAAGTGATGGCCGAGATCGATGCACAAGTGGAGGCTCTGACATGGGAGAGCGAAACAGAGAAACGAGCACTCACCAGCCGACCTGAACACGATCTGCACCGTCAACGGCACATTATACGCATACACCAAATTATTCAATAACGACCCCGCAGCGAACACGATCACTTGGAGGGCCCATTGATGCAGCGGTACTTGACGCGGTTTGAGCCTCGGGACCGGAAGTGACGTTTTGGAAGAGAGGGTGAAGAAGGAGGGAAGTTGTTGGAGGGTTATGAATGTCATTTGGGCGAAGGTCAGGAAGGAGCCTGGCAGCAAGATGAATTATTGGCGATCAGTTCTGAGTTGAAGAGGTTTGCAAAGGAGTGTGCTGAAGTGGAAATATATGGACTAGGAACGCACCGACGCGAGACTCCATCTTCAACAGTCGTTCATAAGCCCACACATTCCTGTATAAATCAATAAATACAACATCAGCACATTCTCTCATCATTCCACCCACCCGCACGTCCGCCTCTCCCTAACATTGAAAACGCGGAACCAAAAACGTAACGTACGTGCAACATCCTCCGAACACCAACGACACCATAAGCGTATAATCAAATATACTCGCCACCACCGGTCCCACAGGCATCGTCGTTGCTGATGATGATGCCGTCCCGGAGGAAGATAATTTCGCATCACCATTGATCCCACTGGTCTCTTTCGTTCGCGTTTGAGCAGAACCATTCGAGTTCTGGCCGTGGTTGGATAGTCCATTCCCGTTCCCGTTCCCATGAACTCCAACAGAAACATCTACGTTATTATTTCCACGTCGCCTCGACATCGCTCAACGAACCAATTCCACAGAATCTAAAGTCTAGACGAAGACGAAGAGAACCGAGAGTAACGCAAGCCCTCAAGAGACGTCGATGAAGAAGAGCAGAGCAAAGCAAAGCACCGACGCGCGAAGACTAGTACTGGAATCCTAGCTCGAGTGAGAGTGTGTGACAGAGTGAGAGTGAGAACAATACGTGTACGGGAACATGGACATGCCAGTGGAGAAAGAGAAATATGGAGGACCGGAAGCTAAATATAGACGTGGGCGGTCACGGTGCGGTGGCGGTTGCAGTCCAAGGACTTTTCATTGGCTTCGAATTCGCTCGTGGCTGAGTGTACAGTGACGGTTTCCAGCGTTCGGGCGGGTCGAGCTGTGCCTTTTCCGCATGGTTGTCATCCAGTTCAGGTCAGCGTACGGTACAAGGAGGGGAGCACGAAGAAGGAGCATTGAAGTTCACACAAGCTGGCCCGTCGAGGCCCGTCGGCGCAATGCACTGAAAGCAGCCTAAACTCGAAAGAGCCAGATGTGGCCCAAAAGCAAGTAGCAAGCCCAATCAGAGTACAGTAGTGCTGTATATGTATCTCTGTACCACAACCAGACATTGCACGAATTTCATAACGGACGTGACGCGTAAACTCTGGACACCAAACCAAAGCCAGCCAGAAATTAACACAAAAACAAAAACGACCGCAGACCACCTGCCCGGCTACTCTCAACCGCCTCATGCACCACACCACACCACAACATACCTACCACCCAAATATCAAATCCGAAACCTGCCCAAAAACACCCTTCCCTGGCGTCCCCCCTCCGCCTCCACCACCCGCACTCACAATCGGCCTCACAGCACTAGGCATCAGCGCCAACGACCCCGGCAACCCACCCGCCGCACCTCCCGCTGCTCCCCCCGCCGCAGATTTCTTGAACGCAGAAGCAGCAGGCGCGAGTTTGAGTGGGGTGCCCAATCTGGGCGCGGGTGACGTGGGGGACTGGGGTTGACGGAGGGATGGGGAGCGGTTGGGTGGGAAGGGGGGGAGGTCGTCGATGGACATGGGGTCATCGCCGTCACCGCCAGCGCCACCGGTGTTGGAGGGGAGGAGAGCGTTGGAGGGGGATGAGGAGAGGGTTAGGTCGAGGGCGGAGGTGGCGCGGAAGGAGGAGCCGAGGAGGGATTCTGCTTTTACGGGATCCTGGAGTGTCGAAAACGAAACATGGTATGTCTCAGTTTATGAACGCGGACACAGGTCGAACACTGAAGAGGAATTCAAACTCACGGCATACTTGACCCCGACCATCCAGCTCCCACCGATGACCTCCCCGTTCTTTCGCACCGCCCGCATCGCGTCCGCGGGGTTCCTGTACCCGATCCTGAAACAGTTGATGATTTCCGTGTTAGGGTCCGCGTCGGTGCAGTCCCCAAAATGCTTGAAATATTCGGCGGTGACGCTGTATCTATCAGCGGGGTAGCCAAAGACGATCACGTAGATGGGTTCGGTGGCGAGGCTGGGAGCTCTGGCTTGAGACTGGGAGTGGGAGTGGGAGGTTGAACGGTGTGTAGATGCGTGCGGGTCGAACTGGGTAGTAGAAAGAGGTTAGGAGATGGTTCGACTAGACAGGGTAGAAAGGGCGTACGTACTCTTCGTGATGGGAGCGTTGAAGGTTTGTCGGGATATGTGGCGTTTACAATGTCGTTCACGGATACCATCGGAGGTGCGTCCTCGTCCAGCGTTGGGTGGCGCCTATGCACGTGTGAGTAGCCGCCCAGTCAAGGTATCAAAAGTTCAACACACCTCGAACTCTCGAACATGGGATCCTTCCCGAACTCAGACGTCGTGTTCCTCTTCAACGTGTTGGTCATCTTCGCCTTTGTCTGCACAATCGGCAGCTCGTCAACTCGTCCGCCCTGAGGGCTGGTCTGCAACAGAATGCACGTCAGGATCGAAAATGATTGGTCGGACGGTAGCCACTCACACTATTTTGTGACATGGACTGCAAACATCAATGCAAAGTCAACATACGCGCTTCTCGCGTCCAAAAGAGAAAAATCACGCGCCATAAGATAGCCAGGCTGATAATGCGATCTCGACTGTCCGAACCCCTCGTTCATCGAGCTTCCCAAACCCTGCCCTGGCCCAACACTCCACGAGGAGATGCCTCCATGATGATGTCCGCTCGTCGAGCTCGACATCCCAGCAACAGAGAACCCGATCTGAGAGTTGGACATCGAGTGAGAGGGACCTGAGGGACGCGGCATGCCTGTGACTGTGCTCGCGGGGCTGTAAGGGTTGTAGCCGTGTGTGTTCGTGTTCGCGTCCTGGTGGTGGTTCTGGCTGAGGTAGGAAGCCGAGGGCTGGAACTGGGAATTTGTAGAGTACATTTTGGCCACGCGCGTCAGATCGAGTCGGAACGGGCTTGCGGGTCGGCGATTAGATGTGACTGGGACGGAGGACGCGTGAGTGACCGTGACACGGACACAAAAAGTTCGAAAGCAGTCCAAACAAGGAGCCGACTCAGCCGAGCGTCTTGTTTGGTTCCAACGGCCTTGCCAAACAATGACGCCACGTGCGCCAAGATCGTCCACAATCTTTCGACAGGCCCGACCGACTGGCTCCTCACTCATCCTCCGTCTCTGACTTCTGCCTGCTGTATAATCCATCACTTATATTCTTTCCTACTATTCCTCACACAAAATGGCCGACCAAAAACTCTTCCCGTCCATCCGCGACATCGCGGAGCAGACTGAAGCTCTTCCGGAGCACGTGAAGGGTTCTGCAGAAGAGCCAGCAAAGGAGGACGACGATGAGCGTGCCGTACAAGTTATTGAATCTCTGTGCATGTCCTGTAGAGAACAGGTTCGTGTCAATATCATGCACGCATCACTGCATAGCTCACCACTCATTGTGCCCGTGTAATCACAGGGCCAGACACGGATGCTGCTCACCTCCATCCCCTACTTTCGCGAAGTCATCATCATGTCCTTCCGCTGCGAACACTGCGGGTTCGAGAATAACGAGATCCAATCCGCAGGCTCCATCCGACGTACGCTCCTCTCCTCTCCCATCCCCCATCTCCAATACTCCACAATTTTGAGGTTCAAGACCTAACTTGGTGGTGTGCCACAGCCGAAGGAACAGTCTATACCGCCCGCATCCTCGCCCGCTCCGACCTCGACCGCCAAGTCGTCAAATCCGCAACATGCACCGTCACCCTCCCCGAATACGAACTCACGATTCCACCTTCCAAAGGCCAACTAACGACCGTCGAAGGCATTGTCCGTGACATCGTTCGAGACCTCTCTCTCGACCAACCCCTCCGTCGGATCCAAGAACCGGAAACGTATGCGAAGATTCAAACACTAGTCGACAAGCTGAAGCTCATTTTGGCTGACAACGGTGACGATGAGGATGAGTGGGATGGGGAGGGCAAGGCTAAGGGATCGGTCGAGGGTGGTGAGCTGGGAAAGAAGGACTTATTGAAGGCGGCGCAGAAGGATGCGCCTATGCCCATGTTTACGATCAAGCTCGATGATCCGAGTGGGAACTCGTTTATCGAATTCGTGCAGAGTATGTCGGATCCGAAGTGGAACCTCCGGACGTATCATCGGACGAAGGAACAGAACATCGCTCTCGGCTTGGTCGCAGCAGATCAAGCACCGGAAGATGGCGATGGGAAGCAGTTGCAGAGTGTGGCGGAGGGTGCTGAGGGTGAAGGCGAGGGTGAAGAGGGGATTGGTGGTGGTGCGGATGGTCAGAACGAGGAGATCTTTGTGTTTAAGGGGATTTGTTCGAGTTGTGGACACGATCTGGATACGTTGATGAAGAAGGTGTCGATCCCATATTTCAAGGTGCGTTTCCCTTTCCCAACCAAAATCATCACCTTCAAAGCTTGATATAGACCGTGTTGATCCTTACTCTACGATGGGCATTATGAATAGGACATTCTCATCATGTCCACAAATTGTGACCGATGCGGGTACAGAGATAACGAAGTCAAATCCGGCGCCGCCATTTCAGAGCTCGGAAAAAAAATCACACTCAAAGTCGAAGACCGCGAGGACCTCAGTCGAGACATTCTCAAGGTCCGTCTCCATTCCTTCTTCCTTTCCCCTCTCCGTCCACATTTTGACTCTGACTCTGACATTATATGTTACGTTACCTTCGACGTCATCGCAGAGCGAGTCCTGCGGCCTCTCAATCCCCGAAATCGACCTCGTCCTCCAACCCGGCACGCTCGGCGGCCGATTCACCACGCTCGAAGGCATCCTCGACCAAGTCTACGAAGAGCTTTCCACCAAAGTCTTCGAGACCGGCGAATTCAGCAACCTCTCCGTCCCTGACGGCGGCGACTCGAGCGTCCGCGACGCCGCGGGGCACACCACCTTCGAAGGATTCCTCCGCGCGCTGAAGGAGGTGAAGAGCGCGGAACGTCCGTTCACGTTGATATTGGACGATCCGCTTGCGAATTCGTATTTGCAGAATATATATGCGCCGGATGAGGATCCGAATATGGAGAGTGTGGTTTATGAGAGGACGTGGCAGCAGAATGAGGAGTTGGGGTTGAATGATATGAAGGTCGAGGGGTATGAAGAGGATGCGAAGGAGGATGTGAAGGAGGGGAAGACAGAAGAGACGAAGGAAGGGGAGAAGACAGAAGAGAGGAAGGCATGATATGGAACGATGGTCTCGTCGAGGATCTGGGTGTAGATTGTAAGTGTAGGAGGGAATTCGAGAAGACAAGAACAAAATTGTATGCTTGTACACAGTAGATGGTGTTTGTAGCCCTAGACCGCAATGCTCACACTCTTGTTAAACTGTAGTAGAAGCGAGTTCGCACTCGATCCGATGGGTCTTAATGGTAAATCATCGAACAAGATCTTCCGTTGAACGGGGAATAATTGACGACAAGATACATACTTCTCAACAACTTACAACATTGTTTCTCTACCAATACCGTACTTCCATCTTCTCCCTTCCCCTTACACTTCACGCACTCTTCACATCTCCGATCAACAAATCCCTCGCCTCAACATACCTCTCCCTCGTCCCCCTAACCACCTCCTCACTCATAGTCCACCCCTCTCCATTCCCCTCCTTCCCACCCTCCAACCCCTTCTTGAACCCCTCACTCCTCAACCAATCCCTCAAGTACTGCTTATCGAAGCTCGCCTGGGGGCCTCCCGGCTTATAAGCGTCCAAAGGCCAGTAGCGAGACGAATCGGGTGTGAGTGCTTCGTCGATCAGGATGAGTTGGTCAGGTTCTGAAGGCGACGAGGAGGGAAGGAGTCCGAATTCGAATTTCGTGTCGGCGAGGATGAGTCCGCGCGAGTGGGCGTAGGCTTGTGCGGTGCTGTAGAGCCGGATGGCGACCTCCTCGACGAGGGCACAGAGGTCTCTGCCAATCAATTGTGCAGCTGCAATTTGTAGAGATGATGGTCAGTGGGTGCAGATTATAAAAAGACAATGAAGTGATGGTAGAGACCTTGTTCTGGCGAGATGTTCTCGTCGTGTTGACCCTGCTCTGCTTTCGTCGAGGGCGTGAAGAGCGGTGTAGGGAACTTGTCTGATTCCTTGAGACCGGGAGCAACTGCGATCCCGTGCACCGTCCCTGACTTCTGATACTCTGACCACGCAGAACCTGAATACGAACAGAATAATATGAGCGGGCCACAACAACGACAGCAGCACAAAAGTGAAGGGACGTACCAGTGATATAACCCCTCACAATGGCCTCGAGCATGATCACTTTTGCCTTTTTAACGAGCATAGTCCGCCCCTCGAGCTGATCCTTATACTTCTTAACCTCCTCCGGCATCTCGTCGATATTCGTCGTGACGACATGGTTAGGAATGATATCCTTCAGCATCTCAAACCAGAACGACGATATCTCCGTTAAGAGTTTGCCTTTGTCCGGGATGCCCTACAGCAGTGCGAAGCATCAGGAACGTGTGCCTCAGGAGGTGTTGGGCGTAGATGAGGAGCAGAGATTGCTTCGAGAGACAGGACGGACGTTTTGGAGGATGACATCGTATGCAGATATACGATCGCTGGCTACGAAGAGGAGATGGTCGGACGAGGAAGTCGAGTAGATGTCTCTGACTTTGCCTTTTGAGAGAAGCGTGAGCCCTGGCAGGTCAGAGTGGAGGAGCGCGGTCATCTTTGTCGGAGTGGATGGTGGAAGTGACTCGCAAAGGGCCTGAAGCAAAATATCTGAGTGGCGGGCACTCTACGCCACACACGTTTTTGGGGCCACACGCTGGATTCTTGCAAAAATCCAACTAAGATGATATTTATCGTCTTCTCTCCTCTTCTCTCCCGCCATGAAAATATGTCGTCCTGTCTAAGCTCGGCTTTTTTCTTTCTTCAGGCTCAAACGCTCCAAGATAATTCACATCGATAATAGAATCAAAGAGAAACATCGTTTGAACATCGTATATAGTACTGCATACAGGAACGGAAATACAGGGCCAGACTACTAAGAGCGTCTGTTGGCTTCCCTCCGAGGAGGTACTGGTCTCCTGGGCCACGAAGAGGCCGACGCCATACCAGGAGAAAAAGGGAGGCATAGCCCCGGTAGAATACACTAGAAGTGCGAAAACTCCACCCAACGAAGTCAAAGAAAGTCTGAAAGAAGAAAGAAAAATGTCCATTATTGGCGTCGCGCATACACTGTATGTACCGCCAGCAACGGCGATGGGCACACCACGAATCCGGACCTCCAGAATAATTCAGGGGATAATTTCCAAGTCGTCAGCTCCATTGTGGTCGAAGATGGGCGTACCATGGCCAGTCCCTCGAAGACTTGAATCCAAAGGCTCTCTCTACCTTGCCCACGTTAGGGTCATTTATTAGCGTCGCACGCACGGCCGGTACCACCGACGACGACGATGGGCACACTAGGGATCAGGACCTCCAAGAAGGTAATGCAGGGGATAATGCCGGGACGTCAGCTCCATTGTGGCCGGAAGAGGGCGTACCGTGGCCAGTCCGACGAAGGGGAATCTGCAGAATACTCCAGTCCAAAGGCTCTCTCTCTCTGCCTTGCCCGTTTGAGGGTCATTCCTATACAAGCACATCGACGTGAGCATACAATCAATATCATGGCTAAAGCCCAAACGAAAGGTAACGCACGGGGGCCACAAAGGCAGGACACGGCGCTCGTGCCGAACTGGGGGAGAGAACCCCAACGAGCGGGGGGCGTCTGTTAGCTTCCCTCCGAAGAGGTACTAATCCCCTGAGCCACGAAGAGGCCGACGCCATACCAGGAGACATAAAAAAGAGAAAGCGACACCCCCGAAGGGGGTCAAGCATGTTCAAAAATTGGACCATCCCCAGGACGATGCGCGACACTGGCCGGCATGTCCTTTAATGAGGGGTCAGGGGACTATGTCCTGGGAAGCCACTGCATATCCCTCGAGGTTCTTGAGGCCAACGCAACGCGACTCTGCGTACATCCCCGTGACACCGGGCCCATGGCCTGTCGATCGCGTCGCGAGCAATCCCAATCCGATACGGTCCCGGCTTCAGGTCTTGATGTTGAGTTTTGATACCGGTATCCAATAGGGCGGCCTGCGCAAATGAAGACGAGTTAGTATAGTGAACTCTAAAAAGGAGAGGAGCGGCGCGAAAGGGTGTGAGACGAAATAGGAGAACGGCATTGGTGAGCAGCAGTCAACGCGATGAAGGGGGACTGCGCGGACGTGTGCAACAACAGCGACGACGTTCGCGGCCAAAGACGTGGATAATGTACAGAGGGTAAAGGATGGTTGAAGGCAAGGAAGGGTAGAGCGAGTGAGTGTAAAAGAAAAGTCGAAGTAACTCACCTAGGGTCCAGTCGAACTCGGCGCGGGAGGGAGGAGATGGTGGTGGTAGAGGAGAGAGAAGATGGGAGACCATAAGCGAGCTCAGGTGGAGCTTTATATGCCAGAGAAACGATTCAAACTCCTCCCGGCAAGAGGCACTGGGACAATAGAGCGGAGAAACATAACGAGGCCCAACAGTCCGAGCCCATGAGGGAACAAAAGAAGGTCTTATCTGATGGCACCGCATGCAAGCCGCGGCACCCAGAGATAAAGGCATTGTACCGCATTTGGCAGCGAATGCTGGGACCCACAAAGAGCTGTGGCGCGTGTTTGAGAGAACAAAATGGCGCTTATCTCGATAACCGCTGGGCTGTTTCGCATGAAAATTGCATCGCTTTGCGCGCGTTTACCGCTAGAGTACTATAGTTGAAGGGGATGAGGGGGAACAAAAAGGGAGAGCTGCAAGGAGACGGAGAGCGCAGTGTTTGTGCCGTTGTTTGGCACCATTATGAATTTCAAAGTTGGTTTGGAAGAAAGAACTCCGAACCGGTCCGCGTGGATTAGCGGACTGAGATTCACGTAGCTTGTCGCATTTTCTACCGGCCCGTTCGAAAAAGCCCTTATTCTCGATGAGGGTGCACAGAACAGAATGGTGGACTGGGAGGCAAGGGGGTGGCAGGAATAAAATAAAAAACCGGATGTAGGGGGGGGAGGGGGGCCCGGAGGGCCCTTAAACGTGAACTGTCCGGACATTACGGGAGGTCCTACGGCAGCCATTTGGAGGGTTCTTGGGGCTCATATATGATTATCTTTGTACATAGTGCTGGTAGAACTGTGAATAGAAGATGTTTTGAGTGTAAAAAGGATAATAATGAATACTTTTAGGCTAGGTTAAGCTAAGGTCGACGTCGGTCATCCCCTCCCCTAGCCTAGGCTAGGTTAAGCTAAGGTCGACGTCGGTCATCCCCTCCCCTAGCCTAGGCTAGGTTAAGCTACGGTCGACGTCGGTCATCCCCTCCCCTAGCCTAGGCTAGGTTAAGCTACGGTCGACGTCGGTCATCCCCTCCCCTAGCCTTAGGCTAGGTTACACCGACATTCATCAAAGCAATGAGTTGATACCACAATAACCCTCCGTTTTGATCTTTTATGTTGTGTGAAAGTATTAAATAAATCATTTTAAAATCATTTAAATATTCGAGGGGGGGAGGGGGGAGGGGGGTGAGGCCTTAAACGCGAAAGGTAAGATCCGGTACAGAATTTTACGCTTGCCACCCCCTTGCTGGGAGGTGGCAATGGCAGAGTGGCGTCAAGTGCCTGATTTCAAATTATGACACGTCGAGAAACCCTGAGAAACCTCGGAGGTTTCCGACGACACCGTCCACACCCCTTCTTATCAGCTCCGAGTAACTACTGCTAGAACTGACACGACTCTGAGTGTCGCTTTATATAAATGCTAACATCGTCGCAGAGTCTAAAAACCTGATTTGTCAGTGTTGTGGAGATGTAGGGTACTTATTTTCGTGTTCAAATCGATGCATAAACAGACGATAAATCACGACTAAATAACGCTCAAATAATCTTACCCCGTTCCTCTGCCATCATCCAGACAAACCCGCCTCACCGAAATCGGTAGATCAAAAACTGCTCAAAATCACCCTTAACCGTCTCCAACACTCCCTTCCTCAAGACTTGCATATCGAAGACCCAAATTTCCTTCCTATCCCCTTCCTGCAATATCGCACTCTCCGGTCCCGCGTTCTTGTCCCTTCTTCGCCTGACGGTATCCAAGCCATAGTTTTTCCACGTCAACCCCCTCTCGGAAGTATCGTCTACGAGCATGATCCCCTTGGTAGCCTTTTCGGAGCGAACTCCGGGGTGTGCCTGAGCAGCACCCCAACCACAAGCCGAAAGAAAAACGTCGAAGCTGCCAATTCGAGCAGAGGGTGCGATGATATCCTCGGAGGAGCGACGCCACGGTGGACGGTACACCGTGGTTTCGGAACCTTCGGGGGTCGAAGGAGCCCCAAACCAGACGACAGTATCGGAGAGGAAAGCACGGAAGGGCTCGGTGTATTGGCTGGGGGCCGGTAATCCTTCGACACGAGGGGAATTTCCAGAAAACGAGACCGACGCTGAGCCAGACGTCCGAGTCTGGTGCAGACGTTTGGAGCCCGCCTTCGTGGCTACTTGGACATTTCCTGGTGTTGATGGAAGTGCGAGTCGGATGGTATCTACACTTGAGGTCGAACCTCGTGCCTTGGCCGTAATGAGTGTCGGCTGATGTTCAAGTCCTCGATCGTGACTAGGGCTGCTCTCTGAAGGTCCTGGTCGACTGGTTGAAGCTACCAAGGTTGAACAAGCTTTCAGAAGGCTGGCTGTGTTCGATCCTTCTTCTGGCCGCTTCTCTTGTTCTTCTTCTACTTGTTCCGGAACTATCCTGGCCTTCTTATTAGGAGGAGCCTGTGGACTTGTATCTGGTGTTTGCGGCGCTTCGCGCTTGCGACGCAGAGTGGAAGAAGCCACTCCACCGGGAAGCTCACCTGGTGTATTATTCTCTGCGCGAATACCAGAGCCCAAATATTCTGAAGGCTTGAAATGTGGGTCCTGAGCTGGCTTCCTAGTGGATGAGCCGGTGTGCATTGAGGTCATCGCATGGAGAGCCGCCCGACTTGAAGACGCCGCAGGACCAGTTGCATGCTCTTGCTGCCTTGGCCTCGACTTTGTAGGCGTCCCAGGAGCTTGCAGACTTATACGTCCTGCTTTGCCTTTCGAGGCACTAGGAACAGCTCCACGTTCCGAAGCGCTATCGTTCTCCACCTCGTTAGAACGCCCTTTCTTCGGGGTCGACATCACGCCAGCAACGGGACCAGAATGAGACTGCAACCCTCTGTTCGCAGATGTCGGAGGACGGAGCGGAGAGGACGGAGGTGATGGGAATGAGGACTTTGGTCGTGGAGCGGACGGTACTGTTTCAGTGACTTTCTCCGGCATCGTTGCTTGAGCATGATGCAATGCGAGGTTGGTCATCGAGCCCAGAGTCCTATACCATCCCAACGCCGGTCTTCCTTGAACCTTCGTCGTCCGCCTCGAGCTTTCTAGCCCCCGTGTCTCTTCACCCTGCTCATCATCATGATCATCGCTGTCCTCTTCTCTTTCCCTCTCCATCGAACCATTATCGTCCTCTCGCCCTCCGTCACCCACTTCACGCACCCTGACTTCAGATCGCACCACCCCGTCCGTAACCTCCAACTTCCTCACCCACTCTCTCTTCACCCTCTCCATCCTCTTCGGATCTCTCAATCTCTCTTCCTTCTCCTTCTGCTCCACCTCCACCTCCTTCTCCATCTCCTTCTTCGACTTCCTCATACTCATCTCCCACAAATCGCTGACCTCCCTGCTCGCCTCATCTTTCGAACTCTCCCTGCCTACTGCTTCATGTGCCAGCTTGTCGAATTGGGACATGGAGACTGCAGAACGCCAGGAGCGTTCGTTCGTGCGGTGGAGTTTGGTCATGCGCGGGAAACGGAGGGTGTAGTTCTATGTGTATCGAGAGTGAATATTGAAGTTTCGAGAAAGAATGGCAGACTAGGTTAGATCCTACCTTAGCTCCTCGATCCTTCGTGAACCCAGCGCCGAATACTTCAGCTAAGAGCGGTTCGTGCATCATGACCGTCGGAGGTGGGAGCCTTTTCGAGTAGGCGAACGTGTATGGAAGACTGCGTTCAAGCTAGCGAAACAGCATTCCAACCGTCAGCATCCTCTGAGTGACATATAGAGGAAGGAAGAAAAGGGTCATGCCTTCGTGGTATCCTTATTCCAAGCTGTGTGATCGTACCCCTTGAGACGAAAATTGGCATCTTCGAGTTGTTCCCTGCTTAAGCCGTAGGAGACGAGCATGAACATCTCGAAGTGTGGCTTTATTTTGGGCTGTGGGTCGACAAGAAAGAAATCACGACGCATGAAGTCAGGATGCGGTCAGGTTCGTGAGGGACAAGGAAGATATCCGTACGTCGCGTCTGGTATCGCTATCATTGGTCTGAACCCCGAGATAGAACGTCGTCAATGTCTCTGGTCCGACTGCCCACGCAAAAGGTAACAGTCAGCGTGCTAGTTCAAATATGCTACGAGCAAATGAAACACACCTTTCAGTTCTCGTGCTCTGTCCTTGTCCCACCCAGCACCCATAACGACCATATCAACACAGTCACCATACCCCGTTATATAATCCTTCTTCAGCTATCATAAATCGGTCAGTCTTTGTGGCGACTTTCCTGCGTTCCAACATGGAGACACATCACATACCTTAACCCAAGGCCGCCTCCAATTTCTCCACCCCGAATCCCCATCCTTCAACACCAACCCCTCCTCGAACCCCGCCAAACTGCCCGCAAAAATCTCTCTCAGCTGCCTCGCACCTTCCTCCATACCTTTGCTCATATCAATGGGCCAGCTCTCTGCGAGCATGACACGACCGTGTTCGAGGGGAGATACGATGGAGGAGAGAAGGGTGCGCCGGCGGGTGTAGGGCATTGGGAGGAGGGATTTTGAGTCGATGAGGAGGACGTCGAAGAAGATGAGGGAGAGGTGACGCGTGTCGGAGTCGGAGGCGTCGGAGATTATCGAGCATTGTGAACTGTGAGCGTGATAAGTCCTCCATTTGTAGCGCTATGAATTAAGAAGTATGGTAAATTTGTGACACTCACTCCTGTGTCTCCTGGACGGACCGTCTTCGCATGACCGCACGTCCGCCAATAGCAGTCGATTCTACAAGGCTTCTGATGCGCCAGAATTCTGTGAACATGAAAGGGAAAATATCCGGATGAGCTCATTGTTTTTAATGGAGAGGGAGAGAGTCAACCGACCATCCACGCGACTCAACTCGTCTGACCACGCAACCATCTCCGCCTCCAAAATCAAGCTCTTCTGCCAATGCTTACCGGGCTGCAACACATCCCGTATCAATCTATGGACACAAGCGGTTTCAAATCAGTTTAGTTCCTAAATGCAACAAACCTGTCTGAGTACACCGTCACGTACGGGTGTAACGCAGCTCTATCGAGCGTTGAGTCCCTCCCGCTCTTACTGTAAATCTTGATATGCGACACCCCATGCTCATCGAGCCAAAAGTGCAACTGCACGCGTTCGCCGTCGTACTTCGTTTCCGCATACACCGTCGAGGCATCCTTGAAATGACGGAGGGCCTGTTTGCAACCTTGGCCCTTGACACATTTCGGGATCTGTGTCACGATGACATAAGAATATATTCTCGATGCAGGATAATGTCATAAATGAAGGTGGTCGAACCTGCAGTTTCTTCCCGACGACCGGGTTTACCTGTTCCTCACCACCCTCAAAAACCAGCGCTGCCTCTTCAAACGTTCCTCGCGCATCAAACGCCTTCCTCATCATCCCTGTATCATCCCACAGTCTCATCGCATCCTCTTTACTTAGCATCTTCACCGAGTCGCTCTTGAACCCCAATAACGACTCGGCGGTGGTCCGGCCTGGCGTAGGATACAGAACCGGTCGGAGATCTTTGAGGATGATCTGAGTTAAATAACAGGCGTCCCTGGGCGGGAGGTCTGTGTAGAGGGTTCGGAGAATTTCTTTGCGAGTACGGCGTCCAGGGGAGTCGGACCCTGTCGACGTCGAACGAAAGGAGGAATTGGACCATATAGATAGGGCCGCTAGTTCAGAGAGTAAGCTATCCACCTCAAGTAAACTCAATGGGCCGACAGCCTCTTCATCCTTTTCGATTCCAACACGCCAAATCAGCTCTATATTCAATGTAATTCGGAAAACCTGCTCACCGGATTCTTCTCCCACACAACATCACCCACAACCTTTCCCAGACAATCCTCCCCGTCCCTCCACTCTCTCAACACCTCCCCTCTCCCGCCCCTCCCCATCTCCACACCCAAAACCCCTCCCAACGCTTCCGCCAACACCTTCTCCTGCATTCCAAACTTCCTCTCCTTATCCTCATCCGGAAACATTAACCTGAACACAGCCAGGGTAGTCCCAGTCTTCAGGGCGCGATGGTCCCCGAACTGGTGATGCACGTCGTTAGTGATGAATGCCTTGAAGGCGTTGTAGGCTGGGTAATCAAAATGTGTCGGTCCGGGTCTCTTGGCAGTGGTGGATGGGCGGGGTGATATTTGAGATATTCGGCGGAAGAGGGAGACGAGGCTGTTGAGATGCACGGGTGGCGAGACGCGTCAGTCAGAGGTCTGAAAGAAGAGAGGCAGGGCGGGCGGGCTGAGAAGGCGTGAAGGGGTATGATGGAACTCACAAGGAAAACAGTATGTCGCCAGATGCCTTCGCATCCTTACTACTCCTAGTCGTAGACATCGCGTACTACGTCGCCCAGCGCAGAAGAAAAACACGATAGACACGAAGAACAACCGAACGCGACGCGACGCGATTATGCGCCAGTCCAAAGCCTAAGAAGACGAACTATATACAACGGCGCTCTCGCCTAACAAGATAGGTTTCGTCTCAGGTAGGTGACACGATCAAGACAAGAGGGTGTCGCTAGGTGTCGCTAGAATGATATCGATGGACACAGCGCGTGTACCACGGTGTCACCAGAGAGTAAGAACCAAAAACCCGGAGACGCGCCGTACCCAAGTATTACACGCACACACGGTCCATCGATCCTGCTGTCGGCGTCAACAAACGCGTGCTCGCGATTCCGAAAACACGCGACGCGTCGGGACGCGTCGCCAACCATTTCATTTCGGGCTCATTGGCACGCCCAAGTGCCGGGCCACATCACATCGCTATCCCCTTCAGGTAGCAGACTTCAGGGTCATGATCACCGCCTCGAGGACAATAACGCAAGCAAGTTGACCGTCGAAGTTCGACCAAGTTCATTCTGAGTCCAAGTTACTGGGAATAAGAACTTTATCCTCATCCTCGACGAGTCAAGGTGAGTTGCGTGGGCAAAGCGCCCACGCCCATCGTGACGAGTAGAGTAGTATGCACATGCCCTACTAAAGGCACACTATTCCTGAATCAAAGCTCGAAGCTTGATCTCTCCAACGTAATACCCATCCTGCTGCACATATGTAGTAAATATACCACCAAATGTGAGTTAGATGGAAGATTCGGAACCACCAACATCCACTGGCAGGCTCGGAATCAGACATCCCCATTGTCACTTCTGCGGTTAATTCCTCGCCACAGTCGATGGCCAACGAAAATCAAAAGAGAGACAAAACGAGCGTCTTACGAAATACGATTTAGTTCGACTCGATCATCGGCATCGACACGCAACTCTTGAATCAAAGTCAGAGTAACAGTCTGAGTAACGAAGGCAGAGGAAGAGGACAACAAAAAAAGAATAAAACAGTCAAGATAGAAAAGTAGAAAGAGGAGACGACCACGACCGAGAGATAAGAGATACGTAGATGAAACGAAACGAAACACAAGAGTGACCCGGTAAGAAAGAGGAAAAAAGGAGGACGATCGAGCGAACAATCAAACAACAAAGAATAAAAGGAAAGGAAAGGAATAAGGAGACGATAGAGAGGCGAAACGATAGAAAAAAGGAGAGGAGTAGAGGAAAGACATGCAATGGCTGTTATGTTATGTTATGTGTTGTGTTGTTATCGTGCTAAATATAATGTGGATGGGGGTTAAGGGTGGTGGTGGGTGGTAGGCGATGCGGGTGGGCGTTAGCGGGCGTGACAAAGGGGAGAGTAGTAGTGATAAATGAGGCAGGAAGGTAAGAACGTAGGAGGAACGGAGGTATCGAGGAGAAAGGGGAGAGAACCGTTCACCCCATCCCGACTGAGTCCCAGGAGCGAGTCGAGACTGACAAGCATAGACGGGTCAGAGTGTGGTAGTACGGCACGAGGAGGGTTACTCATGAGTGAGTGTAAGGTGGAAAAGTCGAGAGAGACGAGAACGAGAGGGAAGGAAGCTTAAGATGGAAGACGTATATGATGCAACGAGACAAATAAAGAAGGTATGAGTATTATATGAGGCGACGGAGGACGCGCTCCGCTCGAAAGGGGATCCACAGCAGAGCTGAATGACGAACAAATAAGACGACAATCAATCAGCATAAGCACACACATTTTGAGCTAAGCAGACGATGACACTCACAGAGATAAAAACACACAGAACCAGAGACTCGATCCGAGCGAGATAAACACACACGAAAAGAGTGGGTCATAAATCCGATCCGCTAACTTCCCCTACACTCGCCCACCACCTACTCCGCATACCCTCCCTTCTCACTCAAATCCCTCATCTGCATCCCGTTCCCGTTACCGTTCCCATTCCCCACCACCCCCTCATGTCCTCCATACGTCTGCCCCGCCCCATACGCCCCCGCCCCCGCATGTCCATTCCCATTCCCATTCCCATTCATCCCACTCTGCTGTTCCCTCTCCCTCTGCCCCGCACTCACCCCCGAAACCCTATGCACCCCACTCCCATCCTCATCCAAATCCTCCTCGACCCCGAACCCAGGCTGTCCGCCCTTCAACTCCGCCGCCCCCAGCCCAATATCGCTCCCATGCATCTCCATCACCGAGTCGCTCCGGGGGTCGATCGTCCCCGGCGTCACGGGCCGAGAGGTCGTCGTCACGAGTCCGGAGGAAGAGGTCGCGGTGACGGTCGAGACGATTTGTTGGGAGACGTTGTGTGGGTAGTATGACCGGCGGTGCATCATTCTGAAGTCGTAGATCGTGAATCTGTGGGAGTGGCAGAGGGAGGGCCGAGGGGTGCAGGCGGAGCGGAGTACGAATGGTTGGGATAGGAGACAGGTAAGCGAAGAGATCAGTTGGTCGAGTTCACAACCATCAAAAAAGCCACATGAACAGTCCAAAACGCAGCAACAACAGAACTAGAACGGATGTCGATGTCGACGTCGAAGGTGGCGGAAACGAATGATCCAGGACAAAAAAGAAACAACACGCACTGTTCCTCCATCTGCCTCATCTCCGCACTCAGCGTATTAATATCCCTCCCCTTCCTCGCCTTCGCCTTCAACGGATTATCCTCCAACAACAACTCCTCTAACTCATGCGACGCGTCGAAATTTGCCTTCTTCGACTGTTACAGCGTCCACAGCCGAATTCAGATCCAAATACATCCGGTCATCGTCAATCGTAATTGGTTGTGCCGCCAAAGAGAGTAGTCCGTAGTCCCATATGATGGCGTTTCATGTATATGGCCCATCAAGGATCAAGCCCGCGGCGGACGAAAAACGTAGCGAGAAAACGGATCAGTCAGCAATCGTTCCGACCAACACATAAACCGAGCCTCATCAGGAAGAGTGGTCGACGATAAGGCCAACATCAAAAATAGAAATAGAAAAAAGAACCGAGCACGAACACGGTGGACGGAGCGCCATAAATAACCGCGGTAGGGTTACAAAAACGGAAATAAAAGTAAAAGACGGTGGTGAGGAAAATGAAGGAAGAACTCACGTCAGGCACGAACGGCGGTGGGGCTTGCTTATTTTCCAATAGACCCCAGTCGATGTCCTTGAACCACGGATGCCGTCTGACCTCGTCGAAATCTGCCGCTGGTGTGCATGTTGGCCGCTTGTATGGATCCCGGTCCAGTGTCTGATTGCATCAAACCGAGTAAGGTCAGTAAGCGCCCAAGGACGAATAACGAGAGCGGGTGCAGCTGGCCGCCTGACATGACAGCGACTGTAATCCATGAATGGTTTCCAGTCCTGCACTTATCCCCACCTGGGCTCGCAACAGTTATACCCCCCCAAACACAGCCACCAAACGCGAAGAACGCGATGTTGACGCATGCATGAAAGAGAAAGGGAAGGGGAGAAAAGAAACCACACTACTCACCCATTTCAAGAACTGCATGCCCGCCTTCGAACACTTCTCCTCCGCGCCCTCCGGAAACCTCAACGGATCCTTCGATATCGAATGCGTCAGCGCCGAATTCGTCCGTCCTCTGAACGGTCTCCGCCCAAACACGAGCTCATAAGCGCACACGCCGAGGGACCACCAGTCGATGGGATACGTGTATCCTCGTTTGGCGAGGATCTCGGGGGCCATGTACGCCATCGAGCCCGCGACGCCGGTCAGGAGGCGTTTGTCGGTGTAGTGTACGGCGATGTTGAAATCTGTGATGTGGGCGTGGCCGGATTCGTCGAGGAGGATGTTGTCGGGTTTGAGATCTCTATTGGACGTAGACGAATAACGGGTAAGAGGGTGGTAGGAAGGGAGAGAGGAATGGAGAGACGGACCGATGCATGATGCGCTTGTCGCGCAGGTAGACTAGTGCCGACGCGAGTTCCGCAACGTAGAACCGTACCGTATCTTCTGGCAAGCACCCTAACCGCTCCAGATGGACTACACCACAGTAGAAACGCAAATGTGAAATGAACGCCGACGTTGCCGAGGGAGGAGGGAAGAAACATGTTAGCGGGCGGAAAAGAGGATGACCAAAAGGAGTAGTCATTCAGGCTTATAAAGGTACCGAAGGGGGAGACAGCGAGTTGACAGCCGAGGATCGTTGGGACGAAACTGGGGAAAATTGGAAGGGGGAGGGGAGGACTGACATCGAAGGTCACCGCCGAGCATGAGGTCGAGGACGAAAAAGCAATTCTCGTCATCTTGGAAGGCATATCGCAGGTTGACAATGAAGGGGTGGTCGATCTGCGGCCGCGGTCGAAGATATTTAGGTGGATCGCGCGAGTAGGATACGGATAGGCGAGTGAGAAGTCGTCGGCAGGGACATAGACAGAATGTACAAAGTTAGAGCAAGACAAAGAGGAGTGGCGGGGAGACGAAGCGGACCTCCTCGAGTAACCTGCGCTCCTGGATGATGTTCGCGACCGCCTTCATTTTCACACATTTCGGTTTATTGATGTACTTGAGCGCATATAGGTCCTTCGTCTGTTTATGTTGCACGACGCGAACCTACTCCCGCAGACCGACCAACCAACCAACCAAGTACGGCAAAGAAAAGAGGAATCGGTGGGCAATGCGAGCTGCGATCCAAGAAGGGACGTACCTTTCCAAAGGCACCCTTGCCAACACATCTGAGGAGAACAAAGTGGAAGAGATTGACGTCTCCGTCAAAGTCTATAGGCTGTAAACGGCACGAGCAATATTCGGTCACTATGCAGGACTTGTACTCGGGTAGGAACCGGGGTGGGGGATGGACAATATTAGGAAGCGGAGACTTGCCGTAGGCCTGCAGCAGACGGCACCCATGAGAGACGAGGACTTTTGAGGACGGGGGCGCGCGCGAGGGGGGTATTAGCGGAGTATTGTGGGCCACTGCTGTTGGGTCGGGCGTGGAGGGGGCGGGAAATGAATGTTGGTCGATGGCGAGAACGTTCGCGAGCTAGCGTAGAGCACAACACCCCGTGGGAATCCGTGCCTCTGCCCGCTCACTCGCCGCCACCTGCTGACGTAAGCTGCGCGCACAGGCACGTGCGCGTTCTTGTTGCCAGGGCGCGCCACACTCGCTGTATACCTTTCCCCACAACATGCAGGCCACCTCGCAGCCCTTGAAGAACTTTTTCCGTCCGCTCGTCCTCTCAGGGCCTTCGGGAACCGGCAAGAGCACCCTCCTCAAACGTCTCTTCGCAGACTACCCAGACAAATTCGCATTTTCCGTCTCACGTACGCAGTCGCTCCGAAAAACCCATCCTTCCATGCTCTCGACTAACATCACATCGTATCGTGGCAGACACCACACGCTCTCCACGCCCGGGAGAACAAGATGGCGTCCAGTACCACTTCGTCACACGAGACTCTTTTCTCGCCCTCGTAGACCAAAAAGGGTTCATCGAGCACGCAGAGTTCTCCGGAAACCTCTACGGGACGTCCATCCAGGCCGTCAGAGACATCGCCAACCTCGGCAAACGATGCATACTCGACATCGAAGTCCAGGTAGGCCTCTACTCTCTCCTTCTTCCCCTCCTCTCATGCTCCAGCACCTATCGCGCAAACCACCCCGATCCGGAATGAATACTACCACCACTGCTACTCTATGCCACACAAAACCCGCAGGGCGTGCGCCAGATCAAACAGACCAACCTCAACCCAGTCTACCTCTTCCTCTCCCCTCCGTCCCTCTCCGCCCTCCGCGAACGTCTCATCGGTCGCGGTACAGAGACAGAGGCTGCTGTCTCCAAACGCATGGACACCGCACTCAAAGAGATCGCGTACGCCAAGGAGCCCGGAGCGCACGATATCGTGATCGTGAACGATGATCTCGACAGGGCGTACGAGTTGTTCAGGAAGGTCGCGTTGGGCGAGGAGATCGTCGGAGATGCGTTGCCGCCGTTGGACGATTGATGCTGAGTTGATACGAACGGGGGGCTGATGTCGATACCAGATGAAGCACTAGATTCTGTACTGTTTTCTTTTTCTTCTTCTTTGTTCTCGGGTTTAGTGCAATTTCGAGAACGGTGATATCAACTTTAATATTGTCATTGTTACTACACGTATACATAGATCGACCGTCCCCCTGTCGATCGTCCATACGTTGAAATTAGCTTTCTCTCTGCAAACCTGACACATAGAGGAACATACCGGGAATCGCGCCTCAATTATATCTATCTGCCGTATATTGCGCTCCCGTTAAATTGTCGTAGTGGTATAAGAAGTCTATAACAATGAGGAAGAGCCCGCTCAAAGCCGGAAGCGAAGGTAGGCCATCAGCAGAGCTGAGCAACCGGTGACTGCAACGATGAACAGTTCAGTACGATAATCACGATGAATAGAGACCCGAACAGACAACTCACCGAAACCAACAAGATACTGCAGCGTCGTAGCCTATCATGCATCAAAAAAAGAAGAGCCCATCAGTCACACATTTCATCACACAAACACTCCATCAACTCAGCACCCCAAGCTTTCGTCTGATCTCCCGCAACAGAAACAAAACAAACAAGGAAGAAGAAGAAAGCCCACCTTAGACCCCTGAATCGCCGCCCTCAACCCCGCAATCTCCTGCTCGATCCTCGTATCCACCTCCTTCATCTTCAACTCCTGCCGACTCGCCTCCTCCCTCAACCTTCCCTTCTCCAAATTCAGATCCAGTCTGACCCCTCCCTGCGTCCTACTAATCTCCTCCCTCAGCCTCTGCCTCAATTTCTCGAGATCGGACACGAGCCGGTCGTTCTCCGCTTTGATCATCGCGAGGTCGTTTTTCTCCATTAGTTGTAATTCGGATTTGAGCTGGGCGAAGTCGACTTGTTGGGTGTAGTGGCTCTGTTCAGTGTGCACCAACCAACAAACGGTGAGTATCAATCAACTTCGAGAGATCCCATGCGAAAGACGAGCAGAGATGAGATGGATGTACCTTCTCCTGATCCGCCTTCGTGACCATATTACTCGTCATATTCCTTATACTCTCATCAATGACCTCCGCCATAGCACTCATGATTCCCTCCGCCTGCGCGCGGTTCAGGCCTTCCCGTTCGAGACGCTGCACGAAATGGTGCGTGTCGAAGTGGAAGTCTGAGACACATGGGGTCGCGTGGAAGTCGCGGGAGTGGGTGAGGGTGGGTGAGGGTGTGAGTGAAGTTCTGAGGGGGTGGGAGTGAGAGAGGGGTGATGAGGAGAAGAGGGATGGGGAGGTAAGATGGTGCGAGAGGACTTTGGGCTTGGACTTGGAAGTCGAGGTCGGGGTGGGTATTATTGAGGTGGTTGGATGATAGTGGTGAAATGACGCTGATAATAACGATGGAGAGTTCGAGTGCAAGGAACGTGGTGAGTTCAGAGTGCCAGTGTGGCGAGTTTGGACACTGCCCGAGGCTTTGTTGAAAGCGGTACGGGAGACTTTCAGCATCCTTGTTTAGATATTAGACTAATACTGATAGTTCCACTTATAAGTCAGGTATTAATGATGAGCACTGAGGGAGAGGACGACAGAGAATGTTGTGGAAAGAGGATGAAGATGGGTGACCTGACGCGTTCCAGCGTTCCCCTGTTGGCCGCCGGCCACGTGGCTCGCCACAACAGGCGCCACCTTGTCAAGCGCTTCAAGTTGGCAGCAGCGGCCGTTCGACCTTGTTCAACCTTGTTCACGGACATGCACCATATAAATTTCTGCGGGCACGGTCTTCTTGAGCTTGAACACAATACAAAAGTCTTTGCTACCGTCCATGCTGTATTTTCTCTCGGACCTGGGCGGCTTGGACCTTCTATTGATGCTCGGTCTGAATGACAACAGCTCTGCCACTCAAGCACTGCGGCATACTAGGTTCTCCGTGTCGCGATATCGATCGCAATCAGTGTCGACATTGGGCTTGGGCCATTCAGGGTGCTCTTGTCTGACGCATCCTCGACGGGCATCTCGGCGTCAATTATGGATAGGGAACATTTTTTTTGCGTCCACCTTTGCTGACTGAGCCATCTAGATTACATATGCAACGGGTCACTGGCAGGCAGCGTTTGTACTCACGTCGCCATCGCTGACCATTGGTTACGAGTCTTTCCGGCAACTGATCTGGGAACGAACGACTTTCATGGGCTTAATGGACCAACGATGGAGACTTACGGTTCTTCTATCGAAAATCGTATAAAGGAACGACCTCGATGAGTCTTGGATCTCATAGCTCGAGCCCCCCTCCTTCACGTCCACGTCCACGTCCCTTGCCTTCCTCCTCGACATGTCATCACCATCCGCCATCCCACACGGTTCCACAGTCCTCGTCACAGGCGTGAACAGCTTCATCGGCTCTCACGTCGCAGATCAGCTCCTCCTCGCAGGCTACAAAGTCCGCGGCACCGCTCGTGACGCGTCCAAGTTCAAATGGGTGCAGGATGTATTCGATAAGAAATACGGACCGGGGAAGTTCGAGGGGGTCGTCGTTCCGGATATGAGTGCCGAGGGCGCATACGACGAGGCGGCCAAAGGTGCAGTCCCTTTCTATCTGGCGATCCATCTCTACGCCGTCTCAGTCTCGATCGCTTTCACTTACACACTACATTACTTTACTGTTCCTCGTTAGGTGTCAGTGCCGTAGCGCACATCGCCGCCAACCTCTCCCTCTCCAATGACCCTAACGTCGTCATCCCCGATACCGTCAACGGAGCGCTCAACGCCCTCCGCGCCGCCGCCAAACAACCCACCGTCAAACGCGTCGTAGTCACCTCTTCTTCCGCCGCCGTACACACCGCCAAACCCGGTGTCTCCCTCGAACTGACACCTGAAGTATGGAACGACGAAGCCGTCAAGCTAGCTTGGGAGGGCGCGAAGAACCCACCAGCCCAACCATTCGAACTCGTTAGAAATGTGTATGCAGCGTCGAAGACGGAGGCGGAGAAGGCGTGCTGGAAGTTCGTGAAGGAGGAAAAGCCTGGGTTTGAGTTGAGTACGGTGTTACCGAATGCGAATATTGGGCCGTTGTTGGATAGGAATCATCGGTCGTCGTCGGCAGAGTGGGTGGGCTATATCCTCAACGGTGCCCCTGAAGCTGAGCAATATCAGGCCGTTTTGGGACCTCGTGAGTCTCCACATTTAAACCTATCCTAACCCAGCACTAGTCTCTTCCCCGCAAACCATACATAATCGTTTTCGTCGACGCATCGTTCGCGTGCTGATCGCTGTTTTGTTTATTTTTGATACAGAATACTACGTCGACGTCCGAGACACCGCCCGTCTGCACGTCGCCGCTCTGACTAACCCAGACGTCAAATCCGAACGCATCTTCGCATACGCAGCGCCCTTCAACTGGGTCGACCTCCTCACTATCCTGCGCAAAGCTTTCCCCAATCGCAACATACCCGCCGGCGACCCGAACGCCCCGAGGGATCTCAGCACGGTGAAGACGAGAGCGAGGAGCGTGGAGCTTTTGAAGACGTTTGGCCAGGATGAGTTCGTGAGCTTGGAAGAGTCAGTGCTAGCAAATGCAGAGGCTTTCATTTAAATTGAGGGGGATGGATAGCGCGCCTGTTTGAAGGTTTTGCTTTTTATTGTCGTAGTTATCGTAAGCTTTCGTCTCATGAATATCAAGCTCCTAAGCCCACTCCATGCCACGGTTGCCACAACCTAATCCATCGTCAGCCTCATCGTGTGAGAATATCATCTGACCGCGGTTCTGGATCTGAACTCACCCTCCAGGCCGATACTCCTGATTGTACAACCTCTTGACAATCTCCGGAATACCAGCCGCTCGAATTTGTGCATACTGTTGGACGAACGCGTCGGCGAAGTCGTCTTCTTCTTCGTACCACCGTTTGTCCCACAATGGCGGAGTATACCCCTTAGGATGCACCTTTTGGATGTAGATGTCTGCAACAAAAAATGGGAAGGATTCGTGCCGGATCCACTTCGTGTGTGCTAATTATGCGATGCGAGAAGGAACGTCAGGCTCGGGATATCATGAATCTCATCAGACAAAGACGAACGCACTCAAAGGGAGGCAGCAGTACACCAGCGTAGGACAAAGTGTAGCCCACTGACGCGCGGTAGCAAAGTCGTCATCGAATGTACGGCGAGGTCTGACATGAAAATCGGTAGATTCGAATCGCAGGACTTTTAAAGCCTTGAAGGCGGGTAATATTTGCAGCATTTTTTCGTGTACCGGAGCCTTGGGCAAGAATAAGTCAGTGTAATCCGGGTCGTGGAGAAGGAACGCGGACATGATATGGTGGTGACTATGAACGCATCCCCGTCCGAGCGCCAATCTTCTCCTCCGTATACGTTGTTTTGTATAAACAGATATTCGAGGGCCGTCAGCTGGGTAGCAGCGAGTGACACAAACGCGAGGTTCCAGTTGTGACTAGGTGTGGAATACGTAATGTGGACGACAGGTGAACGGGATTCTTCCATAGCCCTCACTAGGCCAGGTATCAAGGGCTCCAGCTCCTCGATGTTCTGGGAGATATCCCAGTACATACTGACACGAGTGAAGTGAGACCCCGGGAGAAGGTGAGGTGCAAGAACAGGTGTGCAATAGAGTGCTGAACAGGAAGGAGGGGCGACCACGGGTCCTTGCATGAGGTCTTGCATAGTCAAGGCTATTTCTGGTACAAACATCCTTATGTAGTCTTGATGTTCCAGTCCGATCGACTCTAATCGACCCAGGTCGCAGTGGTGCCTAATAAAGTTTAAAACAAACTGATCGAGTATGAATCTCAGGTCGAGGTGGCGAAGAAATGGGAATCGTGGCATGGGCTGGAATAAGGCACAAAGCTGCCTCGGGCTGTAATGCTCGATACATAGTATCGCAAGCCTTTCGAGGTTGACGAAAGATGCCAAAACAGGGCGAAAATCTTCCATGACCTCCCGACTGATCATCGGCCTACATGACAATATCAACCACTTCACGAGTGAAGTCGAACATGATAGAACAGAAGCTTACTCAGTGTAAGAAGCCCTTCGACTCCAAAGCCATGTCGTGTCGATGATAAAATGTTTGACAGAAAGAGCCAGATCCTTCCTTGCCTGGAGAGTATTGCACAGGAGGAGAAGTTTTGCTTCTTGTTTCACGTTAATCCAGTAGTATAAGGACGTCGTACACGCCACATTGCAACGCTTGTCGACCAAGCACAGAGCGGCACGGTCTTTGCTTGAAGGCAGGACTCGACATATAGGTATCAAGAGTTCGACTGGAAGGGCGCTCAATGGCATGATGAGTGCATACGAACGAATAAATGGTGCTGAGCAAAGAGCAGCGGATGATGGTAGTTGATTTTTAGGTTCATGGCGCTTGTTAGCTACTGGCGTCGCATGACGTAAAGGTCCCGTACGCTCAAAATACCCCTACATTATCAAAACATTTATTGTACACGTCCATGTCTAGCGACTCTCCACTCCCATCCAGATCGCCTCCAAGCTCCTTTAACTAAAATAAGTGTCCACAATATTATTTCCTGCCCGAATAGCAAACTCGACGGTCTCGAACCCATTGAACCCAGACGCATAGTACGTGTCCAATTGGCCCTGCAACGCTTCGAATCTTCCATAAAATCCGTTCTGCAGCTCCTGCGGCTCGTAGTGCGCGAAGTAGTCCCACTCCCGGAAGTCCTTAACATCGTCGTCGGTGACGGGCAGGGACGGCGCTGTCGCATTACTCGGATCCTTGTTGAGCTTCGAGAGTGTACTCTCAAGCAGCACCTTCGCATCCTCCAGCGTCTGATTACTCCCGAATGTGCCCCATGACCATGTTGTGGCGATTGGGGACGCATCGAAGAGACGGAAGAAGGCCGCGGGCTGGCCTTCTGGCTCGAATGTCTGCGCTGAGAACCTGTCACCATCTGGGATACCCGCGGTTTGCACAGCGCCGGACCAATATTTCGTGGTCACAATCGGGGAGAACACGGCTGTCTCGTTGGCCGAGATGTCGAGGTGTGCTGCTTCGAGTGCGGGTATGACGGGAGGAAACGCAAGGACGAGTTTGGAACAGCTCTGGTTGGCCGCCCCTGACTGACCTGCATATGTGATTACCGGGGAGCTGCCAGAGCGGTCTGTGAGATGGGTCAGCGGTGTCAGTGGCTGGACGCGTCATATCAGAGGTCATGTTTATGCTCACCAATGTTCGTTATATTTGTGCTCGTGAGGATCGGACTCTTAACGGAGGTGTTCGCGTATTGAACAAAAAGCTCGTGGAAATCTGTCAATAATCAGACAGTCCACCGTCAGCCATCATGAGAATATCGGGACCATGAGGAGCATCTAGCTCACCAGTTATATATCCGGTATGCTGGCCTGCAAAGAAATTTAAGATGTCGGGCGTGAAATACTGGAGCATGTAGATCTGTTGGTGGTATGAATGAGCCGACCACTCTGGGAGCACATAGCAGGAAGTGCCTACCGCGGGGGTCTCGTCAATCGAGCCATAACCATACGGCACCATTCCTACACCAACGATCAGCATGAAGCACACATCGAGCACGAGGAAACTCGCACGAACCTTGTTGTATGATCGCGGATAACACGGTAGAATTGTACCCGTTCTGCGATAACCATTGCGAAAATGGCACGGTGAGCTCCTCCGGGACTCCATTCTGAAGGCACGAATTAAGTTAGTTACATGCTGTAATGAGCTCCATTTGGCGGTATACATTTGTGTAGTACATACCGTATATCCGATTGCCGTCAGATTTGGGGCGAACTCCGTCTCCCAGAAATTGACGTATCTCTGGATATCAGCCTCTATGAGAGGATATAATTGGTCGGGAGCGGGCGATTGTACGACTGAGCCATCCGTCCAGTTGAATAGCCAACCCTCGACTGTGTATGAAAAGGGGTAAGAAGGCAGGCCCGACGCGTCGATGATTGGGAGCGTTTTCGTGTATGTCTCGTTCGAATACAGCAAGGCACCCATGGGGTGGAAAAGGCCACTACTGGGGATGAAGGTCAGACATGAAAATCGTTGCTAGTGGGGATGGTGTACTTGCCTTTCATAATACGCTTGACATTTCCCGCCAACTTGAGCGTTCTTCTCGAAAATGACGGCGTCGTAGCCCTTGCTCTCGAGTCTGTTAGCGATGGTCAAGCCGGCTGGTCCTGTACCCACGATGCACACAGGGTCAGTTGCTGCAGACAAGGTGCCAGTGACGGCTGACCCTGCCGCAAGAAGGGATAGAGCGAGCTTCATGAATATGGATAGGCTGAGAGGAATCGGGACGAATAATATGTGGTCGAATGGACATACATCCCCTAAGTATTTATGCTAGCTCATGGAGGCGCTGTCGACCTTTTCGGATGCCTTGATGCGATACGCAGGCCCTCATCAGTGTTTCAAGTGCAGGAACCTTACCATGGGCCTCCTCCTCCCGAGACATCCCCGTCCCGATCAACGCCAAACTCCATTTCGACACGATGTCTTCGAGTACTTGTAGCACAACCTTGGACTACAGCTTTTCCCTCATCGTAAAGATGTACCTGTATAGTTTGGCGAGAAGGGACAACGGACCTCATGTGACCTCTGCGATACACGGTCAGCGAGCTCCATGGAGGTGTGATTATATGAATAGCGACTTGGACCCAGCTCCAGACATAAGATGAAGCAATGAATGCTCGAGTGAATCGGATCCTTACCAACCTTTTGACTGTCTAGCTGGTGTAAATTTTGTGCCGACAAAACTCGTATGGCACTGCTCTGACAGGCGCAGGAGAAACTCAGACCAATATCTTGACCTACTCGGGTGAGATACTTCGCCAAATCAGGGAGAGAACCTGAGAAATAGAATTCTTCGGACCATGAATATCCACGGCTGCGATACCTAGAGTTAGTCTGGATTCAGTTAAACTCGCTCATCGATCAGTGCAAAGTCTATCACAATCCAGATGGAGGCGTAGACTCGGACGGTGTAAACCGGCGTCGCTGAGGCACAAATGTTGCAGAGGCGCCAACCGCACAGGTTATATGTCTGAAACCTTCAGCGGACAGACGCTCTGGACATCTCAGCACTTTAACACAACGGCCTCAAGTAGTCTCTTCGTGCGAAATGCGGCCAAACGGCCGCCGTTCGGTGATCTCGTGTCATGAGTCCATCCCAGTCTCATCAGCTCGGAACTCCGCTACTCGTTCCTTGCTTGCATTATCTTAGACTCGGACATAGTGGCCATGCAAGTTGGATGTCTCGGCTAAGGCTCGGATCGCGACCTCCGGTGGCGCATCCGCTCGCCTGCCAACCTCAAGAGGAAAGTGAGCCGACATTTGTGTGAGGACTGCTTGTGAACGCACCTGCTGGTCCCAAAAGCAATGACGTCCATAAGATCCCCGAGAATCAATGAGAGTGATCTCTGGCTCGACGCTCAAAACCACCAAAGCAGGTCGACCACCACACATCAAGACACGCTTAACGCCACGTATAGCATTGTCATGTCTGCTTGGTCCACCACCACCACCACCGCAGCCGCCACACAGAAACATCCAGCCTTCCTCGTCAGCAGCCTGAGCTCTAGGCGCATAGCGAACGTTCTTACTCGCACCGTCCCCGCACGCCGGACTTCCAGATCTACAGTCAGGACTAAGGCAGATACCACCTCCACTTCCAGCGTGAAGCCAGTTATTCGGGTCGATGCTGTTCGCCGCCGTATGGCCCGTGTGACGCCAGCTCAGATTAAGCTCGCCCTAGAGAGGTCGAAGCCTACATATACGGCTGTCGTCTTTCTGATTCTGGTTCCGGTCATGGTTCCTGTGGCGAGAAAGGCCGTACCCACTATTTTGGGAAGAGAGAAGTCCCTCATACCAAGGTTCAGGTTTATTTCCGGTTCGAACAAGGACGAGGAGCGAGGTGAGGTGTTCGCTGAGTTTGGGTCAGAGAAGAGCCAGCCGAAGAGTAACGATGCCCCCACCGAGGCAACGATCGAAACGACGAAGTGCTTCAAAAACCCGCGTCCGCCGTCTGCTTGATGGAAGAATCCACGTCCGCGAAGATCCTGCGCAAGACGCCTAGCACGAACCCCCTCACCGATACCCCGTCACTCGTTACCTCCAGCTCCGCATCTACAACCATGTCCACAGTACACACCGACCTTAACCTCCACGTCAACGTCAACATCCTCATCTTTAGCGATTCAGACTCACCCTGCCAGATCGTCGAGACCACCTTCGGTCCCAGACGAATCAATCGCACGTCCTCCGCATCTTCCATCTCCTTCATCTCATCTGTCAGAAGCGCCATAAATGATACTAGTCAACGTATCGTTGCACCGGAGTTTGATCCTAGTCATGTGGTGTCAAAGAATAAGAATATTCAGTTGGGAGTGGAGGCGTTGCGGGCGAGGGTAAAGGTCGGCGAGAAGAGATGTGTGGAAAGTTCGGATGTGAGGAGGGTATAGAGAAGGGGGCGGGAAGTACAAGCTTGAGAGAAGGAGGATGACAGTGTTTCTCAGGCTGATGTTTGAGAGAAAATATGTCTTACGACCGATCGATGGACGCAACTCTGTGATGTTTATGTGCATTTATTTCCGGCAAGGCAGAGAACATATATTTAATACGGCTTTGACAGATGAAGGAGACCATCGGAGACCGTGATCGGAGCCTGAGATGAACATGGAATGGCCTGAGAGAGACTCGAGCGGGTAATCAGAGCAAGAAGACACGAGCCAAGTGAGGTTGACATGAAGCCCTTCAGCAATCTTCGTAAATGTTACTTCCCAGACCCAGTGTTCAATGAGAGTAAGCCAGCATGAGCGTCACGGTAGACGACCGAGGCAAACGTCCGCAACGCTCGTTGTCGTCCAAAAACGGATCGATCTCTCCCGGGCTGAAACGGGCCGAGAAGCTCTTGCCAGGACCCCGGTCATCAGTCGCCTTGCCACTGTGCCACATCAGATTAGATGATGTCATCTCCGCGCCACAGGGGAAGCTCAAGCTCAACGCCCAAGCTGATCCTTTCACAACTCAACGACCCAGTGCTTTGAACGCATATTTCTGCAATTTATCCACTACTATTCAAACTGCTGAAAGCTAGCAAGTTTACTGTCTTTGAACCATGAGCCGTTGGATCCCACTGGAGAGCAATCCCGATGTTTGTTGCCTTCTACACTCGCAATGTTTGCTTACGCGTTAACTGAGCTGTGGATGCTTTGCAGGTCCTAAACGATGTTCGTTTTACTCGACCATTGGCTGCATTCTGTTTTGTGCTAACATAATGCTATAGTGGTCGAACAAAACAGGCCTTATCCCTACATACGGCCAATTCACAGACGTCTATGGACTTGAAGACGAGGTACGTCATCTCACCTCCACTTTCTACAGCCAACTTCTTCTATTTGTTAACAATGACACTATTCACAGCTCTTGGACATGGTCCCAAAACCTGTCAAAGCTGTTGTGTTGCTGTTCCCGATTGGTGGACAGCTGGAGGAGGCGAGGAAGCAGGAGGATGAAAAGATCAAGAAAGAGGGGCAGGTGGAGATTGATCCTACGGTGTTGTGGATTAAGCAGACGGTATGCATATACCTTCATGTAGTTGTATCATACACGAACTCACTGTGATATGGGCTGGATTGATGTGTTGTATAGATCAGCAACGCGTGTGGAACGATGGGGTTGCTTCATGCGCTGGCGAACTCTGAAGTATCATTTGAGCCCGAGTCTCCTCTAGCTAAGTTCATCGACCTGTGCAAAGGTACGTCTATTCTCCCCATCTATTTCTCACTTCTCGCAACTTTAAAGTGCAACACTGTCTGACGACTTAAACTGTTCGGCCAAATCTAGACAAATCCCCCCTCGAACGCGCCCAAATCCTCGAATCTACTCCTCTCTTCGCTTCCGCACATGCCTCCGCCGCCTCTTCAGGCCAGACTGCCGTCCCCGAGAATCTGGACGTCGACCTTCATTTCACGTGTTTTGTGCAGGCGCCAAGCGCGACGGCGAGGAAGGATCAGACGGTGACTGGCGAAAGGAGATTGATTGAGCTGGATGGACGTAGGGAAGGGCCTATTGATAGAGGGGAGAGCACGGATTTGTTGAAGGTGTGTATTGATTAATTTCCTCCATCTGTGAGTCTGGCTTGCTGATGGGTGTGGTGTGGGGCATGCAGGATGTTGCGAAGTATGTGAAAGAGCAGATGATTCCGAAGGCGACGAGTGCGGAGTTTAGCATGATGGCTTTGGCGGGGTTGGATTGAAGAGCGGTAGGAAATCGGTTTGTGTAGGGGGTTGTTCCTCCAGGAGAAGCACTGAAAACACATCTGTACAATTGCATCGCTACCCCAATCAGAGCATTTTAAGTCGTTTATCCTGGCCTCTACAAGGATTTCCGTTGTCTTTGTATATCTTGCCACATGTGGCCCATGCCCAGGCACGCTGGGACGGAAGACGGAGTGGGCCACGCGTGAACTTGGTTTCGAACTTTGAAATGGGCGACGCGTACCGCCCGAGCTCGTAGCCTGCTTTGTCAGGGGGGCGCTTAGCGCTAAATATGAAGTGGGTACGCCATCCTGGTCCACAATCTCGCCAGACCACCTTTCGTTCGCGCAACTTCATAAACCGCACACACGAAGACGCAGCGAGCCGGAGACATGCAGGCGTCCTGCAGGAGCTCGGAAGGCTGGGGACCATTGAGCCGGCTACGCTACTTTGATCTCACTCCTTGTTTTGAGGAAGGCATCATTCTTCCTGTCCTTCTTGTTGCCCTCCTCCTCGGTTCCCTCTTCAGGATATGGTCTTTGCATGCGGCGAAGACACTACCGCGCACACAAAATGTGAACAGATGGTTGCTTAGGATTAAAGTGGTGAGTCTTTTGTGTGTGGTACAAATAGGGGGCTCAAGAATACTCGAGTGACTTTGAACACAACTTTCACAGGCACTATTGGGACTGGTCACGCTCCTCAGCCTTTCTGACCTCGTAATCGTCTTGATTCTGCGCGAGCATGTGGCCGTCACAGAAACCTACATCCTCGAATTACTTGCATTCGCCGTCCTCCCATTCTTGACTTACACCAACCACACCAAAACCCGCTCTTCATCGACCATCCTCCTCCTCTTCTGGCCCGCCTACCTTGGCTACCTCGCATTATGGACCCGTACGCTCGTCGCAACGCACGCCATCCACGACCTTCAAATTACCTTCGCCATGCGCTGGGCCATCTGTGGCGTCGGCCTTCTCGCGTTCGCAGTCGAATGTATGGGCCCGGAGTACAAGCCAGAGAACTTCGCGGAGGATGGAACGCCTATTGCGGAGAGTCCGTTGGTGACAGCAAATATATTCAGTGTGTGGACATTTGAGTGGATGACACCGTTAATGAAGAAAGGCGTGTCGCAATATATCACGGAGGACGATTTGCCACCTCTGTTGCCGAGGGACGAGTCGGAGAAGTTGGGCGAGGATCTACAAGTGGCTATGAAGAACCAGTACGTTCCGTTTTCCTCGCTCCAGCCGTGCTCATGCAGGACTAAAATCTTGTTATTTTTAGTAAAAAGCTATGGGTGTCATTGTTCGCGGCCTATGGAGGCCCTTACACCGTTGCTGCTGGGTTGAAAGTCTTCCAGGATCTTCTCGCGTTCCTTCAGCCTCAACTTCTCCGTCTCTTCCTTGCCTTCATTGCGAGGTATCAAGCAGCGAAGTATGGTAGTTCCAAGTCTTTGCCTCGCGAACCAACAACCCTCGAGACATTCGTAATAACCAACTTCGTGAGCCTTGTTCAATACTTTTCAAGATGTAATATTGTTTATCCATGTACTATTTCTCTAGTACCGGACTACAGAGACGTTCTCCAATGATCCTAGCCCCATAGAAGGTTTCACTATCGTCATCGTGAGTACCTATGCTTCTCTTTTAATGTATGTGAGCTTGTCCTAACAGCTGGACCATTGTTCGTAGATCATGTTCGTCGCAGCGATCACCCAAACCATAATCTTGCACCAAGTAAGCCCTCACATTGCCTTCTTTATTTCTTTCTGATTCTCCAAAACCAATGAATTCTTACTCACCTTTCCGCACGCACAGTACTTCCAACGCACCTTCGAGACAGGCATGCGCGTCCGCGCCGGCCTCGTCGCCGCGGTCTACAAGAAAGCACTGATATTATCATGCGGAGAACGTGGAAGGGCGAGCGGCGATATCGTCAATCTGATGTCTGTGGATACGACGAGGTTGCAGGATTTCTGTACGTTTGGGTTGATCGCGATTTCGGGGCCGTTGCAGGTGCGTGTCTCCGTTGTTCTTCTATCCTGCCTGTGTCCTGTTTATTTGATCTTGGTGTATGAACTGATCGATGGTGTGTCGGTGCGCTGTGTAGATCATCCTGGCGTTCGTCTCGCTGTACAACCTCCTCGGCTGGTCGGCCTTCGTCGGCGTCGCCATCATGGTCGTCTCTATCCCGCTGAATACTTTCATGGCTCGTATCATGAAAACGATGCAGGAGAAGCAGATGAAGAACAGGGATAAGAGGACGAGGCTTATGAGCGAGTTGTTGGCGAATATTCGCAGGTGCGTCTCCTCATCTGCAGCGTCGTCACATTGTGACTAGATGCTAATGAGATTGGACCGTATTGTGGTCGATGTAGCATTAAGCTGTATGCTTGGGAGCATGCATTCATAAGGAGGATATTGTTTGTGAGGAACGATCTAGAGTTGAAGATGATGAAAAAGATCGCGATTTTCAACGTAGGTTGACTTGCTCTTCCGTGGACTACCCAATTGTCAACTGACATTTCTCAACCGGTCGTTTTAGGCTTTCAATACTACGATCTGGTTCGGTATTCCTCGTACGTAGTCTTCCGTGTTAAAAACTTTCCTGTTCTATTCACCGGCCGCTGACGAACTGGTGCGAATGATAGTGCTGGTGGCGTTCAGCTCGTTCGTAACGGCGACATACGTCTCTGACAAGCCGCTCACATCCGATATCATCTTCCCTGCTATCTCTCTGTTCATGCTGTTGCAGTTCCCGCTCGCTATGGTGCGTATTCTCCCTTCCGCTATCAGCCCTAGTTCTAGTGTCATCTGCTCAGAATGATTGTGCCAACACAACTTGTTTTGGTTTCTTCAGTTTAGTCAAGTCGTAAGCTCTCTTTTTACCTTTGATTATACGGCGGTAAGAGGCTCATCAGGGTGCCCTTAGATCTCGAACTCGATCGAGGCGATGGTCTCCGTCCGACGTCTACAAAACTTCTTCGACTCTGAGGAGCTGCAACGCGATGCGCGCACGATCGAATACAAGCCTGACCTGTCGGCTGGTGAAGTCGTAAGTCACACCATATTTCCCCAAACCCCACACAATTCACCCCACTTCCCACCCAAACCACACTGACATCCTACTCACCAGGTCCTCTCCATCGAAGACGGCGAATTCTCCTGGTCCAGACCCTCCGAATCGCTCTCCCCCGCCCTCGAAGGCATAAACCTCACAGTCCGAAAAGGCGAGCTCATCGGTGTCATGGGCCGCGTCGGCGCGGGCAAGACGAGTCTCCTGAGCGCGATCATAGGCGATATGTACAGGACGGATGGGAGCGTGATCTTGAGGGGAACGGGCACGGTGGCGTATGCGCCACAGAATCCGTGGATTATGGGGGCGACGGTTAGGGAGAATATATTGTTTTCGCATGAGTGGGATGAGGAGTTTTATGGGCTTGTTATTGAAGGTTTGTTTCTTTTGTCTGGTTTGGGATGGGGTGGGTTGGTAGATGGAGTGTGGACTGACGTTTTTACGCTCGCAGCTTGTGCGCTCAAGCAGGATTTGGCGTTGATGCCAGATGGCGACATGACCGAGGTCGGTGAGAGGGGTATTACGGTACGTTGTCTTTTGTCGTACGCATGTTAGTGGGATACTTCCTTGCTGATCCGTTCCATTTGTGGTTAGCTGAGTGGTGGGCAACGTGCTCGTGTGGCGCTTGCTCGCGCGGTGTACGCTCGTGCTGACCTGTAGGACTTCTTTCTTCTCCGTAAGCTCATCGTACTCATTAGCCATGCCTTTTCCTCAGAACGCTGCTTGACGATGTACTCGCCGCGCTCGATTCTCACGTCGCTCGCCATGTCTTTGGTGAGTGTATAAGTCAATCGGTCGGCCAAGTTAGCGTCTCTGACTGACAGAATTTTAGATCATGTAATGGGTCCTCACGGTATACTGTCCACCAAGGCCAGAATCCTTGTCACCAATAGCGTACATTACGCCTCGGAGTTCGACCACATCCTTTATCTCAGGCGCGGTATCGTCCTCGAATCCGGACCTTACGCGAAGCTCATGGCAGACCAGGACAGTGAGCTATCCAAGGTCATGTGCGTCGCATATCCCTCCACCCGCCATATCTCGTGATACTGACGGTTGTGACCAACGCGTTTCAATAGACGTGGCGCCGGTGGTTCCAGTACATCGGGGACGAGTACACCATTCACTCGAGTTGGTAGCGCTACCCCCGGAGAAACGGAAGGCGTCTCTGGCACACCAATAGATGACGGCACGCTCACAGCTGAGAAGATCGAAAGTCTGGCCGAGAGGCTCACGCGCAAAAAATCGTTCAGTCGAGCCGTTCTCGTCAAGTCTCCAAAAACTCGCAAGGGCCGCTCTTCCGCCGCGAATGGCGCTCCCAATGGCAATGGCACTCCGAACGGTACAGTAGCTACCACCGCCCGCGGAACGATCACCACGAAAGAACAGTCTGCTCAAGGCCGTGTCAAGACCTCAGTGTATTCGCAATACATCAAAGCCGCGTCAAAGACCGGTTTCGCCATCTTCATACTTACGATCATCCTGTCCCAGGCGGCGTCGATCCTTGCGAATGTGAGCTTGAAGATGTGGGGAGAAGAGAATAGGGAGCTCGGTGCGAACTCAGGCAAGTTTATTGCTGCGTATGGGGTCTTCAGTTTGTCGTCGATCGTGTTGAATGCGGCGGGGGCGATTGCGATTTGGGTGCTTTGTGCGTTGAGGAGCTCGAAGACTATGCATGATTCGGTGAGTTGTCACCTTTTTTTTCTTTGATCATCTGGTATGATTTCTAATGAGCTCTCGGTGTGACGGTAGATGTTGCATTCGGTTATGAGGGCGCCGTTGAGTTTCTTCGAGATGACGCCTAGTGGTCGGTCCGTAACTTTCCTTCCCTTTTCCACCAAAGTGGACCTTGCTGACTTCGTTGTAGTATCATGAACTTGTTCTCGCGTGATACCTATGTTGTGGATCAGGTTCTTGCTCGTGTAAGTTTTCTCCACGCACCAGCATTGCCATGTCGTACTCACTTCGCCTTTACAGGCCATCCAAATGCTCTTCAGGACGGCCGCTTCATGTCTTGGTATCATAGTTGTAATCGGTATCAGTTTCCCTCCCTTCCTCATCGCCGTTATTCCTCTTGGATACCTCTACAGCCGAGTGATGGTGTACGTTTTCGTCGTCCTATTGCTGCTATTGAACCCGCCAACTAACGTACGTTCGCATCGCACAGCTACTACCTCGCCACCTCACGCGAACTGAAACGTCTCGATGCCGTCTCGAAATCACCCATCTTCTCCTGGTTCTCCGAGTCCCTAAACGGCCTCTCCACCATCCGTTCCTTCAATCAACAGTCCGTCTTCATCGCGCAGAATGAGCGCAGGATAGACAGGAACCAAATCTGTTACCTCCCGAGTATCAGCGTGAATAGGTGGTTGGCGGTGAGGCTCGAGTTTGTCGGTGCTGCGATTATATTGACGGCGGCGGGGTTGAGTATGGTGGGGTTGATAACGACGGGGGTGGATGCGGGATTGGTTGGGTTGGTGTTGAGTTATGCGTTGAGTACAACTGGGAGTTTGGTGAGTTTTTTTTCGTACTCTAAGAGAGGAGAGGGAGAGTACAGGGTGGATGCTGACAATACTTTTTTTTGGCTTGGGTTGGATCAGAACTGGGTGGTTCGACAAGGTGCGACTTCGAGAGACAAGTCTTGTTTCATTGAGTGCCACTGACACAGCGTATTCATTTGTCTGTAGCTAGCGAAGTTGAACAGAATATTGTTAGCGTCGAGCGGATTCTTCAGTACATCGAATTGCCTCCGGAAGCACCGTACGAGATTCCAGAGGCTAAACCAGATAGTGTGTGGCCAGCAGAAGGCGCCCTTGAGTTCCGGTAAGTTCATCTTTCTCGGCTCTGGCGTACTAATGGGGCCTGACGACGCGGTGAAGCGGGTACTCGTTGAGGTATAGGCCGGATTTGGACCTTGTGTTGAAGGATGTTTCCTTGAATATTGCAAGTATTTCCCGTCTAACATTCTCATGCCTCAATATGCTAAATAAAAGCGGGTTGTTCAGAAACCGAGAGAGAAAATCGGTGTATGCGGAAGGACTGGCGCCGGAAAGTCTTCAGTAAGTACTATGTTTTTTTTTCTTCACAATGCGTGGACAAAAGCTGACCGCAACATTACACAGCTTCTCCTTGCTCTGTTCAGGATCCTTGAGCCTGCTTCGGGAACGATCTTCATCGACGGCGTGGATATCACAAAAATCGGACTGCTCGATTGTATGTTTATTCCTCCTGACCCCTTGTTCGGTCGTGACTTATGTTCATGTTAATCCACAGTGAGATCCAGCATCTCCATCGTCCCCCAGTCTCCCGACCTTTTCGAAGGCACTATCAGAGAGAATATCGATCCTGTTGGAGAACATGCAGACGCAGATATTTGGGTTGCATTGGGCCAGGTATGGGTTTTGATTATGTCTTTCGCTTGCTGTGCTGACCACGATCGTTTTGTGCGCAGGCGCACCTAAAAGAGTATGTGGAGAGTCTACCTGGTGGTCTTGACGCGCCTGTCAGGGAGGCGGGCTCGTCATTATCTGCGGGCCAACGACAGTTGGTTTGTTTCGCACGAGCACTCCTGCGCAAGACGAAAATCCTCGTGCTCGATGAAGGTTTGTTACTGCGCCGTTGTACAACGTCATGACGCTAACTCCCGCCTCCCAGCCACCTCCGCCGTCGATCTGGAGACGGATAAAAACATCCAGGATATTATACGTGGCCCTCAGTTCGAGAACGTGACGATGCTTACTATAGCGTGAGTATCCTTGGTTGACTTTCCCCCTATCCCGTTATCGGTTACCCTTGTTCCTTGTTTGTGTGACGCTGACGGACTTCCAATACACGCACAGACACCGAATGAACACCATTATCGATTCGGATCGGGTGTTAGTGCTCGAAGCGGGACAGGTGAGTTTTATCTCAGGCAATTGCCAAACCTATTTTGTCCCCTTTTCCATGGTTACTGCGGCCCACTGACAGCTGTGGCGTTCCTGCGTGGTTCGCGTCCACGTTTAGGTCGCGGAGTTTGACGCGCCCAAGACGCTGCTTGAGAAACCGGAGTCGCAGTTCCGTTCTTTGGCTGCAGAGGCGGGCATCGTGTAGATCAGTGCAGCATTTGTAGAAGGAGTGTGGGGAAATGAATTGGTAGTAGAAGTGATATCATGAGGTGCGGCCTAGAGGCTAGAGCACATACGTAGATGTTCCGTAATTTTCATTGTTTGTCGATGATTATTTTCGCGGTGTTTTGCCGCTTTGGGCCTCGAAGATGCACGATTTGAAATAGCTCGTTTTAGGGTCATTTTCCGGCATGTCTTGATCGTCTCCACTTGGGCAGAAAGACGGCACCGAGCACAAGGCCAAGCATATCCATGTCTTCCCCTTGACCGTGGCTGCCATCACTGGCCGCTTTTCCCGTCCGTTTTCTCACCCGCCTCGTCGTCGCCGTTGCTTGCGTCCTCGACACCATTGTCGTCTTCTTCATCGAAAATGACTACTACTAAAGTCAGCGTGCCACCCGAAGAGGACATCGCGCTCCCCACGCTCACTAGTCCCAAGCACCATGACTATGCTCATCACCCTCCGAATCATACCGTCAATGACGAGGCCGTCAACGAGGCGACACACGCAGGCTCAGATTCTTCGGAGGGCTCTGCGACGGATTCTGCGGATGACTTCGACTGGGATGAAGAGGACGAGAGCTTGACGCAGAAAGAGCGAGAGGCGAACGCGTCGAAGGCGAAAAGGTTCAGGTATATTTGGGTGGCGTTCATGAAACTCTCGAGACCTATACGGGTGGTTCTTGCCGGTGTCTTGGGATGTGGTGTCCTCATCACGCCCTTGCTCGTCTTCCAGTTTCGCTTTCACGATAGTGTGGCCCAACCACAGGTTCACGTATGGTCGCTGTGGCTCGCCATCGTTTGGGCTACTTCTTGCGTCACCTATCTCGCAGTCGACCTCATTCCCAAACTGTTCATTTCTATGGTCGTTTTGCTCGGGTATAAAGTTGAGAGGCTGAGGATTCAGATCGAGGTACGCTTCTGTTACGCCACCGACACGATCCCTATGTTCGCTAACGAGACCATCTTATACAGCTGATCTTCGCCATATCCGGCTGGTTGAAGCTGGTGCTGGGTGTATCATGGGCATGGATTGCTCTCTCGGTCATTCGTTCCATCTTCGAGCCCTCTGGGTCGTACTGGACCATCATCAACCGTGTCATGCAGGTGCGTGTCATTAATCTCTGTCCTTACCGAGGACGTTCGGCTGATATCACATCTTCGCAGGCTCTCTTCTCCGCAGCCGTTATCGTCTTTGTCGAGAAGGTCTTCCTCCACCTCGTTGCCATAAACTTCCACGAAAAAGCCCTCTCCCAACGTCTTGCGGAGAACCGTCTTGGTCTCAAGGCTCTCGACCGTCTCTCGAACGCTCAGCCTTCTCAGGCCGCTAAACGCAACCCCTACGGCAACAACAACAAATCGAAGGGCCATAAGACAGGTAACAGCGGTTCGCTCGGTACCTTCGACCTCTTCGGTGGAAAAGAGTCCAAGAACGGCACGCAAGACGGACACGTACACAACGCGTCGTCGAGTTCATCGCCAATCAGGGAGAAAGAAAGTCACAATGGCATCTCTGTTTCGAAGCAGAACTCGGCGGAGAGGAAGAGGAAGAGGCGAAACGTCATGGCCTCGGTTCTTGTCGATCAGCTGGGAGACGCGATCGGCCAGGTGGCTTTGAAGAACTCGAAGTTCAACAGGGAACATGGGTCGGGCGATCTTTATTCGGCGAGGAAGTTGGCGAAGAAGTTGTTCAATTCGCTCAGCGATACTTATCCCCGGAGAGACTATCTCATTGTTGATGGTATGTCCTGGTTCAGAAGTATCTGTCCCTTGGATGCCACATTGACTGAGATGTCGTTTTCTCAGATTTTGTCCCATACTTCAAAACTACGTCAGACGCAGTAAGTAGCAGCACCAGATGTTTTTGTCGGATGGTGGTAATCTCATACGGCATTCTAGCATGCCGCCTTCGCATTGTTCGACAAAGATGGCAACGGCGATATCACTAAAAAGGAGATGAGAGAAGCCGTCCAGCGTATTTACAGAGAACGAAAGGCCTTGGTTGCATCTCTCAAGGTCTGCCTGTCCTCATTTCCCTCGTCCAATTAGACACTGAAACCTTGTCATTGACGACTGCCATAGGATGTCAGCTCAGCCGTCGCGAAACTCGACGCCGTGCTCTTCTCCGTGGCACTTCTCATTCTCATCTTCGTCTTCCTGCTCATCTTCAACAAGAGTGACACACTCTCGTCGCTTGTACCGCTCGCTACTCTCATTCTCGGATTCTCTTTCGTGTTTGGTAATTCAGCAAAGACACTTTTCGAGTCGGTACGTCGAATCTTTCATCTTCCGCTGATTCTACAACCGTCCTCGATACATAACGATGGTCGCAGCTGACTTGAGTATCTTTGCTTGACAGTTGATCTTCATCTTCGCCACCCACGTTTTCGATGTCGGAGATCTTGTTATGATAGATGATCAGGTAAGGAACATTCATATCTACGTCTCACGTCTCGACCTTGGTAGATACTTGATTCTGATCATGGCTCTGATTTCCGCAGGTTTTGTTCGTAAAAGAATTCGGTCTATTCTCGACCACGTTCCGTCGAGTCGATGGTCAGGAAATCGTTGCACCAAATGCTTTACTCTCTTCTTCCAAGTTGATCCACAATCTGAGGCGTAGTAACTCCATGTATGTTCTTCCCTCTTTCGTGACCTTGCGTCAAGCGTGCCAAGTTTTATCCGGCCTATGCTAACGATCATCACTGCGTTTGTGTTCGTAGGTGGGAATCAACGAACCTCACGATTTCATACAATACGTCGCTCGAACTGGTAGAGCAACTAAAGGCCAAGCTCAACCAGTACGTTACGGAGCACAGCAGGGAGTGGTCGGGTGTCATTGTCAATATAGATAAGATGGAGTATCAGAATGCGATCTATATCATCATCGCTATGGAGCGTACGTACTCTATTTTATCCTTCCACTTCCTCTGCCTGTCCATTCAGACCTAATTCAAGTCCAACCTTCCTACTCCCCTTCTTCCTCTATCTCCAGATCGACCAAACTGGCAAGACTGGGGAGGTCGCTGGGTACGCCGCAACGCCTTCATGCGCTACCTCAAAGCCGTCCTCGAAGAGCTCAACCTCACCTACACCATGCCCGTCCAACCCGTCATCATGGGCGGCAACGGTCGCGGCGGCCGTGGCGGTAACTTCTACTCAAATCCTGGAGGTGGTGGTCCGGGATCGATGTACTCGTCTGGCACTCCGAGGGTGGCGCCGAGGCCTTTGAGAGACGATTTGGGGAACGCCGGGCTGTTTCAGGGGAGTAAGGAGATGATCATGTCGCCGACGGCGGCAATTGCGGCGGGGGAGAGTCAGTGGAAGTATTAGGTCGAGGTGGTGCAGTGCTCGGTGATTTTGGTGGAGAATATTAGTAGTGGTAGGTGGCAGTAGAAGTGGCTGGTCATGCTTGAAGGTGGCGTGGCCGGTAGTGGTGACATAACTTGCATATTTAGAATTCTCTTACATTGGGATGCTCCCTTCCCCTATCTTGTTTTCGCATCCCTTCCATCCGTCTCATACCATCCCATTTCACCCCACCACCTCATGAATGATTGACGTGTGCGGCCCTAGTGGTTCGCCCGAGTTTCTGACGACGACGGACTTCTCATTATCACGCATCCTAACTCCTCACGTTTCGCTTTCCACCCTACACCCATCCATTAGCATAACGTGCACTCAGGTGCACACGTTCCGTACACTCCCTCGAGCTCCCCTCCTCATACCACTTCTATCAAAGTTACTTTACTTGCTTTACGCGGTTCTACTCGTGATTGCACGCCGGATGATGGTGGTAGTGGCGAGCGTGTCTCTTTCTACGATCTTATGTTGTTTCGATCTAACTCCTAATGTCATGTTGTTCTTTTCCAACCTCTGGGTAGTTCCTTCCACGGGAAGGATCGGATGGTTCGTTCGTTCTGCGGCACTACAGGGTAAGTCATACATTCGTTCCTTCTTTTGTGGTTGAGGGGTTATTTCACAGGCTGTGGCTCTTGATCCCAAGCCACAATGCGACTCGGAACTTTACACGCTACTTACACTTTCGCCACAGAATCCAAACACCAGAGTAAGACGTGAACATGGCTAGTCTCATTGGTTCTACCGCAAGGATATTCCACTTCAACGTAAAGACAGACGAAGGCAAAATGTTCAAGGGCAAGTAGCTCCACCGACGCTACCAGCAATATTCCATGGGGTCTGCTGCGTAAGGTAGCTGAACGCGGGGAACGTAGGCTGGCCGAGATCAGCGGCTAGGTTCGACACTTGCGTGTTGCTGACTGGAGCGCAATCCTTACAACTACAGCTCGTGGACAAACGACAAAACGACAATCTGATTGGCTGGCCAAGCCGGGCATAGCCGGAGTTACTCGTCAGCTGACCCAGCGATCAGGCTGTGGCCCAGCGCCACCATGCTCTCGAAAGTTCGTTGTAGAGCCGCGAAGTTCTGAGCGCGGTCGACGTCGATATGTAAGGCGGCGCCGCGGCCTGCTGCTTTAGCAGTGGATTTTTCAATCCTATCCTGTCGGCATGAGCATCTTATGCTTTGGTCTCGACTCGCTTTCCAGTGTTGACAGAGAACTTAGGGTATGCTCTGTGGCGGCGGGCAAGTGTCAGTGAGCCCTCGCACGGCAGAGCTCTACATGGCAGTTGAGGTACTTACCAGGATCGCATTCATGATGCGGGATTGTGAGTGTGAAAGCCTCTCCGTGGAATTTCATGCCACACGGGATGTCTTGCCTGCCCACCAGGGCCCCGAAAGCAAAACTGGAGGGTCTTTTGGAGAACGGAGGGGCGAGGCGCGATAGCGCCTCGACCAGGAGTTCGAGGAAGACCCTTCAGGTTTTTTATCATCGAGCTTTCATTTCTACTCGAGCGGCTCCTCTGCTAGCCCCGTGCGTAGCACGGGCTGGCTGCTAGTTCTTGATACTGCTCACGAGTATTGTGATATATCAGAAACCTGAACAAGCTCGCCCAAAGTGAGGAATAAACATACGAGAGTTGAGATTGAACCCCGAAGGGCAAAACCATCTGGTTTCCACTGCGTGGGGCGTTGGGTCGGGCAACGTCCACTGTGGCACAACGACGAGCGACAATCAGCTAGCCGTACTTGTACTTTCATGGGCGTTGGCAACTCACAAATCGAGAAGCGCACGGTATTGTCCGTTGTACCCCCATTCTGCTTGATGATTTGCTCTTGCTGTGCGAGCTTTGTCGGGTCGTTCTTCCCGCCCACAGACGTAGCGATAGAAGCAACTGGAATCCATACTTTCCTGATCGTGTTTCGCCAAGTAGTCTGACTATTTGCGGTGACGACGCAGACAAAGGGCGTGGTAGCAGCAGGGTCAGTGTTCCCAGACGCAGCTCTTGATCCTGCGGAGCCGGTCGCGAATGTTTGTGCGCTAAGAACCTGATAAATAATCGCCGCAAGAACGATGTTTTAAAAGAGAGACGTACACATCAATATCATCGGAAATGTATAACCCAGGCCCGAGCTCAGCATCGGCGCCATTGAAAGCAGGTCTGTACGAGGGCCACAGTATGCATTAGCGCACATGGATGCTGAATAGGGACATAGAAACTTACGGGACAGGAATACCTCCACCTGAGTTACCTTGCTGTAAGTAGGCCTTAGCATTGACCTGGGAACAAAGATCAGATTTGATCAATAGGTTCGAAAGTGCGAGCAGAGACTCTAACTCACTCCATTTGTGCCATGATAGCCCACGAACTCCTCCGGGACTCTTCGAAAAAGTGCTCCTGGATCTGTTAGAAGGTCGAAGAAACGGCGAAGCACAGGTGTACTCCTGCGAGTGGAGCTGCCGGGCAATGCACAAGACGTCGAATTTGTGCTAGAAGTAGTATTCGAACTGGAGGTAGTGTTTGATAAGGCAGATGTGGTCGAAATGGGACTGCTAGCGGTGGTAGAGATGCTGATATTGGCCGAGGGCGTGACGAGTGCAGATGTCGACGCGAGGGTTGCGCTTGTAGATGCTGCGTTCAAAGTCGAGGTTTGCACCACAGGTGATGACACAAAGGGAGAGGAAAATGATAGAAGTGAAGAGATGGAGATGGCTACGCTTGAGCTCTGGACAGGCACTGTCGCGGAAGTCACAGCGGCGACACTTGTAGCCTTGGCCAATGAAGCAGAGGTTGTAGGGGGTTTGAGCGTTGCTGAGGGAGCGGCCTTTGCCGTGGTTCTCAAGGTAGGAGGCTGAGGGGCGACTGGCTTTGGCGCTACTGGTTTTGGCTAAGGTCGAATACAGGGTGAAGATCATTCAGTTCCACGAAACACCCCAAAGCGGACTTGACATGACAACTCACAAGTGGTTTAGAGCCAACACTTTTCAGCGGGAGAGCTAGGACTCCTCCATTCAGAAGGCAGAGAGCCACATAGATCGCCATGAAAGGTTTGTAGAGTTTGAATGCGTGCATGGTGGAGTATAAGGATCGGAAGGAACGAGGATCAAACGAGTGTCAAGGAGGCAAACTCGAAGAGACTGCGTTGAGAAATGAGAAACAGTTGCAAAGCAGAAGACAAAGAACGAAAGGATGGATCAACCACAATTTGGAAAGAAATTAGCAGTGACCTTTTTATAGCGACCAAGTGCCTCGACCATACATATGAGTGACGGAGCAGTCGGGCAGCAACCTCGGTGCGGATCGTTTCACGATGGTCTGGGCGAACATGAATCTGTCCGGATTGTCAGCAGAGGCGCCAGGAGTTGATAATCAGGCCTGTATCATGGTAGCATACAAGACCTCAAGCTAGACCGCAGGCTGTGTTTCAAGCAGACGTTGGCTGAGCGGAAGGCAGAAAGGGTTCGCACGCCGCCGAAATTGCGAGGAAAGGCTAACACAAGGTGGTGAGCGAATAGGGTGTCCTGTCAGGGGCGTTCATCCTTCAATAAACGAGTTCAGACTAAACCAAGGTAGACGCAAGGCGAAGTGAAACAAGTTGAACAGAGATCGGATAGTCGCCAAGACAAGCATACAAAGCCAATATCAATCAATGCATGATGATCAAGGTAGCAACGATATCCTGAGACATGTTAGAGGAGACAGAACCAAAAGATCAACGGAAGAGCGGGATACCGACGTGTCGAGGATCTACATGGCATCAGAGTAGCTGTCGGACACGTCGGGAGACTAGAGAAAGATCCAATTATCGTTGATGTGGCGTGGCCCAGTCTGATGCTCTGTTGGTATAAATACCCGGTGAACAGCCTTTGCCCTTCTCTTCCTTTACGCTCCCAATGTCTTCTGAGTCAAACCAGGTCTTCACGCTTGTCTCTCGCCACTTCTCCTTCCTCCCGCTCTCTCTCAGTCGGTACAAGCGCCAATGGTTTCTTACTTACCCTCGTGCATATGGCATGGTCGCCTACCCAGGCCAACGTATATTCTGCACTTTGAACACCCCTGACTCCACTGTCGACTCCACCTACGCTTCCCGACACTTCTGGCTCAATGCCACCTTCAAATCTGAACCATACAATCCTGACAGCGATGGAGACAAGAAGTTCGTCGGATCTCCTATCCACATGTTACTCGACTCTGAAAACCAAGGCGTGAGACTCACGGGCCGCATGCGAACTGAATCCTCGAACTACCCTCCGGAGCATGGGAAAGACATCGTGTGCTACGAAGTGGAGGTGTTGTTCCCGGACGAGGGATTGCTTCGACAATGCTATTATTGTCTGTGTTGGGAAGCGTGTGGTCCAATCAGACGGTTTAGTCAGTATGGGGACGATACTTTTTGGTGTGAAGAGGTGAGTATTTTTCCTCTTTCGACCTACTCTTTCGGACCCTGTGATTTTGATCTAACTAATGCTGTCAAATAGTGCGAAAAGCGGGGCCAAACTGCTTCCTTCTTCAGTGGTTTCGCAGAGAAGATGTACTATGATAGTATTGCTTCGAAGTTTATCCACGGGTCCCAGCCCCGTGATAGTCTATACCATTAGGTAACGGGCGGAGTCCAGATATCTGTAAACCTCTGTTAGCCAGGTATGAGGCCTGAATGGCCGAGAGCTATGGAATTGAATGGGGACAGTTAAATGTGACTCACACGCTCGACGTAGTCCTATATTCGACATGACACTCTACCCGGACCGCATCCACTTATCGACCATATCTGGAATCCCAGCATTTCGAATATCAATGAATTGTCGTATAAACGACGTAGCAAATTCGTCGCCTTCGCGAGCGAATACACCATGCATCCACTGAGTAGTATATGCGCTCGGAAAGTGATTCTTGGCGAAGATGTCGGGGACGAAAAACGAGTAGGATGGGTGTCGGGTCCAGTTGGTATGAGCTGAAGCATCGCATACGAGTCAGTATGGATACAACGAGTTTTGCGGTCCGAATGGTAGTTACTTAGGGGTAATGTGCAGTACAAGAGAGTCGGGCAGAGCGTGGCCCACTGTTGCATGGTCCTGAAATCGCCATCGAAGGTACGAAAAGGCTCATCTTCATCCTGTTCAAACTCAACACTATGAACTAGTAGGATTTTGAGGGATTTGAAATGGCGAAGTATATTTGGCATTTCTCGTAAGAACGGTGTCTAGGATTAGTTAGCCAAACCCGCGTCTTGCACAAGAGAGCGAGTACAAGATAGTTGTAAATTTGACGCTCACGATGAAAGTCTCCACATCCAGTGCGTTCGGGGCCGCAGGCCAGCTTTCAGTGTTGTTACCTATGTACAGGCTCTCGAGTGCCGGAAGCTCTTGAGCGACAAGTGACATGAAACGTAGGTTCCACGACCGTCCAACATACGAAAGGTCGACAATAGGAGAACGTGCCTTTGTCATGGCCGTGACGAGATCGGGGGCAAGCCGATCAAACTCGTTCAGGTTCGACATAGCGTTCCAACTCATCCAAACACGGGTAAGGTAGGAGCCAGGGACAAACACTGGTGCGAGAGTCGGGGAGCACCGGAGTCTCGTACAGGAGGGAGGCATGGGCATTGAGTGGTTTTCGCGAAAGTTGGCAGTCCATGCCATATCTCCAGAGGCGTCACGTAGGTCGCTTTGGTGTTCGATAGTGAGGCTACTGAGTTGGTGATAGTGCCGCTGAACGAAGGTGTAGACATTGTCGTTGAAGTAGAACTGAAGAGAGAGATGACGGAGGGAAGGGAAGTTTAGTGTAGGAGTTATCGGTTCAAAGAGCACACAGAATTGCCAAGGGGCTTCGTGTTCTTGGCCCGAAATCTCGAGAACCTCGAGATTGATGCAGGATGCGAGGGCAGGGCGAAATCTCTCCATGAGCGCCCCATCGATTTCCCAGCTGTCCATTATTGGCATTTAGTTTAGCGATGACCTTATCGTACCCCATATACGAACAAGCTGAAACTCACGGGGCAGATGGATCTTCACTCCAGGAATCACTAGCGTCGAGCTCCAAGGCTCTGATAGTGGGTATTAAGTCTTCTCTCTCCGAAAGTGTATTGCAGAGAAGCGTGAGCTTTCTTTCTCCAGTGATGCAGATGGTCGAGTATAACACCGGTGTACAAACTGTGTTGCAGAACTGGCTGACTCCGCAGAACGCGGCGCGTGCTCCCGCGGACGGCAGCGCTCGACATATCAATGTCCAGACTTCTACGGGTACTCGATTAAGCATGGTGGCTGGCCTAAAAGGACTGCACAGTTGGATTGGTATCTAGATTACGCCTTCGTGTTGAGGGGAGGATATGAAGTTCGAGAGCACGGAAGTGAACTTGAATGAGCAGTATAATGGATATGCGAGTATATATCTCTCTTACCAGATATATGAAGGGTGAAACCTTGAGAGCCCAGACACTCCTGACCCTCAGCGCCGAGAGGGCTGGTGCCGATGGTGATAGAGGACGCAACAAGAAACAGGTCGCGCAGAAAGAGACAAGCTCAGAGCCAAACTGTCGGACGCGTTTGGATTGCGACGCGTTCAGTCGCGTGAGCTCTCCATTTTAGAGCTTTCAACCAAACCACTGTCTTCTCCCTCTCCTTCCGCCACACAATTCCATCCCTTCACATACTCAAAGCTTTGTTTGTAATTTTTTGACCAAATGGCCGAGTAAGTTGATGGGTTTCCATGTTCCATCCAATGCTGACATTGAACTCTTTTGTTCTCGTTCGGGCTGAAATAGACAAACGCCCGTGAATGGCAGCGTCCCTCCGAGCAACACGGACGCATCCAAGTCAGTGGCATCGACAGAGCCGACCATAGAGAGCTCAATAGACCACGCGAAACGCGCTTTCGCATTACGGAAATACGAGCAGGCTGTTGATCACTATGCCACCGCGTTGGAACTCATGTGCGTGCTCAACTTGACACAAATGGTTGTGGGACTTTTTATGCAGCCAATGAATGCTAATATATATTTCCTTGCGCTTGGATGTGTGCTGTGATTATAGGACTGTGAAATACGGAGAGGATGGAGCAGAGATGGCTGATGTTTACTTGGCATACGGGAAGGCGTTGCTGGAGAATGCGATTCAACAAGCTGGCGTGTTGGGGAAGGAGCAACAGCCTGGAGGAGATGCGGACGATGATAAGGGTAAGTTGATTTTTGTTGTCCATTGTCTGCGTTGTCTGTCGCGTCGGGCCACTCCTGTGGCGTGTGCACTGACCATCGAGCCTACCGCATAGATGACACCCCCGCAAACAGCAAAGCGTTCCTTTCGTTCTCCGGAGACGCAGATGATGCTGTTTATTTGTTTGCGGAAGCGTCCAAGGCGGCGGCTGAGGCCGATGCTGGGGGTGGAGGCGCCGACGAGGAGGAAGAGGAGGAGGAAGATGTAGGAGAGCCTGAGGACGACTTCAATGCGGCTTGGGAGGTGTTGGACTTGGCTCGGGCTATCTACGAGAAGCAGAAGGAAGAAGATGAAGACGAAGAGATAACGCTCAAGCTTGCAGACACCTATATTGCATTGGGCGATATCTCGCTAGAAACAGGTGCGTATTTCTAGGCAGTCTCTCTTCACCTCATTCCCTTTGCACCGGCGCTCCTATACATTCTTAGAGTCGACTGTTCTGACATGTTCTCCCCAATGCAGAGAAATTCGAACAAGGGATCTCGGATTATACCTCTGGTCTCGCCCTCAAGTCTTCCCTCCTCCCCCTCTCCTCCCGCCAACTCGCCGAAGCCCACTACAAACTCTCCATGGTCCTCGACCTCACCTCTGGCCGTCTAGCCGACGCCATCCTCCACGCCCAAAAAGCGCTAGAATCCGTAGAGGCACGATTAGCCGAGCTTCAGGCGGGTATCGACGGAACATTAGTCGCAGAGCCTGAACCTGAACCTTCAGAAGCTGTGGACAAGAAGGGGAAGGGGAAGGCGACAGGGATGAGGTTGAAGAGGGATGATCTGGTGCAGAAGATGAGTAAGTCGCAGATTCAGGCGGAGAAGAAGGAGTTGGAGGAGTTGAAGGGTGATTTGGCTGCGAAGGTTCGTTTGCCCATTGCCTCGTTGCGATCCTAACTCGTAGCTTATATCAACGCACAATTATGCATTACCAGGTCGAAGAACTCAAAACTTCCCCAAACGAGATTCACGAGTCTGCGCCAGAGATGGTCGCTCGCGCTCTGGATAGCGAGCTGAACAAAACTGGCGGCTCTGGTGCAACAGCAGGAGCACAGGCGGCGGTCGGACAGCTCCCGGTGAATGATCTGACGACGATGGTGAAGAAGAAGAAGAAGCCGGTCGTCGAGCCTGAAGTGGTCACAACTGGAAGCGGAGAGAAACGGAAAGCTGATGAAGAGAGCGAGTCGCCGAAGGAGAAGAAAGCAAGGCTGGAGGAGCCATCGTCTTGAACGGATTCAATCTTCTGTAATATTTATCCGAGTTTACGATATTATCACGACGCGCCGCTATACATGTACTAGCACTGCTCAACATTCTTACAACCTTCATGGGTTTTTGGTTCGGTCTGCATCTCGAGCGCCAAGAACATCACCGGAGCAAGTCCTCCGGCAACGTCTTCGCCTCGATCCTCCTATGCACAAACGGCCTCTTTCCCTCCCCACTCCCCATCTCACCCACAATCGGGCCCTTCCTCTCGCTCTTCCCCTTCAACACATACTTATAAGTACACAATCCCTCCAGACCCACCGGTCCTCTCGCATGCATCCGTCCCGTACTAACACCCACTTCCGCACCGAACCCATACCTGAACCCATCCGCGAACCTCGTACTCGCGTTCACGTACACGCCCGCGGAATCGACTCCTCTCACGAACAATGACTGAGCTTTCTCGGATTGCGAGATGATACAGTCGGTATGGTGGGAGCCGTGCGTGTTGATGTGGGTTATTGCATGTTGGATCGAGGGGAGGGTGATTATGGAGAGGGTTAGGGAGAGATGTTCGGTGTCGTAGGCGTCGTAAGGGGCGGGTTTGAGGAGAGGGGAAGAGAGCGAGTGGGCGGAGAGAGCGAAGAGGGAGGGAGGGTCGCAGAGGAGGGTTACGGATTCGGAGAGGAGGGCACGCGCTACGGAGGGCCAGATTGTGGTGAGGAGGGATTCGTGGACGATCAGTGTCTCGGCGGCGTTGCAGGCTGCCGGGTAGTTGATCTGAGAAGGGATCAGTCCACAAGTTCGCATTGCAGTACGGAAATATGAATGAAATGCACCTTCGAGTCAACCACGACCCTAACAGCCGTCTCTTCGTCTGCCGACTCATCCAGATAAACGGAGCAGATACCATCGGCATGGCCCATCACAGGTATCCGTGTACCATGCTGAATACTGCGTACAAGTGCGTTACTACCGCGAGGAATGACGAGGTCGATATACTGATCTAGCTGAAGCAACGACGTAACATCTGCCCGTGATTGGATTGATTGGATGGTTGTGAAAGGAAGGGATGTGCGTGCAAGGGCGGTCTGAATGGCGTAAGAGATAATTGCCGTCGTACGATTCGATTCCTTGCCACCTTTCAGAATAGCGGTATTGCCTAATGACGAGACCAAACGCACAAATTTCAGACCATGATTGTGCGACAAGGAAGGTAAACATGCGCACCAGACTTGATAGCCAACGAAGCAATATTCACTACCACCTCCGGCCTCGCCTCAAAGATCACCAGCAATACACCAATTGGACACGAAATGCGGTACAGATCCAGCCCTTCGTCCAGTTCCGAAGCGTAAGATACGTTGCCATTCGGGTCTGGGAGGTTCGCGACGTCGAGGAGACCTTGGATCATCTGGTCCCATTTGTCGCCTTTACCGAGGTCGAGGCGTTTTACGAGTGAGTCAGAGAGTCTGCCTGCGGCTACGTCGGCTTGAGCTTCCTGGAGAGGAGATGTTGGTCGAGTACATGCACGTATTGAAGATGCATAAGAGTGTAATGTTAGAAGTTCGTGGAAGCAGGTGAATGTGGCGAAACGGTGAAAGTAGTTAGTCAATAGATCCGACTTTTAGAAGAACAAGGTGGATAAAGATAGACGAACCTCTAAGTCGACTTTGTTCGCCTCGAGAATAGCTGCCTTAGACGACTCTAGTTCCTTGCGGATTTCATGCAGCGCACGAACTCGCTCCTCAGCGGAGATGAGCTGCGATGCTTCGAATGCCTGCTTTGCGGCTTTTGCGATCGTTTCTGCGTCGGTGGACATGGCTGAGCGTGTTTGAGCTTGTCGCTAATCAAGTGCGGTGTGACTGGCTATTAGTGTATGGAGACGTAGACTGTTTTGAGTAGATGTAGGACTGATGTAGGCCGTCAGTGGTTGTTCGAAAGATATATGGTACGCCACAAAGCCGAGTCAGATCTAGAGTGGCGAAGTTCCTCCCACGCTCCTGTACCTTGTGCGCGCCACATTCTGAAGTGATTGAAATCCGAAGATTGATTGAATAATGGCACAATATACACTGGTAAAATAATATCAACATGTATGAGAATATTTTATCTCTATCTTAGTGGCTAAAACATCATTAATAGAACAAACAAGAGGCCGATGTCATACGAAGAAAATGGGGAGGACGAGCCCGGAACAACGTAACGAAAGACTCGAAGAGAAGAGACAGATCATTTACCGTATCCCATGGCAGGCAGTGTGTCCATATCCATTACACACAGCAAAAACTAGGGCAATATTAACCATAGGCTAGGTCCGACTGATGAGCCAGCCACGGTGGAAGGAAGCTATGTCGTCCAAACCCTTGATATAATACTTCAAAGATGAGTCCAATGTAAGAGTGCTTGAACTTGACTGGTGGTGAAGCGCATTATCCAACGACCAGATCTGGAGGTGCGTCATACCAGCAGAAGACGTCCATAGCGACACGAAGCCAAAACAGTCGCTACCAGTCCACAGACCGATGGCACAAAGACGAACGCTTAAGAAGAGCGAAACCCCACGAAGACGAAGGAATGAAAGAGGTCAGACCAGGGCCTATCAGATTGGGTCGTAAACAATATTCCTCGTCCACTTCGTGTCTGGTCCTGGGGGCTGTTTTGTTCCTGGTCTGACATACTGTCGTCTTTTTGATGGATGTTGGGGTCTTCATATCAGTAAGTAGAAGTAGATAGGCTGGCGAGGTAGCGCCAGATGCAGGATGAGAAACCCACAACCAGAGACTAGGGAGATCGAGCGAGTTGTAGTTGAAGAAGCCTCTGATAGCCAAGTTATCGGTTGAGTGAGGAACGAAGTGGGAGAGGGGGAGAGAGAGACCGGAGTGATGGTAGAGAAAAGTAGAAGCTAGCGAGCACTCGCAAGCACAGGACAGTTTTATTACCGCGAGGCAAATGTAGATACTTACGATCGCTTGACGTCATGGCCAGAACAAGGGAATGTACGTTTTAGGATACGTCAACGATTGTGGTACGAGGCGTGATGATCAGCATCTCAGGTTTATGTGGATCGTCTGGGAGAAAAATCACCTGATATAGTACCGAGTAATTCAGTGCTACCCATGAGCATAGAGATGGAGAACGGAGTGGGCTCGAAGGAAGAAGGGAGAGACAAAGAGGTGGCTGTGACGGGCCACGCTTGGAATTTCCAAGTCGACCCTGAGCCGGGCCAGGGACTTGGACAACCCGAAGCCCCGCCGGAACGCTTCAGACCTCCTTCCTCCTCATCCTCATCCTCTCAAGTTCGTTCTCCGCCTAATGGTAGTTACCACAAGGGTAGACGATATCATTGTGACGATAGTCTCTGGTAGTCATCCTCTTTGTAAAGAGAGCCACGTCACGAAGCCTCCCGCCGTCATGATGCATGAACTGTGCCACGTCCGCCACTCAAGCCTCAAATCCGGGCACTCCCATCTCCGTCCTACGGTGATGCAGCTTCTTCTGGCTTTAGGCGACGATGGTGAGTACCTGCCCGTACCTACCCCTTGTCCGAAGCAGCGCAGGATCAGTGTTCCTGATGAATATCCCACGCAAGTCGCAGTGCAAGTGTGCTTCCTCGCAGCAGTTCACCGTGGAGGGACACTCGCAACACTCGCCCGTCACCATCATTTGACGGGCATCGGATTCCCTGACTCTTCTTCACTGCGCGCCTATCCTAGTACATCGCATGTGGACTCCTTGCGCTGAAACAGAATGGAGAGAAGAGTCGGTGCTTGCGGTGCAGTCGCTGTAAAGGATGGGAAGTGGTTATTAAGATGTTTTATTTAGTACACTCACGACTCAATAGCGTTAAGGGCTCAAGACGTTCTGTATGAGCATATAGCGTTGCTGAACTGCGAAGAAGATTGCCGATTGAGGATGGTCGTGGTGAGAACGCGGCCGAGGCGGTTCCTCGGAGGACGGTTCGGCGCAGTGGCGGGCTTACTTGAGACAATTGAGCGTGGCGCCGAGATGGTGGTGATCAGTCTACAAATACTCTGTCAGCTTCCCTTGTCGTGCTCTCCCTTGCTTTGCGTTTCTTACCCGTGTATTTTATACCCCATCGTCGCCACCGGCGGCGAAGAAGACTTGACGGGGTCAGCGGACGGTTACGAGCAAAGAACGTAGCAACAACTAACAAGCTGATGTAAGCCACCTCTTCGCTATATTGCCGCAGTGTTCGCTCCCACCCCGCTCGACGGCCGGCCATCCTCTTCGTCTCCCCTCGGACTGCTTCATCGCGCAGTGCGCTTCAATTCGTCTCGCCCCTTTTGCCATTCTATCGTTCCCACTTTCTTTCTTTTTCTCCTCTTTGTCATAGTTTTTCTCATCCGATACTCGCACAGCTGTTACCAATACAGTCCCTGCGCACACGCCAGCAAACCAGACTTCTCTAATCCGCTAAATCATTCTCACAACCCTACCATACCCCGTCTCGTCATCAAAGATGTCTGCGATATCTGCCACCTTCTCCAACCTCTGGTCCAAAGTCCCAATGACCCCCACCTTCACCGGAAAGGTCGGCCTCCCCGTCGCGTCGGACGAACCCCTCACTGGCAAGGAAACTAGCAACGACTCGGAGAAATGTGAGCTTAGGATAGAGGGCATGACGTGTGGTGCGTGTGTGGAGGTGAGTAAATATACGTTTGTCGGATTTATGCCGGGTGCGGAGGATTGATTGGTGCTGTAGTCTATCGAGGGGATGCTGCGACCGCAAGAGGGTATTCATTCAATTAAAGTGGCTCTGCTGGCAGAGCGCGGCGTCGTCGAGTATGACCCTGCGCTATGGAATCCTGACCGGCTAATGGAAGTGCGTAGTTCTCTTGCTTTATGCGTCCAGGCGTGTGTTCTCACTCTCCATCGTCAATTGTTTAGGAAATTGGGGACATCGGTTTCGATGCGTCGCTCATCCCACCTGCCCGTGCTGACGAGGTCACTCTGCGGATATACGGCATGACATGCTCGTCGTGCACCTCTACCGTTGAGTCGCAGTTAAGCGCTCTGCCCGGTATCAACAGCGTTGCCGTTTCGCTTGTCACCGAGACGGCACAGATCTCATTCGACCAAAGCCTCATTGGCCCTCGTGAGATGGTCGAGCGTATTGAGGAGCTCGGATTCGATGCTATGGTCTCCGACGAGCAGAACGCTACCCAACTCAAGTCACTCTCCCGGACGAAGGAAATCCAAGAGTGGCGGTGGCGCTTCCAATGGAGTGTCGCTTTTGCCGTTCCCGTGTTCTTCATCAGCATGATATTCCCCAAGATCCCTGGACTCGACTCAATCGTGCATTATCACCTCATGCAAGGAATCTGTGTCGGTTACCTCCTCGTTTTCGCCCTCACGACCCCCGCGCAGTTCTGGATCGGCAAGAAATTCTATATCAATGCGTGGAAGGCCCTGAAGCACCGTTCGGCGACGATGGACGTGCTGGTGATGTTGGGAACCTCGGCAGCATACTTCTACTCCGTCTTCGCCATGGTCTTCGCCATGTGGAGCCCCGAACCCGATTTCGTCCCTCTCGTATTCTTCGACACCAGCACCATGCTCATCATGTTCGTCTGCCTCGGTCGATACCTCGAGAATCAAGCAAAGGGAAAGACTTCCGCCGCTCTCACCGACCTTATGGCCCTCGCACCTTCCATGGCCACGATTTACACCGACGCACCCGCCTGCACCCAGGAGAAGAAGATCGCGACCGAGCTCGTTCAGGTCGGAGACACCGTCAAGCTCGTACCAGGAGACAAAGTCCCTGCCGATGGTACCGTCATCAAAGGGTCCTCCAGCATCGACGAATCCGCCGTCACAGGCGAACCTGTCCCCGTCCTCAAACAGAAGGGCGACACCGTCATCGGCGGAACGGTCAACGGACTCGGAACATTCGACATGATCGTCACTCGTGCCGGGAAAGACACCGCGCTCGCACAGATCGTCAAACTGGTCGAGGACGCGCAGACGTCGAAAGCCCCCATCCAAGCCTTCGCGGACAGAGTCGCGGGGTACTTCGTCCCTGTGGTCATCTCGCTCGCCGCCATCACTTTCGTCGGCTGGTTCATCCTGTCGCACGTCATTGGTGATAGCTCGTTGCCGGAGATGTTCCATGCGCACGGGGCAAGCAAGTTGTCCGTTTGCTTGCAGCTGTGCATTTCCGTCGTCGTCGTGGCGTGTCCGTGTGCGCTTGGGCTCAGTACCCCGACTGCGATTATGGTGGGTACTGGTATGGGCGCGAAGAATGGGATCTTGATCAAGGGCGGACGTGCGCTTGAAGCGAGTAGGCTTATCAAGCGGATTGTGCTGGATAAGACTGGAACAGTTACCGAGGGGAAGCTTACCGTCTCTGCTGTGGCGTGGGCGCCATCGCATGAGCATGGCGAGGCCCTTGTCCAGGAAGCATCCATGGTGGATGCCGCATCCCTGATGGGCAAAGGCGCGGATGGGCTTACGCTTCGTTCGGCGATTATTTCGATGGTCGCGGCGACGGAGGCAAGGTCTGAACATCCTTTGGCTAAGGCGGTCGCGCTTTGGGGTAAGGAACTCACCGCGAGCGAGCCCGAGGCTGTCGTCGATACCTTCGAGAGCGTTACCGGACAGGGCGTCACCGCTACGCTCTCCTTCATCGGTAACCCCGCTAAATACACCATCTACATCGGCAATGCCCGTTTCGTCACCCAGTCCAAATCTACCGAGTCGGCGTACCTGCCCTCCGCCATCACCTCCTTCGAATACAACGAAACCATCCAAGGACGCACCATGATTTACGTCTCGCTCGCTTCGTCGACGAACACGCCTTTGCCGGTATTGGCGATTTCGTTGGCGGATGCGCCGAAGAAGAGTTCGAGGCAGGCGATCAGGGTGTTGCAGAAGATGGGGGTCGAGGTTTGTATGATGACGGGAGATGGGAAGCAGACGGCCCTGGCGATCGCGGAGCAGGTGGGGATTCCGAAGGAGAATGTTTGGGCTGGGATGAGTCCGAAGGGGAAGGCGAGCGTCGTGACGGAGCTTATGGAGAAGCATGGCGAGGGTGTCGCTATGGTATGTCATTCCCCTCCCCACTTTTCTCTCTCTTCTAATTTGCTGATAATGATAATGGTGTGTGTTGGTATAGGTCGGCGACGGCATCAACGACTCTCCGGCTCTCGTCGCCGCTACAGTCGGCATCGCCCTCTCCTCCGGCACCTCCGTCGCCATCGAAGCCGCCGACATCGTCCTCATGCGTTCCGACCTCCTCGACGTCGTTGCCGCACTCGACCTCTCCAAATCCATCTTCGCCACTATCCGCAGAAACCTCATCTGGGCCTGCATCTACAACGTCCTCGGCATCCCACTCGCCATGGGCTTCTTCCTCCCCGTCGGGATCCATCTCCATCCGATGATGGCTGGCGGAATGATGGCGTTCAGTTCGGTTAGTGTGGTGACGAGCTCGTTGGCGTTGAAGTGGTGGGTTAGGCCGAAGGAGAGTGTGTATGTTGGAGACGAGGGTGAGAGCGATGGGTTCAGGGCACACTCGGAAACGATGTGGTCGAGGGTGGGCAGTGTGGTGGAGGGCGTTTGGGAAGGATTTAAGGGTGTCGTGCCTGGGAGGGGATCGGCGGCATCTCGTGCGCAGGCGGGGTACGAGCAGTTGCCTGTGGAGATGGCATGATTTGGCTCTGTTTCCTCAGTCTTCCGCGCTCTCTCTGTCCTCACCGTCTACTTGTTCCGCTCTCGTATGTCTATCTGTACATGATATATATTCTCGGCCATACTCCACCCAGTCTTTCCTTCGCTGCCACTGGTGCTCATAGATCGGCATACATGTCCACACACTCGCATATATTTATCACTCTTCGTTACACCGTCCCTCCATCGCGACCCCCTCATTCATCACTGCCATTACACGGACACCTTCACCGCTTCACCTTCCTCAACCATTGCTCGTCGTACGACCACGACCATCCTTTCGTTTGTTGCTCGTCCTTTCGTCTCTTGTCTTTGCTGTGCCGTCTGCTGTTCTGGGTATAATTCTATTGTACATTTATCGTGTCTCGGGTCTCCTTGCGAGTAATTATTTTATGTGTTTGTTCACATCGTTGAATGGATGTTGTAACCTAGTGCTATTCTTCTAGAGGTTTGATCGACAGGCCGTGCAGCATCTCATGAGTGTGGGCGTCGAGGTGAGCAATACGGTGCCTCGAACGGGAAGGAGAAAAAGGCCATATATATGTGGACATGGGAAACATTGTTTGAGATGCGTGACGATAAGCAAACAAATTCAAGAGACATGGGGAGGAAGGAGAAGATGCAAGAAGCCTCGACGACAGATAAGTAGCAGACAGCTCAACGTTCAGAAACCAAGACCACCATTGGGATTCGTCCACGGGGTTTCTCTCGCACCCTGATTTATTGCAATGGCCTCGAACTCTGTGGCTCGAGTGTTACCGCCTTGCAAGTAGTGGCTTGACCCTCCGATAGGTGCACGGCACTCCGGACAGGCCGCCCGCTCCATCGCGCCCCCGCACTTGATATAAAAAAGCGTCAGTGAGCTCGATACAGAATATAATCCGTATTAGTGGTACATGAACATACCTCTGTGATAACAAAAGTGTGCCCGTTCTGACAGTTGTAGAAATGGCCAGCATGACCTTGAAGAAGCGCATCCGATCAGTGTGGACACCAAACTTGAAGGCGCACCGTGATAACATTGAAAGTGACACATACCAAAATCAAACGACTTGATGATGTCTTCCTTCTCTTGGAGCGACAAGGGCTGGTAGCCATGGTCTGTCTCTACGTGTTCCTTCAACTTCGCGTACTCTTCGAGGTAATTGTCTATCTTTCCACGACAATTTTCGGTATACCATCTGCGCTCCTCTAACAAACCGGCCATGTCCTCTGTCGGTCGGCTGCGAACATATGAGAATTCGCCTTTGCGACGCATCTCCTTCGCAAGGCTGGCCGCCAGCTCCACCCGGAGCGCGAGACCCCTTCGTTCCTTCTCCTTCAGCTGGCCTTTCCTTGACAACTCGTCGCGTTCAGATGCGATATCAAAACGGAACACCTCCAACTCCGCGCGGATGAGGTGGACGTTAGCCCGGGCCGCCATTCGAGACGCAGAGGAAGCTTCTGCGAGACCGAGGGCCTTTCGAGCGTCCCGAACGCAGGATTCATAAATGAACTGGACGAGAGCATGCCACAACTGTCGATGAGCGAGGCCATCCGCGTCCTGTCGTGAGATCTTTTCGAGACGGCATTGTGCGACTTGGGCGATCATGAAGCGTAACTCCAGCGAGAGGAAGAAGGCCTCGATCTGGAAACGAGTGTCTGCCTTGTGAGGGGGCTGCCCGATCTTCTTGTTCACCTCCTGCATCGCGAGGGGTTCTGGAGCGTCGCTTGCTCTCGAATGGTCTTCTGCGATGGCGGCGAGCTCAAGGCGATACAGTGTGGAGAGTGCGGCCTCATAAGTACGGATGTGTGGGCCACGGGTGTTGGCTAGAGCGACGACGTCCCGATACCTCGCCAACAAGTCGCTCGTGACATTATGCCATTTACCCGCTATGCCCTCAGGAAATCCGTGTACACTTGTGAGTTTGAACTGCATAAGTAAGTTCGCAGGCAATGGGCCAGACTCCACCTCCAAGGGAACAAAGCGCTCGGAGACGGCCTTTGCTTTCGGCCCCTTGTAGTTCGACACAGTCCCTGAAACGTACTCAACCTCCCTGATCGCCTTCTCTATCGTCGGCATATTGGCGGTGACTTCCTGGACCTTCGCGCTGATCTTGGAGAGATCTTGCGACATGGTGCTCGCAACATTCTGCTCCAAGATGTCGAGATTGGCGCGCTTGGTGACCCGTCCGTAGCGAAGAGCGGTGATGGGGCCACGACAGAGAGGACAGGAAGGTGGTGTCTGGTAGTTTATCGGAGGCGCCTTGGTGGCAAGGAATTGGCCCATAACGTCGATCTCGTAGTAGTCGTTCATTCCGCAATGACCATCCAGTGTCTCAACGGTGAAGATGTGTCCGCAACCCAAGGTGATAAGACGATCGCCGACGTCGTGCGAGGAGAGGTCTATTTCGTTCAACTTGCGCTGAAGTAGGAAATCGACTACTTCCTTCAGACGAGGATCGTCCTCATCTTGAAGGGCATCTTGTTCCTGTAAGCAAATGACGCAGGTCTGCTTCTCGCATGGTTCCCCGCATACTGGAAGGTCATGAGCGTCATTTTACCGTATCCAAACAGGGAGGTGTACTCACTTGATGGACAAGGATGACCGCAGGATAAGGTAGCCGTACAAGCTTCGTCACAAGGAAGTCTAGTGCAGATCTGGTAGCAATTATTTTAGATATGGGGCCGTATTAGTCTGAAGGTATGGAGGGACTTACGGAACCACAGAGAACTGGACAGGACATATGCCTACAAGACCAGTCACAGGGCTCCATACAAGGAGCGCAAGGCTTCGAACAGTGCTTTGGGCAAGAACGATGAGAGCAAGCTTGCCGGCATTTCTGGTCGCACGCGGTATTGCACTCATGGTCTTGAGAGCAAGGACGCCCACAAAGATGTTGGCAGTAAAGAAGTCGTTCGCAGGGATGTGTCTTATGTTGTGAACGAACCAAGCGACCGGTCGCAGGTGGGGCGTTGGCCGAAGCAGCCTTCGTGGCAAACTGACATTCGCAGCATTTGGAGCGACAGGATCTAGAACAGCATGAGAGCTGGCCTCCACAGATCGAAGAACAGGATACAGTCGCAGGATCCTTGTGGCAAGGTACAATCGCCGTATGCTCGCAGGTAGGAAGTCTCTTCGTGACGTTGACAGTGCACTTGACGTCGGCAAGAGCTCCCATCTCGTGGCTATTATGAGGAATAATAAGGAATAATGAGGGCATTATCGAGGAGAGCCATACTTACCACTTGATCTTCTTGGCTATGTGTCCACAAGGCAGAGGAATATCGTACATGGGGAACTCGCAGTTTCCGCAGTCATCCGAGCATAGACGTGGGCAGGGATGCTGGCGGGGGCAAGGTGTTCGAGTGCACGGCTTGTCACATCTTATACGACGATGGTTGTTCATGTCCGGATGACACTAAAAAGGATGGTCAGTGGGGAATCTGATTTCTTTGCGGAACGTGATTGCGTACTACAGATGGACATAGATGACCGCAGGCCAGCTGAACGTCGCATGGTATCAAACACCCGCCTTCTGGTGACGAGTTCTTGAGTTGGGAAGCTTTCGATACGATCCTCGCCTGCTCTGGATGACGCGGGCATACAATGGGAAAGCCCTCGCCTATTTGATCCCGTTCGTCCATCTCGTCCAATATGGTCTTCCAGATGGCGTTTTGTCGTAGGTTCGAGGCGTTTCCCAAGATGTACTGGCCATGTTTGGCCCGCGAGAGCGCAACATTAATCCTGTTCGAGCTCTAACGAGAAAGATATAACTTCACAGTATTTGTGAGAATGAATTGAGCACAACAAACCTTCAGAAATCCAATGGAAGACGAGTTGCTCTCGAAGGAACCGGAGTTTCTGACCAGAGATATGATGACAATCTTCGCCTCTTCGCCTTGAAATGTGTCCACAGTTCCGAGACGAATCTAAGAATCACGATGCATGAGTGAAGGGTATTTTGTCATGTTGAGTGAGATCCCTACATGTTTTCCGACCACCACGTCTTCGAAAGTTTCCTCGGTGTCCCCGGCACCCTGCCTTGCCAATTGGTCCGCATCTCGTTCATCGACGGACACCGCGATTTTGAGATCACGGAAAGCAGCCCGAACTTTCTGAAGCTGGCCAAGATAAGCGCAGAGGACGGCTATGTCTCCGGCTCCACTGTATGGTCCCTGTTTGAGGAAATAGAGGACCAATTCCTTAACCATATCAACCTGGTATAGGGGATTAGTTAGGACTCTCGTCGATAGATAGACGTATGACCAACCTCAAACGAGTTGAACTTCGACACAGAGTCTGCTTCGCCATTCTCCTGGTGGGTGTGTGTCAAGAAAAACACGTCTTTCTGCATACCCTGTACGGAGGGGTAGCGTTGGACAGAAGCATTGTCTTCCAGCTTAGGATAGAGAATAAGCCTAGGTATAGGAGATATGTTGTTGAGACGAGGGAACTTCAAAAAGATGACGACAGTCCGTACCGAGGGAAGTCAGCGATTGTCGGCCTCATGCGTCGCTGCACATTGATCTGAGACATCGGGAGGCAATTGTCCACTAATCTTTCCATCATTGAGCGATCGAATTTGTACAACTGACGACCACTTTCGCTGTCCATTGAGAGAGCTGAGTGTTGATGGTCAGATACGTCCGATGCTGCTCTGAATAATCAAGCTCACGGTAATTAGCCAACGTGGGGCGTAATTGTTCAGGATCCCCGATGCAAATGATGTGTTCGACTGGAGTGGACTGTCAGGACGGTGATTTTCTTTACTGGACAACGAGACTCACCCGATGGAACTAAAGACGCGATAACATGTGCTTCCAGAACTTGCCCAGCCTCTTCGACAATCAATACCTTTGGAGCGATGATCTAACAAAGTAGTGAGATTCCGAAACTGATACAGACGTTCGTGTAGAACCCACGGTCAAGAGAGATATCAACTTCGCGGCACCTAATACACTGTCAGTAAGGCTCAGGACCAACGACACGGAGAGCTGAACACTGACCAGTGGTCGTACACGCAATCAGGTCAGTCCGACTGAGAAGAAGTTGACGAGCCTGTATCCATGAATAATTGAGAACGTTGTGTGTATCATCAAGATGGTACACTTACTTGATCCTTGACGTCGTTGAAGTTCTTGCACGCCTCGTGATAACGTTTCTTGACATCTTCGAACTCGTGTAGGTTGGATTCATATGCGTGTTGGCGAATTTCTTCTTCCCAGTAATCTGCGAGCATTCGGCGTTCACTGGCTGACATCGACCAGAGGGGAACATCTCCGTATAGTAGAGAGTCGATGGGCCTCTTGGACGTAGGTATGCGAGGCAATCCTTGGAAGCCTAAGGCCAAGAATAAGGTTGGTCGTGGATCAGGGACGACCTCCGTGGCTTGCGGCTGAGGTACGGGAGGCATGAGAAATTCGAGATCGCGAGCGTTCCTCCAGAAGCCATATGGGCCATTCATGAGTTCAGGATCCTTCTGGCGACGACGGCCACCCCGTTCGGCAGTAGACCATTCCCCATTCTCCTCCTCGTCCTGCAGGGAGCCTCTCATCAACTCGGCAATCCACATAGGAGGTGTTTCGAATGCGTCGGCGTGATCTATGTAGTGAATGTTCAAAAACTCTTGCACCATTTGCCAAGATACTCGCGGAAGTTGGATCGAGTATGTGACCTTCTCCAGTCGTTCTTCGGCCTCCTTCATGATCGCATATTCGCGTCTAGTTGAGAGCATCGAACTCGAGTGCTCTGCTAACTTCTCAAGTTTCGCGAGATTGTACTCCGCCACAATCTCGTCAGAGGAACGAGAGCCGAGACGAACGACCTTTGTCGTGATTTTCTCGTCCAGGACGGAACGTAGCATGTGGTCGAGAGCATGATTGGTGAACGCGATGAGGACTGCAGGACTGATATTTAGATATCTCGGATGGTGCATATGCAGCTGTAGGAAAGGGCCACCTACCAATTGGTTTAATCCGACTCTCGAGTAGCACTTGTATCAGTTTCTTGCCGATGTAACTCTGCAGGGACCAAGATTAAATCACAATCAATACGAAAATAGGCTTCCTCGCACCTTTCCAGTCCCTGGTGGCCTATCATAATATATCGTCGATTAGATCAGACACCCGCGCAACGATAAAGCAAACGGAAATAATGTGAAAAGGGGCGCACCCTTGCAGAAGAGATACTTCTCTCGTGAGGGAATCTATCATAGCTCTGGCCTGCGACTTATCTAACTCGCTTCCGTTTTCCAACTGTTGACGAGCCTGCTTGACCGAAGCCGTGCTGTTCGGGTTCAGGTCATGTATCGTAGCACCTCGCCTCGCCAAACAACCCAGTTTGAACGTGAACCCAGGCGCTTTAGCATACCGAGGAACTTGGACAGGTACGCCCTTCAGAGTTTCTTCAGCGCATATATAACGCGCGAAGGGGATGGACGTGGGTTCGATGGTCTGCAAAGTCTCAAGAAACGGGCGGATCGACTCGTACATGATATTGTTGTCGATCAGAAGGGCGAAATGTTTCGGGCCTTTCGAGATGTTGTCCCGGCGGAGAGCGGCGAGCTCGATCTCACTGTCGAAGAATGAGACCCTCAACTGAATGCGGTCCTCGTTCGAACGCGCCGATTCCGCTATGTCGCTACCATTGGACATGACGACACCTAGATGGATCTTCACTTGGCCGGGAGTAACGATAAGCAGTGCGATCAAACTGAGGCTCTGAAGTCTCTTGGAATGCTCCCAGTACTCCATCCTTTTCTTCGGGGTTGGATCTCGTGGAGCCCCTGGAGGAGTGTCGGTGGTCAGGCCGACGGTGAAGCTTCGCCGCTCTGCCTTCACGGGGGAGAATTGAACGTTGGTGTATAGGTGAAAAAACACAGAGTCCCTCCCGGACGTGCGATAGACTCCGCCCTTGGTTTTGATGAGCTTTTCGAGCAAGGTCACTTCTTTCTTGCGGCGATTCTGCTCCCACATTCTGCCGATATCGGAATGCACGACATGGATAGACTGGCGGATGGTAGATCTGATCAAGACGAGAACGTGTCAATGCCTCTACTACAAACAACCACGGATGCTGACGTATACTTACATCATTTCCTCACGAAGGAGGCGGAATTGAATGTCGAGATGTCTTTCCATCGAATTTGGCGGACTATGATGAGGAGCACCGGGAACGAACTTAGGAAGGTAAGGGTCCAAGGGGCAGAGTAGCTCCTCCTGTGTAGGTGCGATACGAATATCGGAGATATCTGCGAAGTCGTTGTCGTGGCGCGGAATGCCACCCTGCCTGAGCACACCAGGAGGATCGTAAGTTTGAACCAAGCGGTTGAGGAGTGCTTCGCGACGATGAGCATCATTGACGGTAGACTGTTTAGTCGGCCGGCGTAACTGTTCTGTCACGCCAGACTCCCTGCGTACGATGGTTCGAAGGCGAAGAATATCCTCTCGTAGTTGCGAGATGGTAAGATTACGAACGGCTGGGGGCGAGGAGGTGATAGGGTCTTGCATGGTAGGTTCATGGCTGGAGACAGCGTCGGCCCAGGTGTCGAACCAAGTGGCTAGATCTTCGACGAATTTCAGTATCTCTGGATGCCTGCGGATTGCTTGCTTGAAGCGAGTGAAGTATCTGTCATGCGCGTACGCGTCACATCAATGAAGCCCGGGACTGGATGATGTTGTGTACGCACTGAAAATACACGACCGAAAGTGCCTTGAAGACGATGACACCATCCAAATTGCCTCGACGAGCTGATGTCAGCCCAGGAGAGGAGTCAATCCAGGATTTGGTGGTGATCATCGTGGATATACATCGGTGGAGGGTGCCGTGGAGTACGTCGTAGTTGTTCTCGAAGATAGTATACAGGGCGCTATGACAATCAGATGAGCCACTCGCGTGTTCGAAGCTGCCGCTTTCCTTACTTTATGTTATGGTGTACTGTGCTTTTGAGGACGAGATCGGACGCAAGGAACTAATGATGATTGTTCGACGAATTTCAGCATCCTCAGCGGTCGAATATCACAATATAAGCGCACCTCGATGATGGGAAAGTAGCTTCGTTGAAAAGACAACACCGGACTTTGTATTCCTGCCTGAACAGAAACGCGTTCTGTGCTCCAGCGAAGGATATCTCCCAATCGAAGCAGAGCATTCCCCTGCCAACACGAGTCAGTATGTATTCACTGCCTGGAAGGTCAAAGGCTGACATTGACAACGGTAGCGAGAAAAGACTATAGAAGGGCAAAACAATCAGCCGTTCACTCCTGTAGTAAAAGGTGGAATAAACTCGCCTGTGCAGCATCGATGTCCTTTGTGGATTTTGGCGGTCAGCGTCGCATCGATACTATATAACGATCAAGAATACGCACCCAGTTTTTATTGCGAACATTGATGCTCGCAAAGATTCTAACGAAACCTTCTACCTTCCGAGAGCTATCGAAGACATAATGATCGTAGAGAAAAGGCTTCAGGTGGTTGTGTGCCTCACTCGGCTTGAGGTTGTGTTCGGTGCTCCTTGTGGAGCCGTTGTTGGTAGCAAGGCCTTCGCTCGAGAAGAAATCGACGGGCTCGTCAACGTCCTCAGTATTCGTCGTGACGGGAGTCGACTCTCCGCCAGGCTTCAACTGATGGCTGAAGGTACAGTCAAAACCTCGCCGACACGAGCCACTCGACCAGTAAAAATCACAAATGCCACGAGGGGCATGATCTATGGGTAAGCGGGGAGTCTCGATGCGGCCAGTACCTCTCCCGGCACCACCACCACTGCCACCATTACCAGCATTACTAGCACCACCAGTGTTACTGCCGCCAGCTGGGCTTTGTCCGCGCCCATCTTGCCCGCTGCCCCCTCGCCCACGACTTCCACCACCCCGTCCACGCTCAGCGCCTTCACGACCACGACCACGACCACGATCAGTCCCTCGGCCTCGACCACGGTTTGAGTTACGATTGTTGTTGTTGGAAGACATCAAGACCGTAAGAAAGAAATTCGTCCAGAGGGTTGGTTTGATGGTGGATGATAGAGAACGCAGAGCGCCTTCCACCCTGAAGATCTACGGGCAGGTCCGCGTGTTCGAAGACCCCAGAGACAACCACTCGCACCGTCCGGTCTCCAAGCATACAAATTCTTCGTCTGACATCTCGTCTAGGCGCTGACTGACGACAAACGCAGGGTAAGTGACAGGTAAACCCTGCCATAATTTGAGCCGGGGGTCCCTCCACTTTCATAGCGCCACACAAATACCAAGCAGCTTCCCGGAACGTGGATAACTTCCACCCAGAATCTCCGTGGCATCACCGTGATACGGTTTTGAGAGGATGTAATCTCCGTTCCACACGTGTAGAGCACGCGTGAGATACCGGGCATATGAACTTACGTGTGGTACTGTATAGGCTCTGCAAGTCACTCTCTTCCAGCGATTTGCAGAATCGTAGTCGCACCTCGATTTCGCGCAGAGAAGCTCTGCTCCACACGAAGCCTTACCCGACGGTCCCGACGGGGCTGCCACGAGCTGGGCCACATTGCTCTTGCAGGCCCTCAATGCACAATACGAGCTCATTGCGCATTGTCAATGAATGCCATTGGTATAGCGAGACCCCACGAGTCAGGGGCCCACTCGGCCAGATTTTTTCCAATACTCTGAGGTGGAATGCTACTCAGTGGTCAATTGTGGCCACGCCATTGAAATGTGCCGGGGGTGGCGTTCGCTTCTCCAAATGGCAAGCGGTTGCGTCAAGAAACGCTGGCCGCTCCATCAAGAGAAAAAGTGGGAGCGACTACGATTCTGCAAATTGCTGTCATCGGCGAGGCGGAATGCAACTGCTATATAATCTCACTGGCCTGGACGAGATATGAGGAACATTTTGCCAGTGAAATCCATAATCGTTACCAGCGTGCCATGTCAATGATATGGCAGAAGTTCAACCACCTGTGACCAACCAAGTCTGTTCGTAGAATTTGGACATGTAGTACAGTAAATCCTGTAGTTAAGTAGAACATCAATATTGTAGGACGGTTCGATTTGGAAGGAAAAGATACCTATAAAGCTCAAGATATTTAATCCGATGGTCTACGAGCCTGAAGGTCGAGAGCAAACTTGCTCGCGGTGCCACCCGATCGTTCGAGCTAGTCGACGTTACGCGTTTCTGCTTCCGGATACAGGCTGCTACTAACATCCCCATTGCTTTCTCTCTACGACGCCCATTAACTGCGATTATAGGAACGGAGGGCGATACTCGATACCATGGCAGCCAAAATACCCGCGATAGGGAGCCCATTAGGAAGTGTTTTCCTTGGCGACGTCCAGCGCCACCGTCTGTTGTCGACAAGCACCCCACCCAGTTCACCACCACCACCCATGTCTCCAGGTAGCGCCACAGTCCCTCAAGGCTTCCCCGCGGATTCCATAGATGAAGATTCCCCTGTACTCGTTTCACCGCAGCTTCCAGCACAAACTGTACAGCCCGAGCCAACCGTCGAACAGACTGTAGAAATTCCACCGCCGAATGTTCACCCTGTTCAGTCACTTGAGCTGAGGTTGCGTTGGTTGGAAGCACTGCTTTACGGTGTAAAGCCAGAGAGTGCTGCGCCGTCGAGAGATAGGACGTCGCGTCATCCTAGAGGACCTTCGGTTTCTGGACCTAATCATGACAGGAGACACGGTCTCAAGAACGGGGAGACGTTGATGCGAAGTGCAGAGGAAGTGAAGAGGAGAATGGACAGTGTTGTGGAAGGAAACGATGGACTCCGGCGGTTCGTTGATCACTGTGCGTTATTGTCCGCACTACATCTCCATTCGATTCCTTTGAAAGTCTTCATACTGTAAACAGACGAACAGCATGGACATCTTCTTACACCCTCTTTCGCTCTCTCGGGAACCCTGCCCACTCCTCCCCCAACATACCAGAATATGTCTTCGACCGAACTCGAAGCCTTCCTTGCAGAACTCGAACCTGATATACGTGCCGCCGACCGTGACATGCGGGAGATTGAGATGCTGGAAAAGAAAGGAGTAACTGCCGCTGGTAAACTACCAGGTACGTGTCTTCCCATCCTGGCCGTCCAGGGGTCGTGTGCATATCATATGAAATTTGGCCTCTGATATTGTGGCAATTTGGCATTCACGACGTTGTTCTCAGACTACGAACCTTTGAAACCACGGCTGGAGAAGCTCGTGGAGAGGCACCAGGAGAATGCAAAAGCAGCATCTGTCCTTGAGCGTCGCGTCGCGAGCCTCATGCATAGGTATGCAAGCCAGGTAAGAGCCAAGTGTCACATGCTTTTCGCCATGAGCTGCAGCGAGCTGATCTTCCTTCACCGTGCCTGTAAACTCTTGTGATATTCCACGATTGCGTTCAACAGGTGGACAACCTCTCAGAACTATTCGTCGCGTGGGACGAAACTCTTCAAGACGCTGAAGAGAAAGTCGCACGTTTAGAACGCGACAAAGAGGAGCGTGTGCGCCTCGGATATGAGTGAGCTTGCGCGCGCCTTTGTATCTTTATTTTGTACGAGATATACCATAATTCGCGTTTAATCCATCCAACGCTTCGATACCCTTCAAGGTTATTCAGACCGGTACATCATCTGTGCACTGGTGCCTTCCCTCATTGGCTTGCTTAGTATTACTCGAGCTCGAGCTGGACTTGCCATCTCTACAGACAGCGAAATTCATAGCCATTCACTCCCATGTTGGTGCATATTCGTTCACCTGTCAGTCTCACTACAACTCACTGACTACATTATCCTCTCCTAGCCACCTCGATGCCCAAGTGACCTTTCTTTGCGCCCGCGCACCGGACTCCTTCTAATTGACCTGGGGGCTGTTGTCCTGAAAAGCCACTTTCGCCTCTGATTCCTTACGCTTTGCTATCGACTGCCTCGGACGCATCTTCTTCCCCGAACCACACAACACACCACGGTCAAACTTCCCCACACCATCGAGCTTTCGAATCTCCTTATGGCATGCTGCCTCTTCTCGATTCCTGGGTAGATTCTGATGGCGAGCCTCAAACCTTACAAGATCTTGGCTTCTGGTCGTTTTCTCATTTTCTCGTCATCTCAATCTCAACATGAGCGTGGGCAGAAGAATATCTGACCCCTTGGTCATCTGAAACATCTCCCTTGTCCCTACCTGATGCGCTTCACATGCCGTGTCTTCTCACCAGGACATTTGCGTGGATTTGCATTCCCTTTCCGCTTGGCTTGGGTTGCTTCAGTATTGACAGTAGAATCCATTGGAACGCTCCCTTTTCTCAGCTCGAAATTCTTCTAAATGTACCTCGAACCCTATCCTATCCAAAACATCCAGAGACCCATCCGTACAGACAAACACCCACGCTTTGAATCTGAATCGTCCCTGCGCACGCGGCCGCGTCCACTGGCATGGTCGTAACGTTATAATAACATCGTACAGTCGCGGACAAGCAAACTCGACAAATTTATGTAACCGCAGGGCAACTTCCGATGAATAGCGGAAACGATAGATCTCGGCGAGGAGGGGTTCAGGATTATTTTTTGGGGAAATCCCATGCGTAGTTCGTCCAAAAAAGGGGGGTTTTGGGCGTTATTACCCCAAAAATTTGGCCGTACCCCTGATTTCGCTTCAAAAATCGTGGGAAATGTGCCAATCGACTCCTTTTGAAGAGAGGGTTGTGATCCCGAAGTTTGAAAGAAATTCCACGAGCGCTTCGCCCAACATATATTGTTCAAGTACGGCATCCCGGCCCACCGAGGCGGCCGACCGGACGACAACGATCGTTCCATTTGATGAATCAGAAACTCATCTGGGGGGTTTTCCTCGAAAAGTTCTTAAAAAGATACAGTTTGAGCGCCAACAGCTGCATGCTGACCCCAAAAGGGGTACACAACGTTGTTCAAAACCGCCAAAATTTTGGCCGGACCCTAAAATTGTTTCAAAAATCGTGGAAAAATCGCCAATCGACTCCTTTTCTCAAACGGTGTCTGATCCTAAAGTTTCGAGGAATTCTCACGAGCGGTTATGGAAATAATATTTTTGTCGAGTTTGCTTGTCCGCGACTGTAAGTATCTCGCATCTCGTATCATTTGCCCATTTTTGTATTTAACTTTGACTTTTACAGTGGCGCTTTCTCGAAAGGTCGGGACGTTCTCTGCTTCGGAAAGAGAAGCCAGGGGCGGGACGGGACCAGGGCAGGAAAGAAGTTAAGGAAGGAAGAGCGTGGGCGGTTCGTCACGTCCGGATTCTGCTTCGAGTTCTGCGTTCTGCGTTCTCGAACTTAGATTACAGTCGTTTGCATATGAAACCCGAGGTTGCGTTTTTCCGCGAGCGCGGAAAGTTGTTTGTCTTATCCAAACAGTCACGGTGAGTCACAGTGTGGCACCCGAGGGTACCATGAGCCACAAAGGTCAAAGAACTTGGACCAAAGCCTCGACACCGACATTTGCGTCAGTCTAAGGGTGGATAAAGAAGTGCAGAATATGTTTCATTATAAAATGGGAGCTGTACATTTTACACTACGGGACATAGAACAGTTGCGCACATGGATGATGACGGACGAGGGCCTCCTCGCAATGTCTAGTTGAACGCCTTCAATCATTGACTCATGAGCTCAGCACCTGCCCACTAGGAGGAGTAGGAAAAATAGGCACTGATGTCCATGCGAGTCCAAGTCTGTGTCGGAGGAACATTCAAGATGGAAAGCAAGGTCGGCTTGACTCGTTCTAAGTCTAACCTGAGCTCATTGACAGCTCCGTCGTCGCCGAGAATGTGCAGGACTGTTTGCAATTACCATGGGTATTAGTAGGTTCCGAAGATGCTAAGATGTAAAAGGAAGGTCCAGCATGTTCGAAGCAAGTAGGACGAGAGATGCGTACACGGCACAGTGTGTGCGGGCATTGTTGGAAGACTTCAGAAATGTCCGCGGTGACAAGTGTTCGTCACGTATTTGGCTAAGACAAACAACTTTCCGCGCGCGCGGAAAAACGCCACCTCGGGTTTCATATGCAAACGACTGTAGCATCACGCACAGACATCTACACTCCTTCCATGTGGTCGTTCGAATTCGGACGGTACAGGAAGAAAGGTCCAGGGTATATGCACGGTCAGGTCTCTCACGATCACGATGCGGCTCCTTGCCGTTGGCTAAGAATAATAACTGTCTGAATCTGCATATGTATAAGATTCAGATATCTATAAGAACTGTAACATATAAATCGAGTAGTGAAATAACGAGCGAGGATCGAAAGGAGAGAGCATATATGTGATGTGATGTGGCTCGACAGTCTAAGAGACTCAGAGACAGAAAAATAGAGTGAGAGCGAGAGTAAAATTCAGAACTTATTCAACGAGCGGTGGAGCGGTAGAGGGTGTGACAACAAAGTGATATGTCGGGCACTTAGCGCGACCATTCAGAAGGGAAAAGGAAAGAACGTATTGGGCTGTGTGATATGTCTGAATCACAACAGACAGTAGACAGGGTAAAATGAACGTTTGCACGGTGGACGGGCGGACGAAGTGCGTTATCAATAAAATTCCAGCAACGTCGTTGTCGCTAATGTCAAGTATCAAAATCTTACGGATATCGATAAATAATTACAGGGTAAAAGAATGAAGGAAGACTGTAACTGTAACTGTAACTGTAACTGTAACTGTAACGCATACGTCGACGCCGACTCGAGAAAGGGAAAGAAAAATAAGCGCATAAAGATGTAAGAAACGTAGGCAAGGTGGAGACGTAGAAAAGGGTAAGTAAGTAAGTAAAGTGCCGATGCCGAGTCACAATCAAGCTGATAATCGGAGAAGGAAGCGAGGTGGGTGGCCTGTTGAGGTAGAAGAGGTGGTGAAGAGGAGAGGTAGGAGACGGACAAACAAGAGAGGATAGGACGGACAAGACAGGACAGGACAGGACAGACAAGTGGCACGAGGCTAGGCAGGATGAGAAGGGACGAGGCGAGGCGAGGCGAGGCGAGACACGGTTTAGTAGACAATAGACAAGGGAGGGAGACACAAGACGGTCACAGAGATAGGAAAAACGAGAGATAGGAAGAGAGGAGAAAGTAAAAGCGAATAAAAACGGAACAATAAATCACACGGACGAGATGAAACCCAAGGACCAAAACGAGGAGAGAACGAGGCGGAAGGTGGAATGATACAACGGGAGTGCACAGCGAGAGATGGAAATGAAACGCAACAAAAGGACGAGGGGGGCGAAGAAGAGATGGCTCGGTAGCGGACGATGAGTAGAGCAGGACACAAGTGGGTAGATAGAGCCTAGTATGCGGCGGCGGCGAGGATATGTTTATGGGGTAATAAGCGACGACTCTCGTAGAGCTGGAAAAACAGAAACAGAAAAAGGAACGTGTGTATCCTCAAAAAAACAGTCCCACCCACATCTACTCCGGGTCTACTCCCTCGCCACCCAATCCGTACTCCTCCCCACCAACTCAATCGACTGATCCGTCGTCCAAAAACACCTCTCCGTCGCACTCCTGCCCGTCCACGCCTTCTGATCCCTCAGTATCATCGCCTGCTGCGCCCCAAAATTCCTCTGATCATGCCCAAACAGCTCCACATTCTCCTCCAACGCCTCGCTCAAAATCTGCATATCCTGCAGAATCGCCTGCATGATCCTCACCGCGCCCAGCGTCAGGACTTCCTTGCGGTTTCGGATGGTGGACCCGTGAGAGGAGGGAGGCGGGAGCGTGGAGGTGATGGTGGTGAGGACGGTGTGGAGGATTCGTTTGGTTTCGTTCATTATTTTTTGGGCTTGTGGGTAGTTTTTCCGGGAGACGAGAACGAGGGCTCGGGTGATCATGTCGGATGCTAGGAGCTCCATTCTCCGCCGGACGATGACCGGGTCGGACGTAGGCATCGGCGACGACCGTTGTTGTTGTTGTTGTTGTTGTTGGCCAGCGGGGAGGAGCGTGACGGTGAGGAGAACCGGGTGTGCGAGTCGAGAGACATGTTTCCCTGCGTTCGGGTCGTAGAACGATCCGTCGACTTCGAAGACTGGGACTTCGTCTATCATCCGATCCATCATCCCGTCCGTCAGATCCGCCATATCATCAATCGCGAGCGCGTCGAGCCCCATACTCTGATTAAACCTATCCGTCGCATCCAATGCCCTCCCCCCTCCCCCTCTTCCTCTCCCATGGCCCCCAGACCCAGCACCGCCATAGCCGAGCACATCCGAATTATCCAGCTCCAACTCCACCAACATCTCCTTCCGCTCCCCATACCTCAACTCCCCCACATCCACATCCACATGTCTCCCATCGCTCGCGACGATCGAGCTCGGCCCCCCACTAACCTTCCTAATCCTAAACCTATTCCCATCCACGATCTTCATATGCAACTTCATACTCATACTCCCAATACTCATCATGCCCCCCACACACCCCGCCAGACAATCCCTTAAATCGTACCAGTCCTTCACGAACGTGTACGTTCCGCTAGTGTGGTTCGACATCAGCCAGAGCGAGGCGGGGTCGTGAGAGCGGCCGTAGCCGAAGGAGTGGATGGGCACGTTGGCGGCTTCGGCGCGGGCGAGGACGAGGTCCATTTGGGCGCGTCGGGTGCTGTCGGAGGCGTCGCTGACGAGAACCATCCCCGCTGTGCTGTTCCGCGATTTGCGTTGGAGGACCACGTCGAGTCCTTTTAAACAAAACAAAAAATAGAAATAGAGTACCGTGTCATAATTAGCAAGAATAAGCATTGATGATATGAAGAAGTTGATGATGAACTTACCGTGATTAACAGCAGTAACAACATCCGTCTTCTCCTCCTTACTCCCCCTAACCAAAAACTCATCCTCAAACTCACCACCTTGCACATCCTCCTTCCTCACCCCAATCTCATCCACAAACTTCGCCAACCGCGCCCTACTCTGCGTCCTCCCCAAACTCAAAAACGGCGTCTTCCGTACCTTGCCTCCCATCCCGACCTCGAACGTCACGAGGCTGAGTCGATCGCGGATGCTCAATGACGCGATGATGAAATCGAGCGAAGCTTTAATGACGCGGATCTTGAGGACGGCTGTGGATGGCAATGCGTGTGGTGGCGGGATGGATATTACGAGGATGAGATCGAGGGGGGGATGTGGGACTGGAGTGAGCGAATTAGACGGTCCTTGGGACATATGCGGTTGAAACACCGCCGGCGTCTGTTGCGCATGCGCATAATGATGATGATGATGATGATGCATCCCCTCGTCCTCATCCAACGTCGAAAGTTTATGATGCAGACCCGCCATGCCCCCGTTCCGGGCCCCTATGGAGCCATGCGACGTAGACGACGAAACGGTGGATCTCGAGGAGGACCCATTGAGCAAACTATCCGTCGTACTCGCCGTCGTCCCCGTACTCCCGCTCAACATCCTCGCCGCCTTCGAGCTCCCGCCAAACTCCTCCATATCGAGCTGTGCCTCCGTCTGGTGGTGCTGCTGTGCCGGTGGTCGTTGGACAAGCGTGACGAGCGACTGGATATTCTGCTTCCACGTCTCTAATGATGGCCTCTCCTTGAAAATCAAAATAAACGAATCCAACCTCTCATCCTCCATATCGATCGTAAGACTCAACTCGCCCTGCACCGACGTATCCGTCACCTGCTTAATATGCCTAATATATATCCTCCCCTTCAACCTCAACACGCCCTTCCCCGCCTGACCCGCCGAGACGCCGGGCGAAGTCGATTCGCCGCCTCCAGAAGGCCCGGACAAAAACCGCCCAAGCGACCGTTTCTTCTCCTCCGCGACGCAGATGATCGCCTCCTTGAAGAGATACACGAAGAATTCGCGGACGAGCGAGTCCCGTCTCACGGACAACAGGTCGAACATCTGCAGCGGACCGAGGCCCGCGAGCGGATGTCCTTTCCAGTCGATGATACGGTTCCTGAGGTCCTCCGTGATCGCCCCAAACGGCGATTCGTCTTCCTGAACGAGCGAGGACGCACCGCCGCGGGGGGAGTACATATGCTGTCCCTGGTGGTGTTCTCGCTCCGAGCCCGTCATCGAGGACGCGTAGCGGTCATGGGACGTCGATATGGGTGAGGCGATTTGGGAAGTCGGGGGCGAGGACACGTTTCGGTGACGGACGGTCATGTCTGATACGTCGGAGAACTGGTGCGAGGTGTGCTGTTGGTGATGTTGTCTGTAAGGTCCCGGTGAAGAATCACGACCGAACGGAGAACTGCTGACCTCGCGCTGACTGCCATGGCCGTTCCGCGGACTGTTTCCGGAGGAAGAGGAAGGGGAGGGATAGTGGTCGAGCATGACCGGACCCGGAACATGACTGTTCCCGCGTTTGCTAGGGAGCTCGAGGACGACGATGCAGGTGAGCGCCTGTTGGGCGTCCTGCGTGCGCGTGATAGAAGAGAATTCGGGGCGGACTTGGATGGAGGGCGCGACGACGTATTGGGAGCGCTCGTTGCCGGACTTGGTCGAGTGCGCGTGGTCGATGGGGTCGTCTTCGTTTGGGTCGTAGGGTTGGGGTGCGGACGGATGTCGGCCTGGGTGGGAGCGGATGGAGGAGGGGGTTTCGCGACCGGGGTAGACTGTGCCTTCTGAGCGGTTGCCCATGCCGGTGAGAGCAGCGAGCTCTGATGTAATGTGGGAGTGATTAGAACAACAACAACAACGAACGAAAGGAGAAAGAAAAGGACGGACTGTTTGATTTTGCGCCGTCGCCGTCGCCTATCTTCATCGGACGGCGGCAGACGCCACATACGCCGAGGTTGGACCTGCGCACGACGGCGGGGGTGCGACCTGGGCCTGGGGGCGGGCCATAGACGGCGGTGAAGCAGGCCTAAACGGGTGTGAACAGACGAGTGATAGAGCAAAGTGTGGGAACGGACCTCGTGAAGCGCATGACCGCACTCTGGGACGATGTGTGGTTTCTCGCCGGGGAGACGGAAGGAGAAGCTGAGGGGCTCGAGACAGACCGGACACTCTGCCTCGTCCTCTGTGGCGTCGTGGCTGGAGACGACGGGGAGCGGGGCGGAGACCATGGTGGCGAACGGGTGGGGGCCGCTGGCTGCTGGGGGTTCTGGCGCGGGGGTGTTGTTGGAGGAACGAGCGGAGTGGGCGGAGTACGAAGAGTGAAGTGAGCCAGCAGAGGAGGCGCGTGTGGTGGTGCGATTTACAGAGAGGAGGAGGGAGGAGAAGGTCTGGTTCTGCCTTGTCTGTGGCAGGGAGAGGGCGGGCGAGGGCGGTGGCTGCTGTTGATGGGACTGGCGTGTGTGCTTGTTGCCTTTTTGGAACCAGCTGTTTGGCTTCATGTACTTGCACGCCGGACGAAGGGCCTCGCGCGGGGAGACGCTCTTGTCCTGGACGGCGACAGGCAAGGTGCTGAGGAGGAGGAAGGAGCGCAACGGCGCGGCCACGAGCGCACTCCCGATCCGCGAATTATATACCGCCGCCCTACAACGCACCCCGCAAACGGATCACGCCTCGCCCCTCGGCAATCCCTCATTTCCTTTTCATCTCCCTCTTCGAGTCCTCCTTATATATCCCATTTTATTCCACCTCGTACTCCTCGTAGCTCTCTGCACTCCCTCGTCGTCTCTCCCAACTCCCAACAGCGCGATATACCCTCGGCCTTTCCCGTCTTCGACCACCTTCGATTCAGATTTTCTCACTCGTCCATCTCCTCGCACCTCAAAGCTCTCCCACCCCCAGGCCCCATCCTCCCATTCGCTCCTCACCACACGCCAATCCACACCTTCTCTTTTTCCTTTCCAGGCTCCTCCAACCACCTTCCCGCGATCATTCCACTCCGCTCATCCTTTCGAACGAACGGACACAGATAAGATCAAAAAATATTCATCTCCAACCTAACAGCAACTAACTCCTTCCGGCGAATCACAGACGCCTCCGCACCCGCACCCGCAAATCGGGCGCATAGCCGCGTTCCTGTTACTGTTAACTTCTTCCCTCAAAGGAATCGGCAATCGGCACCCTCGTTGTCCTGGGGAGAGAGCCTCGCCGTGAGGAAGGAAGGTGTCCGGAGGTTTTCTGGACGAATATATCGAAGTACAAGTACGACGTCTCGACCCCGGGCCCCCTCCTTTCAGTTCGCCGTTTTCGATGTCCTTCCTTGCGTCATCGCGGACTTTCACCGTTTTCCCGATGTTGGTATATTAGCGTGGCACTCAGTGCGTTCTACTGGAAAGAGGGCAGAGTGAATGGTTCTTGCCATATGCACATGAACATGTAGGACTTCCACTGCACTGTATAAGTATTTGAACCCCTGGACCCCCTTCTCCTGTGTACATGCATGCACTGTATCCTCTAGTGCTTCCTGCTTCCTGCTTCCTACTTCCTGCGAACGCGGTTGGTCCCCTTTGGTCCCATGGAAGCATCGCATATTCGACTTCGTATTTTAATTTGCACCGTACGTATGCGCCGTATGTACCTCGAACTCCTGTCTTCCTTCGCCCTCCTCTTCCTTCGCCCTCCTTTTCCCCGGCTTTAGGACCAGGCTTAGCTGTAGATGTGATGGCGATGCGTTACGACGTAGCGATGCTTGAATCATTGAATCAAATGCCACGATCTACGTCTACTGCTGTCCGCTGTGCACTGTCCTTGGAGTCTGCTGCTGTCCTTGCTCCACTGCACTGCCACCACAATAACGACAACGACAACGACAACGGCGTCCTGTCCGTTCAGCGATACAGTACAGGGTACTTCTCGATCACATACACATGCATGCCAGTGTCTCCTAGCTTGCAGACTCTGACTCTGACTCTGACTCGTCACTCGTCATTCTCCTCGTCGCTCCTCGTACTCGTTCTCTTTTTCCATTGCCGTGACTCACACTCACAAAGTAGTATATGCGTACGGCAGCGCGAACGAGTTCTAACCTGCGGCCATTCATCGATCCGCATTCACCTTAGACTCCTCTTAAGCTTCTCGATGGACAACGGACAACGGACAAGATCTCTTGAGATTCCGCTCCGGGGTCTGCTCACATTATTGAAACTTGAAAAACAAGCGACCAACATCCCAGGACTGTAACCCACTATCCCACTATGTAAGTTATCCCGAGTCGTTCCGGCCGTTTTACTTACTCAGGCTCATGATCGTCCTTCGCATTAGTTCTCTAATCGTGCTAAGCTTGACTGGGATTCCTAACCCATAGCATAGCATAGGTATTAGGAAAGACTTTGTAGTAAAACGAAACACCCGCTGGCCCTCTCGATTCAGATACATCATACGACATGGTTGCCTATGGCTATAGCTAGATAAGTATATGGGTGGTGGGTAAGTAAGGACCTCGCATCTGAATCATCAGTCTCTGTCTCGAGCCCACTGATCGAGCGCGTTGAAACGATGAACGATGAACGACGAACGATAATCATCACCCGACCCAATCTCGTCGTAGAACCCTCCACCCTCCCCCTCGCCAATAACACTCCTATGTAACTATGTATCTGCCTTGCTTTGATGCTGATGTTCGTACATCTCATTACAGGGTGCCATGGCGCTTTGCAGTACTAAGTGACGCATATTGAGTATCTCCACACAGCTTGTCGACCCTCAGGCCTCAGGCTTCTGGCCCACCACCGTGACCCCGAGCTCATTTTCCGTTGGTAACAGTCCTGCATCTGATTCTGGATCACCTACTTCAGTTACAAAGAAAAGACATGAGTACGGCGGCGCGAACGGACGATTCGTTGATCCGTACCCATTCACCTTCTCTTCTCGACATGTCAGGTTCTATCTCCGGGGTCAAGCAATTTAGTTAAATGCAGAGGTAAGCGACCTATATCTCACTATCTCGCTGCGGCCGTTTATGTAAGGTAAATTCTGCACACTTCTACTCAAGGTCCTCACCCGTTTAGCTCGTGTATAGTATCTGTTCATCGTGCTTTACACTAGTACTGTTAGCTAATTTTGGCTGGGACTCTCATTCCACAGGAAGTACTTCCAGTAATAATAAAAAAACACTAACGCTCTCGACACGACACGTCTGTCATGCGTATGGTAGACACCTCGCATCCGAACGCTCACTCTCACACGACCATCAAGCCCATCAAACCGACAGACAACAATCCGGCCGAATCATCGACCCCACGCCTCTGATTGAACCCACGCTCACACTCCCTCACCACCAGTGCCAGGGTTCGCTTGATCATTCCTAAGTGCTCGAGTATCTGTCTTGCTTTGATGCTGATGTTCTCGTGACTTCCTCGTATGGTAATATGCGGTAAGTATGGTGCGTCTGTTCGTCTTGGTCTAGACTCAAAGTGAGCTTCAAGGTTGCGTACATTGGCGATTTGACCAACCGACGTTGATTGTATGTGAGCGGCCTGAGGCTACAAACCTCCTCCACGCTTTCCGTTGCCGGGTGGTTCGCTCGACACTCTTAAGTATCTGCTTTGATGTTCGCGTAAATTACAGGATATGGTGCGTCTTTTCGTCTAAACTCAAAGTAGGTTTCGAGATCGTGTACATATACATTCGCGACTTGGCTGGCGTGAGGTGCAAACCTCCCTCACGCTTTTTTTTGCCGGGCGGGGAGCACCTGTGTACATGCGCTGATATATATTGATGTTCACGTAACTTACAGGATATGGTGCGTCTTCGTCTATGGTGCAAACGGCTTAGTCATCACAACTTTTGTACAGCGGCCAATTTCGTCGGCGAAAGTCGAAATCCCCATTTATTGAAAGAAAATTCCTGGCACCCCCCTTGGTTTTCGGAAAATAATAAACAAATGAATTAAATATTATTATTTGGCGGGGTGGCCAAATCCAAAAGTTCATCTTTGCCAGTTTTGAGAATTTGGATAATCCCTCTAGAGGAACTCTTCCTTACATCAAAAGGAGTGTTTCTGGAAGAGGGATAGTGAAAATTCTCAAATCTCGGCCCGCGGCACCGTCCTCAACGTTGTGTACAGAAGTGGCGGCGTCTAAGCCGTTTGCACCATAAACTCAAACGGGCCCTCGAGATCGCATACGACAACTCGGTTCAAAGCGAGTCTTCTGAAATCTCTCTCTGATTCACGATATGTCACAAACCCGAGTACTTATATGGTCTTAGTTCTGTTCGTCCCTGCACCCGCCGCCGCGGCGTTCAGCTCTTTTCTGAGACACGTCGTCGTCCCATCACCCATCACCCAACATCGAGTGTCGAGCTTCGGATAAGTATGGACGCTTCTCGTCTTCGTCTTCGTCGTTCGGTACGCGATATCGATATCACGCTTTGATGTCGATGTTGATGCGAGTTGAGCCCTCCAAGTGCTTCTGCTAGGCACGTAGTATGCACGCACACACGCATGTGAATCCTTTTGTTCGGTGTGGGTGCTGGGTCTGGGTCTGCATCATGATACTGGCATGCGTTTTATCCGAGTCGTCTTTCAAGTTTGCGCTTGTGGCTCTCATTATGGACTTTGCTGCTTGCTGAAGAAATTTAAATTGACCATTGATGAGACGGATTGCCCGCCCCATTTTATATCGTATAAAGCAGGATATGTACGCCCTGGTGCGCTACTGCTTCAGGAATCACCTGGTGCGCTACTGCTTCAAGAATCATCAGTGTCCTTCTTCGCCTAAACTGGCAGGATCTCATGGTCGTCGTGAGTGTACTTAAATGGCGACGGATCCGGACTTGATCATGCATCAAGCTTTCTGGGATACAGCCAAGGCACAAGTAATGATTAATGATCGTCTGAATCTGTCTTTTCGCCATGATGGACTCCTTCGTGGCGTTACACCTCATTTACCGATACCGTGACTATACCTGACTTGACTAGAGCATACATCACCTCAGCTCGAACCGTCACGAGTCACTGAGTGAGTTCGCTTCGTCATCTTTCCTCGCCGTATCATGCAGCGTGCCCCTACGCTCGTCATGCAACGTCGAAAGCACCTTCACACGACTAAGGCGTAAGTTGCTCTCTGGCACTCATCATGGGCCCCCCTATCACCGTCACCGTCCAAGTTATCATGCAACAAACTCGCTCGGCCTTCTCGCATCTTTCGCATCACCGTAAATCGGGTATGCTTTGCGGCCACTGGCGTACGGTCATACGGTATGGCCTCGTCTGACAGTCCAGTCGAGTTGGCTGCATTACTTATTATTAGTTCTTATGCTGTTATGAGACTTGATACTCACAAGCGGTAGTATGACAGATGAAATATCAATGATGTTGATAGCACTGTGTCTGAGTGGCGTGGATTTAGCTATAGACTGGAGTGACAGTGATTGATTTTTGCGGATCATCTCCGTCCTCATCCGTAGCTCATGATCAGTGAGACTCAGTGCACCTTGAGATAGCGCCATTCCTCAGATCCCTCAGAGATGATAAAGCAACGGCTGACACGATGGAGACCAACGCAATGACATAAGAAGTGATATACTAATAGTGGGGGTGAGTCGTCGTCGCGTTTGACTCTTTTGCGTGTGGCGGGAACGTTCCTACTTACGCCACCGGTGGGCCACACTACAGCAAGCATATCAAATCATCTAGGAAGTTCAGAATCAATGACGATTGCATATTACACCAGAGAACGTAGCCAGATGACAAGATAGAGCCGCTCCAAGTCCAGGTGCAGGTATCGACCAGTCCATCCAGCCATCCATTCAGACCCTAGACATTCCAGTCTCGACTCTGATCTCTAGTATAGCTATACGTCACCGACTCCTCATCCCCACCCTTCTCCCTCCCCCTCCCCCTCCCCCACCCCCTCATCCCCGCACCCGCACCCGCACCCTGCCCCTCCTCCCCATCCCCCTCCCCGTCCGCCTTCTCTCCAAGCCTCCCATACCTCCACCACCTCCCATCAATCTTCCACCTCCACCCCGCCCTCACATTCACCCAAAGCGCCCTCGTCCTCTCAAACCCCCCAAAAATCGCATCATAGACCATCCATCCCAGTCCCAACAAGATCGGCGAAACGGCGATGACGATGAATACGGTGGTAGTGATGATAGGATCGTAAGGCGTGAAATCCGTCGTATGGCGCGCTTCGGAGGTGGGATCGAGGTTCATGGGAGGGTCGTACGGCGAGCCAGTCACGCTTGCGTTCGTTCCCGTTGAACCGAGGCTGTTGCTGTTGCCGGTGAAAGAGGAATTGGGATTGCTGGCATCGAGCATCCCTCCGCTACCGATGGGTGTCCTGTCGGGCGTCACGTAGCTGAAGACCATGAAGAAGAGAGACATGAAGAACATGGCGATGTAGAGGATGATGCAGATACGGACGCCCTCGGAGAGCCAGGCGACGGCGCGGAAGGTCATGGCGGAGATGGCGGAGGAGGCACGCGAGACGATCGAGGTGGTGGTTTTGGTAGTGTCGGAGGTGTCGTTTGTGGAGGTAGAACTGGTGGTCAGCGCCGATGGGTTCGTGGCCTTCTTGACTTTCGTGCTGGGAGGTGCGGCGGTAGGAGTGTTACGAGTTTGCCCATAGTGCGCGTGACCTGTCCGGTTGTTGGCTCTGATGGGGATGGGGACCGGAATCGGGGGCGGAGGGAGTTGAGCGGTGCGAGTGTGGCCATGGTGGGGATGGGCTTGGCTACGATGAGTGCGGCCATTATAGACGCGAGCAGTGCGGGTGTTAGTCTTGATCCTGACTGGGGTGGGAGGGGGAGCAAGAAAACCTGTCTTGAAGTCGACGTTTGAGTTGGAGGACTGCGTCCAAGTGGAGAAGGTGCTGGCCATACTGAGACGTCAATGTACTCGGAGGGAGATGACAAAATTGTCCAAGGATAAGTGGCTTCAAAGGATAGCAGGGAATGTGGGCTGGCGATCAGCGCTTAGGGACGAAGATATGGGCGCTCACTCGAAAACAGGGTAAAAGGGAGACAGTGAACATATCAACGACTATTTATATGATCCACGAGTCTTACAGTGACGTCGTCGGTTTGAAGCTAGTACTGCTGGTCTGAGACATTTTGAGAGACGATGCTGCCGCGAGTGAGTGGTAGTAGCGGGACCTCCGAGAGAAGCCCATACTCTACAGATGTATTGCGGTCGCTCGTTCGATTTCACGTAGATGATCACGGTGGCGAAGCATCTTGCATACATCGTATAGAATGATGTCCAGTCCTATAATCTAGAGGCATTCTTGTAGGCGTATGTGTGCATTGAAGGTCGTGAAAACCGCCTGAGTTTCCCGGTGAAGCCGACTGAGACGGAGATCGAAATGTCTGAGTCCGTCAACGCAGACTCTCCGAGACAAGGCAATATTGCGGACGCATCATAGAGCAGATATAATTCCGTACGTGGAGACGTTGTCTCAGGGAGACGACCTGGAGAACGTCGACGTGACTGCATTCACGAAGGCCTAAACCGAAGACAGAATTTCATCATTTCTTGGAAACCAGAAACAAAGGGATGGCAAGTGTGTACGGAAACACGACTACAACATAGCAGAACAAAAAGTACGCACTCGCACACAAGAAAATGCATCAACGCCCCATAAAACGAATAGCATGTAGGTCCAAACTATGGCAAAAGACGGTTGGTGATCATCCTCCGCCTCAAACAAGGAACTATTCCTCTCCCACCACCTCCGACCACAAGCACATATCCAAAGGAGAGTGCTCGAGGCATCATTGACGAGGCCAGTCAGAGACGAGCGACGCCGGTATGTGATGGTTGAGAGAAAAAAGAAAATCGTCCACGCGCGTTTTATTGAAGAGCGGGGGATGCCGGCGCCATGTTGGTGGTCCTGGATCTAGCCGACGTTGAACTGATGGCCAAGCGCGTTCGTTGGCCACGTCTCAACCACGAAGGGTGGCACCAGTGGATTGTTTTCTGTCGTACGTGGTACAAGCGGTATGTAGGATATTTTGATTCACATATTCCCCACTGCAATGCTTCTCAGGACTCGAGAAAATTTTCAGAGACCTTCCATCCTTCGAATGCTTCTGCGAGTCTGAGCAGAGTCATTGACAACCACGGCTGAATCGTCTACAGTGACTAGGACCCCAAACATATACTATACCTCGAACTTTTACCAAATATACACCTCAGGGCTTTTATGATGGCCGCCCGAACACCTCTCACGTCTCGTCCGATGGACCTCGTCTATTTCATATTCTTCGTGGTAAGTTCTCCATCACCTCCAACTTGAATTGATTTTCTGAAAGAGATATGCACTCCTTTACTACCAGATACATATACCTGCTTCGCTGATCATAGACTTCCAAACTTTATACCCAAAATTCATCCTCCCGGAATTCGTAGCAGCCATACCTCGCCTGTACTTCGACACGTATGCTGACCCTCTCATTGGAGGAGCAATGGGATACCTAGGGGACAAGCCCGAACTGGCCTGGTTCAAGAGCTTCTTGGTCCTCGAACTGTGAGCGCAACATAGCCCTCTACTTAGTTCTGTATCTTAAGCTGACGCTGGTTATGAATCCCAGGATCTTCCAATTCCCTGTATTCTTCATCAGCGCGCGCGGTCTCTGGAAAGGTACACACATTTGCCGTCCTATCGTCACCTACTCACTGAACTCTTGCGCGCACCAGACTCCAAAAGCGTCTACATCCTTATCCTAGTCTACGCCGCCTCAACCAACATAACCATCCTCGCCTGCCTCGCCACACTTTTTGCGACACCGATCACTACAATCGGAGTCCATGTGCCCGGTGCTATCACGTCCAAACAGCTATTCATGCTGCTACAGAGCTATGGGCCATTCTACGTCTTGACATTGGTCATGACGGTGGAAATGGCATTTAGGTGCCACAAACTCGTGCTAAAGGCAGCCAAGGTGGAGGACGCTGCGAAGACGAAGTAATCTTGAACTGGTGGATGTGTGGAAGTCCCCTTAGATCATTTCCGAAGAAATGCTTATAGTTCTTTGCATGGCGCGCCATCCGAGGAGTCTGACTGACGACGTTCATCGGCATCTTTTCAAGCGCTGCGAAGAGGAAGTGAGGGGATTTGGTGGCTCCTCAGACGTGCTTGCTTGATAGTCTTGGCTTTATCAACGAGAATGGAATATCTGTGACCTCGTTGATTTTATTGAGTCGCAGTCGGAGTGGATATCTTCGAGAACCTGGACCTCCCCTCGAGGCTTCGAATTGAATGCAGACGGCGATCGACCACGTGATCGCGGTTGAGACGCGACGCGTTCTAATTTTCAACATTTGGCCTTACGGACGTCACACTCCAGCCACACCAATTCTCGAAGGCTACGATCGACTATCACAGCTCCAAGCTTTTTCGGAAAGACAAAACAGATCGAACGCGAGCTTTGGACTGAGTTCAACACGAGCACGCCCCAATTCGCACTTTCCCACCTAGCACCAAACACAGGACTTGCATTTCCTGGCTGGTTGACTTTTAGGCTATAGCTTCGACTTCTCTTCTTACACACTCTCCTTCTCGCCGGCCGAGCAGCCCAGAGCCCTAAAACCCAAGCTATCTACAGCACTCTCAGTGCCCCTTCATCCCCCCAACAATGCCAGCCATCGTCTCAAGTACCTTCAGCTCGTCAGAGTCAGAACACACAACCGGCATGATGTACGCAAAATAGTTTTCTCGCCGGATTGGAGCTGATGGATTCTACAGCACATACAGGCAGGTAAACTACGACGACATCCCCATACAACCCACGCCTACTAGTACAACAATATCGGGCACTGGCGGGCATCACGTTGAGAGTGTCGTTCTAGCTGCCGCGTGCGGAATTATCGCTTCTGGACTCTTCATACTCGTAAGCAACATCTCCCTTGTTGTTTTGAAGCATTTCCTGAGTTATCTGTTTTATGTGGTTGGGCGGTTATATAGGTCGTATTTCTTCTCCTCCGCCGTCGAACACAACACGCCGTCGGCCGCTCGCAAAAACATATGACCTGGATGCAACGCTCCAACGAATGGGGCGGACACTTGCCAATCCAGGTGGAGCTGAAGACTGCGTCGTTAACTAGATCGAAGTCGGAGCTGACTACGAATACTACGCAGGAGAGGAGTTTGTCGGATGAGAAGTGAGTTATTCCTCGATTTATTCCTCACCTCTTCTTTCGCTTCGTATACTCCTCCAATCTTTACTCCTTGTCATTCCCTGACCTCTCACCATTGGCTGCGCGACAATTACAGAGAGTGTTATGTCGTCCACCCACCCAGTCCACCCTTGAACGCCTTCATCCATCCCGAACGACACAACTCAGGCACACCACCTTTCGTACATTCCTCTCGATTCTAATAATACACGCATATCCTCCATCGACACACACTCCGCATTCTTGACCTCGGACCTTCTCCTGCATCGCACTCGAGTCTTTCAACTGTATCGTTATACCGTCTCCAGCAGACCTCGCCCCGCTTTGTATCATCTCATCTCACGACCATTGACGCAGATCATGACATCTTGTACTTTCTAGTATCTTCGTCCTCGCCTTATCTCCCTCGGGGTCTGATATCCATCGCTGTATCCTTATTCTGCCTTTCGTTTTGTCTAGGATTCGGACTAGCACTTAGACCGTCTCGCTGTAACTCTGGCATATTCGCACTCGTGTAGTCGATGTACTCTCGTGTCTCTTCTTATATAGAATTCCACCTCACAGACATCGAGAAGTCAGCTGAAGGTACTGTGAGTGCTGTGGCATGTAGGCTCGCTGACGCGACTTAAGAATAGCACGGTACATGATGTATTGTGCACCAAAACAGCGTTGCCGAAAATGGGATAAGGGCGAGTGTGACAAAAAGGATCAGGAAGGTCTTCGGTTATAGAACTGTCAAGTGCGTAGCAAAGATTAATGAGTAGCATTCGAGAAGACCATAGTTTATTTTGGCCATGCTCTTTGATTCAGCTCTTCAATTGCAACTCGGTTTCACTTCCAGATGTCATCTTCCTGTCATGGTGAGGTTATGTCCGATAGCATTGCGTCCAATGACCGGTTGTATGCATTCAGAACGGTTCGTACCAATAAAATTGTGTCCAGTAGTACATTTTATCTTCGCCTCTGTTTCCAGACGTATAACGAACATTAAGTTTGGGGCACGGTCCCCAGAGCGTACTCGAAGTCGGCAATGATGTCGAGTATACTCTCGATGCCGACGGATACCTAGACATCGGAAGTTTAACTATAAAGGTCGTCGTTCGCTCACGCCGAGTGCAAAGGCTCACCCTGATCAAGTCTGGCGTCACGCCCGCAGCACACTGCTCCTCCGTGGTCAACTGCTGGTGGGTCGTCGTCGCAGGGTGGATAACAAGCGTCTTCGCATCCCCTGTACCCATTCAATCCAAATCAGTATCCCATATCCCACGACAACGCTGGTCAATAAGCCAGCCACAAACCACTCACCGACATTCGCCAGATTACTCGCCAACATCAACGAATCCACAACCTTAGCCCCCACCTTCGGATCCTGTCCACCCTTCACCCCAAACGTCAACACGCCCCCATACTCTCCCTTAACCCTAAACAGCCTATTCGCCAACTCATGCGACTCGTGGCTCTTCAAGCCCGGATAGCTCACCCACGCGACCTTCTCGTGGCTCTCTAGGTACTTCGCGAGCGCGAGCGTATTCTCGTTGTGTCGCTGTCCGCGGAGCGAGAGCGTCTCGAGGCCCTGGAGGAGGAGGAAGGCGCCGAACGGGTTTTGAATTGCGCTGAGGTCGCGCATGATTTCGAGGCGGACTTTCACGGCGTAGGCTACGCGGCCGTACGTTTCGGCGAAGATCATGCCGTGATAGCCCTCTGCGGGGGTAGTGAAGGAGGGAAATTTGCCGGAGGTATAGTCGAAGTTTCCTGGAAGATCACAATATGTTTAGGTTAGGGTGCTGAAGCTGAGGGGGAGGCCGGAGGAGTAGTGGAGGAAGGGACGTGCCGGCGTCGACTATAACACCACCCATGGTGGTTCCGTGCCCGCCGATCCATTTTGTGGCGCTGTGGACGATGATGTCCGCGCCGTGATCGATAGGGCGAACGAGGTAGCCTGGTTGGATTCTTTGTGTCAGCTGTCGATGAATCTCAGGGAGAGGCATAGAAACGCACCACCCATTCCGAACGTATTGTCCACCATAAGAGGAATCCCATGCTTGTGCGCGACCTGTCCAAGGCATCGTTGAGCTTCTAAATGAACTCGTTTAAGAACGATGTATACTATATACCGTGGCAATATCATCCAAAGGGCTGACGTTGTGCTTCGGGTTGCCCATGGTCTCGACGTAGATGGCCTTGCTCCTATCGTCGATGGCAGCCTCGAATGCGGCGGGATCATCAGAGGTGACCCACTTGACGCCGATACCGAACTTCTTGAGCAGTACTGTGGTGGACATATTCGCGTTCAATAAAAATATCTTCCCCTCATTGAAATATCCCGACGACGTACCTTTGAACTGGTTATACGTCTATGGGGAGAAAAAGCATGTCAGCCCCGACGACCTCACACTATAAAGCCAGAAACATGGGACTTACCCCGCCGTAAAGGTATGAAGTAGAAACGATGTTATCGCCCGAATCAGCGAGAGCAGCAATGGCCGAGAACTGGGCTGCATGGCCACTTGACGTAGCCACCGCAGCTACGCCACCTTCCAAGGCTGCCATCCGTTTTTCGAAAACATCCTAGATACAATAGTAGGGCAATTCAGGCACTTTGCAGAGACAAGGGGCGAGAGGATGTTAGAGTACTTACCACGGTAGGGTTTCCCATGCGCGAGTAGATGTTCCCAGCCGTACGCAGGCCAAAAAGGTTCGCGCCGTGCTGTAGGCCATGCCATCAGCATCTAACCCACACATTTGGAGTGAAGGGCATCGAAGAAGAAAGCGTATGCGGGAAGGCGTAGAGGTCGCATGCACAGAAGAAAACAGCCGTAAGCGAAGAGACGTACGGCAGAGTCGTTGAAGCAGAACGAGGTCGACGAGTAGATGGGAGGGGCGCGAGCATTCGTTGCTGAGTCGGGTTCTTGCCCAGCATGCAATTGAAGCGTCTCGAATTCCGGTGCACTATTTAAATCCAAAGCACAACAATGCCCAAGAGAGGTTATGCATGAGCTACTCCTTGGAACAAGATACGAGGACTCACCGATGGAATTTAGTGGCCTGTCCTGTCAGACCTGGCAGCATTTTTTAAGGTTGTGTCTGGATGATGAGTATGTGTAGAGGTTATTCAAGGAGAAGATATCACACAGCTAGAACGGCTAGGCGGAAAAGAGGACTGGGAGCTGGAGTTCAGGAGTGTGACACCTCTCGTATAAATACCATCGAGAGTTCACTTAACAGCCCGCACGGATAGGCGGATGAAGTGGGAACGTAATGCCACGGGATGTCTTCCCACTCGCATCGGTGGAACCTGAAGTGGACGAACACTTCTAAGTGTCTGTTTGCCTGCCAATGACCCTACAGCTGCTCGGACCCTGGCATGTTCCGTGGTGTCGAGCGTACAAGGTATGGTGACCTGACGTGTTACAAAACGCGGGGAGGTTCGGGGGAAGAAGGATTGAGTCACGAAGGCCTCGGGTAGAAGGAGTACTCTTTGTCGTGAACAATGCTGAGGTAGGAGAAGCATTCATGAGAACTGAGTAAGTGTAGAACAGCGTTGCGAAAAGAGTCAATGGTTGTGGCCAATGGCAGTAGCACTATGGAACACTTCCGGGTCACCCGAGTCTCGACGAGGTTCGGTCCCTGAGCGACACGGCGACTCCCCATAGAGGGTTCGGATTGGCCGGCTCCTGGTACAGCTGAATAGGTTTCTTACAACGAAATCGTGCCCAAGCTCTTGGAAAGAAACCCTTGGCGTCCCGAGCTGTAGAACACCGAGAGGTGGCCGAGGCAGGCAGCCAGGTAAGGCGAGACCTTGAAACTCATACAAGGAAGATACTTACTCACCATCTCCTCAAAGAACCAGGGTTTGTGTATAAAGACGACGTATCGAGGTCATTGGGGACATCGGGTGCGTTACGACCTGGAAAACCAGAAGCCAATCAGTTTGCGACCAATCATCCTATATAAGATGATTCTTTATGCGGGATAGAAGGCGCAATTGAGCATCGAATAGACTCTCAACAGCACCCGTCTTCGTTGCAGTCTATTCGGAATAGGTCTACAGTGAGATCGACCGGCCAGTATTCAGGAATTGTCAGGACTCGATTGGCTAAAGAAAAGGTTTCGACCACAGTGCTGACAATCCAACCGTAGATTTCTCCTCACTATCCATAGACAAAAGAGAGTCGGTCACGAGACCATGTGAGGGCGACTCGACCTCGAACTCTCCAAACAACTTCCACGAAAGCGCGTGAAAATCTGGAGGAAGCCAGAGACACGGGAAACGATACTCGAAGCCGTTGAAGTAGCCAGCCAAGTGGATGATAATTCCATCGAGAGAGTTCCAGGTGCTACCATTACTGTCATATTATTGTCGAGCGCTCGGAGTCATGGCGATCGCGTCGCAACTACCCTAAGGGGCACACAGAGCTCTGAATAGGAAGGCCAAAGGTAGATGTAAGCACAATGAGTCTTGTGACATTACACGCAGATCGCTGGCGTTAACAGTTGTACCTCGATGCATACGCAGGGGATTGTCCATCCACATTTCTGTCCGGCTGACTATGGCTCCTTGATGCGTCGGATATTTTGGGATGAAGCACCATAGTCAGCAACATCAATATGCCGTCTAGATGCTTCGCGAGCGCCCCTTGCCCTGTTACCACTTACGAGCATTCGCCGGACGGCACGAAGACAATCATTGTGGCTGGCTTCAACAGGACGCAGAAAGTAGAAGATGTTCACCTGGGCTCACCGTTACTAGATAATCTTCGGTTACTACAAGGGATGACCCAAATATTTTACGGAGATGAAGAAACTATTGTGCTGTCTCCAAGTTTCTGCAAACCAGGGCAACATATATGAATGCCCGACGATGGAACGGTTTGGGGATAAATTGAGGGCGGTCCGGCGGCTCGAACTTGAGACCTTTGCGGGGAACAAGAAAGGCTCGCGTAGGCGTAAAGTTCATCGTTGTTTGGATGTGTAGGGTGCTATTGACTTCAAATATACGAACGCCTGAATTTATGGCAATTTATTGGAGAGAAAGAAGCGGGAGAGAGCAAAGGAACCGAAGGCGGAGAGATGAAGTGCGCGTGCCTGCCATGCCGGGAAGAGGTGGCCCATTTCCGAATTCGGACGGGCTGCGGCAACTGGCGAGGGCGCCGTTACGAGCGTCGGTAAGTGGTGCTGCCATCGTTGACCACGGTGAACGCTACGTGCTCGTCGCTGTCTCCCTCGTCGTTCTCTACCGCTCCTTGATCCTGGACGTTCCTTCAGCCCTGTCTCGTGCCACTCGTATGTTTACTGCCCCGACTGCGCGTTCCCATCGGTGCTAAAACAGGCTCTGGCAAAGCAGGGAAATAGTGCACTGATGCAGCCCTCCGACGACGAAATCCAGCGCGAGGTCGCCAGCCTCCGCGACTTTCGACGGCGCTCGACGGCGCAGGGCGGTGCGCCCCACATCCTTGACCCCGATCTCCCCTCGCCGACGTCGCAGAATGCACGAGACGGATACTGGACGCCAACTTCATCCACGACCACAAGCGACTCCTCCAGCGACTCGCACTCCCATGAAGAATCAGTCACTAGCGTCGACAGCTCCACCGATGACCCCTTCCACCTGTTCTGGGTCCCAGCAAACATGCATCCAGAGATCGACCCCGCACAGTTCCGCACTTTCCTCAAGGAACATGCTCGTGCGCCAGGCGAAGGCGCGGAGGCATCACTTACCCGCGAACGTTCGCTCGGCTCGGCCTCTCTAGGACGTAAAAAATCGATGCTTAGCAGGCAGTACAAGCCCCAGGAAGGGGATGGTGTGGAGGAGGAGATGGTCCTTCCACTTCGGAGAAACAGGTCCAGCCTGTACCAACAGTTGAGCGGCCCGCAACTTACCATCAGCGATCTCGAGAGACTCGACGAGCTGGCGGAGGAGGCTACCCAATCCAGTGATCCTTCTAAGCTTCGGAGCGTGCTTCGTCGCAGTCTTAGTATGAACATGGCCCCTTCAGGTTCGTCACTCATCTCGCATCGCATATGACCATCAACACCATCATCCTTTCCGCGCCCTCGGTGCTAATGATCGCGCCGCATGCCATTCTTGCAGTCATTGACAAGATGGACGATGTACCTGATATTGGCGACGAAGCCGACTCACCCATCATCGTCCCTCGTCCTGGCCAAATTCTCCGTCGTGCTGCTCGCACCAAGATTCGCAAGCCGGGACAGACCGGAGAAGGCGCTCATCGATTCAACGCTACTCGCAGAGGCTTGGGCCGCTCAGGCTCTACCAGTAATATCGAAACCACACCCTCCGAATCTTCCGATCCTCGTGCTTCGACATCGAGCGAGCTATCCTCGAGCGACCATGGTGAGACTACTACTGAACGCCCAAGACGGCAGCGAGTGACCAGCAACGAAAGCTTCCTTGATGAGACGCCTCGTCTTGTTCGGCCGGAATCTTACAGCGTCGAGTCTTTCATCTTCGATTCTTATGCCTCTGATGACCACGGGATTGACGACCTCGCATTATCTCTGACGACCGAACCTACACCCATCCTAAATCAGGCCGCACCTGCACCGGAGCCTGCCATTCGACGCACTGCGTCACCGACACAGCTCCCTACTGTACCCGAGGTAGACTCACGCGAGGCGACGCCTTCCATTTCACCTGCTGTTTCTCCGCCCGCTGCTCCTTCCCCTGTTCTCCATCACCCACAGCCCACCCGTGCCCAAATCCCAGCCGACGAGCAAGTCGAATCGCGTACTCCTTCTCCTGAAGTCAAGTCATCCTACGAAAATGGGACACCGCCACGCTCGTCCGTCTCTGAACCTCCCACTCCTACGCCCGCTACACCACCCTCAATAGGCTACGACTCGAGGAAGGACAAAGACAAGGATAAGGACAAGAAGGGTCTCTTCGGGAAATGGGGAGGTGAGAAGAAGAGTAAGAAGGAGAAGGAGCGCGAGGCCAAGGAGAAGGAAAAAGAGAAGGAGAAGGAGCCTGGTTTCTTTGGCTCTTTCTTCGGTGGCTCGAAGAAGAAACAAGACGAAACGTCTCCTGGGCTCGGTACCGGCTCTCACCGCGAAGCTGCCGCCGCCCTCCTCGGCGCCTCCAAATCCTCGAAGAGTTACGTTCCCTCTCCTTCGCCACAGCCGATCGGTGCACTGGGCAATTACGCGCGATATCCCATCCATGTCGAGAGGGCGATCTACAGGCTGAGTCATATCAAGCTCGCGAACCCGAGGCGGCCGCTTTATGAGCAAGTGCTGATCAGTAACCTCATGTTCTGGTATCTGGGGGTAATAAATAAGGCGCAGCAGGCAGCACAAGCGGCGGCGACTCCGACGGCTGGAGTGGGTGCGGGTGCTCAGGCTGAGCCTACAACGGCGGCTCCGGAGAGCGAGATGGACCAGGCGGAAAGGGAGCAGAAAGAAAGGCAAGAGCAGGAGAGGGCGGAAGCTGAGCGGCAACAACAGCAGATGGAGAGGGAGGCGGCGGAGAAGGAACGGCTGGAGCAGCAGCAGAAGTCGCGGAAGGGTACGTTGAACAAGGCGGGCCCTCCGGCTGGAGGAAATCGCAGAGCCGAAGTGCCAGTGCGAGGGCCACAGTACGATATGCAGCATCGTGCGATGGAAAATGAGTACGGAGGCGGCTACAATTCCAGACCTTCATCTGCACCTCCTGGGCAGGCGCCTGCTCAACCCAGAGGATCTTCCGACGCACCCCCCGCATTCCACGCTGGTCAACCTTCCGTCGCACAGCCGCAACCTCAACACGCGCATTCCGCCAGCAGTCCGAATAACTTCTACGTCGGAGGAGGTCCTGCAGGAGCTGGTAGTACGCCGCCGCAGGCTCCAAGATCAGCGAGCCCGAGTAAGTCCCACTTACCACCCGGCGCGATGCCTCCGCCGGATCGGGACCAGCCCTGGCATTCGCTTGCATCTCCCCCGCTGAACCTAGATCTATCATCCCCTTCAGGTCGGACAGGCTCTCCGCCAGAAGTTTCCAATGCTCGGCATTCTCGATCGCCACCGCCACACAACTCCAACAGGTACGGCGTGGCAAATGAGAAGCACGTAGCTGGGAGTGGCGGTGGAGGTAAGGTGCCGGCGCGCTCGATTTCGGCGCAGGCGGTCCCGCCGCAACACGGACATCATCATCATCATTCGGCAGGTGGCGGAGCGTTGTTGAACGGTAAGGGGAGAAAGGCGGTGAGCGCTCATGCAGCGCCACCGGTGAATATGAGGAGGACGAGAACGAGTGAAGGCGGTGAGGAGGAGGATGTACCACTGGCGCTGTGGCAGCAACAGCAGCAACAGAGGAAACGATGATTCAAAGGGAAATTGGGGCAGCATGAGACAGGCTTGTGGCTGACGGTTCGTTTTTCTGGTTTGTTGGCTTGTTTCCCTCGATCTTAGGATATTTACTCTCCTCTATTCTTCTCGTCCCCACTCGATGTTTATCATTTCCTCCCCTCGCTCCTGTACGTGATGTTGTTAAATCGCCGCCCACTGTTGATCCTACCCTCGGGCCCTCGCTCTAGACGCTCTCGCTCTGAACTTTTCTCGTTATGTAGTGACGCATCTAAATCCCTCCTCGCTGTCACCGCTCTCGGCTTCTAATTGGCGCACTTGCCATCGCGCTCCACCTCTTTCGTGTCACCCTTTCACCCCTCATTTCATCTCTTACTATTCCAGCACCGAACATTCGTCATTGTGATCCATCGAATCAAACCCCAACACGTATAATTTCGCCCCGTCTTATACCGTACAAATATTCCTACCCCAGGCCTGGACCATCATTCTGCCCCGCACCCATAACCCAACTATCCTCGCATCGAATCATCCGCGCACCCGCCCACCTCCCCTCGCCAAACCTGACTCCCCCACCCCCTCCCTTTTCTCTTCTCCATGCAGTACTATTACCTTATTATCGACGTCCTTTCCTCTTCCAGCTTATGCGTTCATGACGTCCGCGGACATTTTTTTCCCTTCTCACTTCTCACTTCTCGCTTACGCTCTTTGTCTCTTCTCTTCCATTCCCCATCTTACGTCTCTGACAATGCTTCAAGTCACTTCCTCATCCCCCGCCCCAGCGTTGTTTTTTCAATTACAATTACAAGCACTTCGGCTTCGACGACGTTGTCTGACTTCTTCGTCTGGTTCTCGTTCTTTTTTTCGATTGATTTCTGAGTCTTTTTTTCTTTCTCATAGCTTGTTCATCTCTCGTCTTCGATATCATGTCATGTCATATCATCGTTTTTTGTGGTGCCTCCGAGTTCAGCTTCAAAACCATTGTTGTTTTTCCAGGCTTTCGTCATGACTTGCTTGCTCTGCTCGATGATCGTGAGGTGACGGTGGCGCCATGGACTGGTCGAGGTGGATCAGACGAGCTCTGAATCAGGTGAGATGAGGCAATCATGCATTTCAACCCGAAAGGAACCTGGGGCGTCAAAGGGCCACCAAGGGGCCCGACGGCTTGGCTCCCTTAAACCCCAATTTGGCCGACAAAGCAACCGCATCGAGATCCTACTCTTTGTCCTAACTTCGTCCTCAGACCTCGGTGAAAACAGCATCGAGGAGTACCTATGGAAGCGCTCTCCCGGGGCACTTCATAGATGGGCATGGCGACTGGGATCCGGTTCTATGGGCTGTCCAGTAGCATCTACTATGAGTTCTATGAAACTACGTAGTCTAAATATCCGTCCGTTGAGGCATTTAGCACGAAGACGGACTTTTGTTCTTGATTCTACGTGTACACATACATATCTACAAATGTCGGTCCGCCACAATTCTCGACAGTCTACTTAAGAGGCATCGTTAAACCGGTGGACGTGATCGCACAAGAGCCGTAGTACGCAACTCTGAAATTCCATAATCTTCCGAATTGAATATTGATCATACATGTCCTGGTCCCAACACAATATTCCCCAATCCGCCTGCATCCTCATTCCCGCCGATACGAGAGTTATACACCTCGATGATCACTGCGCCAGGGACCGATAGCTCGAGATTCATGTATACAGCGGCGGAGTCTGCATGGGCTCTTGACGTTATGCCGCTTTGTCAAGTAATTGCAATGTTCGTGGTCGCATCTGTCTCCTTCTAGTCTAGTCGCTGTGTAGTATCGAGTCCAGAGTGTTATGAACTTTTTGTATTGCAATAAAATATATTATGTTCCTTACCTACGTATGCATGAGCGAAAGAAAAAGAAAAACCCCTCGCCACTGGCACAAATGCCACAGTCGAGTCAAATCAGCGATGATTTGAATCGGCTTCCGGTCCGACGTTCTTACTTACGCCACTCTGCTCGGGCCACAGTACTGATCTCTATCGAGATCATCTCCTCGTCGTTCCTTATTGTCCTCTTCGAGTGTTCTGTGGTTTTGTGCTGCTCAGTAATCCTCACATGATTATTAATGCACTTGCTTACTGTTCTGTTTCTTTATCCTTGCTTTTCCATTCGTTACTCTTGGATATTGCTTAGAAGGCTCTCAATTCTATTGGTTGGCTTTCTAAATCGCGCAATTATTCTCTCGTTGCTCTTAGTAGTTCGAGTCATTCATGCTTAGGTAGTTTCATTAAGCCTGAATGTATAAAAACATGTAGCTACACTACAATAAATCCCCAGACTTGTTCTGGTCTGTTTCCTCCCTTAGCCACCTCTTCAGCTTCGTCTCAACAAGTCAAGCGCGACCTAGAGAACCCTAATCGAGTCGTTGACACAGAGGCCATTGCCCGCATATCTTCCGGATCAGGTTCAGCAAGGGTACCTGACCGAGAGGTAGTATGAAGTTGTTGGGTGACGTGGATCTGGATTTGAGTTCATTGAGCGAAGTCCGAGTGAATCATGGGAAGGTAATAAGTTGCCTGAAAAAATCATACCACAGGCAGCTGTCAGTATTTATGACCCATGACAGTATTGATAGGCGGAAACAGAACCAACCCACCAACGTTCTGTCGGTGACAATAACTTGAAAAATACATTGAGGAGTGCGAATTTTGCAGCAGCGACACTTTCAGGTGCGTTTACTTCAGCTCCATAAGCCAGCACATCGCGTACATTTTTCCATGAGCTTGGATGGAGCCGCGAGCGGCTGCCCTTGCGCTCGGTAATTACTTCCAGAAGCATGATGATATCGGTCCGATGGCTCAGAAGGAGCCAGGAATCTGGGAGTCGAACCAGAGTTGTGACAAGATGAATCATTGAAGAAACAATGAAGGTGTCAATATCAGAATACGTATCGGACTCGTGTTCGATATCCAAGGAAGCTGCGTCAGGGAGCTTTAACTGGCCAACGGCATCTAGTAGATGGCGGAGTTCCCATGATTTATCACTGGCTACCATGATGGATATACGGTCAGGCTGTAATGCTGCGCTCACAAAAGTATCGCAGCCATTTCGACAAAGCGAACTGAATAGCGCGGCCAGTGTTAGCGAATGGCCATATTCTGAAGCATCATTGAGATAACACCAGAAATCGAGCAGGACAGCTGTGCTGTCGTAAGTTATGAAGTCTGCATGTTTGTTGAGTGGAATCAGGGGTGCCAATACGCGATCAAAGGCTGCGATGCTCGCTTCTTTGGAGATTCTGCGGGGGAAAAAGCTCTTTATATCGATCTCTTCGATATTTTCAGAGAGAATGTTCAAAGCCTCAAATCTGATGAACGTCAGCAGACGGCTGACACGAACGGATGACGCCTGATCCAGGAAGGGACTTCCATCCACAAAAAGCAGCGCTATCGAAGGTGCAAGGAGTCGTGCGTTCCTGGTGTTTTCCTCTATGAGGAGACATACTAGGCCCTGCATATACGTAGATGTTGAGAGAATTTCCCGGGATTTGTTGGATGATACAGTCAGACGCTGACGCATAGCAGCGCCAAGTAGGGCTACAGCCCATTTATATCTACTCTCGATCGACAGGATACCATGTTCTGATAGAATTTTTCAAGTGGGTCAGTATTCTCACAACATGTGGTGAACGTTACGGGAACACGAACCGTCGATTTTGTTCACCATCAACGCAGCAGTGATATTTGTTCGCCGACTACATTCGGGCGATAGCATGTAAACAATAGTATCCACAAAGCTACTTTGCAATCGCCAAGGCACATATTGCTCCGCATATCGGGGCAAGGAAGGACGGGTTAAGTCCCATAAGGCAGCGGTAGCACTATCCACAGCGTAATCGTCACACGTGAGGACGAGTGTTTTGTGATATATCGCGATTGCCGTCTCGGGTATTGATTCGGCCATCAATAAGTCGTCGTTGACATCGTTGGCATCACCATCGTGTGGCAGACCATCGGATACAGCGTGGCGGCGATGCTCGATGAACGACGACAGGAATGACTGATACGGCGAGGTCGACGGATAGAGGCATCCGTGAATAACAGTGAGAACCAGAACGAGACCCGAGAGGCCGAAAAAGACGGACGACACGAGTCCTGCTCCTAGGAGCGGTACAGAGAGCAAGGGTAGCGCTAGAGCGCTCGAGAGTAAATTGTCCAGTAGGCCTATAATAAAGAGTACCACCGCGGGGACCAAAAACTGCGGCAGCGCGTCTACCACGGGTCGGAGTACACGATCGGATTGCATCCATCGAGTGTATATCTCGACAAGCTTCTGGTTTACCTGCTTGTGCTTTGGATTGTATCGTGTAAGAGACATCAGGTAGCCGCGTCCTGAGACCGCTATGGAGGCAATGCAAAGCTGGAAGCAATATTGATCAAAGGAGTATGCTAGCAATAACCGAACTAAGTAGTATGACTTACGCTTATGATGAGAGAAAGAGACCAGTATACATTTAGACGGACAATCCTGGGGTCTGGATCGAATTGAGTGGGTGGTGAGATGTGTAACGCGGACGTGTTGGCGCTGAGCTGGATAATTATTTCTGTAAGGTTCGATAAAAGTTCATTGGTTCGGTCACTCGGGTCCTGCGAGAGGCCGGTAGACGCCTGAACGAGGAAGGACGTGACAACAGCAGAGAAGAGAGCGATCTGGTTCAAGGATGTCAATTACAGTCCGCATGCATCGCAAATATTGTTGAACTCACAAAGATGAGTAGCGTGTCCAAAGTCGATCTCCATCTTTCAACGTCTGGTTTGACAGAGTTCTCCATGGTTGATTTAAGCAGCGAGTTCCAAGCACTCGAACTGCTGCCAGGAACTTCGGGAATCGGTTTCCTTGAGGTATCTGTTCTAAATAGAGTTAGATACCCGAGTTGAACCATGTTATGATGGCATACCCTGTTCCTCCTGTCTCTCGTCTATGCGCTTTAGAAGATCTGAGTAATGAACGCAGTCTTTAGTTGGTGGTAAAGTCAGATGAGATGTAAGAACAGTATACACAGACCAACAGTGATATTTTGGCTGTCTACCATGTTCTTCACCGCATCCGATAACGTGTCTATAGCATTCACCACCCTTTTGCTATAGGAAGATAAAAAAGGGAGAGAGAAGTATGATATCTAGTCGCTCACATTATCGCGTCCTTTTCAGGCTCACTGTTCTGTCTTGAAGGTTCTATCGGCGCAGAGACCGACGGTGATCTAGGAGGGATCTCAGTCAGTGCAATGGTGAGGCGCTCGGAGTCGATGAGGCATTCACGCCGTGGTGACCTTCACAGGGTCAGCTCTGTTCATGGACCCGTCCGGACTGTTGGATCGAGGCGGGTCGTCCATTAATTTGAATGCCGTTGCAGGAGGTGATGAATATTGGGGCAGGAGGTGGGTTGTGTTGGGTTGGAGAGGCGCAGACGAAGAGGGTAGTGAATCAATGCGCTAGCAAGAGTGGGCTTTTGTTTATGAACTGTGACTCTTCTCTGAGGCATCATTACGGAGATAACAAGAATAGTGAGCACACAGCAGCTGTGAGTCGGCATGTTCTATTCTGATTGAAAGCATTTTTGGAGCAGTTTGAAAGGGCTGGAGAGACCAATTGCTCCCCCTTTCCCCACGACGGATATAATTGACATCTCTTTCTCCCACACAATGTGTTCAATCTCGATCTGCAATCACCAAAAATGTCGCGAAGACGGCACCGGTCTTCGGCAGGCTCACCATCTAGTATAGAAAGCAGAAAGAGCACTTGAGCACATAGTGCATTGGCAAGGAACGTGATTCGATGGAGTTTGTGGAGGTAAAAATGATACGCTCCGATCCAAGGCCAAGAACAGCCTTAAGAGTTGCTTGTGGCGCATCGTGGCGCGGCGCGTTCCACTGCCGGCTAGTTCCGAGAAATTACACTGGGTCCGACACCCAGGTCACAATTTTTCCATCCCGGACAGCATCTAGGAAGCCTATGCAGCCTTCAGGCGCTGTACTCGAGTTAGACTTTGAGTGCCACTTCAGTCACAGGCCACATCGTCATGCCATCAGGTCAAATGGTACATTGTGCCGGCAATGTAGCGAGAGGCTTACTTTGGTCAGTGGTGACTATAAACTGCCCTTTCGGGCCCTACCCTGGTCCCTTTAGCTATCAGTAATAGAAACTATATTGATGGACTTTGGATGCTAATCTGACGGTAAACTCGCGCAGGGCTCCGCTACGCTCCGCCCCGCGTACTAAAAAAACCTTGAAGTTTACCAGTCGTTCTGTGTTCTGGGGGCCGAAGGGAAGGAAATACTCTACTTCAGGATTATGCCTCTCCTGATGTACATCGGGCTATATCCCACATAGAATGTGGCACCGGGACATGCAATATTGTCTATATTATACTATATACTAGTACACTGACAACTGGAACGAAGATGCCAACCTCTGTGGACCGCCCTGCCCACCCTCCTTGCCGGGGCGATCCACAGATGTTGGCCTCTTTTCCAATCGAGTCATGCAGATGCAGTATTTATTCAAGTAGGGGTGTATTGGGAATGCACGAACATCGGCCTTATTTATGAGCTCGAGACGACGAGAGTGGAGGAGGATGGAAGGCCGGCCGGCCGTGTGGCCAATTGCAACGTGTGGCAAGCACGCGAGTAGTGCGGTCTGGGCGCATGGGAAGTGCCGATCGGAACGAGACTAACTATGTCTGGCTGTTTGACGAAAATTAGCTGCTAACAGACCTTGTCCCCTAAAGGGACCAGGAACTGTAGTTTTTCGACCAAGTGTTCGTGGGAGAGTTACGTCAGCCGTGACCACCGCTGGGCCACGGTTCGTTCGGGTGAGCCACGCGTGACGAACAGGCGAAATTGTTCGTATTCGGGCCAAAAATCGAATTTTTGGCGATTTTCAGGGCAAATCGGTCACGATTTTCTGTTCGTGAACCCCCATGTATGCGTGACCCCGAGACCCAATCTGTTCGCCGACGCACTCCGCGTGACGCGTGACGAACAGTTGGTCGAAAAACTACAGTAGTAGACCGTATCTGCAACCGTTTAAAACGGCTTTAAAACTGCGATCGGGCCAATCGTCGCGTCCCGTTGGGCCTTAGCGAGCTTTAGCGAGGTCAAAAATTCACTCGCAGATACGGTCTAGTACGAAGACTGAGACTCGGAAGATCTTCAGGTTCGCCATACTTAGCTACGAGTCGCTCTGAAGTGTCAGATGTCTCCTAAAGCTGTTAAAGTTAGTGATACGTGCGAGTGGTGAACCGATAAGTAGTAAATAGCCTGGCAAAAGAGGCGTAATAAGTAGGGGATTCCTCCTGCAACCGAGTCATGTAGCTTGACGCACCTCAAACTCGCTTCCAAAAGCTTCTCATTTTCGACAATGGTACGAAGGAAGAGAGTGACGAACTTGAAGGTGGCACTGATGCGATGGCACAGCGGCGTCAAGCCTGATTTCCAGACACCGGAGGATTCCGGCAGGGTGACTCCATGCGTAACCCACGCGGACCGGTTCGAACTTCTTTCTTCCAAACCAACTTTGAAATTCATAATGGGGCCAACCAATGGCGCAAACTCTGAGCTCTCCATCCCCTTACTTCTCTCACCTTTTGTCTCTTTCCATCCCCTTCTACTATAATATGTTAGCTATAAATGCGCACAAAGTGATGTAAGATTCATGCGAAACAGCCCAGTGGTTATCGAGATAATCGTCATTTCGTCCTCTCGAACTCGCCCACAAGGCCTTTGTGGGTCCCAGCATTCGCTACCTAATTCGGTCATTTTCCATTATAGGTTACAACTGCTGAGTGCCGTGACTCGCATGCGATACGATCAGATAACACTTATTTTTCTTGGATCTGGGCACGGTTTCGGACTGATGGGCCTCGGTATGTTTCGCCGTCCTTTTGTCCTGGTACCTTTTGCCGGGAGGAGTTTGAATCCGTTCTCTGGCATATAAAGACCCACTTGAACTCGCTTATGATCCCCCACCTTCTCTCTCCTCTACCACCACCATCGCCTCCCTCCCCCACCAAGTTGGACCGGACCCTAGGTGAGTTCCTTCAACATTTCTCTTACACTTACTCGCTCCTCCCCTCTCTGTCTTTGCCTATTCTTCATATCACCCTTGTATTTGGTCGCTGACGTCATCACTGCCGTCGCGCGTACTCCCCTCCATCGCGCTTGTTGTTATCTACCCATTTTCCTTTTTCATCTCGCTCTTCTCCTCTCAACGTTCAACATGCTCACTCGTCTTCATCCCTACAGGCCACCCGATTGGATACCGGTGTCAAGACTCAACATCAAGACCTCAAGCCGGGACCGTGTTGGATTGGGATCGCTCGCGACGCGATCGACAGGCCATGGGTGTCACGGGGATGTACGCAGAGTCGCGTTGCGTTGGCCTCAAGAACCTCGAGGGATATGCAGTGGCTTCCCAGGACATAATACCCTGACCCCTCATTAAGGGACATGCCGGCCAGCGTCGTGCATTGTCCTGGGGATGGTCCAATTTTTTAACTTGCTTGACACCCTTCGGGGGTGTCACTTTCTCTTCGAGGCTAGTCCTCTCATTATGTCTCCTGGTACGGCGTCGGCCTGGGATTAGTACCTCTTCAGAGGGAAGCTAACAGACGTACGTACTATACCGTTGCTTCAATGTCGTCGTGTCCGGCAGACATCTGTTCTATGACTGTCATTGTGTAGTACTTAGTGTACTTCACCGGTCAAGAGAAACAAAACATACATTTCCTGAGAATTTTGTGCTGCGTCAACTGTGATACCTGATGGTGTCCGCGTGCAATTGTCTAGACTCTCGAAAGACCTGCTCACGTTGTGCGACGTCATGTGTCAGAGTTGCTCTTGCAGCCATGACGCCCATATAAGCACCCTCACCCCATGCTAGTAAGCCGGAGCATCGGAACCACCAGGCGTACGATAAGCCAACCGTCACTAGCATTTAGACCCGGGCGAGGCAGATGATGAACAAACTAGAGTCTGGACGTAGAAAAAGAGATGCATATGCACAATAATAACATGATACAAGGAAGGTCGTAGATATCGTATGATCCACTCATTCATAACCGGATGGTGGACTGGGCGTGAGGCATATGTCGTACAAGGAGTAGTATGTAGAGTATGGCGAAGGACGAGAAAATTGAAGCAACACATTACGGGTGATCGAACAGAAGTATGAGGATAATTTGGAACGCCCGTTGTCATCGAACATGTACCTTCTCCGTTTCCGACATCTGGGGTCTCTCCACTCTCGACCTACGACGTGGATTCAGATTAACACCACCCCCACGAATGCACACAGTATCCCGAAGATGACGAAGGCGACTCCACAGTCTCTGAATCACGACCGGCAATCTCGACACCAATCCAGCTAATAGACACACACAATACAGGACAAAGATCATCAGAAAGGAATATACGACTACGATATCGACCTCGAAACAAAACTAGAATAGACGCACCACTCTGCCGCTCCTCTGGCTTAGAGTCCTGCGTTTGCTCCTGTGGCGGTATCTCCGGCGACTCGGGACCTCCCTCTTCTGATTCCATCAACTCAACATCGACATCGACATCAAGATCCAAAGGCGGAGTAGGAGGCGTATCCGGCCTCTCGATCGCTCCCAGATATCGTACGAATTCACCGCCGTACATAGGCTGATCTCGGCGCATGCGGCGTCGTGTGGCGAGAGGCAGATCGTTGGTTTGTGTCACTGTGGCGAGAGATGGGTCGGCGACTTCTTGTGTGGGAATAGGCAGATCGTCAACGGTCGGTCCTGGGGCTATAGTAGAACTCGTGTTGGAGTTGACTGTGGCTGTGTTGGATTCGAAGAGGACTGGGATGGTGGGAGCTGATCTGGATCGTATATGACCATGAGAATGAGTATGGACTCCGGATACGGTGCGCCTATGGTCGTTGTTGTTGTCATTGGGGAAGAATGTGACTGTTCGGACGTTGCGAGGGAAAGCGGGGTACGCGTATTGAGACGAAGGCGGCGAAATTGGAGAGGGCTGAGAGGGCTCTGGCGAAGAAAGAGGTGGGTCAAAGTCGAAGAAGTCATTTGGGGACTCCGAGAGTGGTTTCGTGATGAAATCCGCAAGGTCTGGATTGAGCTTCGCGTCGTAGTCGTTCTTCGCGGCGCCAGCAGTCCAGGATTTGAGCATATCTGTCGTGTCTGTGGGTGTGGATGGAGATGGGGAGATGGGGCTAAGCTGGCGCGGGCTGGCGGTGTGAATGTTGGAGGCGGTGATGAGGGGGGTGGAGAGCGTGATGCTGCGTCGGTTAGCTCTTTGACGGAGACCGGAGGTTGAGATGAGAGTGGGTTCATCGTCTTTGTGAGCCGTCCGTCGTGGACTTGGAGTACTCGGCCCAACACTATTATTTCTACGCAATATTCCCCCGTTAGAGATAATGATAGAAGGAGAAGATGTTCAGACAACTCACCTCGTCGACGAACCCGAACTCCTCTTGAACATCCCATCCAAACTGGCCATACTCTCCCTCTTCTTCCAAGTCGACTGCTTCTCCATGTATATCATCGACATCACGAGCATGAGCACCCCCCACGCTCCGCCCGACTTGAACTCTTCATGCTGCTCGATGTTGTCTGGGTAGTTTTGATGGAGGCTGGAAAATTCCGAGGCGAGCCAGTGGCGCGCTTGGGAGGGGGTGGTGCACGAGTCGGACAACCAGGCCCTAGTAGTACAGATCATTGAAGGTATGGAAATGCGATGAATGCGAGTTCGGATAAGAAACGGCCCAATTCTCAAGAGTGAGAGAAGAGACGTACATTCTAGGCATGCAGGTGTAACATTCGTCATCGTTAGAGAATGAGACCTGCTCGCTCTCCCAGTCTATACCGTTCAGCGAAAGCAGATGTCTCCAGAACTCCAGCTGTGCACCTTTCGCGATCTGCATCGCAGCAGTAACAGCAACAGCAGCAAGACAGAGGTCGATAGCGAACGGAAAGAGGAGATGGTTCGAGGAGGAGAAAGACCGCCGAGAGGCTCAGCTGGTGCTAAAAGTACTCGCCTAGATTACATTGCATGAGACGATAGGGCGCTTAAGTGTGGCGTGGGGCATGCATCCTATGTGAGGCAGTGGATGTGCGGGACGCTGGGCCAATTGCAAGCGAGGTTTATGTTGGTAACATGGCAACGAAGCTGCAGGAGAATGCAAGGTGCACAAGCAACGTAACCTCTTGAGGAAAGTCTGCCGAGCTCAGGTGGTGAGCGGATCGATAAAATGACGAGAGCACAACAAGAATTTGACAAGAATAGCCTAGGAGTGGACGTGTTGCAGCGAGTCGTGGGCGGTCGAGCGGCTAAAACGTGGCGATGAGTAGAGCAGCAACAATCTCTAAAACGAGAACAAAAGGGGACAAGATGAGATGATTGATTCTTTGTATAGAACGGCCCGAGAACTTTCAAGATCCCGAGAACAGATTGTGTCGCACTACTTATATCGTCCTCGTTCAAATCGATGTGGACGTTGGTCAACTTGGATAAGATGACTCATCGAGGCTCAGGCGGTGCCACAGGGGGCGCCACTCGTCTTAACTCCGAAGACTCCGTGCTCTTTGACCGACCGACCTCAGGGCCACAAAAATGGAACAAAATATTCCTCCAGGACCCAGATAAGTGTGTCAAAGGTGTTCCCTGCCACTGTGATAGTAGATTGACCAAACGTTCACAATTGTTGTGATTTATTACGAATATTTGATCATGGCCGCAGCCGCGGAAGAGCGCCGTTTCGCGCCCACGTGAGATTGCGCTTTCCAACAGGCGAAGTTCGAACTTATCTCTGCATGGCCCTGAGCGCGTCGATCTGAGAGTTTGTCTGTATCTTCACAAGCGTATACCCGGCGCTCACCATGGGCCAAATGGTGAAGAAGACCCAGAGCCAACGTTCCCGTTTATTCTCCCTAACTCTCTACGCCATCATCCTCACCACAGGCTTCACGCTCACGCTCACCGCCTTCAGCACAGATTCTCTATTCGAACACGGACATCATCATTGTCACCGACTTCCCCTCCATGCTCAACATATCCTCAACAAATGTTCGACACTGAACGCGAAACCAGCTCCACCACCTGATTTCTATGAACGCGGACAATCGGACAGGTTCGTGCGCGGAACGAAACCTACGTTGATACGGAATGCAACGTTGTGGACAGGAGCTGTCGATGGTCTTGAGACTATCAGAGGGGATCTGTTGATGGAGGGAGGGATCATAAAGGCGGTGGGGAATGTGGATGCGGGATTGTTGAAGCAGCACGAGGCGTATGAGTCTATTGATGCGAAGGGTGCTTGGATTACGCCTGGGTACGTCCCAAGTCGGTCTCTGGACGCATTCCGTGCTTTCGCTGATATGTGACTGTGTTCGTGTTTTTTGTGCGTGGATAGAATCATTGATATTCACTCCCATCTCGGAGTCTTCTCGTCGCCTTCCTTGAGTGGTTCGGGTGACGGTAACTCTTTCAAAGGGACCATTCAACCCTGGCTCCGTGCTCTCGATGGGTTGAACACACACGACGAGGGTATGAAGCTCGCTATTGCCGGAGGCGTCACCACGTCGCTCATTCTCCCTGGATCTGCCAACGCTATCGGTGAGCTGCCAACTCGTCTATTTTCCATTCAACGACGATCTTCTCATATTTGTACAGGTGGGCAGGGCTTCGTTATCAAGTTAAGGCCTACGGAGGAAAGATCTACGAGCGCTATGTTGCTGGAGCCTCCGTTCGAGTATAATGGGACCGGAGTATACCCTTCTGAGTATCCCAGGTGGAGGCACATGAAGTACGTCCATGGTTATCACCCACGCGCATCATGACCTTTGTGTCGTGCGGAGACTGATCATAGCACAACTTTGCTATCATGTCTTTTCATAGGCATGCTTGCGGTGCGTGACCATGTATACTTACTGCATTTCAGTGCACAGATTAAACTGCCTAAATCCTGTGGTTTGTGTAGGAGAGAACCCAGGCACGTAACCCAACCTTTCATGGAGGCGTTCAAGTATCTCCGTGATTAATCTCCTCACCAGCCCGGATATACGACGACACACGAATGGACTCTGTCTGGGCCTGGCGTCAAGCGTATGCGCCTCTCCCCTTATACTTTCTCCCTTTCATGCATACCCACATCCGCTTCCTAGGTACGATACCGCACGCAAATTCAAGAAAGAGCAAGACGACTTCTGCGCCGCTGCTCAAGCTGGGCGCTGGGATGCCCTCGAAGGTAAATCGTTCCCAGAGAATCTGCAATGGGAGGCTATGGTGGATATCTTGAGGGGAAAGGTCAAGGTAACTACGTCACCTTCAATACTTCCTCTCAAACAGACAGAGGAGTGCGAACTTAGCTAGGGGCGCTGATGCCGACGTATAGGTCCAAACACACTGTTACGAGGCTGTGGATTTCGATAACTTCGTTCGGGTAAGTCATCTTATCAGTTTATGCTGGTGGTCGAGCGATTCTCCAACAAACTCGGATGGTCCGTGTCTAACGAGAAAATATCATGTTTTCAGTTGACGAACGAGTTTCAATTCTCCGTCGCTGCATTCCATCATGCACACGAAGCTTACCTCGTCCCAGAGATCCTCAAGAGAGCCTACGGTACGTTATCTCCTCCCCTCGTTCATTCCCTTCAGCTATATCCTACATACCTACTCGCTCACGCCTGTATCCGTGCACCTGATCTAATTTCGTGTATTTCGTGTCGCTCATTCTGGATGTAGGACCCACGCCTGCGGTCGCCATCTTCTCCGTCTTTTCGAGGTACAAACGCGAATCGTCACGCGCTTCCGTATTCGCTGCGAAAGTCCTGAACGAGGCCGGGATCCGTGTTACAATGAAGGTGTGCTACTTCTTAATCTACACCTACGACCACTGTCTTCTTGATTATATCTCAGAAGGTAGAATAATAGCTGACAACGACTGTTATGTAGAGTGATCATCCGGCCATTCAATCGAGGTATCTACTCCATGAGGCGCAACAAGCGCATCATTATGGGCTGCCAAGTTGGGCTGCGTTGGCTGCTGTGACGAGCACGGGTGCGGGGATTATTGGGATGGATCATAGAATTGGGTATCTCAAGGAGGGTACGTTGAAATGTTTCTTGAAGTCAAATCTGGGTAACTGATAATTAGTTGAATGATGTGCTCGACAGGATACGACGCCGGTACGTCACTTTTGCAAATACATCCATTCTAAGAACATCATTGCATAAACGCCGTGAACTAACCTCCGTTTTTTCCGCCCTCCGCTCATACACATAGACCTCGTAATCTGGGACTCACACCCCCTCTCCCTCGGCGCCACCCCAACGCAAACCTACATCGACGGAATCGCACAACTCCCGTCCCCGCACACCATCACCTCGCCCAAATCATCCGACCTCCTCCATGCGCCTAAGGTACCGAACTACGATAAGGAGGCGGAGAAGGCGGTCAGGTATGAGGGGTTGCCGCCGTTGATGGATGTCGCGAGTTTGGAGGGGACGGTCGTGTTTAGGAATGTTTCGAGGGTTTATAAGAGGGTTCCGGTTGAGGACGTTGAAGTGGGTGGGGTAGGTGAGGGTGTTGGTGTGAGAGAGGTTACGGAGGAGTATGTGGTTGGACGAGCTCTGAATTCGGTAGTGAACGGCGACGTCCTCGTCCGCGCTGGTCGTCTCATACCCTCCTCCCTCGTCTCTTCCGCCGATATCGCGTCGACTCTAGCTCAGGGAGGGGTGAGAGTCATGAACGTGGGAGGAGGATCGTTATCGCCAGCGTTGGTGGGCGCAGGGACAAGCATCGGTTTACAGGAGATCGCAATGGAAGACAGTACGGTGGATGGGGATGTCTGGGATATCTTTATCGATGGTGGGAAAGGGGAGGGATTGTTAGGGAACGAGACGGTGATCAGGGCAGTGGATGGGTTGCAGTTCGCTACCAGGGATGCTTTGTAGGTTCCATATCTCTATCTCTTCATATTTATTGCAAACCTGACCAACTTGAAACAACTCATGCAATGCGATTCAGGCTCTCGTACCGGAACGGCGTGACGACGGCGCTCACGTCGCCCACCTCCAGTGGCTTCCTCTCCGGCCTCGGCGTCGCTTTCTCGCTTGGAACGCCACATAAGCTGGCGAAAGGAGCGGTAGTGCAGGATGTGACGGCGTTACATGTCGCGATTGATCATCAGAGTGTGAGGCCGAGCGTTAGTACGGAGATTAGTGCTTTGAGGAGATTGTTGGTGGGTGGGGAGGGCTGGTGGGGGAGGGTCGTGAAGGTCCGTTTCTTTTCTTTCGTTATATCTGCTCCACATATGTTGACATTTCGATGGTTTGGTTTGGCGTTGATGTGTGGATACTTATAGGGCGAAATCCCACTCGTTGTCCATGCACAAAACGCGGATATTATCGCTACGCTCCTCAGGCTCAAACACGACGTCGAAGCCAGCGGTGCAGGAACGAAGATCAAGATGACGATCCTAGGAGGGACGGAGGCCCACCTCCTCGCGAAGGAGATCAAAGAGGCGGGCGTGGGCGTCATCGTCGCTCCGGTGCGGAGCTATCCGTATAGCTGGGAGGATAAGAGGATGTGAGCTTTATTTTTCCTTCTTTGTCTTATTCGCCCACCCACCACATTATCTCTCCACTTATCCGCCCCACGGTTTACTGACAATTCGATGATGTCTATTTTGCTCGATGATGCCAGTATGCCCGGCCGCCCCCTGAGCGCTAAAGGTCTCGTTCCTTATTTATTGGAGCATGGGATAGAGGTAGGTATCGCACCGCAGGGAATCGACGATTTCACGCCGGCCATGGCCGCTTGGGCTGTCCAAAACCTGAGGTTCGACGCAGGATGGGTACGTCCTCTGCCTCTTCACTCTTTCCCCTTTCCCTCTTTCCCTCCTCTCCTCCCGTACTCTCCCTCCCTTTCTCTCCCTTTCTCTCCCGTCCTCTCAATTCCTCTAACGTTGCACCCACACCCACCTCCAGCTCGTCTCCGACGGCCTCCCCACCGCCCTCGCCCTCTCCCTCGCCTCCTCTAACGTCGACAACCTCATGGGCGTCCACGCGAACCCGGAAGAGACTGACCTGGTGGTCACGAGGGATGGGGGGTTGTTGGAGTTTGAGGGGAAGGTTGTGGCGGTGATAAGTCCGGGGAGGGGGGTTGTTGATGTTTTTTAGGTTGATGAGGGAGGGGGAGGGGAAGTGAATTTATTAGGTATTTGTTTTATAAATTGGTTAGGGTTGATGTAGAGTACTTAATGCTTAGTACATACTGAGCTCCACGAAGGGTTTTGTATGTCTCGATGACGAAGGTCTTGATTTTCATTTTCATTTTTTGGTTTATTCTTCTAAATTGAAACCGTGATCAGGAGCTCGGAACGAGTCGTGCACCGTGCACAATGCGTATGCGTATGCGTCTCATTGGATTGATTGCACCCCGATGCACCTGCTCTGAGTCTTAGATGCAGCGATGCACTGGTAAGTGGATTCGGTTATATACAGGTCTCTGTTTCATGTTCATATTCGAGAATCGAGATCAACGTCTGACGTTCGTTCTTCAGCGCTTCTGCTCCAGGATTCTATTATTATGCTAGGGCACCGGGCAAGTTCGAGTTCGAGTGTGGACGAACTTGATAAGATGAAGTAATCATGGTGCCGGCAGGTAAGAAGTGGTGTTGACGGCTCAAGCTTCAGACTCAACGTTCAGGAATCAATTAATCAAGAATTAAGAATCAAACCAGCATGCCTGACCGAGTACACCATGCACGATACACATCCCGGTCAATAAATATCCATTAAGTATTCGCCCCGAGCCCACTGGTATAAGTGGCTCGTTCGTTAAATTAGAGCGATCTACTGCCAGTGGCGAATGTCGGGCATTTTGAGATCAGGATTCAGAGTGATCAGAAAGATCTCATGGCAGTCAAACACCAACACCTTACCTATCCCTGATTGATGCACATACATTATCATACATGACAAGAACACATGTTCCAGGCCTCTGCAGCAGCACTGATACACTGGGTGTACACTCGCAAACTATTTTGGAACGTTTGTCGCGCGGGCGGATGAAACATATCGCCCAGACAAGATTGAGCAATATCAGCGAGAGATAAGATAGCGGCGTTTAGGTTTCATGCCGCAATCGTGACCCTGTGTTTTGCAATGCGATTGCTTGGTAAATAAAACCATGGCGGAAGGGAATGGATGGGCCAGAACAATGGAAAGAGAGACGAGAAGAGCGAAGATGCGACCAGGAGGACGGCGAGGTCAGAGTGGGAGATTGTGGCGCGAGCTGGTGCGGAAACGAGGCTCAGACGAGGCCGTGTCTCGTCTGATCGGATAGCTAAGCCGGAGACGTGGGTGGCGAGGCTTGCTCTCGAGTGATCTTTCGAGGTGGCGTCAGACTGATGGACGGATAGATGAGAAGGCAGACTGTTTTTTAACGTCCTTGGAGAAGCTTGGTGGGATGGTGAGGAAGGAAGAGGGTCGGATGATGTGCGGGGAAGACGGCGTGGCAGATAATCGGAATCGGAATCGGCAGACTGAGAGCGAGTGATCGGGGGCGGAAATGGGCGAGCTGTGATTGGCCGATGGGTGGTTATCTTTGTTTATATGAGAGAGCCATCGCAGACTATCGCATCATCGAACGCCCTCTTTGAATTCTTTGCAGCGTGCGTTGATTATCTGGCCTGCCTCGCGACTTGCAACAGCCGTCCTCGACGCGCGTCACCGTCGCGTACACCATGTCCCCCGTCGTCCTCGAGTCGCCCCCGATCCACTTCAACAACGCCCAGATGGTCGAACAACAGCAGCAACAGCCCCCACAGCCGCCCTCGCCGTCCCACCAGTTCCTCAAGGAGAACATCTTCCACCACCAACAGCGCCCGTCGCAGGACACGCAGGAGTCCGCGTCGTCCCCGCCGACGCCCTCGGTGCAGCTGTGCGCGAACTGCGGGACGTCGAGCACGCCGCTCTGGCGCAGGGACGGTGACGGCAAGCCCATCTGCAACGCCTGTGGTAAGCACCTCCCGCGTTGCTCGATCGCCCCACTCACTGACCACCTGTCCTCCGCCCCTTTGCTCATCTCTCCTCACTCGATCCGCACGCCCTCCGCATGGTGCGTACACCACATCCATCCAACCGCCCCCCTCGCCTCCTCTCGCAAATATTCCAAACTCAGGTCTCTATCTCAAAGCACGCCGCACCGCACGCCCCACATCCCTCGGCCGTGCCTCCCTCGCTCGTTCAAACTCCAACGCCCTCTCTCCTCCAGCTGCAAAACAACAGTCGAACAGAACCCGTTCACCGCCCTCCCTCATCACCCCCGCTACCTCGCCCGAGTCCCAACAACACCCCCAGTCCATATTCTCGATCGACCAGCAACAGCAACAGCAGCAACAACAGCAGCCGGTATCGCATCACGTCGGCGGTGGGACCTGTCCAGGTGACGGTCGTTGTGACGGCACAGGCGGGACTTCTGCCTGCTCCGGTTGTCCGACATACAATAACGCATTGAACGCGAACGCCGTCAACGGGAATAATAATAATCTCACCCCCGACGCGAATATCGACCCGAGTATTTTGAGTGCTAGTGCTGGCCACGGTATAAATACTATTCACCAACAACAACAGCAGCAGCAGCAGCAACAACAACATATCATGCCTGCTGGAGATCCGCATAATACGGCCCATCCTGGGCCTTCGAACGAGGTGAACGATCCTGAAGCCGGGCTTGGAGGCCAGGGTCAGGGAGGAATGGGGCCGGGAGGAAGTACGATGGCAGCTGCAGCACCGAGTACGCCGGCGAATGGAGGGAGGAGGAACGCGAAGGGAGGACAGGTTGGGGCGTTGAGCTGTGCGAACTGTGGGACTTCGACGACGCCGCTCTGGAGGAGGGATGATGTGGGGAATAATATATGTAATGCCTGTGGTACGTTTCCTTTCTCCCTCCCCCTCCCTCTCTCTTCTTCTCTTTCCTCTCTTCTCTCTCTTCCGTCTTTCTTCGTTCTTTCTGGTCTATCGCGTCTCGGTTTCTGCTCGTCCGCGATCTCGAGATATTCTGGGATTGCATCTGGGTTTGAATTTAGAGTTTCGATTTTGGCTCTGCTCGTCGTGTCTCATCGTGCCGTGTCATGGTGTGTTGGGGTGGTGTGCAGCTGCATGCCTTGCAGCACCTCGCCTGTCGCCGCGCGTAGATCTCGAGCAAAACACACAGCGGCAGGCGGCAGGCAAGATCATCACCTCTCGTTCGGGCGTGGTGCATTACCCCTCGCTCGGGCATGGGACCTTCATTCCCTCTTTCTCTTCATTTCTCAGCCCAGTGATCCACTCGCTCGAAAGTGGCCTGATCTCGCTGCTGCGCGACGAGTCGACGTCTCTCGCTTTTTCTCATCCCTCTGGGACTGTTGACGCGCAGGGACGAACGATGGGATTATTTCGCCCAGTCCTCTCATAAGTACCTGCCGAGTCGTGTCGTGTTGCTTGTCAGGAGCGCCAAGCAACGGAGGATGATCAGAAATGATCGTGAGACTATCTTATCTGATAGTCTGATAGATGGATAGGTCTTCCCGTCCTTCGTTCGCTTGCTCGGCTGCCACGTATCGTGGACGCGGACAGCCTTATCAGGGCAACCAGAGCACTTTATCGGGTGTGATGATCAGGGGCGCTAGAAGGGTGCTTATCAGATAGGATAAGCGTTTCGTTCGTTTCGTTGGACGATCTTTGTGTTGCGCGTTCTCGACCCCTCTCTCCTTTCTTGAAGCACTAGCACTGGTCTTCTCTCCGAGTTTGCGCTTGCGTTCTTCGGGATACCGAGGCGCTTGGTTATCGAGGATCAAGGGGGTCTTGGTTGATCAAAAGGGGTAGATATATCCCAGGAGGAATTGACTTGGAAGAGAGGTGTGTGTTACGTGCGTCAGGAATCAGGACTCAGGATGAGCTCGAATATCTGTCGCGTCACGTCGCGTCGGCGTTTATCGGTGTCGAAGTTTCCGTTCAATGGGCACTGCGCACTTGGGGTCATTGGTCATTGGTCCATTCGATTGGTCAATGTGGTGGGAGGGAACGCGTGACGGCCACGTTGCGGGGAGACGGGGGAGGACGCGACGCGGTTGGGATTTCTGTGTTGCTTTTCCTTTCGCGTTTTTCGTTGGCTTTGAGTTTTGAGCGACTCGGCTGAGGAGCTGGACGGAAGAGGTGCGCGAGTTTGGTTTCGGTTTGGCTACTCGTTTGAGTTGCATGGCTCCTGGACGTTTGGAGGGCGAGACGCGTTGATATATGCGTTTCCGAGGCTTGCCGTGTCGTTTCGTCGCGTCGTCTCAGTCGTACTAGTTCTTTACCATCTCCATTTTTCCATCTTTCTTTCTCGATACATTCCGGACTCGGACTGCATTTAGTTTCGCTGGCTAACATCTTCACCGTGCTTCCGTTCAGGTCTTTACTTCAAACTACACGGAACCCACCGACCGAACAGCATGAAAAAGACGGTGATCAAACGTCGGAAACGCGTCCCCGCCGCCGGGGGCGCGTCGCCCTCCGCTTCTGCACCCGCTGCGCCTGGCAGCTCGGCTTCGTTCGGATCGCCCGGGATGATGATGGGTATGGGAATGGGCATGGGAGGTCCGATGCAGATGGTGGGAGGGCATGGACAGCCGATGATGAGGATGAGCGATCAGGCGGCGGCGGAGGCGTTGGTCAGTGTCGGGAGGATGCATGGGCATGAGAATGGGACGCCGACGCCGCCGGGGATGCATAGCGGACCGGGACAGGGACAGGGAGGGAGGGGGAGCGGTGGAGAGGAAGAGGAAGTGGAGGATATTACTCGTGATAGGGGACGGGAACGCGAGAGAGATGAGAGGGAGGCGGAGGAGCCGAAGAGGAAGAGACAGAGGAGGGCGCCTAGGAAGTCGAAGAAGGACGCGGCGGCGGAGAGAGACGCGGCGGAGAGGGAGAGCGAGCTCGCGGCGGAAGAGGAGAGGGAACGAGAGAGGAGTAGGGAGAGACATCAGCAGGCACAGGCGCAAGGAGGACATCATTGGGGAGAGATGCAGATGGGCATGCAGCCGATGCAGGTCGATCCGCATAGGCCCTCCTCGTCCGCTTCGCATTCCGGCTCGCATGCGCACCAGTTCGGAAGCGTCGAGAGGTCGTCGTCTCGCGCTGGACTCGCTTTGCCACCGCCGCCGCCGCCGCCGCCGCCACACCATCAACACCACCATCCGTTCTCGCCACATCATCATCCGCCGCCGCATGGAGGGTTCGATTTACCACCATTGAACGCCGCACTCGGTGGTGCGGATATTAATATGGGAGGGACGGGGAAAGGAGGGATGGGTATGGGAGGGATGAATGCGGCGGCGAGCGCGGCGTTGGCTGCTGCCGCTGCGGGACTGAACGGAGCTGCTCAGGCTGCCGCCGCCGCCGCCGCTGCTTCTGGTTCTTCATCCACGAATGCACCTAATAATGGGAGGTCGGGGAGCACGGCGCCGAGTAGGGGCCATTCGCACTCGCCGTTGAGTGGACCGGGGACGAGTCCTGGACACCAGCATCAACAGGCTCAACAAGCCCCTGCTGGAGGACTACCCCCGCCTCCACCTCCGCCTGGGTTCTTACCGCCTCCTCATCAGCTCATGCAGCATTTGCATTATCCGCACCCGCCTCCGCCTCCGCACCAACATCAGTTACCGCCGTTACCGTACCCTGGGCCTCCGCCGCCTTCGATGATGTACGGAGGACCGGTGCAGGTGCCGAGCGTGCAGGAGCTGGAAAGACATTATTATGAGTTGGATATGCAGAGGAGGGGGTTGGTGGAGATGTTGGAGAGGACGGAGAGGTTGATGGGGGGTGTGAGGAGGGGGATTGAGGAGGCTGCGGGGGCGGCGCAGGTTTCGGCTTCGGCTTCGGCTGGGCAAAGTCAAAGTCAGGCTCAAGCTCAAGGACAGGACAAGCAGGGACAGAAGGAAGGGAGTCCGAGTGCGGTGGCGGCGGGAAAGGAGGGTCCGGCGGCGAGCGGGAGTACGACTGCTAGTGTGCCGTTGAGGAGGAGTGGGAGCGCGGCGGGTGGGGGTGCGAAGGAGAGTGTGTGGCCTGTTAGGCCGGCGAGTGGGGGGGAGAGGGAGAAGGAGAGGGATTGAATTGCTCTGAGACGAGTTTGTGCTTCAAGGACGGGCGCTATTTCGTGATCCTTTCTTTCTTCTTTATGCTCGTGTTTTATAGGTCATAAGCATAAGTATGTTCTTTTTCTATTTTTTTTTGGTTCCGTCTTTATTCTCTTGTCTATATGTTTATGCTGGCCGGTGTATCCGTATCCCGTGCTCGTGTCGCTTTCGTTATGTTCAGTTGAATCTTTCAATATTCTCGTCTCCGTCTCCGTCTTGACCAATACTCAGACTATGACTCCGGACTCTCCTTTTTCGTTCCGTTCGAAATTTATTGTAACTTACGAATCCTCCATTCACTTATTCTCTCTTATTCGCGTTCGTTGCACCGTCTCTCTGTCTGTTCTCGTCGCGAGTTCGTTCTTTCTTTCTGTCTATGTTTCGCTGCTTATATGCTAATCACACACAATACGTATACGTACAAATCACCGGATTCATCTGTCTGTTACTATCTGTTCCTAAGTTCAAAGTTAACACTTTCCCCTTCAAAAATGGGCCTCACAAGCCCCGTTCATTCCTACGTATCTCTCGTCTGTCAATTGTTTAGTCCAAGTCCTTAGGCCGTACCCAGGCTCTCGCTTGTTTCGTACAGTAACAGTAATTACCGTCTCCCTGCTCAGCTCTCAGCTACCATTCCGGTTCTCGGTCGCGTCTCCACTCCAGACTTTGACTTTCCAGTTCCCGTGTCGTGTCGTGCCGCTTCAGTTTCTCGTTCCGTTCTGTCCATATAAAATATTCGTCGTCTTTATTCTATGTACATCTTATTTTGTCTCCGTTTGATATGATTTGTCTATGTCACGGTCTCGTCTCGTCTTGTTCTTTTTTGGTTGAGGAAGCATGCAGTAATGATATCAATATTCATCTCTCCCTGGGAGTCTGTCTCGACTCGTCAACATGGATGTCAGCATGGCGTGGATTGCGTCGGTCTGGGACTCGGAGGTTCACGGTGTCGTCGTCGTCGTCGTCGTCTATGGTGGAATTGAGCGCTGGCGCTCAGATTGATTGTCCTGGCGCGAAGCTTGTCTAGGGAGTGGGTCTCCGAGTACTAACAATTGACAGGCCCGAACGGTCAAGACCCAGGCTCACGATTCACACGGATGATACGGACATTGTAAAGGAAATGTCGTAGCATATTATGCTACTGCATAGAGACGAGAATACAACGATAAGCGTCTGTTAGCTTCCCTCCGAAGAGGTACTAGTCTCCTGGGCCACGGAGAGGCCGACGCCGGACCAGGGGACATAATGAGAGGACTAGCCTCGAAGAGAAAGTGACACCCCCGAAAGGGATCAAGCAAGTTAAAAAATTGGACCATCCCCAGGACAATGCACGACGCTGGCCGGCATGTCCCTTAATGAGGGGTCAGGGTATTATGTCCGGGAAGCCACTGCATATCCCTCGAGGTTCTTGAGGCCAACGCAACGCGACTCTGCGTACATCCCCGTGACACCCATGGCCTGTCGATCGCGTCGCGAGCGATCCCAATCCAATACGGTCCCGGCTTGACGTCTTGATTCTGAATCTTGACACCGGTATCCAATCGGGCGGCCTACGTTAATGAAGACGAGTGAGAATGCTGGACTTTGAAAAGAGAGGAGCACAAAAGAGTGCAAAATGAAGAAGGGAAACGGCATGATTAAACGACAGCCAACACGATGGAGGGGGTTGCAAAGACATACGCGACGACAGCGACGACGTTCGCGATCGATGACGTGGGGGATGTACAGTAGATGAAGGGTAGCTAGACACAAGGGAGGGAGGAGGGAGGCAGTGGCAAGACGTTGAAGGAACTCACCTACTACGGTCCGGTCCAACTCAGCGAGGAAGGGAGAAGATGATGGTGGTAGAAGAGAGAAAAGGTGGGGGATCATAAGCGAGCTCAGATGGGGCTTTATATTCCACAGAAGCGATTCAAACTCCTCCCGGCAAGAGGCACTGGGACAATAGAGCGGAGAAACATACCGAGGCCCACCCGTCCGAAACCCATGAGGCTGAGTGGTGTTATAAAGTCTTATCTAATAGTATCGCATGTGGGTCACGACACACAGAAATTACCACTTATAAAGTCAATGAAGCACATTTAGTAGTGAATGTTGGGACCCACAAAGAGCTCTGGCGCCTGTTCGAGAGGACGAAATGACGATTGTCTCGATAACTGCTGGGCAGCTTTGCATGAATTTTGCATCACTTTGTGCGCATTTACACCAGCAATATTATAGCACAAGGGGATCGAGAGGAACAAGCTGAGTGAGCTGCAAAGGGAGGGAGAACTTGGGGAGAACTCAGAGTTTGGTGGCCCGATCACGAATTTCAAAGTTGGTTTTGGAAGAAAGAAGTTCGAACCGGTCCGCGCGTGCGACATTGTCGGCAACATCCGGCGCTCGTCGGCAGACCGGACACCACCTTTGCATTGCCGCCACCTCTCCTCTACCCTTATCGAGAACAGATCACTCTTGGGTAGACCGTCCTCTTTCTCAAAAGCGTCAAGTGGGCTGTGCGATATATACGAACAGTTGTCTCCTCCAGAGGTCCCACCTTTTCTAGCGTGCTTATCGTCCGCCACAGCCTTGAGTGCCGGCTTGTCACCGAATGCGGCAGCTGCTTTGTGCTCGTCGCGAAGGGGGCTATGACTACCCTGCGAACGATCAGATAACGCGTCTCTTTATTCTCTTTGGAATATCCGCTAAGCTTTGTTCTTGTTACTTATGAGCTGTATGTCCTGCCGTGCCATTGTCTGGTTCGGCCAGCTGTAGGAGTCTGAATCGGTGCGCCAGGTTTAAAAAGGCCCTCTCTCGCGGCCCCAACTCCCCCCACCTTCTCTTCTCCCTTCCATCCGAGTCCACATTCATCTCTACCTCTAATTCTGTCCGTCCCACGAACATTTTGCGTCCCAGGTGAGTCCGCCCTCTATAGACTCGAGCACTATCATTTGCTGCCGTCGACATCGACGATGTTGTATCGTCGTAATCATCGATTCCCTATCCAATGATTGTCTGTGGTACTTGTGTCGTGTTCCATTGGCTGTCCACCATTGCAGACGTGTCCGACGTCGCTTGTTTTGTGGCGCATCTCGTTCGCGTGTCCTCACGCCATCCTATTTTCCATTGTTTCATATCTATCTCTCATTCTTCTTGCACCTTCGCTCACGCCCATACTCACTCAGCCTCCCTCCACCATAGGCTACTCAACATATGTACCCTCAAGACCCGACGGTATTCGCAGCACCATCTCCTCCATGCATAGGGCGACCCACCGCAGTGTTGAGCGCTGAGCCTGAACAATATTGCCAAGAACGATACAACCTTTGAATCGGGACCCACCCGGTTCAATGTGTTGGGCCGAAGCGTTCGGGTACGACCGTAAGACTTAAGCAGCCTCGACAGACAGTTCTCGTATGCTTGCGTACGAGCCGTTCTTGGTGCGTGCTGGACGCAGGGTCACCTGGCTATGCGCCCGTCCGGAGATGCCCCCGGTACACAAACGGTGGCTTCTGAGGTGGTTTGGGACCAGGGTTGGCCTTCATGATGACGAGTATCGGGTGAGTTTTCCCTCGTCATTTTTGCTCGTTATGTCTGGGAACTGATGCACGTCGACAGTGCTGCATGAGGGCTGGATCCATCAACAGAGCCCTCCGCTCGTACTCCTCCCGAGTGCGAGCAAGCTGCGTCCACTTCTCTTCTCCTTCCACTTCATCTCGCACTGACGTCACCTACACCTTGAGCGAAGTCGAGCCCTTCTGCTCCATAGGCCATGGGCTGCTTCATGACGGGGGAGCCACAGGTGGCGCATGGGGCGCCAAGAACCCCCGAAGCATATGCCCCTACCCAGAGCTTGAGACTCCGTTCTCAGCCTCACGGGATGGTCCAATCTTTTCTTCCCCTCCCCCTCCGTGGTGGACCTTTTTTCACCTTCCAGTTTTTCCATTTGGCCCGCGATTGACGACTGAATCTTCGGTATTCGTGCCGTTGAGGCGTCTCTCGCTGGCTGGCCACTTGTCAGGATTCTCTTTCCAGGATCGAGCAACGCGTTCAACGGCCGCGTATTATGTGCGTCGCACCCCTTCGCTCGCTGATGCGTGTGGCTCAATACTGGCGCTTATGTATGCAGTAAAAAAAAACAGGCCCTTAGACTTAGATAGGGCGGAGAGAGCCCTTGGATGCTCTGGTTGCTCATAGTTCATCTGAAGGTTGAAGGTGGTCGGCGTGTATTCATATGCGCTACCTCCTGCCCTCGACACCCCCCTTGCGCGGCGTTTCAAAATGGAAATGGTCCAATCTTTGGAACCTTCCCTCTTCAGTGAGGTATTTGCTCTCCTTCGGGTCGCTGAGTCGATTTTCCTCTTTCGCCTTCTTTCTTATCCTTTTCTTCCCTACTATTAGATTCTCTCCTGTATTGTTTAACGCTGAATATTATGAGCCATCTAGTTATAGATCAGGATGTTCAGCTTCGCTATACCATCATCACTTTCGACAGCCTCAAGACACCGGCTCCCCTGGAATAGCGTCGGCCTTGTCGTGGCCCAGGGGCTTTAGTATCTCGGGGAGCTATTCCCGGAGCGAAACCAACAGACGCTGGAGGTGCTGTATTCAAGCGATTCGTAAGTTCTTTGTGCTTCTTCTTCCCGGGTATCATGTTGTAAAAGACTTGATTATCGGTCAGGTCCTCGCAAATGGGTTTGTTATAACTTCCGGCGTCCAACCTCGAAATGTGGGTCTGACTGACTATAAGTCTGCGTCTTCGCAGTTATTGCCACTGCAAGCTCTTTTACGTCTGTGTATCTGGCTTCATCTCTGCTTCTTCTTCGCGAATTCCAGGTTTCAACAGGCTGCAATGGCCGCCGTGTGAGGCCATGGAAGAGTTATACACATTTCTGCGGATGCCTGGCTCGCTAGCTGTACTGGCTGTGTTCGTGATCGCCCTCTGTCGTTCTATCCTCTTAGACTCTGGATACACTTAAGCCGACCATGATCTGGCTCTTCTTCATGAGCTGTCTTTCTGTGCCGTCGCTGGTTCTTCGTGTCGTTGAATGTCGTCTTACCCTCTTTCTTTTGCCTCATTCTTGTAAGTTTCGAAGTATTGAGGACCATTATGTTCATTTCACGAGCTGAGGATTACACACCTATATCCTGTTTCCCTCTTATGTATCTGCTCACATCTACCCGCGTCATTAAGTTGAGCCTATGACTATCAGTGTAGCTATCTTGATCGACCCAGGAGTCTGCAGACTATGGTGCCACACACAATTCAAGAACACGTGTAACGCCACAAGGGTGTGAATGTGAAGGACGTAAGTGTCCAGAGGTATCTCTCAGGCAGCGCTCTTCTCGGTTGTCTTCAGCCTCTAGTTGACATTCTGATACCAGAATCGAATGCATTTCTTCCTGCCCTTTGCAACGTTTTCGATAGCGATGTTCTCCTCGAGGCGTGACTTCCGACCTTACATCTCTCTGCAACTAACCACAATCTTCGACACTCAACTCTCCAGTCTGTACAACGTCGAAAGCGTCTTTTTGCTCTTGTTAAAGTCACGAAATCTTTGAAATGCCCTCCACGAACGATAGATGTATCGCCCATCTAGACATCAAAGGGCAGGAGCCCCTCAATGCAGAGCCAGACGTCCTCTCACTTGTGCAGTTCACTCACACGCCTGACGAACTCGTTTATTGTCGCAACCACTGTACGTTCGTCTATGTCGCAAATATTTTTGTGTGGATGCTCAAAGATACACTAAGCCTCTATCGAGGCTTTAGATGCTGAGACTTACAAGCTGAAAATAGATGGAATCGTGGAGAAATCACTGGAGTTCACACTCTCGGACTTTATGCATGCTTTTCCTTTGCGCGTCAAAATCGTGGCTGCTCTTCAAGTGCGTCTTGTTTGTTATCCGCTTCTTCTTCTTCTTCTTCTTCTTCATGCTCACTATTCACTCCAACCCGAACAGTGTGCCGGAAACCGACGGAAAAAGATGGCTGACGTGAAACAGAAAGACGTAGAAGGTATCAAATGGGGCGAAGCCACCATTGCCAACGTCCGCTTCACAGGCGTACCGCTACGGAACGTGCTCCTCGCTGCTGGGCTGACGTGCAAGGATGATCGAGACGCAGTCAGAAAGCTTCACGTGTGTTTTGCGTCGCATGTATCTGGATGCCAGGATGACGGCTGGTATGGTGCATCTATACCACTCGAAAAGGCTCTGGATGAGAGTGGCGATGTTATGGTCGCTCTGGAGGTAGATTTCCTACTTCCTATACATTCTTTCTGAGTTATTGATGTTTACGCATCCTCTTTGTCACCCCTGCCTTGTGGCGTTTGGTAGATGAACGGACATCCTCTTGCTCCTGCCCACGGCTTTCCCTTTCGAATGGTCGTCCCGGGCTACACCGGCGCTCGCTGGGTAAAATGGCTTGACCGTATCACCGTCTCTCCAACCGAGTCTTCAAATTTCTACCAACAACGAGATTACAAAATACTACCTCCCCATGTACGTACGGTGACTCATAAACTGTGCTATAAAGTTGCATAACTTAACACCCTGGATACTGACAACACCAGGTCGAGACACGCGAGCAAGCAAAGGCGGAATCCTGGTGGTCGAAGATGCCCCCTATAACAGCTAATCCTCTCAACTCCGTGATCGCCACAGCGCGAGTTATTCCTCCAGGTCCGTCTTCTCTTCCATTCCCTCGTCCCTTCTCTGCTCACTAGTCGTCTTTTATTATATTTCGACATTCGTCCCCATTTCGCACTACAACAGAGCTTACTCGTGGCCTGTCGCACTCGACCTCAACCGTTTCTCCGGGATCGACATCTATTACGATCCTTGCTAAAGGTTACGCCATCCCCTCAGACTCAGGCCAGATCACTTCGGTCTGCATAAGTTGCAACAAAGGCCGAACGTGGAAGCCCGCTAGGATCACGTATCAAGAGGGCAGATGGAGCTGGACGCTCTGGGAGGCGACTGTTACCGTCGATGTGGCAGACTTTTACGCACACGGTGGAGAAGATGGTGCTGGAATTAATGAAGGCGAGCCTAAGAAGGGTCGGAAGGTCGTGCTATGGAGTCGAGCGGAGGACGAGAGCGGGAAGAAACAAGAGCTGGAGTGTGATTGGAATTTGAGGGGCGTTGGGTATGCTGGTGTTGGGGAGTATGAGATTATTTTATGAGTGTGATCAACAGACGTGGCGGGCAGTATTGGTCACTGCTGTATAGTTGAGCTGTTGGATGTGCAGGATCAACACTGTACAACCCAGTCCCATTTCATTCAGCCTCTAATTTGATCGTACGCCACTGGGACGGGCACCATACTTCGCGCTGGAATATGCTGTCCACATCTGATTGCATCCATCGACATTCAGAGCGATGGTAGGAATGTCACCCAACCTCGAGTGACCAACGGGGGCCCAACACAGTAACGGAAACGGATGAAGTACCACGTGAGAAGCATGGAATATATCGTACACAACTTACAGTTTTTCGCGTTTCATCGACACTGTGAACCTCTTGCCCTCCCCTCCCCTCTTGCCCTTTCTTCCACCCTTCCCCTTCCTTCCCCTCTTCCCCTTCCTTCCCCTCTTCCCCTTCCTTCCCCTCTTCCCCTTCCTTCCCCTCTTCCCCTTCCTTCACCTCTCCCCCTTCCCTCACCTCTTCTACTTCCCTCACCTCTTCCCCTCCCCTCACCTCTTGTCCTTCCCTCACCCCTTCCCGTTCCTTCACCTCTTTCTACCCCCCTATCCTCGCCTCTTCCCCCTCCCCTTCGACTTCTCCCACCTCTTCCTCGTCCCCTTCCTCGGGTTCCGGAGCGATTCCTTTTCTCATTCTTCACCATGATAGCGCGACAAACCCAGCATATCGACCCCTGATTGCCACCGGGACTCGTTCCTCCCCCTTCGAAGTCATTCACGAACGACTGTTCAGACAAAGACCTCCTACAGTTATCGCACGTCCGCATCCCACTCGCCGCAGATGCTCCAATCTGAGCCTCGAGGATATCCAGAGGAAGGAGAGGGTGATGAGCGTACGCGTCGGATGCAGTAGGTTGATGGTCTTTGCATATGGTGACGTAGCGCATGCTTTGCGCTGAAAGGTCAGAGGTAATGAATGATTTTTGTGTGAACAGGTCGTAGAGGGCGTGAATCATTCGAGCGTCGGTGGCTGCATAGGATGCGTAATTCTTCGGGAGAGGTCGACGCGTCCAGAGGTCGTGGCGCACTATGAACGCCCAGTCAAGCGGTGGTGAGTTCACGGTCAATTGACGTTCAACCTTCAGGTATACTTACCAGACTCGTCCTTTGTCATCCCAAAGATTTCATGTTCGCTCAAACAATCCTTCATTCCATTAATCTTCACCACCTTCTCGTACATGTCCTTCTTCTTCTCGACCTCCCACTTCCCCAGATACTTCCAAAGCCTCTCCAATCTCTTTGCCTCCTGCTCGCCCCTCAAACCCCTCGAAGCTATGTCTGCTAACTGCATATCTAGTACGTTATGCACCTCGACGCCACATTCATGGTAGAGAGCGCTGTAGTCCATACGGCCATCGAAGACCACTTTGGTGATGTGCGGGGATGAGAGAAGGTCGTAGATTGATTGGAGTTGGGTTGGGGATAGACGGAGGACATCGATGAGGAATGTAAGGGCCGTGGATGCAGTGGTGGACGTGGTGGAGAGGATGATGATGGAAAGGGCCCCACCTTTCTCGCCAAGATCACGGCCTTCACAGTCGAGGATGATCGTCGGCGAAGATTCCAGCACTGTAATGGCAATTGAGACAGAGGCGACATTGTCGCAGAGCATTGGAGCGTGAGACATCGTTTCTGTGAGGGATCTTGTAGGAGGAGGGAGTGGAGGGAGGTCTACAAGGCTGATTGCATTAATATATAGGCAGACATGAGCCCAGACTCGGACACAAGAAGGAGAATCTCGACAGGACCTACGCCACGAGAATTGTGACCTCCACAGCTGAATCCACAGAAGCAGAAGAACGGGTCACGGTATGACCTATTTCTATCTTTTCGTTAGCATTCTCCCATAGACAATGTCCTCCGCCATGTTTTCATCCCAGAGGTTCTCTCTACGCTGAAACAGAACTCACTACCGGCTAGTTCGATTCGAACTCAGTCACATCAACCGCAGAGTGTGCATAAGTATACGGCGCTCACGAGCCATTTTGAAGCTACGAAAATTTCCTCATACTCAGCCAAATAACTATGGTCTCCATAAGTTATAAGTGAAGGACCCGGAAGCCCACTGGAACGACGTATCGGGAGGGAAAATAGAGCTGAACGCTCTGGAAGGCGGCTATCATCATGTGTGGCACATCTGTACGCAGGTTACGGTGAGGACGGTATAAGTCACAATAGAGGCGAGCCTGAGAACGAACACAAGGTACTATGGAGTCTAGCAAGGGTCGAACGGAGGGTCAAAGCAGGAAGAAAAGGAGTGTTGAAATTCCCTTCAGGTTGTAACTTAAGCGGAGCTTGTAGGAGTTTGCGTTGCGATGTGGCGTATCCGTAAGTGGCGAGTGGCGCAGTAATATAGAGTAATATGCTCATTTTCAATGCTTTGCTATGCGATTCGCCGAAGTAGCAGCGCAATACCAGGAGACAGGCCAAGTCGAACGAAGTAGTGTAGCATTATTGTTGACAGGCGTATCCACGCATATCCTCGATGTACACCACGCTGTCCGTTCTGCCAATGTGGCCGTCCACCTTATTCGTCATTCATCGAGAGCCTCTGACAGTACAAGCGCTTTGCGTATACAATCGTCAAACACGGGGCCACAAAAGCTATAGCAGTCAACAACCATAGTCACAGAGACCCTCGACCCAAGGACGCAAACCTTCAAACTCGACTAATTCACCGCCACCGGCAAACCCTCTCAAACCTCATCCTCATCCTCACCGAAAGAAAAATTATCCGTCTCCTCTTCCAGTCGAATCCGATCCTCCGTGTACCAATCATCGAACTCGTCCATCTCCCGTTCAGCACGCTCCTGCTCCTCCAAGATCATATCCTCGAAATCCTGCTCTCTCACTCTCATGCCCTGATTATAACTCGCGCCAGTTTCGCCGTTCCTCACCGCGATCGCAAGACAAACTTTGCACTTCTGAGAACTGACAGCAACACGCCTCGGTACTCCTGGCTCTCTCACAAACGCCTTCTCGGACAACAACCTGCTGCACGTATCGCATGCCCGCATTGACGACTCAGAGGCACCGTCGTCGGGAGCTTCGAGTATCTCGAGAGGGAGAAGCGGGTGCCGCAGGTGCGAGTCAGATGCGCCGGGTTGGCGATCTTTCCAGATGGTGATGTAGCGCATGCTTTGCGCCGGAAGGTTGGATGTGATGAACGATCCCTCGATAAAGATGTCGTAGAGGGCGTGGATCATTTCAGCATCGGTGGCGGCGTAGCCAGCATAATATCTCGGGAGAGGTCGGCATAACCAGAGGTCATGACGGACTTTAGACATCACACCACGATATAAGAATGCAATCCGTCAGCTTCAAGCCAAGTTACCAGAGATGAAGTGCAGGAGAAGAGGAAAGGATAGCCTCACCCGATCCATCCTTCTCCAACTCATAAATCTCATGCTCCCACAAACAATCCTTCATCCCATTCAATTTGTGTACACCTCCATATCGTTCCTTCTTGCCCTCGACCTCCCACCTGCCCAAAAACGACCCCAGTCTCTCCATCCTCCTGCCCTCACCTTCACCCCTCAGTCCCCTCGAAACCACATCTGCGAGCTGCAGGTCGAGTACGTTACGTAGCTCGATGCCGCATTCGTGGTAAAGGGCGCTGTAATCCATGCGACCGTCAAATACGAGTTTGGTGATGAATGGGGAGGAGAGAAGAGCGTAGACGGGTTGGAGTTGGCTTTGTGAGAGCTGGAGAACGTCGAGGAGGAATGTGCGCGCGGGGGATGTAGTGGTGGTGGTACGGAGGATGATGATGGATAAGGTACCACCTCGTGCGCCGAGATTGAGACCTTCGCAATCGAGGATGATGGTCGGCGAGGAGCTCAAGGCTGAGACAGCGACGGCGATGGAGGTGACACTATCGCAAAGCATTGCAGCGTGCGACATCGTTTTGAGAGTGAATTTCAGGGGGAAAGGGGGATGAGCGCTGGTACGGGTGGACCTCAAGGCACAATATAAAGAACGGGGAATGGCACGAGGCTAAGGGAGAAGGAGAATCTTGATGACTGTATTAATGAGCGCCACGGGAATTATGGAGCCTTCGGAGCGAGATCCACAGTAGCAGCTGAGCAAGGCAATATGAACCGGACTGAACAAGTTCGCCGAGGACGACACCCAAGCCTGCGCATACCTTCTTCGAATGGATCAGATAACCAGAGCAGGGGAGAAGGAGAGGAGATTTCCACGTCCAAGTTGCATCTCTAGCCTCGCACCAAAGAAAGGCATATGCAATACCGAGGGTGTACCGATTCAACATTGCTTCATATACACCGTATGTGTTTAAGGTTAGTGAAGAAGATCATGGCAACCATTTCATGATATAGGTTAGAGTTCCTTTAGTTGCGTTGAGCCTAAAAGCGGCGGGCCATCTGCGAGCAAGGCGTTTGAGGACACGCTGGTGCCACAGAAGGGAGAAAACGAAGACGATATACTGCGATAACGGAGCGCCCAGGACAGGATGGCGTCGCAAGCGGGGTGCAGCACTGGAGCTGATCATTACCAAACGAGGACGTTGGTATGATGCTTTGACAGCAAGACAAAATCTGTACGTCGTAAAGATCACTGGAGTAGTTTATATTGATTTCAGTGTGAGAACGAATGTCCATAGCACAAGAGACGTACCGCGAATAAATTACCCACATACTCCTACAGCCAGCCAAGATACAAAGAAAAAACGAAAGCAAACATGGAATGGCCCAATCACGAAGTCTCCATCACACTGGCACTAGGTCTCCCATTGTCCTTGCCTAGACCAGCGGCCCTCTCGGACTCTTCAATCGTGTACGCCGGCTCTTTCAGAGCTTTGCAGCGTCTTTTGTGAACTTTACTCCTCCAGTGCGACTGAAGTGCAGCGTCGGTCTCATAGTGTCTGACATCCAGAATAGTCTCGTTCAACGATTGGAAGGCAAACACGAAAGATGGAGAGTACACACTTTGCACATTCGACGCAGTAATGCTGCCCAAGGCCGGGGAGCTCATAGTCAATGGGTTGTGCTTCGAGCTTTGCACGGTTCTGCAGCGAAGAAAAGGGTTAAAAATGGTAGGAACAGCTAGACGATAGGTTAAGCGTACCTTTGGGTCGAGATCGATGAGCTGAATCTGGTCCAAATCCTTTGTCCGGACCTGTAATGCAAACTTCTGGTAAGCCAGATATCGAGCAGGAGGGGACTACAAGACGCACTCTTGTTCTTGAAGCACGATGAACGTCTCGTCGTGCGTGATGTGCTCTTGAGCGACGAAGACGACCCATTGTGAGGTATTGTGGTAGTAGAGGATAGAGAGGAGAGGAACTGTGTGGCGAAAGCAAAAGTCGTTGCAAATTGCCCAGAAATTCGCGCCCACGTGGAGCGTGAGAACTGGCGCGTCTCAGAGCGTCTTTGCTTCCGAAACGATTTGCCGGTGTACTCATCCTCTCCTGAGCAACCTCATACCCTCCTTTTGGCCGGTCTTTGGAATCAATTGTCTTATTTCTGCTCGTCATTGGTCATAGTATAAGTCGGTCAGGACATGAGAATATTGACTTGGAACTTGGTGAGCTCAGTTCGGACGCGAGAACGCGCTGAAGACGCGTCTGTACTCATATTTGCCACTTTCTGACGCGTTCAAGTTCAATAGAATGGCGTCCGTACTGTCCCGCAATATTATCCGTAAGTCCTACCTTGACCTTCTCTACGGACCTGTCTCTTATATCTCATCTGTCAGATGGAACACATTCAAGACATGGGGCGAGATACTGGACGCACTGCACGCAGACATCCTTTGTTTTCAAGGCTCGTCCTCCATTGCCGTCGGTCTAATCTGCTCCTGATTTTCGGTTTCTAAAATCTATCACCTGCAGAGATGAAAACAACGCGTCAAGCTCTCACGCGCAACATCGCTGTCCCAGAGAATTACGACTCTTTCTTCTCCCTCCCCACAGCGAAGGGTGGCTACAGTGGCGTCGCAGTCTATACCTCCACCCATACCGCACTCCCTCTTAAAGCTGAAGAAGGACTCTCTGGGCTCATCCAACCTCGACCTCCTCTCTCGCCACATGAACGCATTTCCTCGACCTATCCATCAGCACACACCATGTCTCTCATGCCATCCAACCCGACGTCCGAAGACCTGAACCCCACTACGCAATCTAAGCCTACAGATCTTCTCTCGCTCGACTCTGAGGGCCGAGCTCTTGTTCTCGACTTTGGTCTCTTCGTTTTGATCAATCTCTACTGCCCTAACGAGACGTCAGACGCAAGACTACCGTTTAAGTTGAATTACCATAGGATGTTAGAGGAGAGAGTGAGGATATTGGTGGAGAGGGAGGAGAGGGAGGTTATTGTTGTGGGCGATATCAACGTGTGTGCCGAGCCGATAGACCATGGGGATGGACATTTGCCGAGTTGTAAGGAGGGCTTTTGGGAGCCGCCATGTAGAGCTTGGTTTTACGAATGGCTGGACCCCAAAGGAAAGATGATCGACGTTGTGAGGAGGTTTTGGCCGGATAGGAAGGGAATGTATACATGTGAGGTGTATTGTTGTCTACCTCACATACAGAACACTGACTTTGTTTTGCGACGTAGGTTGGAACCAGAAGATCGGAGGTCGCGAGAGCAACTACGGTTCAAGAATCGACTACATCCTCGTTACTCCAGGGCTTATGCCTTGGATAAAACATGGCGACATCGAACCCACCATCAAGGGTTCAGACCATTGTCCTGTCTACGTCGATCTTCACGACTCCATCACTCTTCCATCCGGTGAAATATTGACTCTCCGCGAAGCTATGAGAATGCCACCGTTGACAGCAGATAACGCAGCGCCTTCTGCGGAAGGTACGGTCGAAGGCGAATTCGAGGGACGAGAACCGCCCAGGATAGCTGCGAGATTTTGGGAAGAGTTGAAGGGCAAGCAGATGGTGTTGTCTAATTTCTTCGGGAAGAAGGGTGACGATCCCGCACCTGATCCTTCGCAGAAATCAAAGTCCAAGCCACGGGTTATGAGCAGAGTCGCCGTCGCTTCTACTTCTGGTGCAAACGAAGCAGCCCCTGCACCGAGTGCCTCGCAACCTACAGCTGTGGGCGGCACGTCCGTCCTGTCAGGTGCCTTCGACGCTTTGGAAGCCCACCTTCCTTCTGCTCCTGCTGGAGAGCCCAGGTCGTCTGCCGTACAGCCACCTACATCTCATATCCTTGCCGACGATGTCCCGCCCGCTTCGCAATCGGTCGGCGTGTCGATTAGCACCAGTACATCCGCGCCTTCCTCCCAGCCACAGCCCTCCTCTTCCTCCATGAACCGACCGAAAACCCCGCCCACTTCAACACAAACTCATCCTCCTGCGCCCACTCAAATTACAGCCACCCGACCATCTTGCCCTCCCTCTCCCAGCAAACTATCTCGACCCGGCTCGCCTGCCAAGAAACACTCCGCTCGCCAACCTGCCGACTCATCCTCGCGCGGAACTAAGCGGTCTATGGCCGCTGAATCATTCCCTTCTACCTCCAACAAGAAAGCCAAGACCACGAAGGAGACCGCCAAGGGAAAGGGCAAAGTCAAAGGGAAGGGAAAGGGTGCACAACTCGAGGGACAGGCGACGCTTTCGAAGTTCTTCGTGAAGCCTCCTAGCTCGACGCCACTCCCGAGTTCGTCTCAGCCTACGTCTTCGCAATCGGAGGCCCAGGGTTCTGGACCATCGGGTTCGCAACCTGTTCCACCTCCAGTGCAACTTCCACCATCGCCAGAACCACAGACTCTTCTCCTTCCATCTTCGCAACCACAGCCCCCACCATCCTCGCAGCCCGAACCAGATCCAGACGTCATCGAGATTGACTCGACAGATGACGAGAATGACAAGCCCACCGTTACCAACAATAACAATCGTGTACGACGTCAGCTGGCACCTGATCCTTCCATCGAGATTCTTGATGGCCCGCCGATGCCTCCCCCATCGACTATGCGCAAGCGCCGCCGAGTCGTCGCTGACCCTTCCATCGAGATCATCGAATCGCCGCCGCCGCCACCACCCGAGCTCCTGCCTAAGCTCGAGCCTGAACCACAGATAACTCCCGCTTTCAACGCACTAGGACTAGAGGAGGGAGCAGTTGAAGCGAAAGCAGAACCAGAAGTAATAGCGTCTGACGACGCCGACGTCGAGATACCACCATTATCACAAGCCGAACCCGTCTCTCTCCCTCCCACTCCCTCGTCACCACTCTCTCTGCGTCAGCCTGGCTCCTCTCAACCCAACGGAAACGGTAATGACGGAGAGAGTAGCAAAGACGCCTGGTCGACGTTGTTCAAGCCGCTTAAGCCTCCGAAGTGCATTGTCCATGGCGAACCTACGAAGGAGTTGAGGGTGAATAAGCCGGGTCCGAATAAGGGGAAGACGTTTTTTATTTGCTCGAGGTACGTTCTCAGTCTTCTCCTCTTCTCTACTCTCTTCCTCCCGTCGCATCCTTTTTATGCCGTATGGCCGCATACGGACGAATGCAAGTTGGCTGATTGATTTACGCGGTGCATAGACCCGTAGGACCAGGGTACGATAAGGGAAGGATGGAGAGACTGCGAGACGAAGTAGACCATCAATGGAGATGCAATTTTTTCAAATGGTCTAGCGAGGTGCACAAAGAGGCTATGAGAGCGAATGGGGGAGGCTCGTCGACAAAGGGGTGAGCAGGGTGGAAACCCTTCTGCTTATTTGGTCGGCTTGCCGGCAGGAACGGTTGGTCGATAACTCGGGGTCTTCGTGTCGCTTTCGATGACGCGTGGTTGTTTTGTGACCCTTTGCTTTGGTTTGCTCTCGAACTCTTCTATCTCTCGCACTCCCTTGTACTTGTAACATACACACTCACTATACGCCCTAATTCTCTGCAAGATCTACAGCACATTGAACATAGCGTAGACTTTTCTTGATTTGTATCATACGCACCGGTTGTGACTATCACATCAGAATAGCTTGCATCGAACAACTCGGAGGTACCACAGTCGGACACAACGAAATCGGCAGTAGCCAGAATGAACGATCAATAAAAGTGACAACGGCCCAAACAACTAAAGCTGCATGATACACCAACGCAGAGATAAAGGAAACGGAGAGGGGAACCGACTCAGCGACACGAAGTCAAAATGACATTCCTCAGACAAAACACCTCGCGAAGAGGCGGAATTCCAAGGATTGGAGCATTTCCTGCGGGATTCGCACGCCGAGCAACAAAAGAGAATTGATTGTAGAAGGTAGCACCATGCATACACGCCGACTACCCTCAACTTTCAGACGACCTAAAACCAGCCAGAATATCCAAAGGCTGTCTCCACGCTGCCCACACGACGGTCTTTATTGTTTTGGTTTTTTTCTGCATGCACAAGCGTCAGTATTGAACTATAAAAGTCGACGAGAGAAGAGAAGGATGTGACGCACAAAATCCGCGACCGGTGAACGCGTTGCTCGATTCTGGAAAGAGAATCATGACGCCTCAACGGCACAAATCCAGAAGATTCAATCTTCACTCGCTGGCCCAAAGGCGAAACTGGAAGAGGGGGGGAAACGCCCACGAGGGGTGAGGGAAAGAAAAGATTGGACCATCCCGTGAGGCTGAGAACGAAATCTCAAGCTCTGGGTAGGGCAATGCTTCGGGGGTTCTTGGCGCCCCATGCGCCACCTGTGGCTCCCACGTCATGAAGCAGTCCATGGCCTATGCAGCAGAAGGGCTCGACTTCGCTCAAGATATAGTTGACGTCAATGCGAGATGAAGTGGAAGGAGAAGAGAAGTGGACGCAGCTTGCTCGCACTCGGGAGGAGTACGAGCGGAGGGCTCTGTTGACCGGTCCAGCCCTCATGCAGCACAACCAATACTCGTCATCATGAAGGCCAACCCTGGTCCCAAACCACCTCAGAAGCCACCGTCCGTGTACCGGGGGCATCTCCGGACGGGCGCATAGCCAGGTGACCCTGCGTCCAGCACGCACCAAGAACGGCTCGTACGCAAGCATACGAGAACTGTCTGTCGAGGCTGCTTAAGTCTTACGGTCGTACCCGAACGCTTCGGCCCAACACATCGAACCGGGTGGGTCCCGATTCCGAAGGTTGTATCGTTCCTGGTAATATTGTTCAGGCTCAGCGCTCAACGCTGCGGCGGGTCGCCCTGTACATGGAGGAGATGGTGCTGCAGATACCGTCGGCTCTTGAGAGGAACATATGTTGAGTGGCCTGTCGTGGAGGGAGATTGGGTGAGTATTGATGCCAAGAGAAGGTGCAAGAAGAACGAGGAAGACACATGAGACTACGAAAAAGAGGATAGCATGTGGACACGACACGAATGACATGGGCCGCACAGCAAGCGACACTGTACACGTCTGCAATAAGTGAACAGCCAATGGACTACAACACACGATCCATGGCCAATCGTTGGACAAGTCATCGATGATGACGACGACGGTATGACATCGTCGACGGCGACGGCATCGCGATAGAGTGCTCAGTGAGTCTAGAGGGCTGACTCACCTGGGACGCAAGTCATTGTAGGGCAGACATAAGTAGAAGAAGATATAGATGTAGACTCGAATAGTAAAGAGAAGAGAAGGTGGGGAGAGTTGAGGCAGCGAGGGAGGGCCTTTTTAAATCTTGTCGCACCGATTCAGACTCCTACAGCTGGCCGGATCAGACAATGCCACGGCAGAATATACAGCTCATAAGCAACAATAACAAAGCTGAGCGAATGTTCCAGAGAGACTAAGAGACGCGTTATCTGATGGATCTCAGGGGAGTCATAGCCCCTTCGCGACGAGCACAAAGCAGCTGCCGCATTCGGTGACAAGCCGGCACTCAAGGCTGTGGCGAACGATAAGCACGGGGAAAAGGCGAGACCTCTAGTGCGAACAGCCATACGTCTATAACAGAGTCCCACTATGCTTATGAGAAAGAGGCCGGTCTATCCAAGGGTCTTCTGCTCTCAATGAGCTCGAGGGTAGAGGAGAGGTTCTGAGGTGGTGGTGTCCGATCGCCACCGGTTTGCTGAGGCGCCGGATGTTGCCGAGAATCTCGCACGCGCGGACCGGTTCGAACTTCTTTCTTCCAAAACCAACTTTGAAATTCGTGATCGGGCCCACCAAACTCTGAGTTCTCCCTCCCTTTGCAACTCCCTCAGCTTGTTCCCCTCGATCCCCTTGTGCTATAATATTGATGTTGTAAATGCGCACAAAGTGATGTCAAATTCATGCGAAACGGCCCAGCGGTTATCGATAATCCTCATTTTGTCTTCCAAAACATGCGCCACAGCGCTTTGTGGGTCCCAGCATTCGCTGCCAAATGCGGTTCAATGCCTTTATGGGTGCCAATCTATGGGTACCGTGACTTTCCTGCGATACAATCAGATAAGACTTTATTTCATCCCCCAGCCTCATGGGTTTCGGCCTGCGGGGCTCGGTATGTTTCGCCGACCTATTGTCCTTATGCCTTTTGCCGGGGGGAGTTTGAATCGTTTCTCTGGCATATAAATCCCCACCTGAGCTCGCTTATGATCCTCCAACTTCTCTCTCCTCTACCACCATCGTCTTCTCCCTCCCTCGCTGAGTCGGACCGGACACTAGGTGAGTTACTTCAACTTTTCTCCTACACCTGCTGCCAAGTTCCTCCTACCTTCCTTGCGAAGTCTAGCTATCCCTCATCCACTGTAGATCCACCACGTCATAGGTCGCCGACATCATAGCTGTCATCGCATGTGCCATCGCACTCCCCCTCTATCGCCTTGGCTGTTGTTCACCCATGTCGTTTCCCTTCTTCATTTCGCACCCTTTTGCGCCCCTCTCTTCTCTCCATGTTCAACATTCTCACTCATCTTCGTTCACGTAGGCCGCCCGATTGGATACAGGTGAAGCCGGGACCGTAATGGATTGGGATCGCTCGCGACGCGATTCACAGGCCATGGGTGTCACGGGGATGTACGCAGAGTCGCGTTGCGTTGGCCTCAAGAACCTCGAGGGATATGCAGTGGCTTCCCAGGACATAATACCCTGACCCCTCATGAAGGGACATGCCGGCCAGCGTCGTGCATTGTTTTGGGGATGGTCCAATTTTTTAACTTGCTTGACCCCCTTCGGGGGTGTCGCTTTCTCTATGTCCTCTGGTATGGCGTCGGCCTCTTCGTGTCTCAGGGGGTTAGTACCTCTTCAGAGGGAAGCTAACATACGCCCGGATTCCTCGCTCGTTGGGGTTATCTCCCCCAGTTCGGCACGAGCGCCGTGTCCTACCTTTACAGTGGCCTTCGTACGTCACATCCTCTCAGACTTTGGGTTTTGGCGGCGATGATGGTTGTATACTGACGTCAACATGCCTGTATAGAAATGACCCTAACGTAGGCAAGGCGGAGAGAGAGAGCCTTTTGGATTGGATTACTTAGTGGACTCCCCTTCTGGACCGGTACGCCCCTCTGACCACAATGGAGCTGACTCCTAGGTCGTTATTCCCTATACTACCCCCTAATATGCCCGTCATCATTGCTGACGGTACTGAAACCGCGTGCACGACGCCAACAATGGCCCTGTTTCTCTTTTCGTTCTTTGGTTTTGTTGGGGGAGTTTTCGCGCTTTGAGTGCATTCTACCGAGGCTAGCCCTCCCTTTTTTCTCCTGGTATGGTGTCGGCCTCTTCGTGGCCCAGAAGATTAGTACCTCTTCGGAGGGAAGCCAACAGACACCCGTACTATACAGTTGCTCCAACATTATCATGTACCGCGCATTGACCGCGCAGTCATTGTGTTATGCCAGCTGGGTAAAATAAATAACACATTCATTTTCTGCTACACCAGCTTTGATCCCCGATGACACGCCTAGTTGCGATTGCCACGACCCTCGCCGCATCCTGTTGTGCGACATCATGCACCCGGCTTGTTCTTGACCGACGCCCTTCGATAATCCTTCGATAACCTCTCTCCGAAGGTTATCCCTTCCAATATTTGTCCTGGTCTGGTGTCGACCTCTTCGTCGCCCAGACGGTCAGGACCTCCTCGCAGAGAAACTAACAAACACCTTCATTAGTTGCATGTTTAACGCTTCTGGCAGAGTGGTGGTACAGGCCATCTTCCGGGTGCCACACACGTCTTTATCGGCGCGTTTTCCACGCTGCTTGCAGAGAATCGTTGCGAATGATCCACTGAAGTTCCTCAAGCTTTCATGCAGCTTCCATAACCTGGACTGAAGTTCAAGGAGAGGAAAGATGCTTATGAGCAATGCCACCAGGGATTCTGGGAACGCCTTTAGAGGTTGGAGAGAACGAAACCAATCCCCCGCCCCGTTCTATCGTAAGTACTCCTCCCATCGCGCGTAAATTCGAGAACGGGGTATCAGCTTTCGCTACAACAAGTACAGGAGTTGTACAGGAGCGTCTTCTAGTCCTCAGCTGCACATTCCGTACTTGATGGTTCCGACCCTCATTCCACCGCGAAGTCCATCCCGGTCGCGTGTGCTTTTTTTCCAGGCCGCAAGCAAGCCTTGCGGCCGCCACCTAACTTTCGAACAAGGATACACATGCCGCAGGCTTGCAAGTAATATTACCTGCAAAGCGGTTCATACGACAGATGATCGATGATTCTTGTTTCGTAAGTATTTTGGCATTGAGCGCTTGAGCTACATATAGTCGGCGGCGGTGCGGCACGGGGCGTGCCAGTACTTACGTGGAGGCGGCAGCTAGACGGGAGAAGCAGAACTATGCGGGGCAGGGGAAGCAAAGCGAGGGAGCGAGGTACACACGCGGTAGGATTTACGAATCTCTGTTCGCCGTCTCCTTCTCCTCTCACGCAAAGCGTTCCTGTCTCCACACCTCCTCCACTCCTCGACTGTCTCTGTGGCTCATATGCAGACTCACCAGAAGCAGTCGGGCTACAACTCGACCTCCCGTCGTTCGCGCCTGAGCTACGCCTTATACTCGCGACACTCCTGTGGTGTTAGTGACCGAAGTGAAGGCACGAGCATGTTCTGGATATTACATCCGCTGAGTCTCTTCTCTTCTTAAGATTTCGGCATCGCGCACCTTGCACCTGGCGTCTTGCATCTCGCCATCATGAACCAATGATCATGTTCCACACAGGCGCGCAACGATCTCCACCAAATATCTTCATGATGACGAGAACATCTTGCTTCTTCGTACCAGAGAGTCGTTATTTATGCACGGGACGGATACGGATGCGGAATTACAAAGTGGTCCCCCTTCCCCACCCCTGTCTTGCAGCCCTCCGACCTAACCACGATCAGCTCTTCCCCCGATGTCGGGCTTCCTCGATTATGTAGCGGGACCGCGGTGTAAAACTCACCTCGGAACGACAGTAGAAGGAACAGAAGTATAACTGAAGTCATGTCGCGAACGCTAGAGAAAGACAAACAATAAGTATCCTACGCCTCGGCCTCTTATGCACGGACCACGACCGACCAGACCTGACTAGTGACCACACGTACCTCAGAAGCACCCACAGCCCGTATCGCGTTCTACGAAGTTGACAATACCCTCAAGGTCTGCCCATCCCCGCTTAACCTCATCCCACTCCGCCTCGATCTCGCCCCTGAACGCCTGTGCGAAATGAGGTCCGACGCCGAAATACTCAAGTGGCCTGGCTGCACCGGAGTCGATGGCAGCTCTCGGGAGGCGTTTGGTCCTCGAAAGGACCATCTCGACGACGGCCGGGAAGAACTGCTTCATGTACATGTCATACATCTCGTGGTCCGACCACCTCGCGTCCGTCACCCCGTGACTCATATCAATGACCAGTCTCTTCAACCCGGCGTTCTGCCCTGAAACGAGACTCCCGTCGGGCGAAAATGTCAAGGTGAACTTCTCCATGAATTCGGGGGTGGTGTAGGCTACTTCGTGGAGGGTAAGAGAAGTGAGGGCGTGGATGTCGATGAGGGCCAGCTGGAGATCTTGACTGAGCCAGCTTAGTTGAAAGCCGAGTTCGAGGGTGTGAAGAGTGGGAGCAACGGTGGCAATGAGCGTAAGGAATGTGCTGACGTATTGTTGGTCTCTGATACTCCAGGCGGGGTTGGTACGGATGAGGTGGAGAGATGTGAGGTTGGGGACGGAGAGAAGGGCGATCACACGAGCGATGGAGGTGAAATACTCAGTGTCAATGCGGAGAGTCGAGAGGTGTGGTAAGGGAACCGGGAGTGATGTCGTCGTCGTAGCTGGCGGAGACGCTTGCTGATGCGTTGAAACGATTTTCAGGACGGAGATATCGAGCGAGGTCAGGTTCGTGCTATCTCGCGCGACGGGGAGCGTGTACTGCACAAAGTCATCTTCCACTAGCCTTTCGTCGTTGGTTGCTGCGGTGAGTGATAGCTTTGCTGGGAGAGGGTTCGAACTGGCGAGGTAGGTCTTGAGAGCTAGAGCGACGGGTTCAGACCCGAGGACGACAGGCGAGACGCAGAGGTCCATCCAAAGCTCCGGTGTGGAGAGGGCTACTGTGCGCCACTCGCGACAGACTCGTGTGAGAAGGATAGGAGCCACGTTGGGATGGAGTCGTGTGGTCGCTGAAGCGCAGGCTGTGAATATCTTGACCATGACTTCGAGGGGAACGGGTAGGGTCTCCATTTTTGCGATAGACTATAGAGTTCCTAGATGAGAGTGCCCCGACTTTATCAGTACCACGAAGTCTTCGAAGCGATGTAACGACACTTTGCTCACCGATGTAGACAAGTGAGAATTAGATCCGAGAGCACGATCAGGGCAAAGCAAAGGCTCGCGCAAGGAAAAGCGTCGGAAACGAGACGAAGAAGCGGCCTTTATATCCCATCACTGAAGTCGCGTTGCCCCAACGTGCCGAGACGAATTGATGGAACAGGGTCTCCACCGAACCTTCTTTGCTCAGAGTCCGTCCTGTGCGAAAAAAACCCAATCGGTCAATATGTAAAACGGTGACTTCCTTGCGTCAAATGTGCGTCACGAAGAGGTCAAGAGTGAGGTGTTTCTTCGAAAATTCAGTTCTTATGGGGACTCGGGTAAGGGCGCCTTTGTGGCCCTGGGACATAAGCTATCTAATCGATGCATACAGTCATATCGGAACAGCAGTCCTCCTCCGCCTACTGGATATTTGACAGGTTCCAGCAACGTGAAACGCGTAGCCGACCAGCAGTGAACGGAGATGAAGGTAATGCTGCATGATTGCAAGGGCGTTTTACGAGTGTGTACGTGGCTATCTTGAGCCTCGCCGTCAGGAAACAGTAAATTTCCTTCGAGCACAGCGAGATGTTAAAACCGCAGTACACAAGGCAAGGTTTAGACAGTCAGAAAAATGATCCGTGACGCAAGGTCCTTCGGGGAGGACCACAAGGAGGAGTGCCTGCCCATTTACCCGCCCATAAAACCAGGTCTGGCGTTTCAGATGACCTGGCAGCAGTATTACTTCGAGAGGTATGCCCAAGCTTCAACGGGATTGGTGCCGTACGAAGTTCCCGGTTCCATGAGCACACACCAGCAGAAGAACACAAGAAAAGCAGTGAGCCAGTGATCACCGTGTACAGAAGCCCACCATAGGAATGGAGACGAGACGAAAACAGGGTTGGTGGCTGGCGGCAGATTCTGAAACTTTTGTTCGTGGCTGAGAATGTCGCCCTTTAGGAGATGCAGAGCTGATTCCCACACATAGCCTATATGGCGGACGTATCGGATGGTCTAAGGAGACGAAGACGAAGATGGCGACGGGGTTCCGGACGATAAAGACAATCTAACATACCAATGGGCGTTCAGCTAACAGATCACCTTGACTCTTCGCAGTATAACGACAAAAGAGAGCGTTAGCCTGCTAGCAGCGAGAACTTTTGAAGACTTGGATGTCGTGGCTCGACACAAGAAAAGGCCGAACTTGGCCGAATCGTGCGCCAGCTGAGTCGCGTTATTTACGGTTGTTTACGCGTTCATACTGCCAGCAACGAGCCCAACTGAGCGCGGTCCGGCACCTGTGGCCTCTCCAACGACCTTGTGCACCCTCTGCCGTTCTCAGACTTTCGCAGTCGTCCAGCTCATCACCGTCACACCACCCAGATATCCCACCGTTTATTATAGTGCTTTATTTCTGAGCGCTCAATAGCCCCCCACATTCTTTCCTTGCCAACGCTCACGTTCACCCGACACCACCAATACTCGCGCAGGCATTAGTCCACGTTCTTCGTCTATTACCGCATCTAGGTTATCAAAAAGACATTCAGGATGGGATCATCTCATAGTAACACTATCGCGTCTACGGAGTCTATTCTTACGGCCGTCGTCGTCGCCGCTGCAGCCGCAGGCGGCTACGTCCTCTACCACAATGCTCACTCCCAACCCTCTACCACCTCCAACAAATCAAAACCGAAACCGAAAACTTCGAAGCGTAAAGGTGGTAAATCCCAAGACCTCGCTGCTTCAGAAGCGGAGAAGGACGCGGTAGCTGGCAGTGGGCCCGTCGTCGTTCCGTTCCCGGCCGTCATCCCTGGCGACTTCGGAACAGCGTCAACAGCGGAGGAATCAGGGCCTGCTTCGAGCGCTGGACCTGAGAAGAGGAAGAAGAAGAAGGGTAAGAAGGCAAAGAAGGATGTGAGCACGGCTCCGGTGGGTCAGCCGAGGGCGTTCATCGAGACGGCGTCGGAGGATGATTCGGAGGTGGACGCAACGCCTATCCCAGAGCCTGCACCAGCACCGTCCGCTACGAAGGCCTCGAAATCCAAATCCAAGAAGTCGAAGAAGGCCAAGGCAGAGGGCACAGCCACTCCTCAGCCCACTACCGCCACCACCACTTCCTCACAGACCCAGCAAAAGGCTCCTTCTCCTTCCGCCTTCGCTACCCATCTCGTACCTCCTGAAGAGGAGCGCTGGACCCGTGTCGAGTCACGCGGCAAGGGCAAGAAGCGTAACGTCGCCGCTGGCAGTGTAACCGGAGGTGAGAGTGGCGCGGAGACGGGTGGACAGGGGAAGGACTTGACTGCGAGCGCGAGGACGATGAGTGCCAGTGATGCGGGCATTACGACGTCGGTCACTGGCACGGGTGGGTCGTCCGTCGAGGACGAAGCAGAGAGCCAGTCTGGTGAAGAGTACGTCCATTTGTTCCTCCGCATAACGCTCTCTCGTCTTAACTGTACTGATTCTCTGTGGACTATTTAGTGCCTCAGATGTCGGCCCTGAGCCTCCCAGTGTCCTCAAGGTTCGTCCTGCACCAGGCGAACAACCAGCGAAGGGATTCAGCTGGGACGACTACGAAGGTGTGCAGGTGGATAGCCATAACGATGCCTCTGGAGAGGACGATGAGGGTGGCTGGGGAGTCGTCAAGGGCAAGTCGCGTTCAAGTACGTTTGAATTTCCTCCGATTTTCTCCCTCTCTGGACCTCTGCACACGACGCTAATAACTTTTGTCTCGTACGCTTCCCACCATCAGAACTCAGCGCAACAGGCCGTCAAACCTCCTCCGGTGGAGGCGGTGGCGGGATGTCGAGCTCAGGAGAAATGTCAAAGAAACAACGGCAGAACGCGGCGAAGCGCGATGCTCAGAAACAGGCGAAGTTGGACGCGGAGAAGGAGAGGTTGGAGGTGTTGGCGAAGCACAAGCGGGAGGTGGAGAGGGCGAAGATGGCGGAGCAGGCGAAGACCAGGAAGTAGTCTTCAAGCTCTTCACCTTTTGCGCTGGAGGTTGGCAGCAAGGGGTGCTCGATCTGGTTGTTCGGCGATGTGGCCCAAGGAAGGAGTGTGGCGCAAGTTTGTCCCAGTCCAAAATGTGGCGCGGCGTGGCGGGAAAGGGGCTAAAGGTTGTGGAAGGGACTCGCGTTTGGGAAGCTTTCTTTCTTCCCTCCGATATGATATACCTATCTTTATTCGCATTCATCGTCTACATATTTGGTTGGTTTCTCGAACTTCCCTCGGTCTCGATCATCGACGCATGAAATTGCCTTACTCACAGATGGAAGTAATGGATGGTCATGGTCATCAGGGAGTTTCGTTCGTACATTATGGTTTTCTTTCGAGCTTTTGTTTTTTTGTTTTTGATCTTTCGTCCTGAGTTTTGTGGAATAGGCACTATCGCTCTCGTCGTTGCTCATATCTCTCCTTCTTTCTGAATCCCATCCATATCATACCATAACATTCCCTCATCCCATCATATCCAATTCAATCCATGCGCAACCCATTTTTTCATTCAAAAGTCATTCTACATAGCTACACGGTACGCGTTTTGTTAGCCCACCAACAATACAGAGTATCAGCATGTTCCCCTAATAGCCAGTCCAGCGCAGGTCGTCTATAATACTTGGCGCGAGGATCCATGACTGGGACAACAACAAGCACAGTCGGGTCGTGGTGTCGCGCGCATCATGAGCGGTAATCACCGTTGATGCGCACGTATTCCTGTATAAGATGTCGCAATCAGAACCACCTCCTGGAGGAAGAAAGAAAAGGCAACACGCACATAACTGAAATCACAAGTCCAATACTTCGCGCTCTCCTTCCCCATCCCCAACTCAACCCTAATCTCCAGATCACCCTGGCTCACGATCTCCTTTGCTCTCTCCTCGTCGACGTTCTCCGGTTCGCCGTTGACCAGAAGGGCGAGTGGGGTAAAATTGAAGGTCGAGGTTGGGGCGGAAGGAGGGACGGGGATGAAGGAGACTGAGACGGCGGATGGGTTGAGAGGAGTGGAGAGGGGGAGGGAGCCGGTGGCGGCGAGGATGCGGCCCCAGCTGGTGATTTTCGAGGAGAGGCAATGTTTATGATCAGCACGGAGTGGAGAGCGAGAGGGATGGGAGAGGTTTACTTTGCGTCTTCGCCGTACAAGGCAGTTTTCACGAGTGCGGAGGTCGAGATGCGGGAAGCAATCTTGTGGGCATCGGAGTAGGTGGCTGCGCCCTGTAGGAAACGCCGACGTTGAGTGAATAAAATTTCCTCGACAGAAGGAAGAGGAGGCAGACATACCTCGACAGAGACGGTAACAAACTTGGTGGCACCTTCACCATCCCTAACCACCAACTTCGCCAAATCCTGTGCGAAGCCCGTAAGCTCATCCCTGAACCCAATATACGCCTCTTCGTCTTTCGCCTCGTCGATCTCCACAGCTGCCACATCTCCCTTCTCGACCGCCGCACCGTTCGCGAACGCCACAATCGTGTCATTCGTCGACATGTCGCCGTCCACGCTGATAGAGTTGAAGCTCCTCTCCACCGCGTACGTCAACGCCTTCGACAACGACGAAGGAGACACAGGCGCGTCGGTCACGATACATCCAAGCAACGTCGCATGCGGGGGTCCTACGGGACCCATGTTAGGATGAATCATACCCGCGCCCTTGTCAACGCCAGCCATCCGATACTCTCGGCCTTTGATACTGAACGTCCTCGCCCGAAGTTTCGTGAACGTATCGGTCGTCATGAATCCCCTAGCGAAGAGTTCCCAAGACGAGAATGCCGAACCGAGGGTAGAGCGAGAGGCATTGATGCCTGCGAGGATTTTAGAGATGGGGAGGAGTTGACCGATGACACCTGTGCTCATGACCAGGGTCTCGCCTGGCTTTTCGCTCGAGCTTTCTCTGGATTGAGGATGGTCGAGGAGAGCATCGGTCGCGCGCATCATCGCCCAGGCGTCCTCCATGCCTTTCGTGCCCGTAACAGCATTGGCGCAGCCGCTGTTAACGACTAAAGCCCGAGCCCTGCCTGCCGTTTTCTCCTGCACGTCCTTCGTGACGAGGACTGGAGCGGCTTTGAAGGCGTTTATGGTCGTGCATACGGCTGAGGCAGTAGAATTTGGGGAGGTGGAGAGGAGGACGGCAAGGTCGGGCGCAGATGGGTCTTTTTTGACGCCGCAATGGAGGCCTGTGAGCGCGTAACCCTTGGGGAAATGGGAGTCAGGAATCGGCTGGTGAAGATGCGACTTCGAAGGGATGGCTTTTGCGGTGAAAGTTGTCGTAGACGAGAGACGCTTCCAGATCGAGGGGAGATGGCGCGAGCTCGGACGGGCGACGACCATGGCTGCAGCTGGCAAGATCAGTTAGAGTTGATTTCCTGTTATATGTTTACTGCTGAAACCAATAACGAAAATGTCGAACGATACACGCGCTGAAAAAATAAGTAAAGAAGATGTATTTCCTTCAGCGGGGCGCTTGACTCGAAATTTGAGCGTAAGTTACAGAACTTGAACAAGCGCACGAGTCACGAATCGGCCCATGAGGGACAAAACACGACCAACACCAAAGGAATAGATGAGAGAAAATCGAAATAATCCCTCTTTACTCTGCCATCGCTCCGTTACTCTGGGTGCGCCGAAAGGATTTCGTGAAAGAAACGACGCTAGAGTGCAGCTCTGAACTGCATCGATGGCATGAAGAGAAAACCAAAGTGTGGCCCAAAACGCGTTCAAATATGGACGAGTGCGCCACGTGACCGAAAGTGGCTGATCGTACCGTCCGTCCGGCTGCCGCCCGCCGCCGCAAAGCCCAACTCATCAAGACCGACACCGACGACGACGCCAACGGAAGAGAGGTAAAATGGGATCTACAAGGTGAGCAGACGCTTTCTGTTATGTTGCTGGGGTGGATTGCGGAACGTTAGGAGATGGATTGCGGTGGGGAGGGAATGGATGGCAGCGCGCGTAGGCGGATGACTCTTTGGCTGGACTGGGGATATGGGGACAGGACTTGGATTTTGGACTTCGACTCTGGCGACGACGGCGCTGACGGTGTTCTGGCGAATACAGACTCTACAGCAAAGGGCGTATCCTCGGCCACAAGCGCGGCAAGCGCAACACCCGTCCCAACACTTCCCTTCTCCAGATTGAGGGTGTTTCCAACAAGGAGGAGGCTCAGTTCTATCTCGGAAAGGTCTGTTCACCTGCTCGCATCGTATATCAGGTTCACCATACTTAATGAGTTCCCTCGTAGCGTGTTGCCTACGTTTACCGCGCGAAGAAGGAGATCCAGGGTTCCAAGGTCCGCGTCATCTGGGGGTACGTCTCTTCGTCACAACCGTTCGTATATGTAGGACATATAACTGACGAGTTGTGGTTTACACGTCTCCAGCCGCGTCACCCGCTCTCACGGCAACAGCGGTGCTGTTAAGTCAAAATTCAGGTCAAACATCCCACCACACGCATTCGGTGCCTCCGTCCGCATCGTACGTTCCGCTCTCTTATTCTCTCCCTGCATATCCCCCCACCGTGCAATTTTCAACGGACATACACCTCCACCTCCATCCCCGTATCTTTGCATCGTGCTCATGATATATTCTAACCGGCATACGTTCGTTCAAACAGATGCTTTACCCTTCGAACATCTGATCACCCGATCACCTTGTACTCTTCACCCTCCTCCTTTCGGCTCTACATACAGCAATATGACGCACATGCTTCCACATATGGCCCGCATGCTCCTTTTCCCTGCATAAAATATCATGGTGGTTTGTCTTGATGGGATGCCTCTGTATTGAAGTCGACAACTGTTGTGGCGCATGGAAGATCTTCAGGTGTTCTCCGGTGAAGCTGGCGCTACGGAAATTCTAACATGCATGTTTCCCTAGTCTTTGAGCGATAATCCTTGTGCGGTCTACACCATGATCTGCTCGTCTCGTCTTTGCATATGGCCCATCATCTGGCGACTCGGGCTCGAAAAGCCCAAATATACCAATCACGCAAGCTCGCAACTTTTGGTGTATCACGGCTGCCAGTGCTGGTCGTCCCGACGTCTCGACGATATGCTATGAAAGCTGCTCTAACGTGGACGTGAGCGTCCTCGGTCACTCAGCTTGATGGAGATTTTTTCCTCGTGATGTAAGAGGTTTTATTTTAATTTCTTACTGCCCGAGAGGCCAATGGGATGTCACAATGTCAAGGCAATTGTTAATATTTCAGATGCACAAGAGGTTGCCTTTCGTGGCCACACTTTGCTCCTTTCCGGATATCAGATTTGATTGGGTCTGTTCCCAGAAATGATATGCTACACTAGCACTATCGCGCCTCAACCCTCCATTCCTCACAGACCTTCCGGGGGTCTCCCTCCTGTGCTGCTGAGTGTAAAGGGGGTGGACCATATTCAATTTTTTCTTTTTTCTTTCTTTCCATTCTGTCCCAGGGAGAAAGCAAGAGGTCAGGACTCCACGCCTTACATAACTTCCTTGGATAACGACTATCTACCGGGGAAGGAAGTAATTCACTTACACCACGGTTCATCATGGTGTAACAGCTGAGCACTCTTGCAGATAGTCTCGTCGTACCGTGAATTATCAAAATGTTCAGCCTTGGTGGTCGTTCGTATATATACAGAAGTGCGCGTCAAGAAAACAGCGACAGCGAAAGGACAGCGATACGAGGGATAGTGATACAGTATGTTTTAAACCTGCGAATGATCATGGTCGTAACATAGCAAATAATAACGGAAAGAGCACTAGGTACCGCTATCAGCCCTACGCCACGGGGACCAGTGTGAAGTACAAACGTACCATCAAAAGCCATCGACTTCGCGTCCTCCTGTCTTCGCTTCTCCAGCGCGTTCATCATCTGCATTGATCATACTTTCCGATATAGTCCGCCAAACCCCTTCCTCGAGAAACTCGCGACGCGAGCGAGCCGTGAATTCTGGTTTGATCGAGGCAGGACGAAGTTGAGTCGACGCGGGTGGTGGAAGACCATCGTCGACGATAAGAACCTGAAGAACCTGGAAATCACGCTCTGCGAGGATATTGATTAGCCCGATGTTCTTGAGGACGGTGCGACCTTCCTCGTCATGCCATGGCATGTATTTCTCGAAGGCTAAGTCGATCGGTACGGGGCCTGCGCTACGGAGCTTGTGATGGAATATGGGCCGCTTCGGAGACTGTGAAGAAGATGTTGCAATGGCGGAGGTTGAATCGGCGCCTTCAATAGTGGTGTCGAGTATTACGACGAAGGCATGGGTACCTGTTCAACACGCAGAGACATCGGATCGAGTTACAAAGATTGGTTCATAAGTGGAAACATATTACCGACTAGACTCCCTGGCGCTCCGTTTCGCAAGGCGAGCATGCCGATGTAGTTGAGCGTGATCCTATTCCGGTCGCAGAACTTCTTGAATGAGATGTTGCGCTCGACCATTTCTTTTCCGTGATTTTCGAGCAAGTCCCTGTTTTCTGCCGCAGAGCCACGGCAGAGGAACTTGTGTGCTGACCAGTCTTGTTTCTGGCACTCTTTACTCTATTGAACAAATGAATCACTATTTCAGCGGCAGCTACATACCTCTTATATGTGTGGTGTGCAACACAATGGGTGGCACTGGACATAAATTGGAAATTGGGAACTAGACGTACGCAATAGTAGGCAAGCCCGCAAGATTTGCACCGACGTAGATTTGCTCCCAAGTCCAGAAAGGGAGGGCATGCTGTAGGTTCCCTCGGATACCCATATTTCGCGAGGACAGGTCCGCTGGGATGACTTTCTCGAATGTGTTTGTTGCACTTGTGGCAAGCGTGGAAGCATTCACGTCTGATCGTGAGATCGTTGGTAAAAGGCATCATGTTGGCTTTGACTCTTTCAAGCACAGGACCGATATCGAGAGGGGGTTCGGTGGCCATGACTGGTGGAGGTTGTGGGACAAGAAAGGTGTGTCTCGTCGCGTCACGTTCGTGTCTTGACGTTGTGGCGTAGGAACAAGAAGTTCGAACCTGCCCGGCCTCTACCGGTTCGCCCTGATTTGGTCCACAATGTAACTTGTTGTGTTTCTTTTCTTCTTCGGGCCTCAGTCCCGCCTTGTCCTCATGGCATCCTTTGCGGGCTCGTCAGAGCCGCGGTTTCTCGCCCATTGCGCGATTTTGTTTGATTTAACATCTTAGGGCTTCGAAGCGGGAGATGTAAATGGGTTGAAACAAACAAATCCAAATATGGTGGAGTCGTCCTTCTAGTAGTGACCGAGTGTGGCTACGCTCTTCGAGTCCGAAGACTCAAGAGTGATGTTGGAAGAAATCCTGCTGGGTCAACAAGAACCATGATGCATATATACAAGAAACACTGGAGATCAAACATGTAGAAAGGGGAGAGAGAAAGAAAAGGACTGTGAACGTGTATGTGCAAGAAAATTGAAGGAGGAAATGTAATAAATAGGTGTGAAATCAAATGGGGATCCCTAAGCGGACCAGGGAACAGAAACTGAAGAACGAGGGGAGTGGAATGGAGTGGAGCAGGAGAACGTGATTGTTACAACCAGCGCTACGATTCAATCGGAAAAAAACTAACCAACACAATGAAAAGGACGAAGCGCACAACCAACGTCGCAGTTCCATCTACCTACTCATCAACATCCATTTTCATCCTCTTCGCCTCTGCGCCTTCCTGGTCATCGTCCCCAGCCTTATCCAATACCCTACTCTCCACAACAGGCGACCCCATCCTCGACCTCGACCTCGACCTCATAGTATCCTCATTCCCATCCGCAAACATCGCCTTCTTCCCTCCTCTCGACGGTCCATGAGCATGAGCTACCACCGGACTCTTCTCCGCCCCTCCCCCTCCTAAATCAAGCTTACTCATCTCTTGCGCCGATCCCCCAAAGTACGAATCCCCAGCCCCAGCACCACCACTCGCGCTCCCGCTAGCACTCCCCAGAGGACTCAGCATGCCAGCCACACCCGGAAGTCCCGCCATCGCGACGACAGGACTCGACGCCACGCTCGTACTCGCGCTGAAACTCTCCTGCATCCTATGCGCGCCCACACCAACGCCCGCGCCCATGCTTGAGTTTGCAGGGCGTGGGTACGTCGCCCCGTTCGGTATATCGACCACTGCGGCCTGTCCCTGTCCCTGTCTCTGCAGCCCCACGATCCTCAACCTCTCAACCCACGCATCCGCCCTGTCCAAACTATCCTTCACGACGCCCGTCACACCCCTCATCATATCCAGACTCTCCGTCGCCAACGTCAATATCCTCTGTGCAGCCTGTGTCGCGCCTCCCGCCGTCGGTGGGATTGCGTTGGCGTGGGCATGGGTATGGGAGGAGGCGGACGCTGCTGCCCCGCTCGATTGTCGTGAGTGTCCGTGGCGGGGGGATGCTGTTCCAGAGGGTGAAGGAGGACGGGACGAGGATGCCGTAGAGATCTCACCGCCTGCTGCGCCCACGGTCCCATTCAACCTCTCACCCCTCCGTCCGCTCCTTCTCGTCCCACCGCCCCTCCCTCCAACCCCACTCGCGCTCGCCTCCGGTATCGCATGCTGAAGCTGATGCGCATGCGGATGTACATGCGGATGCGGTTGTCCCCGACTCGCGCTCGCCCAAGCCTGCGGCAAATGCAGAATAAACCCCCTCACCCTCGTCCTCGCCGGCTCCGGCAACGCCCCGCCCGCATACTTCGACACCACGTCCACCACCTGTCTTACCGTGTTGACCACGTCGCGCTTCACATTGTTCAGCTGCCGCATGTGTTCGGGCGAGATGACGGCGTCGGGGTTTATGAGCGTGTGCGGGGAAGAGCCGGGTGGGGGTTGGAGGGAGGCCATGAAGTCGCGGAGAATGAGGATTTGGTCGTCGATGTGCGCTGTGGCGTACTATTGTGCGTTCCATGTCATGATTGTGTTAGCCAGACGAATGGAGGCGGGGGATTATAAGGAGGGAAAGAGGGAAGGGTGTGATGACGCACCTGGAGCCATTGTAAACAGTATTTGAGCCTCCGCATGCTTTCCTCGCTCACAGCCGCACCGAGCCCACCAGCTTCAGAAAGCATAGTCTGCCATCGACTCCGCTGTGCGATCTGTTGGTGGATATTCTCCTGCGACTCCCCGCTCGGACTCGGTCGCGCTGTCCTCACTGTCGAACAAATCACGCATCCAGTCGTCAGCGATTGGGAGAAGACACGAAGACGGAGGAAGAAGAGGAGGAGGAAAAGATAACACACCATCCGAATACCCGTCCTCTCTCACCACGCTCCGCTCGCGACTCATTTCGCGTCCCCACTCAGTACCAGCGGAAGACGAAGAAGAAGATCCCGCCCCCTGCATCTGGATCTGCAATCCCGATTCCCATGCGGATTCTCTCCGATCGTCCGTGGACTCCTGCTCGTCTACGGGCATCCTGTCCCTCTCCGTGCTCGAAGCTCGTTTTTGGTTTGTGCTGTATCGACCGAGCTAGACATGTCGGTGACGTATTAGTTATGCCGAGGACGAGGAGGTATAGATGATTGGGATGAAAATAATTGGGAGGGGAGGAGAAGAGAGGACTCACTCGATCGAGCTGTCTGCACGCGAACTCGTCCAGTTGATTAACGGGTAATCTATCCATCACAGGCCTCGAAATCGTCTTCACGCTGGACTCCATCATCTCCGCGCCATACTAGAAGTACATCGACCGACCGAAACAACCGAAACAACCCAACCCAACAGCGCGCACGTCCACACAAAAAGAAGAAAGTCAGTCAGATGATCATACTGCTTCCCCAAGAAAACGAAAATTGAAAAGGGAGTTGTGAAAGACGTTGGGGTTGAATGATTGAGAATTCAGTGCACATGTGTTAGCCGATGGAGAGCGGTGGCATGCGCATTGGCAGGTGATTATAGTGTGGTGTTGGTGTGGAGCAAATAAGACGCGTCGGTCAGATAGCGGGAGAGGGAGAGGATACGGGTGGACGGACAGTCCTTTGTGCGATGCTCAGCAGCAATCGCGAGCATGACGAGCGCATACGCAGACGATCGGACGTGGACGAGCTTATCGACGAGCTTCCATAGCCCGCGTCTGGAGCACGATGCACGTACGAGCCTTCCCCGCACACATGACCCTCCTTTCGCACGAAAGACAACAGCTCGATAAGGAACACAATAACATACCTTAACCACCCTCGAACTCGCCTTACTCTGCTCATAAGCCCTCAGCGCACTATTCACGATAGGCAGATGTGACACCCTCGAGACAAAATCCGGAGAATTGACGTCGATACCGATAGTATCGGTATCGATCTCGAGACGGTCACGGTCGTCAGAAGCAAGACTGGGCGAGGGGAGCGTCGGCGAGGTTGAGGATGAGGCGATGGAGAGGGCTGGGGTGGGTTGGAAGGCTAAATCAAGCAAGTAAAAGTGAATGATGCGGGTCCGAGCATGCGGGGGAGGTTAAGCGAGCGGGGTGGGGTCATGGGACGGCAGGTCAGTATGTTGAGTATATAAAATAAATGAATAAATGATGGGTTGGTCGAAGATGGTACGCACGGCTGGCGGAATGAGAAGTAGGAAATTGGGTTCTGGAGGATGAAGTCGAGCCAGAACTTGATGCTTGTGCTTGTGCTGCCTCCTTGGAAGCCACGGCGCGAGCGCGCATATCTCCCAGCGCATGTACCGCGATCCTGACGCTCTCCGCCTCGTCCTCGATCGAGCGTTGAGTACTAGTCGTCTGCATATCCAATATCCACCTTTTGAAGGTCCTCAACAGTAAAAAGATCAAGAAGTGGGTATGCTATGCTAGAGGATGAAGAACAAGACGGTCGTGGGCGGAGAGCGATGTGTGAAAAGGCAGAGGGGTGAGCTTGAGTATGCAAGAAGAACGCAGGCTGAGGCTATTTCACGTGCGAGGCCGTCATTCGAGCATGATTTTGGGACGGGCTGTTATCTTATCTTATCTCTTCATGTCCGCCCAGGCACGATCTCCGTGTTCAGTGGCAGATGCTGTCGGCCACAACCATCCACATTCAATTTCTACACTGACAGCGCCGAATCTTCAACAGATCATAGCACTAGGCGTAATAACGCCTCTATATCTAGTGCAACATTGCTTGCCTCCACAAAGCGAGACGGTGCCACTGACGGTCCAGTAAATAGACCTTCCTGAGTCCTTCCTGAAGACCAAGTGAGCCTGGCCGGCATTGACGTTGACCAGGCGAGGCTGGCCAAAGCATTCTCGAGCGCAGTTGCCGTGCTTTCTTGACGAGTCGGACCACAAAATGCCTTTGTCCTGTGGCCAAACGAGCTATATGAGCAACGCATCGTCGATTCTACATACCTTCTGCGGCCATGAGACAATATTTCCCTTCGCAGGTTCCCCGATGCCATCGACTTCGTTAGGGGCTGATATATGATATCTTCAAAGCAACGTTTGCGAGCGATGGACCCCTAAACTTACCTGTAGAGTTTTGGTCGCCCGAATGTGGCGAATGCCCTTCAAAAATTGTCAACGAATAACTGAGGCTTCCACTCGCTTTCATCACCACTTTCAAGAGGGTGATATCCACAAAGTATATCGCCTCGAGGTGGCACCACAGTGTGGCGTGGGCAAGAACGTTTCGCCGTACGTTACGTCGTCCGCTTCCGATTGCGACCCCCGTCTCACCGTCCAGCTATGGAAGCTCGTCATGATATGTTTCTTTTCTTTGCCAGCCCAATGCAAGAGCTTTGAATGTCGTTGAGTACCCCTTTAGACCTAAGATCAATTGATGAGCAAAACGATATGCAGCTGCGCTGTCGAGGTACGAGAGTGAGACGCAGTCGGGTGGAGTCCGGTACAGCCATAACAACAGACACCCCCGAAATTAGCCCCGTCGAAGCGTCTTCCTATAAAACCAACACAGCCGTCTGTCTTACCCTTTTCTTTCCACCTCTTTTCTCCCTTCCAACCGCCACATACACCCCCTTCATCCCACCCACTGCCCGCACGCACATCCCGCTCTCTACTCTTCAATTTTCTTTTCGCTCTTTCACCCGCTTTTCAGCCTTGAACCCGTACTCTTCGTCCAATAATGCGTCTCTCTGCCTCTTTCTGCCTCCTCGCCATCCTACCTGCCGTCTCGCTCGCGGCTCCGTTTGAGCCCGTGAAGAAAGCGCTGCAGATCCCGCTCAAGCGTCATGCTTCGTTCGTCCAAGAGGACGGCGTCGTAGACATCTCTGCGCTCGCAAACCATATGGCCGCCTCGACCGCGTACGTCTTTCCAAGATCCTCACTCCCTCGCTCTCCTTACTGACATCCTCTCGCACAAACAGTAAGATAAACGCAGGCTTCTCCATCTTCGAAACCAACACCGGCACCGTCCACTCCCTCGCCTCCACCGTCTCCTCCGCCCTCTCCTCCCTCGGCCTCTCCCGCCGCTCAACTGGGGCCGTCTCCCTCGCCGACCAGTCCCAAATCATGTGGACCGGCAACCTCACCGTCGGCACGCCCCCGCAGAGCTTCACCGTCGATTTCGACACGGGCAGCTCCGACATGTTTTTGGCGGGCGCGGACTGCGGGAGTACGTGTGAGGGGAGGACGTTGTATGATCCGAGCAAGAGCAGCTCCGCGACGGATATGGGGAAGAATTTTACGTTGAATTATGGAGATGGGAGTCAAGTGCAGGGAAAACAGTGGAGCGATACGGTCACGGTGCAGGGTCTGACGGTGCGTTCTAGTTCCTCTAAACTTCCTCCCATCGCTCGGTATACCCATCCTTTCGCGTTCAGACCTCGAACCAAACCGTCGGCGCCGCATCGACCTACTCCACCTCCTTCCAAATGGACGGCCTCATCGGTCTAGGCTTCCAATCCATCTCCGTCTACAACCAACCCCCGCTCTTCCAATCCCTCGCCTCAGCCGGGCAACTCGACTCCTCCGTCTTCAGCTTCAAACTCTCCACCTCCGACTCCGAGCTCTTCCTCGGCGGGACGAACGATGCGCTCTACAGCGGCGACATCACCTACACCGACGTCACCCAAGAGGGCTACTGGCAAGTCCAAATGGACTCTCTCTCGCTCGTGGCGAACGACTCCACGGCGACGCAGATGTCGGGCTCTACGGCGTCGATTATCGATTCGGGGACGACGCTGGTGTTGGGCGATAAGACGAGCGTGGCGGCGTTTTATGGGAACGTGACGGGCGCGAAGGAGATTGAGGGACAGAGTGGGATGTGGAGTGTGCCGTGCGATGGGGTGCCGACGGCGAGTATGAGCTTTGGAGGGCAGAGCTTCGATATTGATCCGAGTACTTTCTCGTTGGGGCTTGTGAGTGCTGGGTCGAGCGATTGTGTGGGTGGGATTGCGGCGACGTCGACTTGTGAGTTCAATTCTCCATGCGCCTGGAAGTCGATAGCTGGGAATGTTGAATTTTTTTTTTCCCTTTTTCTTTCTTGTGCACTTATTATAGCGTTCTGGATCATCGGAGACGTGTTCATGCAGAACGTCTACTCCGTCTTCGACGTAGACCAGAAACGCGTCGGGTTCGCTACCCTCGCTTAAACGCCCCCTTTTCCCATCCCCCATCGATCCTCATCCAAACACCTACCCTTTGTCTCTTACGCCCTCGCTCTCCCTCGCTCTCTCCTATCTCCGTCCCGAATCAATCCTCCGCAATTTCGTCTGGCGTCTCAGCGTTTCAGCATAGAGTTCAGCGAGGCAGGCTCTCAAGAATACATTCCCGAAGTCTCGAAGTTATAAGTGTTCAAGAATCCAAGAATCCAAGAATCAATTCAATCAATCGCATCTTCGCTGATCGACTCAGTACATAGCTTTCCTTTCCCGCCCCACTCACACCTCACATTCGCTCGTTCAATCGTCCGTTCGCTCGCTTTCCCACTCAGTCGCTCGATCGCTACCCACCCATCGGACAAGTTCTCGTTACGCTACAGTTACATTACTAGATTTACATCCATCTTGCATTCTCATTCTGTCTTGCATTTTATCTTGCATCGTCATCTACACTTCTTGTTTTCATCTTTCATTAACATCGCTTTGCTCCCCCCTCGTCGTTGTCGTCGTCAGTGCGCTTACATTCACATCCTACGCGTTCTCGTTCACACGCTTTGAAGCACTTGATGTTCTGATTCTGCGTATATAGGTCTTGATCGGCCGGTTTGGTGTTTCCGTCTCTGTTTTGTTGGAGTGTTGAGTTTGTTGGAAGGAGAGGATGAAATCTAGGAGAATGTGTATATAGTCATCTGGTATGGACGTGTTACACGGATCTTACTCATGTTTTTGAAGAAGACCTTTAAAGCTACCACATAGCGACTGAACTTAGGACGCGGGGCACAGTATACCGTAGGCCGAGGGAATGGCCACTAAGTAAAAGTGAAGGAGCCGGGAGATTTGAGAGTTCGACTGTACTACTGAGTCATACATAGGGGGTAACATCTTCACCATGAGGTTAGAAAATGTTAAGGCGAAAGGTGCGCACTGTGCACTTTGCGATGCGGAATATCTGGTAGGGTCTGAAGCGCGCACATTTGTCGGCGCAGTGTGGTTATTACTCAGAAATGCATACGGTACGCCTTCAGCACCACGCGTGCTTGGGAGGCTGGGTGGTTGTCCAAAGACATAAAGACAAGCAGACAGGCAGACAGACAGATGATAATATTGAACAACAACAACAACAACAACAACAACGACAACAACAACAACAACAGATGCTACTTCTTTGCTTTCATGTCCTGCTTCAGCGCCTAGCCCCGTGTCAGAAAACGGGAGGCAAAGGCGGGGATACAGTATGCTCAAATATCAATGATATTATGTATGTATGGTCGTGAATCGTGAGATGTGAAATGTGAGGTGGTCGAGGAAGATGAGCGATCAGAACGTCGAGCCTTCGGCGGGTTGGGGAAGCTTGCGGTTGTTGAAAGAGGACATCTCCCTATGGAAGCAGGTGGCGCCACAACACGGAACACGAGTCAGCCTCGCGATCACACGCAACACGCCCACGAATAACACAGGCGCCAATTCATACCCATCTCCAACGGCCCCCCAAGAAGAAGAAAACAAGAAACAAAGGAAAAGGGAAATACGAGGAGTGCTACGCACCGTCGAATCTCGACTAATACCGTCTCGATGCTGCTATTCCTGTTCCAGTGCGCTAAAACGGGAAGCTTGGACGTATCGACCGTGCCATCGGTCTGGTTCACGAACGGGAGGTTGACGCGCGAGACGAACTGGACGGTCGGTGGGCGGTCGGGGTACGTCTCGCCACAGGTGATCTTGAGACTGTAGATTCGGTTCTCGTGTACGGTCTATGAGTGTTTGGGATCGGTGAAGGGCAAGGAATAGTGTGAGGGGCGGTGGTGTGGCGGGAGATGAGTCAGTTTATACGGGTGCGATGGTACAAACAATAGAGAAAAACGAAGGGAAATATTATGATGGAAAGAATGAGAAGAATAACGTACGTGTCCTGGTCCGATGATGGTTCCGTTCCAGTGGCTCATGAGGATGTCGTCTCCGTCTTCGAGACCATACGAGCATGAGCCATCGCCGATGCCTTTCTCGCCCTTCTCGAGCTCTTCGAGCAGGCGGAAGTTGCGTGGTACTAAAGTTTCATTCAAGCACATCATGTAAGTATTCAACGTATGTTTCCGAACCACTTGAATCGACAACATACTCTTAGCCATGGAGGAGGATGAGGAGAAGGAAGGTGATCAGTTAGGGATCAATCGTGGCCACCAACTCTACAATAACCCCTAAACCCCAGTTAGCATTACTACATCGGGCCCCATAACCCCTCCGACAAGCCCTTTACTTTCCTGATAAGCCCCAATCGGGCATCCCGGTACGGAAATTAAGGACCCTTGGCCTGCTCGGGCGGACTCCATCAAGTCCACTTCGCATCTAGTCACAGCCCCCAGGACTGCGGCCTGCTCACTCCCTTCTTGCTCACCGCCACTTTGTCGCTTTTTCACCCCAAACGACGACTATCTACAAGGAGAAGACTATCTGAACGAGAATAAATTAACATGTTTCGAGCAGGAGCTACGAATCCGTACGATGAGATTGTCGGTACGTACAACTCCGTCATCTTTCGGGATATGAGACCAGCTGTTCATTTGATCCTCTTGCTCCGTGTTCACGATGATGGACAGTCAAGACAACGGATGAGAACCTGACGAGCGAGAACTGGGAGCTCATACTGAATCTCTGCGATAAAGTGCAGGACGAAGGCGAAGCAGGGTATGTTCCTCTCTCTTTCCTGACTTATCTCATCAAACCGTCGACTTTCTTTCACCGTAAATCCCTTATATCCTCATACACTTGTACTTACCTTCCTCATATAGTGCTCGAAATGTCATCGCTGCGATTCTCAAGCGTTTGGCACACCGGAACCCGAATGTTCAGCTGTATTCGCTCGCGCTCGTCGAGTCGCTGTCGAAGAACTGTACTATCGACTTGCACAGAGAGATTGCGTCGAGAGCATTCACGCAAGCTCTGGAGAAGCTGATTACTGACCGTGTAAGTACACGACCCTTCGACTTGAACGCTCTAGGTTCGTACTGATAGCGTTGTTGTGATCTATTCATAGACCTCACATGAGAAGGTCAAGCAACGGTGTTTGGCACTCATAGCTATGTGGGCCGCTGAGTTCGAGAATGACCCCACGCTTGGTATAATGGAGGACAGCTATAACGGTCTCAAAGCCAAAGGTAACAACCCCACTCGCCTTTAATCAGTGCCCCCGTCGCAGATGGTAACTCGATACTTCATCCTCAGGCTACAAATTCGAAACACCCTCAGAACCTCCCCCGCCCGACGTTGACGATGAAGTCCGCAGGCGCGAAGAAGAAGAACTGCAACGTGCACTCGAGATCTCCGTCCAAGATAAAGGTGGACGTGCCGCCTGGGGCCAATATTCCCTCGCCTCTTCCTCCAACGGTGCCGGTGCGTCCAGCTCCCACGCAGGAAGCAGCGGTGCCACTCCCGGTCCCTCTTCCTCCAGCATGGGCATGGGCATGGGGAGCCACAGCACCAGCGTCGAACCAACCTACGTCGGAGGCTACGCTCCCTCTGCCGCTGTCGCCTCTTCCGCCGCAAGACCCACTTCTCCCGCAGTTTCGCCTGCGCCTACTGCGACCATTCCGTCGTTCGTGAATGCACCTGTGGCCCAGTCTGCTGCCAGTCCTGTTCCGACGGCGAGTATGACGGGGGCGGTGGTGACGAGGGTGAGGGCGTTGCATACGTTTGAGCCGACGGAGCCGGGAGAGTTGGCGTTTGAGAAGGGGGATGTGATTAAGGTTGTGGATAGGGGGTATAAGGATTGGTGGAGGGGACAGTTGAAAGGACATACAGGAATATTCCCCGTAAACTATGTGGTACGCGTGGATATTCCCGTTCCCGACACTGCCCTTTCTCGATTAAGGCTCACAGATTTCGCCATTAGGAACCTCTTCCGGAGCCTACCCCCGCTGAGCTAGCCGCTGAAGCCCAACAAGAAGCTGCTGTGTTCATGCAGGCTACGAACGTGGACAGGCTGCTCCAGATGCTGAGGTCGCTCGATCCTGCCAGGGACAATCTGGCAGATAATGAGGAGATCCAGGAGCTTTACAGATCGAGTATGGCGCTTAGGCCAAAGATCGTGAAGTTGATCGACAAGTACAGCCAAAAGAGAGGTAAGATTTTCGGTCAAAATACTTCATGGCCTTTCATGCTGATATCTTTTGGGCAGCCGACCTGGTGGCGATGAACGAAAGCTTTGTGAAAGCAAGGACAATCTTCGACCGCATGATGGAGGAATCTCTTGCTAGGCATTCGGAATGTACGTCTGCTCCATCGTCATCGTCTTTATTTATCTCCATGACCTAATTTTGCCATTCTTTTGCAGACTATGACAGTCGTCCCCCGTACATGCAAGCCCAGCCATCATATCAGGGCCGTCCTGACTCTCGTGCCTACTCTCGTGGCCACCCTAATGCCGGTCCTCAAGCCTATGGCTGGAACCCCAACGTCTACGACCAACCAGGCTATAACGCCTATCCTGCTCCCGCATCGGCGTACGCTCCAGGTCAGGAGGGTGCCTATCCTCAACAGCCATACGGCCCTCCCGCTGGTGGACCTCAGCCTCAACAGCAACCCCCACAAGCTCAGCAGCCGCAGCAGCAACAACAAGCTCCCTATGGACTTGGCGGACCGCAACCGTACGGGTATGCGCCTCAGCAACAGGCGCCTCAGCAGCCTGAACAGACGCCATATGGTTCTACGCAGCAGCTTCCGAATCCTTACGGTCCTGCTCCCGCTCAGCAACAACAGCAGCAACAGCAGCTTCAGCCTCAACCGCAACAAGCTCAGGTCCAACCCCAACTCCAGCCTCAGCTTCAATCACAGCCCGAGCCCGAACCCTCTCCTGTGCCTTCGCCTCAGCAAGGGCCGCCGTACACTTACGATCCTAACGCGACGTACGAGGACCCGAACGTGCAGGCTTGGGCACAGTACTATGCGCAGGGAGGAACGGATCCGACTGGCTCTGTGTACTTCTTCTCCGTGCCGGGCGTTACGGACCAGGCTGAGCCGCCGTTGCCGCTTCCTGGACAGTTGCAGGGACAAGTGCAGGATGTTCAGGCTCAGGTCCAAGGCGAATCCCCCCTGCAGCAAGCTCAACCGCAGAATCATATCGATACGTCGGCGGGATATCAACAGCAGCCTCAGTATCAGCAGCAGCCCCAATATCAACAACAGCCGCATCCTCAGCAGCAGCAGCAGCAGCAGCCTCAGTCCCCCCAGCCTGAAAGTCAAGCGTACGGATATGGGATGTATGGACAAGCAGCTGGACAAGCACCGAGCCCAGAAGTTGACGCACATGCCGCTGCGCCTGGTCCTGCGGCAGGATACTCTTCTCCGACATCGACCGTGCGTCCTGGATCGGCCGCACCGACTGAAGTGCCCCCTACCGTCACCAGCCCTGTACACTCGACACACGCACAAGCACAAGCGCACTCACCTCTCGGCTCCAACGCATTCGTGCAGGCCATCCAGGCGCGTCAACAACATGCGGGTCCTGGCACTTCCGGAGGTCCACCAGCTTCGTTGATCGGTAGTGCTGCGGGAATGGGACCGGGAGCGGTGCAGAGAGCGGATTCGACGAGTTCGTTGCCTAGTCCTGTGGGATATGCCGCTGCTGGTCCTGCGGGGCCTGTGTCTCCGGCCGGAGGAGGACCAGCGTATTATGGAGCGGGGGTGCCGGCGTTGCAGAGTCAGTTTGCGGGGATGAAGGTGGGCGGGCCGGGTGAGGAGGGGCATGGAGAGCAGCCTTCTGCGCCGGGTGTCGGTGCGTGAAGGGAGATCGAATTTGCGTGGAGGTGGAATGAGTCGTTGGCGGGATAAGAAGTACAGATTTGAGAGATATTGTGACGGACGGATGGACTGCTAGCTATGCTCGGTGTGGATGTATCTCCATTGTAATGGATTTCGTTTAATTTACTTCTATGATTTACAGGAAGAGACGTCGATAGGCATGGAGCGTAATATACGAGGCCTGCATTGTGGACGCATTTGGTAACTTGAAAGACAAAAGAAACGGACGGCAACGCGGCAGAGTGATGGCCCAGGACTTCCCGGCGGTTTCCGGTGTCCGCCGGCACTCCAAACACGAGGCCGTTACGTGGTTCGAAAATGAAATTCGGGTGCCACAACCAAGTACGCTCAGCTTCTGCCCTCCTCACAATCCCTGCTGCCTGCGCCCATCCATTCCCTTTATGCCATTGCATTCCCAGTGAGGAGGGGCACAAAGTGATGTAATTTTGTGCGAAACGGAAGGTGCATCGCAGAGATAATCTGCTTTTTGCTCTCTCGAACACGCGCCACAGGCCGTTGTGGGTCCCAACATTCGCTTCCTAATCGGGTCATTTTCCATTGTTGGCCATTTATGAGTGCCGTGCCACCATGCGATACGATCAGATAACGCTTATAGTTCTGGGATCTGGGCACGGTTTCGGACTGATGGGCCTCGGTATGTTTCGTCGTCCGGTGTCTGAGTGCCTCTTGCCGGGAGGAGTTTGAATCCTTCCCTGGTGTATATAAGACCCACCTGGTCTCGCTTATGATCCCTCACCTTCTCTCTCCTCTACCACCACCATCTCCTCCCTCCCATGCCAAGTTCGACTGGACCCTACTAAGGTGAGTTTCATCGACCTTTCTCTTACTCCACTCACTCGCTCGTCCCCTCCTTATCTTCAACCATCTTTCATTCACTGTACATGGCCTTTGGCTGTTTGTCACGAGTGCCACCCTTCTGTCGTCGCTTATCCATTCACACCTCCCCTCCATCGTATCGACTGTTGTTCACCCATGATGTTTCCCTTTTTCCTCTCGCACTCTTTCGCGCCACTCTCATTTTAAAGTGCAACATTCTCACTCGTCTTTATTCACGCAGGCCGACCGATTGGATACCGGTGTCAAGACTCAACATCAAAACTTCAACTTCAAGCCGGGACCGTGTTGGATTAGGATCGCTCGCGACGCGGTTCACAGGCCATGGGTGTCACGGGGATGTACGCAGAGTCGCGTTGCGTTGGCCTCAAGAACCTCGAGGGATATGCAGTGGCTTCCCGGACATAATACCCTGACCCCTAATCAAGGGACATGCCGGCCAACGTCGTGCATCGTCCTGGGGATGGTCCAATCTTTTCTTTGCTAGACCCCCTTCGGGTGTATCACCTTCTCTTCGAGGCTAGTCCTCTCATTATGTCCCCTGGTACAGCGTCGGCCTCTTCGTGGCCCAGGGGATTAGTACCTCTTCGGAGGGAAGCTAACAGACGCCCCCCGGCCGCTCGTTGGGGTTCTCTCCCCCATATCGGCACGAGCGTCGTGTTCTGCCTTTGTGGCCTTTGTGCGTCACGTTTCTCTCGTCTTTAAGGATGCTCGTGGCTGTATGCTGATGTCGATCTTTCTGTATAGGAATGACCCCAATGTGGGCAAGGCAGAGAGAGCCTTTATACTGGAGTCTTCGGCGGATTCCCCTTCTTCGCTGGTCTGGCCATGGTACGCCCCTCTCCGGCCGGAATGAAACTGATTTCTCGGCGATTATCCCCTATATTACCTTCTTGGAAGCCCGGACCCCTAGTATGCTCGTTGGTGGCGGTACTGGCAGTGCATATGCCACGCCAACAACGGATCTCTTTCTCTTTTCTTTCTTTCGTTTCGTTGGGGGAGTTTTCGCACTTTGAGTGCATTCTACCGAGGCTAGGCCTCCCTTTTTTCTCCTGGTATGGCGTCGGCCTCTTCGTGGCCCAGGAGATTAGTACCTCCTCGGAGGGAAGCTAACAGACGCCCCCCGCTCGTTGGGGTTCTCTCCCCCAGTTCGGCACGAGCACCGTGGAGCACCGTGTCCTGCCTTTATGGCCTCCGTGCGTCATATTTTCTTTGGGTTTTGGCGACGATGATGGTTGTATACTGACGCCAGTATGCCTATACTATAGGAATGACCCTAACGTGGGCAAGGCGGAGAGAGAGAGCCTTTTGGATCGGATTACTCAATGGACTCCCCTTCTGGACATGGTACGCCCCCTCCGACCACAATGGCGCTGACTCCTCGGTTATTATTCCCTATATTACCCTCCTGAACCTGGAACTCCGGATCCCTAATGTTCCCGTCATCGTTGCTGGTGGTACCGGAACCGCGTGCACGACACCAAAATTGGACCTTTTCTTCTCTTATTTATTTGGTTTCGTTGGGGGAGTTTTCGCACACTTAGTGTATTCTACCGAGGCTAGGCCTCTCTTTTTTCTCCTGGTATGGCGTCGGCCTCTTCGTGGCCCAGGAGACTAGTACCTTTCCGGGGGGAAGCTAACAGACGTCGGTAAGTACAATGCTATAGCCATCTCTTCCCCAGCGCCGTATCTGTGTACATGTAGTGTATAGCCCGATGTTGCGGCGATCCTGTTAGCCCATGGGGGTGAGCGTCAATAAATCGTATTTTGGAATAGTCTTCTGTGCGACCGTCTGAAGCTCCTCTACGATAAAAACAAGTATAATATCTAAAACATTCGTCAAGACGCTCAGTAACGGTCGAGGATGAGGTACCCGCGCGGGGCGGGGGGGGGGGGGGGTACGCATCGGTGTTGCCGTTGCTCAGAGGTAGGCATCTGACCATGCGTATGTCTGGTATTAGAGGTGCTCCCATCATCGCTATACTACCGGGAATGGGACGCTCCTGCGTATTCGGCGAGGATATCCGCATCGCTGCTATAATCGCCTAGCATCGGCGCGCTCGAGATCCTATTCTTGTCGTGAACATGCCAGAGCTAGTCTCCTTCACGCTGCAATCTTGACTGAGCTCAGGTGCACGGAAAATTGGAGAGAACCGCATGAAGTCCTCGTTATAGAATTTTTGGATGAGCTGGGAGGAGCAAGATGATATTGAGAGATGAGCTGGTAAGAACCAACAACTCCCTAGGCGAACTACAGGCCTGAGACATCATCAATGAACACGACACACGAGTCTATCCAAGGAAGAACGATCCCATACCGGCCTGGTCACTTTTGACTCTCTGTCGGCGACAAGGCTTTCGACGCTGGTCCCGGTAGCAACAACTTCTCCAGCTTCTGCCACTTACAGCACTTGAACCTGACGTAATCCCAGAACTCCATCCCGTAGAAGTAGTAAACCCCTCCGAATAATACTCCAGCGAGGTGAGAGGCGAGGCTGAAGGGCCTGAAAGAGGGATAGAGCGTGTCACGTACGTCAGCTACGGGCATCGTCTACTAAGAGGCAACTGGCCACCGCTAACTTGAAGTGAGTAGTATAATGCCAGGCTAACCGAAGGCAAGACATGGACAGATAAGCAAGATGAGAACACACACCTCCAGCCTATCTCCGATATCATGTACAACCCCCAGGGGAAATAAAACTGAAACCTGGCTCTCCACTTGCTCTCTTCGCTTACAGTCATGTACTGATCCACATTCCATATAAACAATGCCACAAGTACACCACAGCCCCAGACAGCGCTCCGAAGGCTCGATACCGGACGTTCAAGTTTGGAGATGAGCACTTCCACCGGCACAGAGGGAGCGAGTGTCTGTCTTTGGGAGTTGGCAAATAGGTCTATGAAAGACGGTTCAATGAAGTCTGAGATTGGCTCAGGGTAAGGCACAGAAGGAGAGCTGGTTGTATGATGGTGGTTTTGTCGAGACGGGAGATTGACGTTAGGAGTCGATGTCGATTCAGCGGTGGAGGTCGTGATATTGTTCATGTGAATGGACTTAGAGGTGTTTGTGGGCATGGGCCGAGATACAAAAGCGAGTAACCGGGGCAGTCGAACACGGACCACATAGATGTGGTGGCACAGGGACGAGAAAATGCCGGCTATTTAGGTTAAAAGCACGGCGAGACTTTATCAGATATCGATGACAATGGTCAATGCGCTATACTTACCTGTAAACAGAAAGGCATACATATGATAGCGGGCAGACGCTTCCTGAAGCTCAGAAGTTGTATGACGCTGCTTAGCGCGGAACCAATCACCCGCGAAGAATACTGCGGAGAGAATTATTCCGAAGATTATAAGGTCAGCGCGGCTCAGGGTGAACAACCCCGTAATTCAATGCTTACGAAATACAAACATCATCGCGGACCCCATCGAGAAGGGGTTACGGTTAAGCAAGCCAGTCGCCATAGTATACGCCTTACCGCGATCATGAAATGGACGATGTACAAAGTGTGCTTGTATCCAGGGTTTAAAGCGTGGAGTTTTCCCCGCGACCCACACAATGAACGACGCAGCGGAAAGATTGAACGCGATTTGCAGTTCCTCATAGGTGGCGAACGTCGAGGTTATGACCAGATGCGCACTTATGACGAATTCTTTGAGGCCCGTAGGAAGAATGGAAAAAAAGGATCTGGAAAGGGACGCGTTCCGCTTTTTGGCTGTCTAAGTGAATTCAAATTCAATTGAACAGTGAGCGCCCGGTAGCTATAGCACCGAACGACCTAACGTAAGGGCGAAGCAATGCGTCAACAGAAAATCTCACCTCCACATCCAGAGCCCGTTTGATGGCTCGCATTGTCATACTATCGGTGTCAAACTTTTGCCCTTCCTTGCGATTGTGCTCTTGTATCGCTCCTGTGAACATTGCCGTTTCCCTATTTGTCATTCTGGCGGCTAGAAGGAATACGGCTGCTGAGGTAGCTATTGCGAACTGGGAAGAAGACCAGGTGAACGAAAAAATCCGGACGAACAAGGATACAACTCAATCTTAGAGGGTGGGTAAACGTACGAATATGTGCTTTGCTATTCTCGGGGGTTTGATTGTATCCGCGAAAGACATTGTTGGTATGACACTCCTGGCATCCGGAGAGCAATGCCTGGTTGAACGATGCATCGATCGACTCCGAAACGAGCAAGTCAACAACGACCGAGACTGAGTGAGGGATGAAATGTGACCCTGCCACTGAGTGCGTACGCAGGGAGACGAAAGTACGAGCCATGCACCAATTCCAGGCGATAGGCAGGGTCGGGCTGGACGCGGATGGAGAAGAGGAAGCGAAAGACGATAAGGTATTTTGAACGGCATGCCGGCAATTGATGTTCTGATGTGCGAGACGAGTGTGTGGGTCAAATCGAAAGCGATGAATGAGATGTTACGAAATTGATAGCACCGAGAACGAGAACGAAGCAATGCGGAAGCAAGTAAATAGCTGGGTATTCAAGGTTTCCTGTGGCAATAGCAGTTCCGAGTTGAGCGAGTCAAACGAGTTCAATGGCAAGAGGCATGCGCATGCCACTGTACTTGTACGAGGCTGAGCTGAACGGGGGGGTTTAAACCTCACCAACAGCAGGCACGAGCAAGATTCCAAGGACATGCGAACGATCTTCCCAGCGATTACTGATTTTGAACCTGCTTCCGACGCGCGTTCTTTCGGCTCAGCGGCGCTCGAACTTCCGTGGGCCACAGCGCCACGCTGTTGGGTGATCTGGCTGCGCCAAGTCCATGGGCACGTCTCAAAGGTAGATCGGCTCAACTCTCTCAGGCTTCCCTTCGTTGTCCACAGCGAGCGCAAACAGTTATAACTGTCTAGTGAGAAGGGAGGTATTGGCAAATCATTCTATGATATGCAAATGCCAAAGCAGGTTGACAGTAATTAATGAGAAGCTAAGGTAGCTAACAACCCCCTCCAAACAAAGTCTCTCGCGTTCCCTGACGACTCCGTATACTTCGTCATGAAGAGCTCGTCCGTCGGGTCTATGAATTACATCGTCAGCAAATGCCATCATCGCTAAAAACCACAACTCCTTCATGCATGGGAAACGCAGACCTCCAGAGCGTCGAAAAGTGAGAGTGTACACTTACTGGTATGCAACGTCTTGTTCTTCATCCACACCTCAAACAGGGCCGCGGCCTCGCTCACGCTCAACTTCTCCGGTACATCCAGCGCCTTGATCCCTTTCGTGTATATCTTAACTTCCTCCGGAACTTTGATGTACGGAGACGGCTGAAGGTCTTGCTGGAAGCCAAGTGCGTAGCGGACTTCGGGTGTGAGGGCATAGGTGTTCGAAGTGGAGGAGATGGCGCCGACGAAGGCGCCACGAGCCTGGAATAGGAAACGTAATCAGTTAGAGTGGCTGGGAGCAGAGAAGATGGAAAGAGAGGGATACGCACGAAAGTTCTACGGCCACTGGCATATTCGAGGAGGAGACGAGGCATGGAAAGATGCCAGGCGCGGAGGGAACCGTATAGTGGATCACGGTATGCAGATTTGCAGAAGAGAGCTTGGAAGTCGTCTACTGCTACTAGAACAGGAAGTCTGCGCATTAACGTGTTCAGTGCCATCCCTTCTACCAAAACCGGAAGATAAAGAACTCACTCTGTCTGCGCACCCAAGCACTCCAACATCGCTTCCAAGACCGTCGGCGCCACAGTCTTATCTTGCACCCCAACCTCGATTAACTCAGCCAATGGAACTCCCCCCTTCACCGTCTCGTGCCTCTCAATCTCGACATCTCTATGCACCTTCAACCCTTCGAGCAACTTCGCATTGACGATCTTAAAGCGTTGAAGAGTTTGAAATGCGAAATTTGGTTGGTAATATGACTGGGTGCGAAGGTCGTAGACGTAATTGGATGAAGAGTTGACGAGGTCTATTCCGCGGGGGATGTAGAGGACTAGCCAGTTAGATGCCGCAGCGTACTCGACTGCTTGGAGGAGGAGAAGCGATTTCCCGGAGCCTTTAGGCCCACCTGTGAAGGTTTGGGAAAGGTTGGGTGTTTTAGAGTTGAGATCCTGACGAATACGTTGACTCTAACGCACCGAGAACAAACCTATTTCCCTCGCTCGATTTTGAACTTGCAGCGTCGAGCTTTTGAACGAGGTCGAGTGTCATATCCCGTACTACCGAGACAGGTTTTGACAGCAGTCGCCACTATGTGAAGCACAGTGAGCGCCATACACTAGACGGAAAGGTTGAACCGAGCGTACCTCAAGCACTAGGTTCTTTGGGACTCCGAATGTTTGGATGATGTGGTTCTCAGGGTTCGGAAATGCAAGAGCCTTTCCAGCACTCTCAGGTAGTGCTAACTATAGGGTTAAAATGCATTGAATTAAGACATGTCGTTGGTTTCGTGAGATGTGGCAACGCACTGGTTGGAACTCGGGCATGCCTTCCAGTCCGTCAACACCACCAGCTTGAAATATGGGATGAGTGAGCTGATTCGCGGACATAGGTCTGAATATCTGAAAGTAAAATATGGCTATGAGTTTGTAAAGATGGTGGAGAGCAGACTGGAAGTTTCGTGCGCACCCCAGTGGCCCTCGCTCGTTTTGGACCTGTCCCAAGGCCACCTGGACCACCCTTGACCTTGAACGATTGTGCTGTGATACCATGAACAAGACAAAACAACTTCAGATTCGGTTTGCTACAATGATGTCAGGAATGAGACGTACATGTCTTCTTCACTGGAACTTTCCGTTTTTGCTGGGCATATCCACGCATTTGCTGGTGTTGTACCGTGAGCACAGATGGTCCAGCGCGCAGAGAAACTTTACATGAGGCCAGCGACGCGCCCGTACGCGATACAGAGGCGGTTAAAGCAGACATTGCAGCCTGCACGGACAGTTGAAGTAGAATGCGGGATGGACAGCGGACTATGGCGGAAGACCGTGAGAACCCTGGATATACGCGTAAATTCCAATATCTGGAGCACGTGGCGGCGTAGCGGGATGTCCTCTTGACCCTTCCGCGCTTTGGGAGAGCATCATGCAATCATTTCCATGGACCTTTTCCCTCGGCGAGCTGGTCTATTGATATAAAGATACAGAGGTTCTGCTGCTTCCTCACGACCCTTCTCTTTCATCTCAGCTCTGAGGCAGCTATGGTTCAGGATCCCGAGAAACGCAGACAGGAGCTTTTGCTCGAGCAGCAGGTTCTGCCAGTACAGGTTCCTGTTACGCCCCAGAGTTTCCGTATTCCTACCGTTTCGAAGAAATGGCGTCGCATTTTTCATCTATCTCAGGCAGCTGTTGGTCTCGCTTGCTTGGTTCTCCTGTACATGCGATCTGCTCATCTAGAGACCGATGCCTTCGTATTGTCTCTAAATCCCGAACGCCCCTCAGCTTCACAATCAAATGCTGCGAGTGGAGAGGCTCTATGTCCCCAGGCCGATCCCCTCTCGCCTCAGAAGCATGCGGCTTTTCTTGCAGAGATGGATGGTCTGTATGGGACTGAAGAGTATAAATTGTGGGCGTACGAGAACCTGGGAGGTGCTGTGAGGATCCCGTACGTATCTACCAAGGGAGCTATGTGTATCTTGAACTTACCGGCTGTGATGCAGAACTGAGTCGTACGACGACATTGGCCCAGTTGGTGAAGATCCTCGATGGGAGACACGCCTTCTGCTTCATGACTACATGCTGAAACGTTTCCCTCTCGTGTACGTGCTCTGTTCCTTCTCAGAGTCCTGTCCCCACACGAACTTCGCCATCTCCGAGTATTATTCGTAAAAGCACGCCATAAAACTATTACTGGTTTATTGTCACGCGACAGAAGATATTTATCGTTCGTTTTCAGACACTCCACCCTCCCGCGGACGGTTATTCACAAGTACGCGTTGGTATACCACTGGCAAGGCTCCGACACATCACTCAAGCCTTTGCTTTTGACTGCTCACCAAGGTAGAGTAGAATTTTCCCGGTCACTTGCCTACAATCCGTCGTACACCTATTAACACCGTCATTTCCATGGTTCTATACAGATGTCGTTCCCGTCGATCCTGTAACTGTGGATCAATGGCTCCAACCTCCCTACTCCGGATACTTCGACGGTGAATGGATCTGGGGCCGTGGCTCTTGTGATGACAAGTCTGGTCTGATCGGCAGTCTGTATGTCCATCTCTCTTTTCATTCCATATCCTCTTAGAGAGGAACATATTGACATTCATCAAATACTTAGGACTGCGATAGAATCATTGCTTAAAAAAGGGTTCAAACCTGCTCGATCCATTGTTCTTGCGTATGGTATCGACGAGGAGCGTGGTGGTGTCGATGTAAGTCATACTATCAGATTTCCTCTATCTTGCTCTAATGATATGTATCAGGGTGCGAGGTACATGAAGGACTACTTGCTCGACACTTACGGGCGCGACTCGTTCGCTATGCTCGTCGATGAGGGCGGTAAGTCACTTCGAGAGTGGCTCTACTTCTAATACTGAATATTTTATAGGTGGATACAACAGCGTCCACGGCGTCATATTCTCTACTCCCGCTGTTGCCGAGAAGGGGAAACTCAACGTCAGAATCGAGGTCAACACACCTGGCGGACACAGCAGCGTACCGCCTGCACATACGGTACGTCTTACCTTTCACCTCGAATTCTTCATACCTTCGTTTCCTCTAGTTCTCTCGTCGAAGCTTCTCCACTTTTCTCTTCTTCACAGGGAATAGGCCTCCTTTCAACCCTCATCACCTCCCTTGAATCTCACCCTCTCCCGGTGGCCCTCCACCCGGGAAGCACCTACTTTTCTGCCCTCCAGTGTTCCGCCGCACACGATCCCTCTTTCGACCCTACTCTTAGCGAGCTCATCGCTGCCGCCTCTTCCGGCTCCAACTCTAGTGCATTGGGATTGCTAGAAGATAAGTTGATGGAGCAAGACGAGAGGAAGTATAGGGCGATTGCGGGGACGACGCAGGCCATCGATCTTATTGGTGGTGGTGTCAAGGTATGTTTATTGTCTGGCTCTTCTGGTTCAGATGATGTGGAGAGACATATGCCTGGAGTGCTAGTTCAATCTTGTTCTGCTTAGGTGAACGCATTGCCAGAACGGGCGTGGGCCGTCGTAGATCATAGGATCAGTGACGCAAGGTATATATGTTTTTTCATCTTCTCGTCTGCTGTGGGCTCAATACAGTGTGCTATCCCCCCACCAGTTCAGTCGCAGAACTTATTCAGCGTTACACCGACGTCCTCTCCCCTGTCACCACCTCCCTCAACCTCACCCTCAACTCCTTCGGAACTGTCATCCCGCCCTCCACCACCCCCATCGGTGAAGTCAAGCTCACGGACGCGTACGGCACGGCTCTGAACCCTGCGCCCGTTACGTCCACAGATCTGTCCAGCGGACCTTGGAGATTGCTGAGCGGAACGATCTTGTCCACACTGGCAACCTCGTTGAGGACAGAGAATGGGACAGAGTATGCGAAGGAGAACAAGGCTGTGATGGCGCCTGGCTTAAATCTTGGTATGTTTTATTAGTGATCATCGCGAATAAAGACGGAGACTGATGAGGGACGACTACAGGCAATACTGGTATGTTATCTGCGGTCACGACATGATATGAAGGCAGCGAGCTGACTCCGTGAGAATAGATACAAGGCACTACTGGAATCTTACGCAGCACATTTTCCGATATGGGCATCGCGGTGCGAGCGATAATTTCAATGGAGCGCATACCGTCAACGAAGGTACGCTCCTTTCCTCTCCTTCCTCTTCTTCGGAAACCTTGTTTAGCTCAATGTTGACATGCGGGGATCCTAACGTTTACGTGTCAAACTAGCCGTGAAGGCGGAGGGTTACCTCGAGATGATCCGTATGTTCACGACGTTGATACTGAACGCCGACGAGACAGATTTGCTGGATTAGACGGGCTTGAGCGAGGAACTGGGTCCTAAGGCCTCTGCGTTCATTTTTGCGCGTGGTGAATGGGAGATGTTGTCGGTACTCCGTCTTGGACGTGGAGCTGATCGCTGTTGTTGTACTTTCAGGTGTACTAGCAGTTACCCGTGCTCGCGCACAAATATCAACCGTTGTACTTCAATGACCGCTTCAACTGAAATTTCAAGCCCACAAAAGTCCCACACAAAGCCAATGACAATGTCTCCTTCGATGTGGCCCATTTCCTCGCGACATTGATCTAACATCATCGGGACCGTGACACTGAAATTTTGTGGCTGGAAATATTCCGATTATTTGAGGTGTCAGGAAGTATCGGTAGCTTCCCGTCGCTCTTATGAGGAGCAGACTCCACAGAAACCAAATATCGCAGCATGTGTGCGAGCTCACCAGTGTGATCTTGGTGTGATCACTCACAACGCCAATAAAAGATGTATCAAGCCAGCGTGCACGTAGACTCTTTTCGATCTCGCTCCCCGTTGATTGGTCAGACGCAAACTCGTTTCGATCTTGCTCCCCGTTGGTTCATATGCTACTGAGGTGAGATCGAGAAAGAGACAGAAAGTCGCCACACAGCAGTGCCGCCGTCGCAGAACGGCCATAAACGGCAGTTGCCATTTTAGACCGTGGGACACTGCTCTCCCACATAAGATTCAGACGAAACATATTCACTTGATATTCACGCACTACAACCAATCCTCCATGGCACTTAGAGCGTGCAAGAGCAACTGCAGAGCGGTGATTAGTAGGGAAGCACAGGGCCACACGTTATCCACATGAGCGCAGTATGTCGACGTTACCGAATATAGGAGCTTCCAAAAAGGGCTCTCGCACGTGGCTTGTCTAGAGACTGCTTTCCCATTATATAGTAGATTGCTGTTTTTGTTCTTTTTTCTTGGTATCAATTGTGGATGATTCAGCGTGAGTTAATCAGTTGGTCATAGCTTTTTCTCAGTCCCCCTTGTGGTCAGTCCGATGAACATCCACCAGCGCTGAGCAACAACGTAAGGACATTTGTTATTCACACCCATACCGCCGCGTCCACTTTGACAGTCGGAATAAATTCCGTCGTACATACCCTATCGTAACTCACCGTCACACCAGTAGACCCGACTTTCGGATCGAATATGGGTATACACGCGATGTACGACAGGTCAACCCACTCCCTCGTCAAGAAGACCTTGAGACAACCTATTTCTTGGTATACATCTCCGCCGACAGGACGTGTTTGGTTTTCCGCAGAGCTCTGCGTGAGGTCTTTCGGGAGTTGGGGTGTGAGCACTAAAGTGCCTCCATTACAATTGAGGGCTCGAGTATTGTCGTCGTGGGCACGAGCGGGGAGGTAATACGGACCTAGCATGCCGCATCGCGTTAGTGCTAAAACTCAGTTATCGACCACTAACGCAGGAAACTCACGGATACTGAAGTCACGGCGATTGAAGTAGAACAATGATGCATAAAGATCATGGTCGGTGTTGTTCGTGAGCTTAAGCCCATAGAGGGCATTCCCCTTCAGCTGTTTTATCCGACCATCCACGACAAGATCACCCCCACAAGATCGAAGTTGACATATATCCCCTTCCCATCTTTCTTCCTGCTCAAACATCTCCAGCTGAACTAACTTTTCCACATCGGCCAAATTGCCTCTTCGTCGGAGTTGCCAGTCAAGGTTCGCTTTGCGATCAAAAAGGTCTTTGAGGGGGTAGATGTACGGGTCCCAGAGACGAAAAGGGAGATGCGTCGGGATATGGCCCGGAGGAAGATGGGACACGACGAGGTCGAAACATATCTGGTCCTCTTCGTGGGTAACTACGATCTCCGGCTCGTCCCAGCTTTCGACCAAAGTGTACAAAAGGACAGCATTGTCCTGCCCTGTCGCTGCACGATGTTTCCAGGCCGATAAACCCTCATAAAGAGGCCTCAAGGTGTCGTCATCTTTGTCGATATAGACACGGCACTCCCAGTTTGCGAATGCTGTTCGGCCGTATAGTAATGGAGGGTACTTCGCGTTTTCTGCGGTCGTCGCCGGCGTAATTTCCTTGAGCACAGATTGAAATGCAGAGATACGGATGACCTCGAAGTCGATATCGACTGTCTTGGAAAGGCTGGGATCTTTCCCGGAGGAAACGTAGATCTTGGAAGAAGGCAGAATGCCGTGGGCATCCCCTGCGCCCATGATCCAGACGTTTCCGTTACGACGAATGGGGGACATTCGTTCACGGGCCATACCTGAAAAGATATATCTGTTTAACCAGAGCCCTTCGAACTGGGGATGTTGACTTTAAGAATGATAACACCGGCGATTTAGCCTCGAAATACATAACTGGCTTCACATGTTAGGGGACGCACCCTGGGGTGGAAGGAAGACGTTCCACGAGTTCGTAGTATGTCAAATGACTCAGGTCGCGGACGCTCTCCAGCACACGGAGCAGGTTAGCGGTGAACCATCCTCTGCCCTGCACTTCCCACGCAGCCTCGCCCGCACCACAGGCTGCAAGGAGCACATGCGAATCGGCTTCTGGGGGCATGAAAGACGACATTGACGGTGCTTTGTTCTCGATCGACATCGCTATATCCTTGTCGAGATGGAGAGGCATTGCAGCTGGCTCGTAGGTGACCGAACGTATAGAGCGTGCCGGATTAGTGTCGTCGGTACTCGTAGCCCCACGAACACCTGAGCTGGAATGGCAGCAATCGAGGATGACAGTCTGAGGGGCACGAAGGTGAGAGGAAAACATTATATACTTGAAGAATGATACGTAGTTCGCTCGCAATACTCACAATATACTCATTTCCTCTATATCCCTCCTTTGATAACGACCTCAAAAGGCCAGCGATTGTGTTTCCCGGTATCGGCTGCACCACGCGTCCTTCAGAGTCCGATGCTGGAGCGAAGACATCGCTCGGACAAATCATCGGTATAGGAGCACCCTCCCGTTCTCCTCTCCAATTCTTAGGTGCCTTAGCCATCGTCCCGTGCCCAGCGAAATATATCAAGATCGCATTAGCAGCTGGGGCCGGACCTGTTTGAGCCGCGAGACGACGCGATATGTCTTTGATGGAGTGAATGATTGCTGCACGGGTCGCCTGTCCATTGATGAGCATGTCGATTGAGTTGGGCGGAACGCCTAGACGGTTGACGAGGTAGTCGTGCATCGAATGCGCATCGGCGACTGCGCCTTTCAACTGGCGAATATGTGTATAGTTGTCAATGCCGATGATGAGGGAGACCATTGGCCTTGGTGAGTAGCCACTGTGAGTTTTGTAAGAGTTAGAAACAATGGTCAGGCTCATAAGATAAGGACTCAAAAGGACTCACACTAGTTTCAGGGAGTCATCAGGAGAGGATATGTTGGTTTCTTCCTCATGTTTGGGTGCACGGTAATTACGAGAGCTCCTGTTGATGTGTCTAGTAGCGGCAGACGATCTAAGGATGGTCTCATATCAACGAAATGCTCTTGTAGAACACGAGAAGACTCACGATGCAAAGGCAGAGTCTGAGCTCATATCGATCGCATCCTCATCAGACTCTGAGCTCATGTGGCTTGATGTAAAGTCACTGAACGTCTGTTCAAGTTCTAAGGGATGTGTGAGCGAATATCGCGAACTTCAAAGCGTGTGTGACCCAAGTTCCAGATTATAACCAGCCAAGCTGCTGCAGAAAACAGCCTTCCAGTAGGAAAGAGAGACTGAGAGACACCTGAAAAAGCTGTGCTGATGTCGAGAGCGAAGCTTGATGGTAAGTTAGAGGTCGAGCAAATGATGCATGATGGCTGGGAGCTTCCCGGCCTCGTTCGCAGTTGATTGATGGATGAGATAGACGCCGGCCCTCGGTTTCAGTGCCCTTCCTGTGGTATCTTCCACCCTGGGACATATAGGCAGATAAACGCAGTAATTTTCTGACACTATGGGCAGAAGCACAATCCAAAATCCGATAAAAGGAATTGCAAAAATTGAAGAGTCAGGGCCGAGCAGGATAAATCGTAGGATCGGTTATAACGCAGGTAGAGACAGTACTTTGTCCAATGGTAGCTTCATGTATTGCCAGTGGAAAGAGAGTGGATAATCAGTTAGTCGACTTGGACGTGGTGCCAAGGCTTGGCCAAGGCTGAGGCAATTAACGAGCGACAGTAGAGCTGCAATGCCAGCAAATTCAATCCAAATGGATGTGAACATAGACGGCTACACCGCGGTGTAAGTATTTCCAATCGCGACTACGTTCACTTCTGTGGTCGCTGAATGAAGGTAACTTAGTACTTAGAGAGCTGATAACGCGGAGAATAAGAACAAGAGTAGGATGTGGTCGAGCAGAGAAAGGACATTCGTGCCACCGCCACACATGTCGGTGTTCGAACGCCATCACGTGACAGACGCGTTCGGATGCCATTGTTTGCCGATTTGAACCATCGAAAACAAGGACACACTGCTGCCGTCACCTCCGCCCCAACCGCCGCCCTCGCGTCGTATACGTACGATGGCCTCCAGGCTCCCTCGGCTCGGCCTCAACAACGCCATCCTGCCAGACGACATTCAAGTTCCCCCTCCGTCGGCAAACATTACCACGCGATCCCGAAGTAAAATCAACAACAGCTCTAACGCAGACGCCGGTACCGATATCAAACCAAACTCAAAGCTTACCATGCCTGCCTCGTTTACATCGTCTCTAACTGGCGGCACAGGCGCACTCAATCTCAAGCGTAAAGCCGCGCACGATGGTGACGAGCCCGCGCGCAAGCTACCTGCCATCGCGGAGAACGGTGACTCTCGACCCAACGCCCCTCTGAGGCAGAAGACCAACAATCCCAAATCTCAAGGCACACAAAGAAACGGGATGGGGATCGGTCCGCCCCCGTTGACGAAACCTCTGCGGACGACGCGGGCGACGAGCGCCCCTCCTCCAAAGACCGTCGTGCCACTTGGGAGGCCCGCGCCGAGGACGACGACTGCGTCGTCATCTAGGAACGGTGGTGGTGCTGGGAGGACGATGTCTGGCCCGCAACGCGTTCCTTCGCAGTCTACGTCGAATCTCATGTCTAACTCCAAATTCAATTTCACACCGCCCACTGATCTGGCCGACCTGAAGAGTCAGGTGAAGCACATCCAGACGGCTCAACAGGCCGACCGTGCGCATATGGACGCCGAGCGAGCCAAACTCTCCGAACTCCATGCCAATCATCTCACACTTTCTTCTGAGCTCGCCGCCACACGTACCCAAGAACTCGCACATCGACGCGAACTCATTAATGCGTCGGACGAGATCGATGCACTGAAGAAACGGCATGGGAAGGAGGTGACGGAGCTGGAGGGAGAGATTAAGCGGAAGGAGAGGAAGATTAGGGAGTTGGAGGAGGATGTGAGGGTTACGAAGGAGGATTTGGGGAGGGAGAGGGAGAGCGTGAGTGAGCTACGGGGGACGATTAGCAGGCAGAGCAATACGGCCTTGACATTGACGAGTCAGATTCAGGCGTTGCAGGCTCAGGTTGTGGCGTTACAGAGTTCGTATGATGGTACGACGGGGACGGTGCATAGTTTGAAGATGGAGCTGGAGGCGGCTACGAGGAGGATGGAGGAGCAGGAGCAGGAACTAAGGGAGGCGGAGACGGTGAGGAGGAGATTGCATAATATGGTGCAGGAGTTGAAAGGGAACATCAGGGTGTTTTGCAGGGTTAGGCCGGTGTTGCCGTCGGATTTGGGGTTGGCGATGGGGAGTGCGAAGGAGGAGGTGGAAAGGAAGAGGAAGGAGGCATTGGCGCAGATGGCGTTCCCGGACAAGAGGGACCATAGGGAGATTGCTCTGAGTGCGGCGAGTGAGAATGCGATGGGGCAGGAGAGAAAGGAGGCATGGAACTTTGGATTTGACAGGGTACGTTTTCATCCACTCAAATTACTACCAATTATGCTCATGTCTGGGCTATAGGTCTTTGAGCCGCACAATACTCAAGCAGAGGTCTTCGAAGAGATTTCACAGCTCGCACAGTCATGCACTGATGGCTACAACGTCTGTATCTTTGCGTACGGTCAGACCGGCTCTGGGAAGTCATTCACCATGGAAGGTGGCCCAGTAAGACGATCTTTCTTTCTTACGCCACCCAGCGTCCACCATTGACCATGAGTTTCGCAGACGGAGTCGACTTCCGGTATGATTCCCCGAGCAGTCGAACAAGTTTTCCGTGTTACGGAAGAGCTCAGATCAAAGGGTTGGGAATATACTATGGAAGGACAATTCCTTGAAATCGTAAGTCCACCGTAGTTACTTCCCGGGCTTCGACCGTCTCTAACGACCTGTGTCCTATAGTACAACGAGACTATCAACGACCTCCTCGGCAAACATGCACTCGATAGCAAGAAACACGAAATCAAACACGACCCCAAGACGCACACAACCCGCGTAACTGACGCCACCGTCCTCCCTCTTACCTCCCCCACCCAAGTCCGCTCTCTGCTCTCGCTCGCCCAATCCCGACGTACCGTGGCCTCCACACTGATGAACGAGCGTTCATCGCGCTCACACTCCGTCTTCACTTTACGCATCAAGGGCGCCAACTCCGCGACGGGAGAGAGCTGCGAAGGGACTTTGAACCTCGTGGATTTGGCGGGAAGTGAGAGGCTGAGCGTGGTTGGGCATGATGGGATGAAGGAGAAGGATAGGTTGAAGGAAACGCAGAGTATTAATAAGAGTTTGAGCGCGTTGGGTGACGTTATTGCGGCGTTGGGGGAGAAGGGTCAGATGGGAGGGGATAATAAGCATATCCCGTATAGAAACTCGAAGTTGACGTATTTGCTGCAAAATTCTTTGAGCGGGAATTCGAAGACTTTGGTACGTCCTTCGTTGCTCAGCTAATTGTCTAGCCTCGTTCTGACTGTTTCGTTTTGCGCTCGTGCTCTAGATGGTACTCAATCTTTCGCCACTTGCCGCTCACCTGAACGAGTCGCTCTGCTCACTTCGGTTCGCTACGAAGGTATGGGAACCCCTTGGCCCGAACATTATGAATGGTCTCTCGAAACTAATCACATCTTCGTCCCACAGGTCAACAACACTACCATTGGTACCGCCAAGAAGCAGATTAAGAGCGGGTAATTCCGTGGCGAGAATGACGGACTCTTGGTTTGACTTTACTCTATTTATTTGTTTCTGTTCGCTGTTTTTTGTGGATACCTCGTCGACTCCCTTGGATATATTCCGAGATACTACCCTGACGCGTTTGAAGATTTGCCAGGGCAAATCCCTTCCATGCGACTTGCGGCTTATGTTGATGTTTTTGTAATGTAGATCATAGCATACCTTCCCAATCAGTACCGCCTTGAATATCTCCTTGTCGCCCTCTGAGTGTAAGTGCTCGCCACCTGTGCATGATGACCGAACGATGGATTTGTGGCGCACTGTCGCAGTCAGCCGGGCGCTTTTAATTTGCGACAGGGGTTTACGCGCGCGCGGAAACGCGTTTGGCTTTGGATCTGCACACGTCCAATTGGCTGACGTAAGATCACTGGGGGAGCGCTACCTTCGGCAGCAGCCACCTTGCTTGGTAAATATCTTGCACAAGCACTTCTGGTCTTCTCTATACCACATGTTCTTGAACGGGATTGGGAGTGCTTACGCCGTGCCCGGCGGGCCCAGTCACTGTCCACATTCCGCGATCCAGTCGAGTTGACTCGAGATTCCTCCTAGGCAAAGCAGAGGCCGATGAACCCAAATGTCAAGGCAGCGAACGGTATGGGCCCTCATTGCGTCCGACGGCAAGTTATCCGTCTAGCGCGAAACTGATTCGTGATTACGGTCAATGTTTTTTGAACACGACTCGGATGTTCACAGCACATAGATATGTTCCCTGGCCGCCTATGTAGAGTAAGTATAGCACTTTCAAGTATATGGAGGCCCCGTCATTTTGTGCTGGTACCGCGAGTCGCAAAGCGATATATTTGAACTGCTGCCGTTAATTATCAACAACCCAGTTCAGAACATCAACGTCTGCATCTGAATCGCTGCAGTACTAGTCACGCCTGGGGGTAGCGGACAGACCCTCTACAACGCCACACACTGGTGCCACATAATAAGTCCGATGTTTGTCCTTGTTTATTTCCGGGTCGATTCTGAGGAATTACGGGGGTAGGATGGACCTTCAAGCAAGGTAACAAGTCTTGGGGATGGGGAGGACGAATTTGCCCCAGCCTCGAGCAAACGCGGCTTGCCCTGTCGTACAGCGTACCATCCTTAACCCTTCACCATCACCATCACCCCCTCCACCCCTTCTCTTTCTCCTTCTTGACGACTAACGCCAGCCATGGCCGCATACGACCATTCAAAAGTCGCACATTTTATTGGTGAGTTCTAGGCTATAGGGCTCGGCGAATATGAAAAGAAGTCAGCTGACCGCGAGGACCCGTCCGGCTGGAATTTGGATTGATTCTTTCGCGCAGGAGGAAACTCGATAGACAAGGCTGCGCCGGGTCGCGTTACTGACTTCGTCAAGGCGAATGGTGGCCATACCGTTATCACAAAAGTGCGTATTATTTCTTTTTTGCGTCTGCATATTTTCGTGCAGCGTGCTTAACAGGTGTATCGGTGGCTTTAGGTCCTCATTGCCAACAATGGTACGCATGCATTGCGTTTTACTTATTCGGCTCGCCTCGTTTCTTGTCTCGACTCTTGACTAACTGACTACCTGTTCGATTGGCTGCATGCAGGTATTGCCGCCGTCAAGGAGATTCGTTCCATCCGACAATGGAGTTACGAAACCTTCGGTGATGAACGTGCCGTCGAGTTCACCGTCATGGCCACACCCGAAGATCTCAAAGTAAACGCAGAATACATTCGCATGGCAGACCGCTACATCGAAGTCCCCGGCGGAACCAACAACAACAACTACGCTAACGTTGACCTCATCCTCGACGTCGCCGAGCGCGCAGGCGTACACGCCGTCTGGGCAGGCTGGGGCCACGCCTCGGAGAACCCTCGACTTCCCGAGTCTCTCAGCAAACACAAGATCGTGTTCATTGGCCCGCCGGGGAGCGCGATGAGGAGTCTGGGAGATAAGATCTCGAGTACGATCGTGGCGCAGCATGCGGAGGTGCCGACCATGGCGTGGTCTGGCACGGGCATTTCAGACACAACGCTTTCGGAGGCGGGATTCGTGACAGTGCCGGAGAAAGCGTATATGGATGCGTGTGTGAAAACGGTGGAGGAGGGGTTGGAGAAGGCGGAGCAGATTGGGTGGCCGGTTATGATTAAGGCGAGTGAGGGTGGTGGAGGGAAGGGTATTCGGAAGGTGGACAGTGCTGCTGGGTTCAAGAACGCGTACCATGCCGTTGAAGGAGAGATTCCAGGTGAGCAGTCGTCTCTTATTGCATCGATGTTAGCTTCTGTTGAGTGCGGTTTTATACAGGTTCTCCGATTTTCATCATGAAGCTCGCTGGTCAAGCTCGCCATCTCGAGGTCCAGCTACTCGCGGACCAGTACGGCAACGCCATCTCTCTGTTCGGTCGTGACTGTTCCGTTCAACGACGACACCAGAAGATTATCGAGGAGGCTCCTGTCACCATCGCTAAGCCAGATACGTTCGAACAGATGGAGCGTGCAGCCGTTCGTCTCGCAAAGCTCGTGGGTTACGTTAGTGCGGGAACTGTCGAATGTATGTGATCGCCCGACCATATCTTTAGTATAATGTAACTGAGATTTTCTCTTCAGACCTTTACAGCCACTCAGACGACGTCTTCTACTTCCTCGAATTGAACCCCCGTCTTCAGGTTGAACATCCCACCACCGAGATGGTGTCCGGCGTCAATCTCCCCGCCGCTCAGCTCCTCGTCGCTATGGGTGTCCCCCTCCATCGCATCCGCTCCATTCGTCAACTCTACGGCGTCGATCATCATGGCACCTCCGAAATCGACTTCGACATGATCAAGCCCGAATCAAACCAGCTGCAACGTAAGCCAACTCCCAAAGGCCACGTCGTCGCCGTCCGTATCACCGCTGAGAACCCCGACGCCGGCTTCAAACCCTCGTCCGGTTCGCTCCAAGAGCTCAACTTCCGCTCGAGTACGAACGTTTGGGGTTATTTCTCCGTCGGAAGCGCGGGAGGTCTGCATGAGTTCGCGGACTCGCAATTTGGGCATATTTTCGCGTATGGACAGGATCGGTCGGAGAGTCGGAAAAATATGGTCATGGCGCTTAAGGAGCTCAGTATTCGAGGAGATTTCAGGACGACGGTGGAGTATCTCATCAAGCTCCTCGAGACGCAGGCTTTCGAGGATAATACGATCACCACCGGATGGCTCGATTCGCTCATCAGCAACAAGCTCACTGCCGAACGTCCGGACGCTACGCTCGCTGTTATCTGTGGTGCGGTCATGAAGGCGCATTTGGCCTCCGAGGCGTGTTGGACGGAGTATAAACGCATTCTCGACAAGGGTCAGGTTCCGTCCCGTGATACGCTCAAGACCGTCTTCGGTGTGGATTTCATCTACGAGAATACCCGTTACTCGTTTACCGCCACCCGTTCATCTCGCACCATCTGGACGCTTTTCCTCAACGGTGGTCGTACCATGGTCGGCGCCCGTCCCCTCGCTGACGGTGGCCTGCTCGTTCTTCTGGAGGACAAGTCTCACTCCGTCTACTGGCGCGAAGAAGTCGGTGCTATCCGCATGATGGTCGACGCGAAGACGTGCTCTATCGAGCAGGAGAACGACCCCACTCAGCTTCGAAGCCCTTCCCCCGGCAAACTCGTTCGCTTCTTGGTCGACAGCGGAGAGCACATCAACGCCGGCGAGCCATACGCTGAGATCGAGGTCATGAAGATGTACATGCCGCTCGTCGCCGCCGAGGACGGTATCGTTCAATTCGTCAAGCAGCCTGGTGTTTCTCTCGCACCGGGTGATATCCTCGGTATCCTCACCCTCGATGATCCCGCTCGCGTCAACCACGCCAAACCCTTCGACGGGCTCTTGCCTTCGATGGGTATGCCCGGCGTCACTGGAAACAAACCGCACCAACGTCTCGTCCTCTACCTCGACATCCTCAACAACAGTCTCGATGGGTTCGATAACCAGGCGATCATGAACTCTACGTTCAAATCCCTGGTCGAAGTCCTCCACGACCCGGAATTGCCGTACTCCGAGACCACGTCGATCATGTCGACCCTCTCCGGTCGCATGCCGCAGAAATTGGAGGATAGTATTCGTTCGACGATAGAGACCGCGCACTCGAAGGGGAACCACGAGTTCCCGGTGGGGAAGCTGAAGAAGCTCCTGGATCACCACCTCGCCGATACACTCCGTCCAGCCGAACGCACCGCTGCTCGCGCCCAGCTCGCAGCTCTCTTCGACGTTGTCGACCGTTATGCCGGCGGATTGAAAGGCCATGAAGCTTTCATTATCACGAACCTCTTAGCACGGTACGAAGAGACGGAGAAGTTGTTTGGAGGGAGTATCGAGGCGAGGATTCTTACGCTCAGGGAGCAGTACAAGGATGATCTGGACCAGGTCGTATCGCTCGTGTTGAGCCATATCAAGGCGCAGAGCAAGGCGAAGCTGGTGCTCGTCATCTTGGATTACGTGAAGAGTAGTGGCTTGCCGGTCGCCAAGGCGGATAGCAGGCTTTTCCAGGTGCTGCAGGGGTTGGCGGCGTTGGAGGGCAGGTACGTTTCTTTCTTCCTTCCTTTATGTTTTTGGTCTTCTGTTCGGTGTGTGCTAATGAGCATTGTGCTTTCGTGTTGTAGGTCTTCGACACAGGTCTCGCTTAAGGCTCGCGAGGTTCTGATTGCGGGACAGATGCCGTCGTACGAGGAGCGGTTGGGACAGATGGAGACCGTCTTGAAGGCCAGTATCGGGACTAGCTACTACGGCGAGCAGGGTGTTGGTGGACGCAGGTTTGTCGCTCTACTCGTTCTCGATCTTTTGTGTTGTTTTTCTGACGTTGATGGTTTAGGAATCCGAATGCCGAGGTCCTCCGGGAGCTCACAGACTCGCGATACACCGTGTACGATGTTCTGCCGTACTTCTTCTCCAGCGAGGACCCTTGGTTGGCAATTGGTACGTTCATTCACTCGTGCCTTTGTTGGGCCCTGTGTTGACATGATCCTCGTAGCTGCTCTCGAGGTCTACGTTCGTCGTGCCTACCGCGCTTACAGCTTGATGTCAATCGACTACGAGGAGGGCGACGGCATGGATGACGGTGACGCTCCTAGCGCCGTCACTTGGCGCTTTACCCTTGGCCAGTCGCATTCGCCTCCTGAGACACCTCGCATGTCGGCAATTGGGTACGCTGATGAATTTTTATTTCAATTACGCTAAACTAATATACCCTTCAGCGAGGGCCGTCGCCAAGGATCCGTCAGCGACCTTACCTACATGATCAACCGCCACCAATCTCAGCCCATTCGCAGTGGTGCACTTGCCTCCTTCCCCAACCTCGAAACCCTCGCTCAAGGCTTCGAACAAGTCGCATCCATGCTCCCCGTGTTCGATGTCACCGAGTTTTCCCAGCGCTATGGTAGCACCGAGCCTCCGAACGTCCTCAACCTCGCCCTACGCATCTTCGACGAAGCCGATGACATGCCCGAGACCGAGTGGTCGACGAAGATCTCAGCCTTCATCAATGAGCGACAAACGACTCTTCATCAGCGTGGCGTCCGTCGTGTGTCGGTCCTCATTTGCCGTCCCGAACAATACCCGTGGTATTACACTCTGCGCGAGATGGACGGGGTTTGGCAGGAAGAGCAGGCCATCCGTAATATCGAGCCTGCGCTCGCCTTCCAGCTCGAGCTCAGCCGTCTGTCGAACTACAACCTCACCCCGACGTTCGTCGAGAGCAAGCAAATCCATATCTACCACGGTGTCGCTCGCGAAAACCAGCTCGACACTCGATTCTTCATCCGTGCGCTTATTCGTCCGGGCCGTCTGCGCGATACGATGAACACCGCGGAGTACCTCATCTCGGAGACGGACAGGAGGGTCACGAGCATCTTGGACTCGCTCGAGGTCGTCAGCGCGAAGTACAGGAACGCCGACTGCAACCATATCTTCATGAACTTCGTGTTCACGCTCAATGTCACGTACGAGGACGTCTTGGCCGCGATTGCGGGCTTCATCGAGAGGCATGGGAAGAGACTCTGGAGGCTGCATGTTACGAGCTCTGAGATCAGAATCACGCTGGAGGATAACGAGGGCAATGTGACGCCTATCCGGTGTATCATCGAGAACGTCTCAGGCTTCATCGTCAACTACCACGGCTACCAGGAGATCACGACCGACAAGGGCACTACGATTCTCAAGTCGATCGGAGAGAAGGGACCGTTACATCTGCAGCCCGTGCACCAGCCTTACCCGACGAAGGAGTCGCTCCAGCCGAAGAGGTACCAGGCTCATCTCATTGGAACCACATATGCCTACGACTTCCCCGACCTCTTCTCGAAGGCGCTGCAGAATGCGTGGGCCAAAGTCCGGTCGACGAATCCGGGCTTGACTCTGCCGAAGAAGTACCTCGAGTCGCGAGAGCTTGTACTGGACGAGAACGACCAGATCGTGGAGGTTGATCGTGCGCCGGGCAACAACACGTTCGGTATGGTTGGATGGGTATTCACGATGAGGACGCCGGAGTACCCGGACGGAAGGAGGGTCGTCGTTATCGCGAACGATATTACTTTCAAGATCGGTTCCTTCGGTCCTCAAGAAGATCAGTTCTTCTACCTCGCCTCTCAATACGCCCGCGCGCACGGTCTCCCCCGTATCTACCTCTCTGCGAACTCGGGTGCTCGTATCGGCCTTGCTGAAGAACCTATGGGCCTTTTCTCTGCTGCCTGGCAATCTCCTGAGCACCCCGAGAAGGGCATCAACTACCTCTACCTCACCCACGAGAACTGGCTCAAGCTGCAGGAGAGGGGTGCCGGTGCTGTGAAGACAGAGGAGATCGAAGAGGACGGCGAGGTTCGCCACAAGATCACGGACATCATCGGTCTCCAGGATGGTCTTGGCGTCGAGTGTCTGAAGGGTTCGGGTCTTATTGCCGGAGAGACCTCTCGCGCATACGACGACATTTTCACCATCACCCTCGTCACCGCTCGTTCCGTCGGTATCGGTGCCTACCTCGTTCGTCTCGGAGAACGTGCCGTCCAAGTCGAAGGCCAGCCTATCATCCTCACTGGTGCCCCTGCGCTCAACAAGGTTCTCGGTCGTGAGGTCTACACGTCTAACCTCCAGCTCGGCGGTACCCAGATTATGCACAAGAACGGTGTTTCCCACTTGACGGCGAACAGCGACCTCGAGGGAGCCACACAGATCCTCGAGTGGTTGTCGTACGTTCCGGAGGCAAAGGGCGAGGACCTCCCCATTCGGGAGTCAGTGGACCCTTGGGATCGTGAGATTGGGTATGTGCCGCCGAAGGGACCCTATGACCCGAGGTGGTTCATCGAGGGAAAGACGGATGAAGCATCGGAGGAGTGGCTGAGCGGGTTCTTCGATAAGGGGTCGTTCCAGGAGACGTTGAGTGGTTGGGCACAGACTGTCGTCGTGGGTCGGGCAAGACTTGGAGGGATTCCTATGGGTGTCATCGCCGTCGAGACAAGGACCATCGAGCGCGTCGTTCCCGCTGACCCCGCCAATGCTGCATCCTTCGAGCAACGTATCATGGAGGCCGGCCAGGTGTGGTACCCCAACTCAGCGTACAAGACCGCGCAGGCCATCTTCGACTTCAATCGCGAGGGATTGCCTCTGATTATCTTCGCTAACTGGCGTGGTTTCTCTGGTGGCCAGCAGGACATGTACGACGAGGTGCTCAAACAGGGTTCCAAGATTGTCGATGGCCTGTCATCCTACAAGCAGCCCGTATTCGTCTACATCGTCCCCAACGGCGAACTTCGTGGTGGCGCGTGGGTTGTACTCGACCCATCTATCAACGCTGAGGGGCGCATGCAGATGTACGCTGATGTCGACGCTCGCGCTGGTGTTCTCGAGCCGGAGGGCATCATCGAGATCAAGATGAGGAGGGACAAGATCATCGCGTTGATGGAGAGGTTGGATTCGACGTACGCGACGCTGAAGGAAGATAGCAAGGATGCGAACAAGAGTGCTGAGGAGAGGGCGGCGGCAGTTGATCAGTTGGCGAAGAGGGAGACCTTGCTGCAGCCGACGTATAAGCAGATCGCGTTGTTGTATGCCGATCTTCACGAGTACGTCTTCTCTTTTATTTCTCTTAGTTTCGTCTTGGCTGATCTTATTGTTTGATCACTATAGTCGTACTGGTCGCATGGAGGCGAAGGGATGCGCCAAACCCGCCGTCTGGAAGGAGGCCCGTCGCTACTTCTACTGGGCCGCTCGCGCAGGTATCGCTCGCTGTGCCGCCCTGAACAAGCTCGCCGAAGCAAGTCCCGGGGCGACGCTCGAGTACCGCGAACGCCTGCTCGACAACCTCGCTGAGATCGACGACACCGCGGACAACCGTACTGTCGCTGAGGCGCTTGAGGCTCTGGACATCAAGCCGACCCTGGCACAACTCAAAGGCGACCACCTCGCTCGTCAGCTACTTGCTACGTCGACGGATAACAGGAAGGCTTTGATGGATGGCCTTGTGAAGATCGTGGATAACTTGTCAGAAGACGAGAAGGCATCGTTAATCACTGCACTCCAAAATTCAAACACTTCTCCTGGTATGTCCTGCTCTTGAGCACGCCGACCTCGAATAATCCTGATCTTGCCTCTCCGATTTGTAGGTCCCCCTTCGTACACGACCTCTACATGACGAGAATATGATTTCATGAGCTGTAGCTCGATGTTGCTTCACGTTTTTATTTTATCTGTTTTTGCAATTGTTTCTGCTGCTGTATCCTCATTACCCTCACTCACATCATCATGGCCATAGCCATACTCATATTCGTCATAGAATAAAATACAGCATCCGGATCGGACACACACTGTTGTCGTAGTAGAGCATTACATTTCTCCTTTTTCGATTTTTTCGTGGTTTTCTTGATTGTCTTTTGTTTTGCTCTTTGTTTGCATCGTAACGAGATCGTGCTATGATTTCCGCTCAATATTATTGCTTCAGTCATTTTGTGCGAAGGGATGTTCTGACGCTCGTGAACTAAAAGGTCGTGTGGCGGTGGCAAGTTCGAAACCGGCAAAAGCCTAACGCCTTTGACGACAGTGGAACTGATGATCAGGTCCATCCCTTTCCCCTTCACTCTCATCTTGGTCTTACCAGAACTCGTTCTCTCTATCTGGCGGCCCTTTATCCATCGATCACAGAGAATCTCGTAGCTGTAGGTCACAATGCCGACCGGCGATATCACTGTTTACGCCTTTGTATGCATCTAGTGCTGGCATCGCCGGGAGTATACCAGCCTTCACTGACTGAATCGATAGCTCATCGCTGCAGAAGGCAAAGCCGACGAACTCCTGGAAACGTTGAGCAAGGCTCAAGCGTATGCTGAGTCGGACCAGGAGCCTGGCTGCTTACAATATCGCATCAGTTATGATCCGAAAGACAAGCACAAAGTTTGTGTCTTCGAGGTTTATGTTAGTCATCCCACTCGCATCGAACAGTGCCATTCAGATTGAAATACATCTTGTCGCTGGTTGTGCAGAAGGATCAAGCGGCACTCGATTTCCACATAGCCAGCGCGGTCTCCAAGAATAATGTCGCATTTTACGCTGCCGGTGGTCTCGCCAGACCGCTTTCCGAGATGGATATTCGCATCCATACAGAATATCGTCAGTGAATCTGGGTGCTAGGAAAATTCCATGCTCGTCGAGTAAGTTATCCCAATATTGAGCGGTCAGCGGCTGATAAGTACTCTAACTCACAGTTGTGGCATCTGAGAAACTGTTGTCCGCCTTCCCAGGTTGCAGATACGATTGTGCAGTCTCCCAATAGCTCTGCTTTTCTCCTTCGTGCTTTCGTTTCGTCCTGTAGTGCTCGCTTTCTCGGATCTTTTGGTCGATATCTACGGAAGTTGTTGTATTCTGTTACCCTAGACCAATGTGCCCGCGTTCACCTGAGACCGTCTTGACTCACCGAAGCTGTCCCCCGAGATTGTGCGGAATCCGCCAGTCTGAGACCCAACAATCGCATAAACCTCCACTCTCGCATCCTCCAACCTCCAGATCTCCTCTCTTTCCGCCCATCTAAGTCTGATGGTCACATTCATCGTCTCTCTTTCAAAAGCTGGCTACTCCGCTGTTGCCTCGCCTTACTTCCTCGCCCTTATCCTTGTCTTTTCAGGCCGTCTCTGTCAATGGGGCCTCGCCTTCATCACTCCGGCTCAGAAAAGGGCACTGAGAAAGTGTTCATATAAGGTATGGTCTCCGTCAAAATGGACTGGATTTTCCCGCCCAAAGACGGAATGATAGCTCACTACCTTATCAGGTCTTCACGCTCCTCCAGACCTCACTGCGCTTAATCATCTCCGCTGTGCTGCGATTCACGAATAGGATAAGGCTCTCAATCTGGCCCGACTCTTCATTATCGAGGGATAATCATCTCGATTTCCCGGGGCACAACATCCCTTCTGTGACTGTGACCGATGAAACCATTGAACTCATTCCTATCAACCCACCCAAACCAACGTCGCCGTTACAGTCCTCTACATCAAAAAACCTACCACCGCACGCGTTCGATGGCTCACTTCCTCTTCGTGACGTTTCCAGTCTCAAGAGCAAGAAGAGCCATGGCGTCATACCTCTCTCCCGGGCTGCTTCGTACACCGACGGCCCCGTTTCTCACTCTGAATCATTCTTCAAGTACAACCGCAACCGCAACCCCACACCTCCGTCTAGCATCTCATCCACACCACCGCTCACGCCGTCGGATTTCACCCCGCCCGCGTACACGTCTAGCATTTTCTCTCATTTACGACCCAACCGAATTTCTTCTGGCGCAAGTGTACGCACCACGACCAGCAGCATTCTGGGAATAGGCCCAATACCTGCTGGTATATCATGCGCTTCCTCACTTGCGAATCTATGTGCAAGTATGGAGATGCAGGTGATGTCGAATCAAATTGGATTGGAGGATTGGAGGGGGAGGGTGGCGAGGGAGGCGGAGACAATGTTGGAGTGAGTTGGTCAGCGACCGGCTGCTCAAACATGTATTTTCGTTGATGCGGCTATTCGTATAATCCGCACATCAGTGTACGCTTTCAATGTTCATGTCTATCGATCGCAATACTAGATATGCAGACAGATGGTGTACAATTTGGGTATAATGTGGCTCGATCAATTATACCAAGGTATAATACAAATAAGTTACTGTGTAGTCAATGGACCTACACCCTCTCTTCCTCAAACACCTTTTTTGACCGGCTTGCAATCCGGACCCTAAACTCAGCGTACCTAGCTATCGTGACTCCGTTACAGTCACCTCTTCCTCATACTTCCCCGCCGGGTACGTTCCACCACCGTTAATGTACGCCGGTACCTCGAACCTATCGCCTCTCTTGCGCATACTTTCCGATGACCCTAACTCTACTGGGTCATATCTTGCAATCGGCAAAGAGTGTGTCGGAACACGATTATCCCAATAATCTGTGGACAGCGGTTCAACACCATTGTTACATGCAGCGCACGTATTCGCTGTTCCACACCACACCACAGCATCAATTTGAATCGATCGTTAAACGGAAGAGGAACAGAACGAGCAACGAACCTCCAATAGTTCTCTTCGCCATCATCGCCATAGCAGTCGTCAATATTGCCCAAGCGGTGATGAACATGCTCAAAGTTGACGTTGCCACACTCATGAAGAGTGTACCCGGCGCTTTTATCCTCCTTGTACTACAGATATACTGCAGTTTGGCTACTGCGGGAGGTGAAGCCACATCGGCAGTGGGTGGAGAGGTGAGATTGACGTATGCAAGGCCGGTGTTTGAGGAGCGCGCGATGGAGGCTTGTGAGCCGGTGGCTGGATCTACGGGGTCGTAGATGGTATCATTTATGGCGGTGACGTTCGTGAAGATCTAAAGGTTGCAGACGATACGATTAGAGAGGTCCATAATGTAAAGGCTCGGGAAATGAATTAAAGAAAAGACGGGGCACTCACGTTGTTGGGTGTCCAATGTCCCAGATCCAGTCTGATTCCCGCATAGAACACCTGCACGTAATTGAGCAGGGTATCTAGACTCGCTTTCACGGCATCTTCGCAGTTGGATGCATCTGCGACCTGCATACCGTATACAATGCCAATTCATTGCCACATCTTCGTCTAAAAGACCAACGTCTGGACACTCACAATACTCAGATCGCTCTGCGCAATCCCATTATACATCGTGAGTTCCCACTCCTCAGGCCTTGTATCACATATAGTCGTATTATCATCCGCACAATATGGGACGAAAGTAGCTATCACTTTGTAAAGCGGATCGCCAACATTGTGAGTCCTGCTGGTGGTGATGTTTTCCGCGAGAACATATTGGCCGTCGTAGATTGGGGTGTAGGCATCCTCTACGAGTGAGGAGTAAGTTATTATATCGGGAACTAGAAAAGGCGAGGACGGCTGAGGAGGAAAAAGCATACGACCAAAAGCCTTCATTTGATCCAAAATGGCTCGAGGAAGACTGTTCTCAGGGAATGTACTGGCGGATATGGTACCGATCACGTCGTGGTTCGTGTAGGCGTATGAGGTACTGCGGTTTGAACGATAGGAGCTCAACCAATGCTCTCATCGAGATGAAGAGAAAAAACAGGTGCACCTTGCTTCAAACCCCCTTGCGGAGCAATTTATCGCGGCCTATATCGTACGTAAAAAGTCGTCGGCGCCTATATTCATGGTGTCGCAGAATAGGTGACTTACCACAACCTCAACCTGCCGATCTCCCAATGAGACTGAAGTTTGTACTTCGGTGACATCACAATCTTCCAATGTGTTGTTCGCATAGACGAAACTTCCCTGGACATCCTTGTTCTGGGTCACGATATTTGTGATCTTATAAGTGAACTGTAAGAAAATGTTCAACAAGACCATAAGTTGTGAGTGGACCGTCGAAAGGGGGATGTAATGAGTAGTTCTTTGAATGAAATTGCTCACTGCGCTAGTGTTCGTCCTAAAAGTATCCCCTAGCTGAAATTGATGCGTCTGACACCCATCCGACTTTCCCTTCCATGACTCGAGCCAACTAAGGGCATCCGTCATGTTGAAGTTGTCCGAGTTCGTGCTCACGACATCATAGCCTATTCATCAGGGATAAAGACAAAGTCTTCAGAGACGGCAAGGACTCAGAGTGGGAAAAAAGGGGGAGGGACGCACCGACAAGGTCAACGTTCACGGCTGACAATCCCACAAGGCTCAATACTCCAAAGATCAATAGGAACCAGTTCGCATATTTCCAGCGATGGCTGAAAGGGCGTGTTACGGGATATTCCTGCAGTTCAGGAATAAAGGGAAGCACACATCGTCCGTCAGCACAAGATGACACAAATGACTCGTATGGTGACAGGATGTACCACGTACGAAGGTTATGTATTGATCCAGTCGTGTTGCAGCCATTGCGATCCTTCAAACGTGTGGACTCAACGTAGTTGGTAACAACAGGAACTGCTGGAGAACAGATGGGAAGGTGGACCTAGGTGGACGCTTGAGGGATCTCCACGAATCATTTCAACTTCCGAGTCGTAGATACTTATGCATTCGTATTGAATTGTCGTCGTCAAATCAACGCGCCCTGAGATCTGAGAGTCCAGGTCCTTTATGAGCGCTTGAAAGGAATGTCAGCAGATGGTGGAAATGCGGCGTCAAGCTCAGGGTCCCTCGCTTACATACTTAGTATAACAACGACCAACTTTTCGAAAGTTACAGTCACCGTGTGCGAGGCTTACCAAGGTCAGTACGGGAGTAACAATATTATACTGTAGCGTGGATGGAAGACTGGCCCTTCCACCGTCTCGGATCAGCACGCCGGGAGCATTATGACTGTACTAAGTACATGGGGAGGCGGCCTCGACGACGGTGAGTGATCGTATCAGCCAAGCCTATTTATGTGCGCCCAGAAACCGTCCACACAACATTGCCTTCGACTGCTTTGATTTTCAACGTAGGAGGCTTTCGTGAGCTTTCGTCGGGATGTGGAAAATGGCAGTACGGTAGTACTGCATTCTTCTGTCAGAATGATACAAACAATGTCAAAAGCCTCTATTGTTTGCACCGTTGCGACACCCATGTGTCACAGATGACGGCCGTCCTTTACAATATCCATCTATGTACATAAAACTACGATCTCAATCTTCTGCTAGTACATCTGAACTACCATCGGTCGAATCCGAATCCGTAAACTCGTCCGATGAAGTAGTGGAGCGCTCTCGCCATTTTCGTCTACCCCACTTTGAATCTTCACTTCCGTCCGACGAGGAGCCTTCATCTTCATCCGACGAGGAGTCCTCACTTCCCGCCGATGAGGTGCGTTCACTTCTGCTCGACGAACGCTCGGGTGGGTTGTCAAACACGTAGCCGGTCTCTTTGCGGAGTATCTTGTGCGATGTCTGGATAACTTTGGAGATTTCTGATATGCCAAAGGTCATTCTGCATACGCCGGGCGGGAATGTCGTATCCGGAGGAAGATGAATGGGAAGGTCGGTTGAGCGATATGATAACGCGATATCGAGCCGTCGGATAGAAATGATATTGGGACATGTCTCGCGATAAACCGTAAGACTCAGGTTATAATCTCGCCATGTTTTGGGTGACGTCCAGATATCAAGGTACCGTAGAGTGGGATGTGACAATGTGGGGTTAGACACTATGAGTCGAAACGGAACGATGAGGTGTTCGAGCTTGGGACAAAGTCGCAGAAGTCCTTGTATATTGTGGCGCGCAACATGTGTTCCCCCCCATGCGACGTGGCCCTCGTTTTGAAGATGTAGATACGTGAGCTGTGGGCCACAGAGTTGGAGAATACTTCGCAAATGGATTCTGGAGGGCCGAAAGTCGTACTCGAAGCATGGCAAACTGATCGTCAACATGTTCAGCTGCGCTAGTAAAGCTGGATTCGAGGTCATCGACAGAAGGACTTGAAAACCCCCGGGCGAGTCTTTCATCATCGAGCATCGGAGGTGGCGAAGTTTTCGGAGGCGAATTTGTGAGATAGACTGATTCGATGCTTGGGCGTTTTCGGATCCACATGGAGAGTCGAAGTCCAAGGAGGTCAGATTCGGAAAGTTATTCAGCGAGCAAGGATCGAAACCGAGAGTACCGTCCGCGCCAGCGACGGCGAGTTTTACATGGGTAAGGTGTGTCGAGCACGGGGAGTGTGCGAGCAAATTCAGCATCTTCGACCAGTCGTGTACGAAGATACCGACGTCTTGATGCGTGGGTCTGAACGGGTTGACGAGGCTAAACTTTTCGATCCTGGGTGAAGCGCGAAAAATACCACCAAGTATATTGCAGAGGTCGTCGAAGACGGCGAGTTCCGTCGCGGATGTCAGGGACAGTGATGAGAGGAAGTGGCCATAGTTATTGCCAGGAGTCTCCAGTGTTCTCAACAGAAGGGCGGGCTGGGTAGGGCGGCGAAGAACGACGTCCTGATACATGGATTCCACCCCAACGTTGCGCCAGAGTTTGCATACCAGCATCAAAGATCTCTTGGTGAGCATAGTTCGACACCACAAGGAGTTCGGGCCAGCGCAGATCGCTGCATCGGATAAGGGAGCCGAGGTGGCGAATGAGAAGATCATGCGTAGGATCTCAGGCGGCGGTTGCTTAAATTCTAAAAGCAAAAGCTAGAAAAGCAACGGCATCATGATCAGCACCGTGAATCGTTCACATCAAACTGTCTGAATCAGAAGCGAAGGTTCACTTTGGTGCGCAAAAGCCCGTTTTCAGCTTGCAATGCAGAGATAGAGCCTCGTATTTCCGAAAGTTGCGTAGTAAGCTGGACGTGGCCAATGTCAATCAGTTGCAGGATACCACCAATGAAGAAAACGCACGTTGGTCATTTTCTCTTTCCATATTTCTCTGGACGTCTCTGTGCTGTCCTTGCTAGCGTTCTTCTCCGCATCCATCTATCACCAATGCAAGATTTCCATCAGTTCATCAGCATCTGTGAGAAGCTAGAGAAACGTAGCTTACCTGCTCCTTCAGGTTCAACTCGACTTGGTGGAGAGAGTCCAACAAGGCTGAGCCAGCGGGTGTCGCATCTTGCATTCCGACGTTTTTGGGGAATGCAGTTACTGTGGCGCGGTATCTTCTTGAGAATGGTCCCAACGCGTAGATGTAACGTTTCAGCGACGATGATGTATGAGGAAAGCCTATGGTCGCAGTCGCGGTAAAGTTTGAGGACAACCGGCGAGACACAAATGGCTCCCGCCTGCTTCCGCCCGACGAGTCAATAATAGATGGCGGCACCGAGCATGTGGCGTGCGATTCAGAGCCGCGCCACACGACTTCGACAAGAAATAATAATCCCCGCAGCACTATTTGTGGGTCTCCGTCATCTCAGACGGTTGTCGTCTCATGATTGTGATGGTTGTAACTTGTAAGTGGGCGCCCAGTTGTGTTGCAAATTATCGCCTAACGAATTGAACTCCCGTATGAATTTCGTAGCAATTTTCTTTGTAGGGGTAGTAGGTACATACGAGAAAGAAAATCAACGGGGCGTTACAAGATCGAGCCACTCTGTATGATAGCATCCGCCATTATCGACATATACCTATGATCTCAACCATCTGCTGATACCATCGAACTACTATCCGTCCCGTCAGAATCTGCAGACGACTCTTCCGAGTCAGTGGGGTGATTTAGCCATTCTTCATCCGACTCGGACGAGTCTTCATGTTTATCCGATGAGGAATCTTCACTCTCGTCCGATGAAGGCACAGGTGGGGCATCGAAGATGTACCCAATCTCCTTGAGAATGATTTTGTGGGACGTTTGAACAATATCGGAGGTGTTTGATAGATCAAAGGTCCTTTTCCTCACGCCGGGCGGAAACGTCGTATCAGGAGGGAGACGAATGGGAATGTCGATGGAGCGATATGATAAATCGATGTCGAGTTTTCGGACAGCAATAAGATTAGGACATCTCTGGCGGTAGAGCGTAAGACTCGGCAAGTATGTTCTAGGTTGAAAACGCTTTCTGATTGAAAATGTCGTCCATACGTCAAGCCACCGTAAAGTTGGATGCGACCATCGGTAAGTTTCAACGAGTCGTATCGGAACGACGAGGTGCTCGAGCTTGGGGAAATAATCCATGAACTCTTGTAGATTGTGGTAACCGAATGGGACTGGACTGTCATGTTCAATGAGGTGAAGATACGTGAGCTGTGGACCGCAAAGTCGAAATATTTCCCGTAGATGGCTTGCTGATCTCGAGTAGTCGGAGAAACCGATCGTCAACATGTTCAGCTGCAGCAGTGAACACGGATTCGAGATTATCGACGAGAGGACATGTAGGTGGGCAGACGACGTGTATCCCTTCTTTGTGCACCGTATATGACGAAGTTCTGGTAAATGAATCTGAGAGCGTGAGGGAAATTCCTCGGCTGTCTGATTATTCACAACAGCGCGCGAAGCGTCGATGTCTAGGGAGGACAAATTTGGAAAGTTTTGCATGAAGCAAGGATCGAAAACAAGAGTGTCGCCAGTGACGGCGAGTTTCAGATGCGTAAGGCATGCAGAGCACGGGGAGTGCGCTAGCAAATTCAACATCGTCGACCAATCGTGTACGAGAATGCCAGCGTCTTGTGGTCTATATTCGAACGGGTTGACGAGACCAAATGATTTGATCCTGGTGGAGACCGAGAGTATGCCGCCCAATACCCTGCAGAGGTCGTCATAGTCGGACGGTTCCGTTACACATGTCAACCACAGTGACGAGATGCGGTGACCGTAGTCAATGCCCGGAGTCTCCAAAGTTCTCAGGAGAAGGGCAGGTTGTGCGGGACGGCGAAGGACGACATCCTCGTACAAGAATTCTGCACCAACATCGCGCCAGAGTTTGCATACCAGCATCACGGCCTTCTTGGTGCGCATCGTTTGACACCACAATGAGTTTGGTCCGTGGCTGACCGCTGGATCGGAAAAGGGAGCTGACGTGGCGAAACCAAAGATCATTCGCAGAATTTCAGGTGGCGGCTGTTTGAAGCGCACTGGCAATGATGAGAGCTGGCGGACTTGATTCGTCAGCGATTTGGACCATTTGTGCGGTATCGACCAGATAAAACCAAAAGCGAAGGCTCACCTCAGAGCGCAAAAGCGCGTTCTCAGCCCGAAGTGCAGAGATAGAGTCTCGAAGCATCGGAAGTTGCGCCGTCAGCTGTGAGGCGAAGAGATGTCGTCAGCCCCCTTGGCACAAAAACCAAGGTACCTCGACGGGATAAAACGCACGTTGACAGTTTGTTCGATGGAGGTGTTTAAACTGGCCATTTTCTGGCGCCTCTCCTCGCTGTCCTTGTAACTGGTCTCTGCAGCCACCTACCGCCCAATGAACTCTTCGGTACCTGTGAGCTGACTCGATGATGTGATGCTTACCACTTTCCATTGCTCCCTCAGACCGAGCCCTGCTTTGTACAGAGAGTTCAGCAAACCGCTTGAGGGATCCGTGTGTTGCATACTGGATGGAAGTAGTGCAGTAACGAGGAAAGATGTGGTCTGAGCTAAGATCTCCGTATACAGCTTGAGATCACGCACCGACAAACGGTAGGAAGCAGTAAGAGCTTGAGAGGCTGTATAGAGCAGAGCCAAGATTGCCCTAGAGGTCGAGATAACCGTCTCGGTCAAGTCGCGGTGACCGCGACAGATGCAGACCGAACACGAACCGACAGCGCGGCTTTTTCCACGCACGCACAGACCAGGGTCTTGGTCACTGGGCCACGCATGCCTAGGAAAAACACTATAGTGCCAGGTTTACAACCATACAACAAGGAATTGGACTCCATACACGTTATATGTAATTTACTACCTTCTACTACTTACGGCCATCAGCCCTTTCCGTCCCTAACATCGTCGACTAGTGGTGGAACAACCTCAACGACGTATGCGCAAACACCATCTCATGTTCATCCGCCGCCTTGACGCACTCCTCATCCATCACACTCCCCGACGGTGCCGCCAGATACCTAACTCCACTCTTCCTCGCCCTATGCACATTATCCGGGAACGGGAAGAACGCATCACTCGAACACGCCACGCCCTCCAACTTGCCCAAAAACTCCTTTCTCTCCGCCTCCGTCAATGGGCCCGGGACCTCCTCGAACATACTCTCCCATTGCGCCTTCTCTCCACCCTCCAAGATCTCGCCGGTGACGAAGAGGTCGATGGCATTGGCCTTTTCCGCGCGCTTGACTCCCTTTTTGAAGGGGAGGGAGAGAACGCGGGGGTGGTGCCGGAGCCACCAGTTGTCGGCTTTGGAGCCTGCGAGGCGGGTGCAGTGAATGCGGGATTGTTGGCCTGCGCCGAGACCGATGATGGAGCCGTGGAAGGCGTAGGCGACGGAGTTGGATTGGGTGTATTTGAGGGCGAGGGTGGCGACGATGAGGTCGGTGATGGCGGCATCGGGGAGCTGATGTTCATATACGTTAGGACAATATCGAGAAGGTATGAGGCAAGAGAAAAAGGGCCTACCTCCTTGTTCTTGGTGACAATGTTGCCGAACAGGCTCGAGTCGATCTTGCAGTCATTGCGCTTCTGCTGGAGGGAAATTCCGTACACCTGACGGGTCTCGACCTGAGGCGGCACGTAGTTCGGGTCCATCTGATACCATATCAATTAGTGCGAAATCCTCTCAAAGGTGAGCGGGAGAACAGACCTGAAGCACGCAGTATTTCCCGCCTTTCTTCTTGGCGAGCACATCGAAGGCTTCGGGGGCATAGCCAGGAGCGATAACACCGTCAGAGACCTCTCTCGAGATGATACGGGCGGTAGCGAGATCGCAAGGCGCAGAGAGAGCGATGAAGTCGCCAAAGGAGGACATGCGGTCCGCACCTGATCATTACGAGACAAACACCACATATCATCAGTCATTATGGCCTTTCACTTTGCACAGAGGCCGAGAAGAAACTAACCTCGTGCACGGGCATAAGCAGATGCAAGGGGAGTAAGGGGCTCCTTCAAGTCGTCAACACCGTAGACCTTCTTCTCGACGTCGCTAAGTTCAAGTCCGACGGCGGCACCAGCAGGGGAGACGTGCTTGAAGGAGGCAGCTGCAGGCAGGCCAAGAGCGTCTTGGAGCTCTTTGACCAAGGCATACGAGTTTAAGCCGTCGAGAAGGTTAATGTACCCAGGGGATCCAGCCAAAACTAAACGACCAAACATCAACCACTGTCCTCGCCAAATATTCATACGGATAAAACTTGCCTTTGAACGGCAACTCTCCCTCCGTCACAAAAGCCTGTGCCGGCTTCTGGTGAGGATTAGCCCCATACCTCAACGCCATCCTCTTCACAGTCCCCTCGAATCCCTCTCCCTGTGTCTTCGCCTTCGCCTCATCCGCATACTGTTCCCTAAAGTATCCACTAATCGCCTCATCATACCTCGCCGTCATCTCAAATGCCTTCAGCGCCAACTTCGCCCTCAATGCCTCTCCGACCTCTCCGTTACCCGCTTCCCACTTCGCCACGAACTCTTTGTAGTCGGACGGATCGGAGAGGACGGAGACGCGTTCGTGGTTTTTGGCGGCGGCGCGGAGGAGGGTGACGCCGCCGATGTCGATCTCTTCGATCGCTTCGGGGAGAGTGCAGTCTGGTTTAGAGATGGTGGAGGTGAAGGGGTAGAGGTTGCAGACGACGATGGAGATTGGGGAGATGGATTGGGCGGAGAGGTCCGCTTGGTCGGAGGGAATGTTACGGGCGAGGATGCCTGTGACAGAGATGAAACTGTTAGATTTTTATCTCTTTGCACGGACGAGTGGCAGGAACGTTGTTTACCTCCGTGGACCGCAGGGTGAAGAGTCTTCACCCGACCACCAAGCATCTCAGGGGCTTTCGTGATGTCAGATACGTCCCTGATGCATCATTTCGTCAGCTTCGCAATTTTACCAACGAAGCTGAAAGATAAAAATACGCACTCGATTTTGATCCCAGCATCTCTAATTTTCTTCGCGGTCCCTCCAGAGCCAAGGAGGCGAACGCCAGACTCAGACAATGCACGCGCAAAGTCGAGCAAGTCGGTCTTGTCATACACCGACAACAGAGCTGGTTCGCTGCATAAGAAACTATCAAGTCAACACGGGTACGAACATACCAATGGGTTGAGACATCGTTGAACCGTGAACAAGTGAACAGATGGGGATCTCGAGCCTCGGCTTGCTCACTCCAAAATCTTTGTAGACCCAAACTAGGGTTAGGGTACATGACGCCACAAATCTCGTACAAATACCGCGGGAAATGGGCCACATTGATACAATTCGAGCTCATAATCGGCCGGGAAGTCTGCTCGCCCCGCTCAACCTAATCGTCTCTCCGTTTCTACAAAAAGGTGGAGAAATATTGCTCAGTCAGGGTGAGGGGCAAGTGTCAGAGATAGATACGCACAGATAACTGCACTCCACCGCGAACCTCGCCGTCTGCGCGAACTCTTCCGCAGTCCCGAACCTCCTCGGGAATATCAGGTCCCTCGACAGACTCGCCTTTGTCTTGTCACTCATTCTGTCGGTCATAGCAGAAGCAAACGCTCCGGGAGCAACAGTGACAACGCGAATGCCGTGTCGGGCTAGGTCGCGGGACATGGGGAGGGTCATGCTGACCAGAGCACCTTTGGAGGCAGAGTAGGCTGTCTGACCTGGCTGACCTTCAAACTAGAAGACGTTGTCAATATACAGTATACGAGGAGTCGCGAACCGTATTATAGGAGACTGAAACGTACGGCAGCAGAGCTAGCAACCATGATCACCACTCCGCGCTCTCCGTCTGGTCCTTCTGGTTCCACCTGTGCCAAGTACTTGCACGCCAGCCGCGTAAGGTTGAACGTCCCGGTAAGGTTAACTTGAATAGCAAAGTTCCATAGGTCAAGAGAATGCGGCTCTCCATGAAAGTCTAAGACCTTAAACCACCCTTGGCTGTCACTACAGTGTATTATTACGGAGAAAGCGAGAGCACCTACGTACCTTCGCAGCAGTTCCAACACCCGCACAATTCACGACACCTCCAAGCCGTGCACCCGTCTCCTTCGCCCATTTGACGGTACCGTCCACCGCCTTCTCGATATCCTCGACCCTCGTGATGTCAGTCTGGAAGAACTTGAGCTTGCTACTGGATTCGGCTATACGAGGAGTGGGAGGCGGCCTGAGGTCGAGAACGGCGACATAAGCATTGGCATTGAGTAGATTCTCGACAGTTGCGAGACCCAAGCCGGACGACCTGTGAGCGAAAGTTGGAGGGCGCCACAATGAGAACACCGATTCGTCCTAGGAAGAGGTGAACGCGTGCTTACCCTCCAGATACGAGAAATGTACGGTTATCAGGCTTCATAGAACGTGCTTAAAGTGGTTGTCCTTTGTGGTGCTGAAAATATAGTCGTGGAAGGAGCACACTGCGTATTGAATCCATCATGGGAAGACGTGTTTCACGTGTTACGATGTGGCCGGAAGCAAGATGGCTGGTGCCACACGAACTTCGGTCCAACCGGCTCACCGGACCGTCTGCCGCTTACCTTGCGTTGACCTCAGATCTGTTGAGCTCGACTCTTGCTCTCTACCCCATCTGTACCTCTTGCTTGCACCACTCGTATCCCACGACTTAAGCATCAAAGACCCCCAATAACTTCTTTTACAACTCCAAGCCCGCCAGAATCATCACAGACATGCCTCCCCAACCTGGGATGTTCGCCCTCCCATACAGCTCAACGCACAAAGCACGACCCAACGCCCGTACCATCACAGAGCATCACGACGGTCCCCAAGACATAATGTTTCCATACCGCGAACCTCCACACCCTTCGGCGCACCATATGTCTCATGGACCAGGCTCATCGTCTATGGGAGCTGGACCGTCGAGAGTGCACGAGGATCCGAAGCGGGAGAAGAGGAAGAGGGAGCCTCAAGGGATGGGTCGGGTCAAGGATGTGGTTGATATCAGGAGAGAAGAGTACGTTTTGTATTCCCATTTCAATTTTGTGTGATGGTGATGGTGTTGAGTAGCGTTCGTATCATATTTGACAGAGCTCGTATGTATCAAGAGACGATCGCAGGTTTACAAAACGTGTCAATGCAGCTTGCAGCGCGTCCAGAAACATCACCAGCGTACAACATTCGCCTATTGCCTCTTTCGACCGAACGGTCAGCATTGCTCGCACAATTTGCGATAGAGGAAAAGAACGCGATCGAGAGTACAGAGGCTGCGTATGAGCTCGAGAGCCAGCGTGTCAAGGAGGAGTGGGAGCGTGGTCACGCGAGGATACGCGAGAGGTTGCTGGAAGGAATCGAGGAAAGGAGACGAAGAGCACGGGAGGAGAAGGACGGAGAGGGAGCCGGCGGTGGTATGTGTCGCGCATCTCTCATTTTTCTCTCGTGTGGCTATCTTATTCATACATGAATTTGTTGCACTGTGACCAACAGACGCCTCGCTCGACTCCCAGTCTCGCCCTCACATCACCCGCAAACTCCGCAACAAACTCAACACGTCCCCGCCACCCACGCCCAACTCACACAACAACGGCTCAGGCTCCGCCACCAAAGATGGCCCCATCATCGGTGTCATAACCAATCCGCATTCCCTCTCCATCGATGACCTCCCCGCCGCCTTCCCTCTCCCTCTCACCGCCTACACACTCGGCTCGAATGGGAACAGTGGCGGTGGCGGTGGGAATAGTCGGAGGAAGGCGAAGGGGGGTGGCGGTTCACAAACGGTGGGACAACTGGGGAAGAGCGTGGCTGGATTGTCGGCGTGTAAGGAGGCTGAGATTAATAGTGACTTGGATCTCGTTACGAAGGCGAACAAGAGGAGGAGAGCGGCGCCACAATCGTTAGCCAGCAGGGTGTAGGACAATGGCTTATCCATATGTATAACTGGTCACGATACGTATCTCGAGTTGTTCTGTACACCGCTGCATTGTTCTATCGTCTAGTATTGTTTTGCTTTTGTTATTTTCCATACTGTTTGTTTTTGCCGAAGTCAAAGCCACCTCCACAAGCGCTGCCTCCGCGCCGACACGCTGGCGCGCGTACGTCTGCATTCCTACTTACAACACCCTATCCTACCCCTGCTCCCTCACACTCACATTTCTCAATCACCCCCTATAAGTCGGATCAAGCTCTTCTGTCTTTCCGAAAGAATCAACCTCTCCTCGAGACCCTGCCACTCGCAGCACCTCACACGGATCCAATCCCAATATCGCATGCCATACTTGAAATAAAGCGCCCCGAAGAGGAAGCCGCCGAGGTGAGCTGCATGGGCGAAGAGTCTACGAAGACGTGTGTGCTATCTCAGGAGCAAATACACAGGAAAACAGGAAAGAAAAGAAACTTGCCTCCATCCACATAACACGCCAAGAACATCAAACGCCACGAACATCGCCACCGCATGCGAAGCTTGCATAGGGATAACGAACAACGCCCTCATCTCTAGGTCCGGAAATTGAAGCGTTACGTTCGCTATACAGGCGCAGACCGCGCCGGACATGCCTAGTGCGCCCTGGGTCAGATGTATGAGTGCGGCTTTCGTCTGAGATCGCAGCGCCTCGGAGTTTGTGGGGTTTTTGGGAGTGGAGGATTGTTTTGGATGCGGTGAGTTGAAGAGGCGAGAACGTAGCGTGGTCAGGTAGCGCCAGATTCTAGTCGTACGAGATGGTATAAACTTCTGCGAGGAGAGCTGGGCGATGATTCTTGGGTAGTGGAAGGCGGTGAAAAAGATATGATGGCAGAGAGAAGAGAATACTCCGGCTGGGCGACAGGGTAAATAAGTCGAGGGGCCGCTTTGGTCTCCAGAGACGGACGTACCTGCGACGAAGAATGCCAGGAAATGGTAGATTGCAGTAGTTTCCGTGATCCCAGACTCCGATTTTCGCCATTGTTCATCGTACATCCAGTAAGTCACGCAAGGCGCTACAAAGAAAAATACCCCAAGACACACACGCAGGGCGTCAATAAACAGACCGAAAACACCGCGAGCCAACAACACCTACCAAAACTGAGCAACGTAAGAGAGTTGCAAGCAAGGTGCCACCATTCCTCATGGCTGAACACGCTCGTCAATAGCGTGTACGAGTTCCCACCGACAGGCTGATGAACGAAATGAGTGTTCATCCACTGTTTCATTCCAGATCGGGCACCACCCAGGCGCCACGCAACGAATACCACCGAACACGCAGCGACGATTCCCCACGCCGTTCTATACCCATCGACCAGCGGCATCGCGTTGGACACCATATCGTTTATTTTCACCCAACTGAGTATTTCTGAATAGACACTCCAGAGATATGGACGCATGAATGCTGGAGCGGCCGAGATGTAGGTGTCTGCTTGTTTGTACTCTTCGAGAGATTCCTAGTAGGTCCAATGGGTCCGGGCGGGATGCGTTTTTTTGTCAGCTAGTTGTAGTGTACACTGTAAAGAGCGCAAAGAAAGGATGATTTACTTTTTTATGATCGATCGCTCGGGAATAGTATACCAATATGGCAGTGCCCAGGGGGCCAGAATCATAATATCGGCTAGTCATCCAGGATGAGACAGAGTTGTTCGTTTGCACTGCGGCTGCGACGAAGCCTACTGTCACGAGGAGTACAGAGAGCTAGAATCCGCGCGGTGTTAGCATAAAGTCAAGGAAAGCAACGTTGCTAGGCTCACGACGATTGGTCTGACGATTTTAGGTCGTTTGACTTCCTGGAGAATGGTCTTCAGCTCCTCGGGACTGACATCGGGGAACTCCTTCGACTCTCCAACCTGGTATTTCGTACCAAGGGAAGTCTCATTTCGGAGAGCTCTGGTGAGGCTCAGATGTCGAGGGTTTAGGGATGGAGAATGTGGGCGAAAAAATGGAGATGGACGGAATCCAAGGCGTGATATCGATGTGCCAGTGGTCCGGAGAGATCGACAGGACAAGAGATGTGGTTGTAGATGTACAAAGAGATTCATTCTCGGCGATGGAGAGATCAGAGGTGCGATGTTATACAGTGCTAGTAGAAAAGAACTTCAGAGCAGGTGAGTAGCAAGATGAGTCGAAAGGAAAGCGCGATGGTTAGTAGAGCAGTGGACTGATGGGTATCGATGAGTTCAAGAGCAGAGCAGACCGCAGGATGCAAAGAGCTGTCAGATCGCCATGGAAGTCAAGAGTTCAATACGAGCACAACAGGGTTTATACCCGCTTGGGGTGGCCGTTCAAGTTACAGTAAAAACCAGCCGCCTCCGCGCTCTTCAAGCCGGCGGCGCGTCGACGCGTCCTCCGAGAACTCGTTCTCAAACAGGAATCTGTTTGTTCACGAGCGCCATCTACTCGGACCTCGGGGACACTCGCCGATCCGGTCTCCACCAAACGGAAGCCTCGCAAATGGCTGACAAAAATAGACGCTCGTGGTCTGACGCGCGATATTTCTTGCTCACTGACTTCCACACCTCCGCTCAGCACATTACACGAGTACGTGTCAGTTCTCACTAGAGTTTGCTACAAAAGCTCATTGACAGCTTGGCTGGTGTAGAAAGTTATCTAGCGAAAGAGCTAAGAGCTTCTTAGTATTACTACACATAAAATGGCTACGATGTTCCGTACGGCTTTCAAATCATCTGTACGTCTCCATCCCTTCATCCCTCAAAATCCATATCCCTATTTCTTCCACTCACCAACACATCCTACACCATAACCCACAGCTCCGTGCCTCCCCCTCCCTCCGCCAACCGACCCTCTCGCACGCCTCACCCATCCTCTCCACCCTCGCACGCACCCGTCTCCTCTCCACCGAAGCCCGTTCCCAAATCCAAAAGGCCATCGACGACTCCCCCCTCGTCCTCTTCATGAAAGGAAACCCCGACGCACCTCAATGCGGCTTCTCGCGCGCGGTCGTCCAGGTGCTCGATATTCATGGGGTACCGCCGGAGAAGATGAAGACGTATGATGTGCTTGCGGATTCGGAGTTGAGGAGTGGGATTAAGGAGTTTAGGTGAGTTAACATATTTTTGTCGGGGCCACTTGAATGTGGTTCTGGTTTGGGTTGGGGTGCGATGCTTTGGGAGAGCTGGAAGAAGGGTTGGGTTTTCGACTTGGTTGATTGGTCGGGTCAGGACGGTTAGACGTGGCGCTTGAGGCTTGCTAAGCCCGTTCGGTGCCCAGTGTTGTGTTGCTTCTCTTCAGTTTCTATCTTTGCTCTATCCCTCTATTCCGAAACCCGAAACGTTCAACGCGCTAATATGTAACCCTCTACGTGTCTTCGTCTCTTCCAGCGAATGGCCAACCGTCCCACAACTCTACGTCCGCTCCGAATTCGTCGGCGGCTGCGACATCGTCCTCTCCAGTGCGTATTCGTCTCCCTTCCTTCCTTTCTTGTCTCCTCCCTTCCTTCTATAGCCTCCCTTCCTCTACGTCATCCCCCGCACACATCTCTCCTTTCGTCATATATCCCTCACTCGTCCTCTTCTTCCTCATCTTCGTCATACATGACCGCCGTTCATCCTGTTCTTTCTCTTCGCTACACCTGACTCACACCTTCTCTATCCACTCACCCACCCAAAACCAACAGTGCACCAATCCGGCGAACTCGAAGACCTCCTGATCAAGAAAGACATCATCGACGCACACCTCCCCGAAGACGCGCCCGGCTCCGAACCTGCAGCGGCCGAAAAGTCGTCATGAGCTTGCCTCAACTTGCCTCGAGCGCATTTCCCTTTCTCCTTCGCCGTTCCTTGCGCCGAGTCAGAGTCGAGTCTTTATGTGCGCCTCGCTTCGCTTTGCGTCTTGCGGTTTACTCTAGAGAAGGCGACACCATTGGTATTTTGGGTCGGAGATAGGGGTGAGCACTGAGCAGTTAGTGGCGCGTGGCGTGGTGAAGTGGCGCATCGCTACCGAAGTCTCTTCGTTCCGCTGTTCCAACATCTATTCAGAGTGTCTATATTGCTCCAGCTCCATTTTTCTCTTTGTTTCAGTCCTGTGTTTTAATTTATGCTAGCTCGCTCGCAGTCGGGGCTCACTCAGTTGTGTAGTGGGGGTTGTCGGTGTTGGTGAACAGTGGTTTCATGTACATAATAAACATCACAAAACAAAACATCTACATCTCCTCTCGCTTCCGATTCACGAGCATCCCATCTAACAAGAAACAGACAAAGTAACAAGGAAAGAGGAAGTGTTCAATGCCACGACCGTCTACGCCCAACGACGCCAATAAACCCTGAGGCACGAATACTGAACGACGCCGATGCCAATGAACCAAAACGCTGGACGACGCCAATGAGCCCTACGGACAGTACTAGTCCCAAAAGACCAAAGACCGAAAGAGGAAGCATACGCATACGCATATTTTGCTGGACATATCGTGCGGAGCCAAAACGGGTACGGAGGGGGGAACGAGAATGGGGATGGAGCGTGGGAGGGGGGG